TCCCTTTCGTTGTAACGGAGTATTTAGTGTACAGGGGAATTGATGACGCATTAAAGTAGCTCTCAAAGTCCAGGCCACTCGGCGATTGGAGCTGAAATGAGTGCAACACCCAAGCCGCATCCTATGGCTTGCTCCTCGTTAGACTAGTGCCGTATTGTGACTGGTAGGCCTATGGAGGGTCCCGCTGGCGCTGGGGGCTGTGTATACTCTTTGTGGAAGCTTGGCATTGCGCACTTTGTTCTTCAGCGCAGCGATCTTTCTGCCTAGGCCTTTCTACAGACAGCCTTGAGTTCCCACAATTATTTTCCTCATTGTGCTTGATGATTATTATGCTTGCAGCAGCTCAACACACTTGCATTGACTTTTGGTGTGTTTTCCCACATGTATTTTCCTCATCGTGCTTGATGATTATTATGCTTGCAGTACTTGCAGCAGCTGTGTCGCGGCTGCGATGGCGGGGGAGCTCTTTCCCTTTTTCCCACCATAATAAGCTTGGGGATCTACATTTTTATTTTGCGGAGTTGAGCATTGCTCCATGTAGGTAGGTATATTACCATAGGCTGGAATTGGGCTGAGATATATTCTCTGGGTTTTTACGAAGGACGGATATAGTAACATTCATGTTGTTTTGTGGTGTCATGAGATGCCGTCTCATACCATACCTAGACATTGCGACACCTGACGCCCGTGACGCCCGGTTCACTTGATTATCAACTCATTGCGAGAAGATAGGTATCTTGGAGAATGACCCTAAACGGGATGCAAATGTGTCGAGTATCCTCCAAGTCTCGCGGATCGGTGTGTACCTGCCATGGACTATGCACCTTGCACGCGCCTGGCCGCCTCTTTTCCATTGCCCACATCCACTTCCTCCTGGGTCTCGGCACAGTTCCCTTTGGGAGCCCTGGCAGACGCTCTTGCAAGGGTTGGAACGGAACGAGGGAGGGAGGAGCTGCGCGCCAGTAGACTACATAGTAAAACTGCTATATCCATGGTCCGACCCCACGGGTATGCTTGGCACCCTTGTACAGTACGTAGGTCCGTACTCGACCTACTTGCTGCTGGTCTGGCGCTCATGCACTGAGCATGTCCGTCATCGTCCCACACGTAGGAGTGAGGGTGGAGAGATAACACTATTGATTGGCCGCCCTGGTAATTCCACTCTGTATCCCATCATGTCGATGTGACATGGGAAAAGCTCTCAAATTTTGAAAATGCTGGAATTGCGCAGAAAACAACCAAAAGCATGAAATATAACAACAAATCGGGCTCTGCACCACGCTCGCGTGACAATACAATCTGGTACTCATGGTTACCTTGAGAATACCCCATGTGCTCGTGGATGATTGACCCTGTTTGAATGATATTCCACACATGATTCATACTCGTAGGCAGGTATCCTCGGTGTACAACAGTTCGTCGTTTTCATATATTTGAGCATTAAGGAAAGGTTTCGCATGTCCGTCAAAAGGTTGCCTTATTATGCTGGTCGTCACTATGGACATCCTATAAAGTAGGATTGATTTCCTGCTGTCACTTCTGTCCTTCGTTCCGTCTTGAGTTCTCAAGCATTCTCTTCTTCTTCAATTCGACACACATTTATTTTGCACGTCCCTAGTCTCCAGATACTATAATATATTGTCCTATACAACATACTGCTTTCCGGCGGGAATACTTCTATTTCCTCTTCTTAAACCTTCCATACCCTTTCGCTAAAGTCACTAAAACCAACCATGCCCTCTTATATTTTAAGGTTCTCGCCCTGCCTCTTTTCTCTCTTTTCTCTCTTTTCTCTCTTTTCTCTTTTGTAACTGATATTTGATCTCTGTAGAACTCAAGGGTCCTTATCCGGCCCTGCTACAGCTCACCAAGAGCCCCTTCGTACACGGCGGTTAGATCGCTACCTCGAAGAACCAATTTCAGACGGAAATCGCTCGGTGATGTTGCTCAACCAGCCGGCGACGACATCCGACAACAGTATCAAGAAGTTAGCCGAATCTAAGATGGCAATCAAGATCGACGGTATCATGAAGCCTTTCAACAAGACTGGCTGAGCTTGGGGAAGCATTCCCTGAGCTCTACTTAACCCAAAGACACATGGCTGGCTTTGGAATATACTCTGCCATCACACACATCTTGTATACAGTGTCACTTTCTTCCCTACTTGCACTTCAATACTCTGTCCCACATTTTGTTGAATATTCACTGTCTGTTGCTTGGGCCTGTTGTCGCCTTCCGCCCTCTCGTGTTTTGGACTTGCTCCATGGTCGACAGGAGATCTTTCTATGGTCCTGAGATACCCTATCTAGCATCAGCAATGGCAACAGGACTTCACTCTCTCCGAACCATTGCATACTACCACTCTGATTGTTGCATTGCTACTCGACTTATCGCATTCTCATTTGTGTATGTACACCATGGCCATTCTATTAATCAATACCAACCCGTTAAGTCTACAATTGTTTTCGCGGGTAGTTCTCCATTTAGAAACACAAGATACTGCAGATGCCCGTGTGTCACATTGTCAAGTACCAACGGGCGTCGCTCACATTGACCCAAGAGACGTTCTTGTCCAGCAGATCACTCTCTAGAATTGAATCATAGTTGGGCAGTGGCCGTGAAGTCAACTTAGTACCGGTCAGCGTTCTCCCCTCACTTCACATGAAGACCTAATTATCCTACAGGGACTATTTCTTGGTAGGATTTTACATATCAAAGGCACAGTGAGTGACGGGGATGAATGTTTCTTCTTGTTTCTTTTCATGTACTGCCGGAATGGCACAACTTTCTAAAAGTCTCATCACATGGGTATCATGAGTATATACACTACAACATTGTACGTTTCCGCCTCCGAGCGCTCTCCGCTCCCTCCAAGACTTGCCGAGGATACTTCTCCAGCCATGCGTCCTTGTTCTTGACTGAATAATTGTGATATCTCTTGAGCAATCTCTCATCCATGTTTCTGACATGAACTTTGAGCTCATCAATCGGGGGCAGGAGCTCGCTACCCCAAGCTTCATCAATCATGGTCTTGACTTGAGTCAATGAAAACATGTTCTGCTGCCTGCTCTGTTGCTGGGTCTTGGCTGCCACGGGGTTGATTCCGAAAATCTCGGCAAGACGGATGTATAGGGCTTTTCGTACTTTCATAATGTCAATACGCAGGCCACGATCTTCAAGCCTGCGCAAAACATTAATAGCATGTTGAAAATTTTCTTGCTGGTGCTCGCTGTCGGTTCCTCGGCGGTAAGGAAGCAGCGCAAAAGACCACCGCAAAAGGTCGCTTTGCCACTTTCGTGAGAAAATTCGGTTGAGAGGGTGCAATGTAAGGTTCATTGGAGTATCCATGGGGATGTAAAGCCCAATCAGATTCTCCACCTCACTCAACGGCCTCGTGATTTTGTGGGGGACGTCGACTTTATTGATCGGTACGAAGCCAGGACGCAACGAGCGCCGCGTCGTATAGAAATCCGTCAATTCCAGGACAAGGTTGTAGAGATCATCAAAGAAATGACCCTGGCCCAGGCCATAAACGATGCGAGTCCACACCTCAACTGGGACGGGGATATCCATAGAGCTGAGCCGCCGGCATAGAGCCAATGAATATTGTAACCGGTGTGGATTTCGCTGAGTTGAGTGCCATCCTACTCGGCGTTTTATCCAAGTAAAGATAAAGTCGCACGATTCAACATCGAGCGGAATACCAACACCTTGCATGTCATCGATAATATGCAAGACTCTTTCATGATTGCGCCGCAACAAATGACTGCGAAGCATGGCGTTGGATGTTGTCCGCGCTGAATCGGCAACACATGCCATTCTCGATGCAAGAAGCAAGGTGTATGTGGACATGTCCCCGGCAGCAGCTCTAGATGCCATGAGCTTGGATTGCAGCTCAAGATCGTCAAAAACGTCTGGGTGTATGTCGCATTGCAAAAGGCGTATGAGGAGCTCATCGTCCCCAGTCCTGGCGAAATGCCGGATGGTCTTGGAGTACCCTGACTCTGGTATTGAGATGCCAGCTTCCTCGAGCTGCCTGATCCGCGTCAATACACCTTGCGCAGTCCCTTCTCGAAGGCAGATGGATTGCAAAGACAGGGGCCCGATTTGTTGGACTCCAAGAGCAACGACCACAGATGTAGCCAATTCTAATCCGACCCAAGAGCTTGCAAACCACCTGGCCCCAAGTTGATCGTTGTAAGTTTTGGCAGTAAAGCCAAAGGTCTTGCCGTGCACATGGTTCATGAACTCTCGAGATATCTCCACTTGCTGTTCGCTCTCTTCGGGACGTGGTAGAGTTTGTTCCTTGACGACCGCGGCCTCACGTGGGTGCAAATCGATTTGGTAAAAATACCCAAGTAGATATCGGAGAAATTGTCGCGACGGAGCGTGCAGTCGAGGCCCGTCTTCCTGTTTGATACATGTCACCCGCCACATTCTAGCAAGCTTTGCCTGTCCGCGTCCATAGAGGTATGGTACAATTGCGTCGTAAAAGCGCCGTTCCGGACTGGCAATATATAACGATTGCAGCGTAAAGGATGCAGCCAGTTTGTGATCGAATGAGAATTCCCGAATCATGGCAATGAAATCCTGCGAGCCGGGATAGTAGTTGGGAGCGAGCCTCATGTGCCATTTTATAGCCTTGTCGTGTTGTCCGGTGCGCAAAAAGTAAGGAACAATGTTCATATACAGGTCTGGCCACTGCGTATCATGAACTTCCACCATGTACTCGGCATATGTGTAGACGCTGTCCAGGAATTTTTCATCCTCTAACCGCAGGGCTGCTTCCACTATGGTGGTCCAGAAAATCTTTTGTGACGCCTTCTTCAGTTGGTACAATGACCTTCTGCCCCAGAATGCGCGCCATAACTTGTGTACGCCTTGATCACCTTCCAGCCTCTGAAGGTGCTGCAACAGACAGTTCCAAAGGTCGAAGTCGCCATGGTGGTCCCAGCGGTCAATGAGAAGAGGTCTTGCCAAGTGTTTTGCAGCACCTTCTCGGTCAAAGTCTGTCTCGATGCTTAGTCGTTTCGGTTCGTTTATGAGCCACTGCCATTTTCCAAACGAGGCAGCATCCTGGACGTGGCTCTTGAGCAGCTTCGGTTTCTCGGCAAGTGCAAGTGCTTGCAAGGATCGAGGAAGATGATGGGATGCGACCAGATCAGTATGGCTTTCGATACTGGTGGCATATGACCGCAGATAAGAAGCCGGACATGTTTTATGGCAATGCGCGGGACTCGAATGTCGAAACGCCTGGTATGTCAGGGGAAGACGTGGGTTGATAGCAAGGCGTGCCGGCTTCACATCTCGGATTGTCCAATTCACCAGTCGCATTACTGCGCCGGTTACATTGCAGCAATATCGCAAATATTTTACAACAACTGTCGTCACCTCATTGAGACGAATTGACTGTGGAAATATCTTGCCGTCTAGAAACGCGACTCGTTGAACAAATTGACATGAGAAAAAAGTTGCCCAGTCCAAAGCTTAAGCTCAGCGGCGAAAGCCAAAGCTCGGGCAGATTTCGGCAAAAAGGGAGCTTAGTCATTTTAGTGGGTCCCGTCTGCTGCTCGTTCGATGGACCTCAATTGTCAATTGGAAGCCTCGGATTGCTTCATCCCAAAGCTTTCACAAGAGCTCACCAGCAGACTTCTCACCAAACCAACGCCTCCAAATCTCCGCTCAACTACCGTCAAGATGGGGTAAGCCTTTTCATCCGGCGCGATTGGACCTCTGCGAATACGGCGCCGTGCTCAATGGCTCGCCGCGACCCCCGAAACCCGCATCGTCATACGATCCCACGCGCGCAAAACCAAGTCTTTCGTCGATAAACGGTCGCTAATGAGAGCCTCTCTTGTAGTCTCGTCGACGCTCCCAACAAGGTGCCCCAGCACCAGAAGTCTTACCAGGCTGCCTACGCCCAGCACACCCGTCTCTGGCAGATTGTACGTCAAAGCGATTGCGATTCACCTAGCCGCTCGAGAGAAAACAACTTGGTTAACGTTATATGACGCAGGGATCCCGCAGCAGCTACCTGCTCCTCCCCTACAAGGTCCTTGTCTGGGGATCTCTCAGTGGTATGTTCAAATCTAGATCGTGTCGGACGAGATACTAATGCGGGATTATAGCCTCCCTGTACATGATGGGCCGCAAGATTGCCGGTTACAACACCTGGTTCGGCAAGGACTAAATGTACCATTTTAGAGCAAGTAGACGGGCCATGGAAGTACATATCGATCAAAGCTGTGGACGAGAGAATCCGTGGGTGGTGTGTCGATAGAGTGACTGAATAGACAGGCATTTCACACGAACAAGAACAACTTTCCTATGTCACCAGAAAATGGAGAATTCAAATCACACGTCTATGCCTCCAGAAAGTCAATTAACAAACCAGCCCATATTTTTTCATACGCCGCCGGAAATGCCATTCGCGGTATCTTGATCCATCGAAGAAAGTCTACATTACATTTTGCTCAGTCATACTGACCACCTCGAGCTTTGATGATAATCTGAGTCTGTCATTTGGTGAGATCAGATACTAGGCATATCCGAAGCATCTCTCATGTCCAGTATCTAGAAATTGGGAATTTAGAAGCCCTCGGCACCTGGGGCCTTCTCGTCCTTGCGTAGGCTCATCAAGAGCTCGCGGAAACGCTCCTTGCCAGAGCCGCTGGCGCCGCCCTTCTGGCCCTTTCCGCTAATGTCGACGAGCTTGGCGATGCGCTCCCAGCTGGTACCGCCAGATACTGTGTCCTCACGGCTGGCCAGGAACTGCTCGGCCTCCTTGCGGGTTTGCGCAATGCCCTTGTCCTTTTTGTTGTTGTAGTTCTCGTAAAAGTCGTCAATGTTCTGCTGGGCCTCCTTGATGGTCTCTTCTTTTTGCTGGGCAAACTGCTCTGCTCGCTTGGCATTGGAAGCGTCGCGCTTTTCGCGCCATAGCCTGATGACCTCGGGCTCCTCCTCCTCGTCGACTGATGCCTGGAAGCCAGAATTGTAGCTGACTGATGGGCCAGTAATGGTACCGCTGGGTCCGACTTGCTGTTGTCAATTATTAGATGAGCTCAACGTCTGTGCTTGGGCATATCTAGGAAGGTGATCCTACCTGGTTGCCAGTGTTGATGTCGGGGAATTGGTTCTGGAACTGCGATTGCTCGAGATGGGAGACTTCGCCTCCACCACCGCCCAGGAGGTCGTCGGATGTGTCTACAAATGCAGCCGAGTCATTGCTGGTAGTGAACTGGGCGGCGTCGTCACCGAGAAGAGCTTGTTCGCGCGCGAGGAAGTCGTCTGCCGATGCCGAGACGTCCTTGACATCAGTCTGAGCTACGACAGTCTGAAGTTAGCCTATCGTGATGCAATGCAAGGATAGAGACAGCTGCCATGTCTTACCACCGGAATCAAAGTCGTCCAAGGACGGGAAGCGGTCCGCCATGATGAGTTGTATGTGGTTATGCAACGTGTTGCACTGGTATTAAGGGTAGGCGAGAAGAAATGGTATTGATGCGCAGTGCGAAATGACTGTGGTTGTTTATGGAACGCCTGCGTCGTTGTGATTGCAACTTGGTTATTGGAGTATCTGGTTACTTGGATGCGCTATCGCAAGGCCACTAAGCAGGTACGGTTGGGTGCTGTAGCTGGCCCACTGGCCTCCTTTCCAGAGCTCGTTTGGAGCCTCATTCAAGGTGGCAGACAGAGCGCCTAGTGAACGGTACGTACCTTACCCAAGGCCATTAACGCTCAATTGCTTGCCCCATCTGCAGTGGACCGCCCAGGTGGAGGCAGGCGCCGTGCTGGAGATGGGCCAAGACCAGTGACGGAAGGCATGGGCGGCTCGGTGTTACTTTGATGCGAGCTTGTTTTGTGGAATTCAATCCGCACTCTAGCTCCATCCCAGCAGATCCACCCTATCTTTTGTGTTTGATGTACATCAAAGAGCATCGTCCAGCTTTCCTGCGCCAACATCAAGGACAGCCGCAATCCAATTTCTCCAGACAGAAGCCACCAACTGTGCTCCTGTCTGCCCTGGTACTTGAAGCATCTGTCTCAACATTCACACCAATTATCTGGCCCTTCACCCCATCAGTGGCGGTTTGTTTTGGTGGTCGGCAGACATAGGAATAGCTAGACTGGCACTTTTCTCAGTGTCTGCTCCAGCTCACATTGTTGCTGCTCCACTATCGTAGATGAGATTGTGTGATCTTGAGTAAACAACCAACGCCCAAAAGCTTGAGTAAAGTACAGCCATTGTCTTTGGCACAACCCCGCCAAACGCGCAGGTTTCGCTTGTTTTCTTGACGCCAAACGCGCCGAGGCACAAATACACGCAAGCCATCTGCCTGCTGCTTGTTTGTACTGCCATCGGCGTCGCCTGCCAAGCACCAACCAACCGTCACTACTAGCTCCAACGCATCCCGCGTCCCAATATCACCACGATGTCATATACCGACGATGCAGTGCTGGCAAAGCTGTCGACACTTGCTGAGACTCAGGACAGTATAGTCACTGTTGCTCAATGGATCATGTTTCATCGGTAGGTCATCCAGTCAACGGATCAAATGTCGTATCTTTCTTTCACAACTAACCATCCTTTGTAGACGACATGCAGAACGTACAGTGCAGATTTGGCTTCAGAGACTTAAGGACTCTTCCAGTCACAAGAGACTGAATCTCGTCTACTTGGCCAATGGTGAGAATACTCTATTTCATCTGAAATCTTCACCACTAGAAACACATGCTGATATGCCACATCAATGCAGAGGTCTGCCAGCAATCCAAGGTACGCCACAAGGAAGACTTTTTAGTCGCCTTCTCGCCTGTGATTGCCGAAGCAAGTGCAACAGCCTACAAGGGCGCACCGTCAGATATCCAGCAGCGCATCCGCCGAGTTGTTGATGTCTGGAAGGAGCGTCATGTTTTCGAGGAGCCCATCCAAACCGCCATAGAAACGCGCATTGAAGGTAGGACGCCCGTTACAAACTCACAAGTACTCGTACTTACAATTGAGCAGAACTGGACAAGGCCAAGGGCAGCACCAAAGCCGGCTTTGCGGGAGCCATTTTCGGTTCGTCCTCGTCTTTGCCATCTGAGCTATCTTCTTTGGCAACTCCTCAGCAGAATGTCTCCAAGCTGCTTCTTTCCACCAAGACAGCCATCAGCGGCTCAAACCAAGATTACGACAAGTTGATGGGACCTTCGGCCACGCCTCCGTCTGCCCCAGTCTATGCTGCTAGACTCAATGGTCTGCTCAAGACTCTTGCTAGTGCCGAAGGCGCAGTTGAGCAATGTGTTCAAGCTCGAAGAACTCTGGTCGGCGAGCTACAAAAGATATTGGACACCAACAAGGCCGCCTTGGCCGCAGATGAGGAGCAGTTATCTACTTTAAAGAAGCGCAAGGTTGAGGTCGACGATAAGAAGCGCGATGTCGAGTTTGCCATCATGCAAGGTCTTTCCGACTCGGACTCGCCAGCTCCGAATGGTCCTCATGAGCCGTTGGCACCTGAGCCAGAGCAGCCAGAAGTCGAGGCTCTTACTCCGCCCGCTGCTGGACCTGATGAACCTGAGGATCCGGAGGAGGCCCAGTGGTCTTCGGAAATTGTGCCTGATGACAAGCCCACCCAACAGGGCACTGCTCAAGGAATGGAGCTTCTCTCGAACCTCGCATCTCATTACAACTCTATGCCGACTACCATGAATGGCTCCAAGAAGCGTCGACTTGACTCTGGAGAGGAATTCCCAGACCTCGGTGGTGATGATGGCATAGATGCAGATGTTGCCGAAATGCTTCGCAAAGACAGCACTTGAGGAGACTTCACCGTGGATGAACGTGGAGACATGCGCTTGGCTTAGCTTTCCCGGACGCCATGTCATCACAAGTAATTGGGCGTGTATTTAACACGACAAGGCGAGGATGTAGAGAATATCAGCAGACTGTATTGTTCCCCGTAAGAAGCTGCTAGGAGCATCTTACCAACTGCACTGCAGGCAAAGAAAAGCCCACAATCTGTACAGTGGCACAATGCTGGCAACACCAGAATAGCTTCGATAATTTATATATGAAGCAAATGAATCAAGATATACCCACCTTTGTTTCAACTCCCGGAATGATGTCGGAGAAGCCAGATGTGAATTGCGACAATAGGGAAATACCTACTTGTGATGCTTCACGTCTCAATTACGGAGATGGGTGTAACGACAACAGGCGGGACCTGAATGTGTGTCACGCTCCCTTGCATGAGCCTAAGAATGTTTCAATGGACATTGACAAGGCTGAGTAGATCCGCTCTAGAGTCCTCGTTTCAATGAAATGATTGTGCGGCAAATGCGGCAGATATTGTTCATGTGAAAAATGATTCTCATTCCAAGGCGTGCCAAGTAAACGGAAGGTATTTCATAGTAAGTATCTCACCTCGCTCTTCCGACCTAGCAATCATTGAGATATTCTTTGAAGTCGGATTGAAATCGCAAAGAGGTAAGCAACAATACTTTCCCATCTTGCTTACACGCGATGGATAATAATTTTACCAGCCCAATCACGTCGTGACATGCGACGATGCCTCAAATCAATATTTCATGTGCCACTGCCAGAGACGAGAATAAGAATGGCGCCTCTTTTCTTGGACTCCATGTAGTAGGGCATGAATTCAAGCGACGTTCCCGCAAGATCATTGGCTCTCGCCTTACCATTATACTGTACGGTGCCAGCTTCGCCGCAACAAAATGGGGTGATGTTTACTTTTGTGGCGCGCTGTGGTAACATCGCGAGGTCGGGCTACCGTCTCTTGATAGGTTGCCGCATAGCAGCCCCCGTCGATATACAGGTTTGTCCCAAGTCGCGATGGCTTGCGGGATATAAATGTTGGTGCAACTCGACAGGCAGGCAGCCAAATAAGCAAAATATGGCTTACATGGAGGCCCAAGAGGGCTTGGACGGGCTCTCTCCTTGCCATATGGGAAAAAACGGGAAATTCCATCAAGAAATGTCTTGTCTGCAGAATGGCGGTTTTTGTCGACCCTGGACCGCCGGAATCGTCTATCGATTTGATGCAGGAGCGCAAGCGATAGTCCTCGGCATACTACTCCGCGCATATCAATATGGCCTCATCTTTATCTGCCCGCAGCGATAAGGCCAGGCGCGGAGCGAATGGGAATGTTCCATTTCCGATCAGTCATATGCTCAATAGCGCAGGGCTTGTTTTCAGAATCCCACGATAGCGTCCGATGAAATGCTTGCCAAAAGGAGTATGGCCGTGCCGTCTCTGTCTCGAAGCGATGGTTGGATGCAAGCCAGACAACAAAAACCTCCGAGTGGTGGTCTAGTCAGTATCAGTAATCTATTCTTTCTCTCCCCCCAAACCCACGTCTCCAAAAAACGACCGCCACGCTTCAACCCTCGCTCAGCTCTCCAATTGGGTGTGCGCCCCGTGTGGGAGAGCGTGACACTGGGCGAGGGAAGCAAGGAGAAACAGGTTTATGAATATCCCCCTTGTTGCGCATCGTTTTCTGGCATTCCGTGGCTTGCAGGATGCATCTTCAAAGCACATGGCATATTAGAAGAAGGGTCTCTGGCGATCTAGACCCGTCCCAAGCGAACTCCCGGCAAAGACACACACACATCCCATGCACTGCGAAACGGCCGTCCCCACAATCCCAGAGTGCTGGGACGAAGGGGGGGAAGGACGGGGGGGCGGCAAGTCGGAATTGGGAACAACTCAAAGGCAAAAAGGCTCGAGAGGTCTAGACTCTAGTCGTTGTAAGTCAGTGTAGCCGCCTCAGCCACAGCATGCTACCTTATAGTAAGAGAGCGAGTAAAAAGAGGGTTAAATGAGAGCTAGTATAGCTGACACTTGCCAACGGCGATGCCCGAGTTCCCATTCAACGCCTCGAGAGGGATCCGGCTCTCGCTAGTCCCTCGCCAGTATAGAAAGAAAAAGCATGCCCGCACGCGCGCACGATACGCACGCGAGGGCTGACCACAGAAATAATGCGGCTGAGCTATTGGCTGCTCTCAAGGCAAACAGAAATGTGTCTCTACAGATGGCGTTTCGCAGACGCATCGAGACGATTCAGACTAATATGAAAATGAGGGTGTTCACTACCTGGTCTCGACCAGACAGACGGAACAAAGGCTTGCATTGATGTTGCAGCTGGTGGTTCTTGTCAACCTGGAGGCCATCGTCTTTTGGGCGAGATCGAGATTTGGATCCAGATTGAGTCGGTTTCTCCAATCCCATCTCGACTCTTGATAGGCAGAGTCGATAGTGTAAGCAGGCGCAGTTCCAACGGGTTGTAGGATGGCAGACATCGTGGGCCGATAGACTTGTTGCCCTGTCATGCGGGCGCTCATATGGGCGTCTCTGGAGTACCGGCTGAATTCAAGGCAAGAAAACCTGCCATGCTATATTCCGTCAAGACTTTCCCGCGTGCATTGTTAGCAAGACGATACCCAATGTGCTACACGCAAAGCAAATAGACGAGATGAAGAGCCAGCCGAGTCAGCCCCAACCCGCGCCGCACTTTTGCTTCTCCAGGCAGACAATTCTCACTCGAGATGTTTCATCGGAATCCTCGGCATGGGGTATGCGTTATTGGTTTCGAGGTATGTTTTGATGCGGTCGATTATGCAGATGCGGAACATGCTCGGAGATGAGCCATTCACGAGCTTTCTTGCTGGTGTATTTGTGTATGCCAGCCAATATGTTCCATTTCTCGAGTAGATGCCAACGGCGGTTGCTTTTTATGGCAACGTCCGTCCATGCCTACCGTCGTCCTATGGTATAGTTTAGTGCAGAGCAGTAGAGAAAGAACCGCCTGCATTAAGCAATGGACAACTCGCGCTGGGAAGTTCCGATTGGACGGGACGGGGCCCATTCCATTTCTCTTGGCTTGGATCGGGATGCTACCCTGATCACCAGATCGTCAGGAGAAGAATGCGGGGAGGGAAATACTCCAAGAGTCCAAGCAAGGGGGGTTTGGAGCTATAGCCAGCCTGTCACGCAGCTGCTTCATACCCAACCAAGCTTACTTGCTCAGACTGATATTGCATGATCACTGGACCACTAATCTGACACGATGCAACTTGGTAACCGAGAAATCTTGCAGAAAATTGAATTTCAAGAGATTGATTCTTATCCCTAGCCGAGACAGTTTTGACTTCTGGCGCCAATCTCGTGAATATGAAAGGGCTGTGCTGTTGACTGTGGTAGTAGAATTGGAGATTTGACCAGCAAACTTGCATGAGATACTAAGGTAATCACCAGTAAAATGCTAGGTACCTGCCGCGCGGTATGAGAGAGAATTGAGCGCAAGCAATTAATAATCTCGACACCGGCAAGTCCCGCGGAGTCTGTGCATCCAGATTTTCTCCATTGCCATTGTTCTTGGAACCAGTCAAGTTAAAGTGTGACTTGACGACTCATTGTGGCGGCGTGTGACCTTGTGCATTTGGTAGCTGCGCAAGCTCGTCGTGTTCAAACATCGTGTATGTGGAAGCAATGGGGCAGTGGCATTTTCCAAAATGACAATGTTGGCTCGAGCACAAAATAAGGGTCTAAATGTTGCCTCATGATCCTTTCATCGTGCTACGGAACCATGACGAGGTTTGTTCTCTACTGGGAGAGAGGGGGAAAGGGGAGGGGGGATAGAAGATGGGATGAGAATAACGGAGAGTCGGTGATCGGCTCCGATATGTGCCAGTGCACCGAGCTCCAGCATCACCAGTCTTGAGTACTCGAACCCAAGGCATCCCAGTCTCTTGATGTACTGGTCTTTAGAGTTTCCTGCCCAACGTTTCAAATATGCATTAACGGGTGACCCAGAAAGTGCAGCTTTTAAGAATTTGAGGGTCTCACGCCAAGCTCAATCTTTTGGCAGGCTGTTGCGGCGTCATTCTTCTTGACAGAGTATCGCGCGGGCAACGCGGCCGCATTCTCGTGACCAGATGCTTGACATGAACATCCGAGTCATTCCGTGAAATCTATAAACAGTGATGCAAGTCGAGACACTTGGTGCAAGACAATGCAATCATCAAACAGAGGATAAGAGTGCATAAACCGAGATAATCCAAGCCACAAGATCTGGAATGCTTCAGCTCATCGAAGGTGGCAAGTATAGGCGTAATCTTGGGTTTCCTAGTGTCGCAGGTTTGTTTACTTGCAAACCCGGGACATTCCTCGTTATTTTGATCTTAAGATTATAGAGTGACGAAATAGAATGAATGCAAGAATTCCCAGCAGCATTGCAAGGTTTTTTTTTTCTTTCTTCTGCTTCTTCTTCTTTGCCCTGCTGGCTATACACCTACGTAAGTGTGTGGGTAATTTGACTCTATAGATAATGCTGCGCTCGGTCGACAGTGGGCCTCCATCGCAATTTCATTGGGAAATGTTGTAATCTGGAGTATGCAATGCTCATAACCAATGCGGCAACGTCATGGACAAAGAAACGCCCTCAACTTGATCTCCGGGACCGAAGACAGTCGATCGATGAAGAAAAGAATTGATCAACTATGCGCCCGTCCACACACCCGCCCGAACCTCCACCTTTTTTTTCGCATCCCACTAGCAAAAGGAAGCCAATTGTCGGCCTCGAGATCCCGGAAATGCCGACTTGAGTCAAGTTGCCGTTTTTGGCGGGTAGAGCTACAGTAGCTTTCGTTTTCTTTTCCTAATTGCCCACGACTAGCATCTAGTCTGGCAATCCGAGTCGAATAGCACGCAGAAGCCATGCATTGTCACGATTCGCTACCCGTCGCGAGCCACGTTGGTTCGAGGGCAAGACTGAAGACTTTTTTTTTTTTTTTTTTCTTTTCCTTTTCTTTCTTTTGCTCGAGCACATAGATGCATCTATACCTGGCTAACCTAGTAACCTTACTATACACCCTGGGCATGGGCAAAGTATATGTCAGAATTGCCGTTGCAAAAAGAACAGCTTCTCTTGCATGATTGGGTCAATGATTTCTGCCCCGTTGCCCGCCGTCTCTCGCCCAACGTACTACATTACTCTTGTGAATGGATTCCTTACAATGCCATGACTACCATCATGATCATCTCACCATAGACTAGAGGGTAGCAAGAATGGCTATGCCCGCGGGCCAAGGCTTCTGCCACAAAATGGTACGCGGTCGATGCCGCACCTGGGGCCACCATGGCCACCAGTGCTTATGCCTTTTTTTTTTTTTCTTCAGTTGAGATCCCATACGCGATGCACAGCATACATGCCTACTGGATAGTCTATGTTGGGCATGTATGGATGGGGCTTACCTGAATGGCGACGACGCCAATGATACCAGGGAACCCTCCCTTCTTTTGTCATGCAGGTTGAATTGAGTGGTGGTAGATAGGTAAATAGTGGTGGTAGGTACATCTTCATCGACTACTACTAGTAGTAGTGTACCAACATACTCACTAACTACAGACTTGCGAGGTGCGTCAAAGCGGTCCGCGGAGTCTACCACGTCCCGGCTGGACTACCTGACTACCTACCTATCCCCTCCCTGAACTAGGTGGTTTGCTAGGGTTTCCTTGCGTGTCCCCCCCTCGGCAGCCGCAGCAGGTCAAGTGGTCACGGTCAAATCGGCGTTCGCTTCTTGCTGGCCTCGGAGTTGCACTGCATGTACTACGTATATTGGTGATGCTAGGCTGGGCTTACTAGGTAGCTGGGTACGTACTCGTATACCTGGTCATCAAACCACGTTCCAGCTTGCCCGTCGCTATGGAACAGATTCAAACACCCTGGCCTGGCTGGCACTTCCACTGGTGGGGCCGAAAGCCTTTGGTGCTCGCTTCCCGATCTGGGCTGCAGGTCTGGACTGGGTAAGGTAGGTAGCTACCCTAAGCTGTGATTGTTGCTGGCTGATCACACTAGTATCATACCTAGCAGATGGAGGCCATAGTAGTAGAAGGGAAAAGCCCGCCCTACAAGATGAGACCCTCTCATATCTCTCATATCAGCCGGGATATTTTGCTGGCTTGTGATGACTCCAAGGGCCCCTTTCATGGGTCTTTCTTATATGAATTGTCTGCCTATTTCTGCTGACCAGACACTTGACATATATACACCGCCGCTTCCACGCCCTCAATCGACGTGGCACAGCTCTTTGGCCTCTTCTTGATCTCTTCTTGGTACTACACGACACGATCATCTTTCTTGGACTCTGTGCTAAGTAACCTTAGCGCCTGTCGTGTCTCTCATCTACTTTTTTTTTTCTGCGGGGCGTACCTAGTATACTATATACCCATAGTACAAATTACTTTCGAAAAGTCGGTACACTAATACCTTGCCACCGACCGACCGCGTACACACTTATATCATACCAAGAGCACCGCCGATTCTACAAACTTTCAGGATCCCAACCTTCTAGAAGAAGACCCCTGGCTCTGCTTTATCTTATATACCTTCATGTCCTAGCTCTTGGTTCCGTGACCTGCGAGCGATTAAAATCTTTATCCAAACAACTTACAACACACTTACACAACGACCCATCATGGAGCTCACATCACCCACACAAGATACCATGAGTCAAACCATGGCTCCCTCCTTCTCCAAGTTCAACGACCTTCCTCCAGAACTGCGCATCAAGATCTGGCAAACAGCAATGCCTGAAGCTCGGACTGTTGTAGTCAAGTCGCCCTATGCTCCCAAGGATGATGCTCCTCCGTCACTAGAAGAGGCATTGGTACACACCGACGGCCCCACCAAAACCTGGACATCAAATACCCCAATTCCAGCTCTACTGCATGTTAATGCCGAAGCACGGCACGAGGCCTCGAAGCGCTACCAGCTTGCCCTCAGTGTCGGACAACATCAGCCGCGAATCTATGTCGACTTTACACGAGACACAATTTTCCTTGGCAGCTCAGAGCTCAAGCCAGAGTGCTCATCACTATGGTCCAAGACCAACGACATGGAAAAGATTGAGAGACTTGCAGTCGTTCCCGAGGGAGCCTGGAGAGTATTGCGCTGGAAGAAGATCGACTTTGACAGGCTACAAAAGCTCACCTTTGTTCACGACACGGAAAAGCTGAAGCTGGGTCCTACAATGGAACTCGTGGAGGACAAGGCGCAGGACGAGGCAGAGGAGCTGGTGGAGCGCATTGAGCAGGCACAACGACTCCCAGAACCAGAAGCGACCGAGGCACCCCTTGAGAATGAGATGAAGCAGCGCATGCAGGCTGCGCGGGACGAACTGGAAACACTGATGATGGTTTTGCCAACGACATGGGAAAAGGAGCCAATTATTTCAACAGCAGTCTTTGCGTAAAAGTCGCAATCGCAATTGTTTTGAGGCGGCGAGCGAGATACGGAGAGGCGCGGGGCACTTTCAGTCACGACTTGTACGACCAATACCTCCTACCTAGACCTTTTTAGATGATACCCAATCGTTGATACCTACGATCAATGTTTTTCTATTCGAATTGGCAGTTTACAACACAAACAATGCAATCGCTTGATAAGCACTCCAATTGTTTCCCAAGGAACCAAAATGTCATCTCTTGATTTCCCGATTTATTATGGATACGTGATGTTTCCCCAACTTGTCTGCCTTTTGTTGGCCAAAAAGCAACACGTCTCCTCATACTCGGGTACCACCATCTCACTGTACCATCACATGGTGGGGTTTTTGCAACTGCTGTCTGTCCCCCAAGGTCATAAACTTTATGGTTTACCGTTGGCTACCCCTCCCCACTCTCCAACAACTACCCTTTTGCTACCCTGCATGTTGACGATCATTGCAGCTTGAGAGCTAGGTACGTACGTTCATATGGTACGGGATGACTGAATTGATCTTTTTTGATCGTGCGCCCCCCCAACATGCCGACACATGCACCAACCAGCCTTACCCTTGCCGAGGCATGGTAACCCAGCCTCAACCTGGTCTGTCTCCTGATTATGACGGTTATGATCGTCGAGCAAGCAAACGCAGGGTAAAGCAGATCTTCAACCCCAAAGTCCGTTCTTGGGGTTTGTGCAATATCAATATCTGTCTGTACAAGGCTCAACGTCGGCGCTCCCCACCATACAGGCACCGCCGATCACTTTTGAACTCCGAACCTCGAGTATCCACGTCGGTATTCGTCGAAAGTTGTACAAGTCTCTCCACTAAAAGAAAATCCCCCTCCCTTTGGAAGAAACAGGCGTGCGAATCACACACAGGTTGATCTTTGTCTAAGAGGCTTAGTCGACCATGGGGAAATTTACAGTTTAGTCCTCCTGGCTTGCAACACAAGTGCGAGTTAAGACGCGAAGCGGTCTCACTGTCGAGTGAAAACCACGTTCTTTCTACGACACCCCAGCGCTAGAACTCACTTTGCTGTAGCCAACACGCGTCTTCCGCCAGAGGGGCAAAAACGAACGGGCCCCCCAAAGGCAGCGGGCAACTCTATTTCCCCCAAGTCAAGCTTGCATCATGGTTTTTGGCCTTTGAACTGTTCTGCGCTACCCAGGGGCCACGAGACATCTGACGTCGAGCTACTCTAGGCCCTTTCCTGCCGGCAATCTCAGGTCTCAAGTGCCGAAGGCTGGCTAGATGGCGATTGCTTCAAACACGACGGCTTTTTGCATGGCTTTTCTTTCGTGGCTGAGCCTTTTATGGTAAGGAATACGTATGTGGTGAATTATATGTTGATCATAACCCCACGCCTCACTCCGATATCACGCAAGGCAAAGTGGTTTTCGTTACGATCTGCTGGTCTGGGATACCAAACGGGACAACAATGCATTGGGACCCCCCGGGGCCTGATGGGAAAAGACGCGAAAAGCGAAACACAAAGCTGTGCATAGGGACCTTGTGATACCTTTCCACCCAACTATAAAACTGCATTCCCGCAACGAAAGCCTCCGTCATCCCCCCGTCCCAAGCCGAAAAGTCACACCACAGGGCCGTAGGGGAAAACCTAGCCTTTTATTCGCCAAGCCAAACGACGCGCATGTCGATTAACGGTCCTGTTTCATGATATGAACTCTAGGTATCACATTGTCGGCGAGTCGGCCCCTGACTTGGCCGGTCCTCTGGATGTAGATAATACTATATAGTCGATTGTCGCCGTTGCTCCGTGCTCCACTTTACCTTGCTGCGGAGCACTACCTGCTTGTAAACGGCCGGAGCGGGTCTTTTACTTTAAACATTTAAAGTGTGGAATCATGAATTGACTTTCAAACGTTATACGGCATATCAGAGGCGCGCTCAATAATGGGTTGATGTCATTGTATATATCTCTGTCCAATCTCTTGTCCAAACGATCTCATATACGTAAGCAATCGTCGCAAGTACAAAGTCTTTTCTCGACGTCCAATTCGGCCCTTTTTTGGATTTACAGTCTGCTCTTGCCTTCGGGCGAGAGATATCCTCGTCCAATCTTGAGCATCTCGACGGCCTCTTGTACCATTTCCCGGACAATCTCCCCCGCGGGCTGGACCTTGGCGATGGAGCCGGCGACCTGACCCATGAGGTGCGGCGGGTCGACCTCGTTGCCCTGGTCGAAATCCCACTCAATGGGCACAATGCCCTGATCGCAGAGCTCCTTGACCCGGGACGGCTGTGCGTGCCACTTGGAAATGTACTCGTTGGTGCGCATACGCAAGGGGCGGCCCGAGATGACTAGGGTCCGCTCCGTCTCGTCAAAGTCGCAGGCCACGACGGCCTTTTTGTGCTCCTCGGAGCATCCGGCCTCGGCCGAGGCGACGAAGCGCGTACCGACCCAGACCCCGGCGGCACCCTGCATCAGACTCGAGGCGAGTCCGCGCCCGTTGGCGATGCCGCCCGCGGCCACGACGAGGGCCGGGCTGCCCTTGAGCGCCGCGGGGCGGTACCGCCGCGCCACGTCCACGACGGCCGGGATGAGCACCGAGTTGGCCACGTCGCCCGTGTGCCCGCCGCCCTCGCCGCCCTGGGCGCAGACGAAATCGACGCCGAGGTCCAGGGCCTTGACGGCGTGCTTGGGGTGGCCGACCATGTTCATGACGAGGATGCCGGCGGCGTGCAGGCGGTCAATGACGCCGCGGGGCGGGACCCCCACGGCGCTGATGAAGAGCTTGGCTCCGCTGTCAATGGTGATGTCAATGAGCTCGTCCAGCTTGCCCGAGGTGTAGTCGTGGTTGGTCTTGCGCGCGTTGCCGCCCACCTGCGGGAGCGCCAGGTCGATGCCAAAGGGGAGGTCCGGCGACCGAAGGAGCGTCTTCATCTCCCGTACAATTTCCCGCAGCTGGTCGGGCGTGTACATGAAGCCACCAATCACGCCTAGACCACCGGCGTTTGACACGGCTGCAGCGAGGGCGGCGCCAGAAGTTCGTGCCATTCCTGCCAGGACAATGGGGTGTTGGATCCCCAGGAGCGTTGTGAGAGGCGTTGTGATGGGGCCCGTGGGCGTCAGTGATGGGTTTGTGGACGTCATGTTGCCGGTAAGCCTCGGGTTACGACTTTAAATGTAGACCCTTTCTTTCTATTATGGCGTTGTGCTTCAAGACTTTCCGGTATAGAGTGCATGCAAACACTACCTGGATGGATCAAGTCGTTTATATTGCGTGATGAACCACTTGATCACTGCCGGGTGAGTGTAATTGATAAGGATTATTGAAATGTAAACAACAGTCAAGTAGAATAAAACAATCAGCTCACGGTGGCGGTCGACACCATGAAATAATAATGCCTTGACGTTGCGGAAAGGACCCTGTTGGCGTCCGCATAGCATCCCCAATATGGAGAACTCAAAGTGGGGCGTCCGGGGTAAAGTTGCGGGGGATTATAGGTGCCGAGGCATCTTAGCTTTCCCAAGCCCAAGTCAGCTACTCGAGCAATAACAGCTCACCGATGAGGGAGCCTGATGTGTTTGTAGCATAACAAGGCTTGCCGAGATAGAGCAGTTGGGTCGCAGATTGTTCCAATCTTGGCCCGATTATTACCTAGGTAGTCCGGCTGAACGCATCAAAGTCGATACATCTGAGGCTGGTCGCCGCTTCTGAGCTGGCACAGCTGAAAGCACAGGGAAGTTTTCCAATATCAAGCGACTTGATGGTATGTTAAACGCAAACGGTCTCTAGACAATGCTCAATTATACCTTACACCTGGCTCTGAATTAAATATGATCCAAAAAAACTCTACTTAAACCATGGGTATACAAAATCGTCACGAGCGTACATTTCGTTCATAATGCCAGACTATCCCTCAGTCTTGGTCTGTGCGGTTTAATCATCTAAAGTAAGGCAAGCGTGCTGGCACAAAGCCGTCATCTGTCGGCGAGCTCGAGGTTTGGACTTGAGCCGCCGACGACTGGGGGCTGTCTGCCCTCATTGTAGGCGAATGCAACGGGTTTTCTGCATTGTCCAGCACGGCCTGTCCAGGTACTGGAACATCTTCAACAGTGACCAATTCTGGCTTGGCCTCGGGGACGAATCCATAGTCCATACTGCTGCCGTGATCGAGCCCTCTTTCGGCAGCCAGTTGGGTTGCCGCGTGCCGCTTGCGCTGTATCTCCTCTTCTTCCTCACGCTGCATTTGCTCTTCCTGTTGCCGTAAAATTTCCAGTGACAACGTCGACGTTTCCATGGCGTCTTCTCCGTCGACCATGTGGTTTTGTACCAGTCGTAAAGAGGAAGGCCGGGACTGGGTGAGGGAGTCTAGTGTGGCTCTAGATAAACTCCTCGGTATGGTCTGGCTTTCTGTCCTTTTTCCTTTGCTGCTTCTCGTTCTGTTGCTCGATCTGTCGTCCACCCGATCCAAGGCAACGGCAAATTCATCATCAAGTGGTACAGCATCTTCTTCTCCCTCACCATCGCTGGGAAACAAGTCTCCTCTGGATCTGTAGGAGTCGCTGGTGTCCCCACTGCCTGCCGTACTGCTGCGTTTCCTATTCTGCAGCAACGGCGCTTGTGGGTGATAGTCGTCGCTCCGACTCAATAACGGCTCATTTTCTCCTTCATGGTGCCTCAAAGCACCAGGATGTTCTTGCAGATTTGCGGCGCTGGGCTTGTATCGCAAGGTTCCTCCAATCTTAAAGGGTAACCTTCCGAGAAATCCAATGGGCTGCGTGCTGGGGATAATGGTTGGATCCTCGACGGTTACACTAGATTTCCGCCGAGCCCCTCTTGTTCCATAACTCATGCCTCGTTTTCTTCCGTGCGGCTGTTCATGTACCTCACTGGGACCAGCTTTTTTGCTTCGCCCACTCCCTCCTATCAAACGGTCCCAGTCCTCGTTGCGCCATCCTCCAAAGCCACCTTGGCTGTCGTCGCCCAGAAGATCGTCATCCCAATCGTCATAAAAGTCAAAGCTGTACTCTGCCGCAGCTCGCTCGCCGGCCCTCTTCCGACGCGCCCGTTCTTCTTGATCGCCAAAGCAGGGTGCGGTGCAAGATTTAAACGCAGAGCCGAACGACGAAAGGCAGGGATTTATGTACTGATGACCAAAACTCCATATCCCGGCGGCGGCGTTTTCAGTAACGGCTTCTGTGGTGTGCGAAATCTGGTTCCAGCGCTGGCGCAGGCGAGGGTCTTCCAGGAAAGCCATTCTGGCGGCCAGCAAAGATATCGGGCACCAATGGCCGACAGACGATCTAGTATTGCCAGATCCAAGGCAGACACCGCAGAGAAACCCCCAAAGAATTGTAGTCGGAAGACTACCAGTCTAATCGCACCGCAAGGTCGCTCAAGATAATAATCGGTGCTGCGCGGTGCTCGCAATCGCTCGGCCGTCTGCAGGTCGTAAATCGCAACATGCGCCCGTCAGCGAAAAGGTCGTAATTTAGAAGAAGGCGCTCGCCGTGTCCATCAGATTTCCAAAGTGCCTGGCCACAATTATATGCAATGTCGACAGGCTGGCTGTCGCTGGCGATTGCTGACGGTTGCGCAAGAGTCAATCGGCTTGGTCAAACATTGGTGCAGTGTAGGTAATTTCCGCAACGGGGATCCTGACGAGAGTGGGAGGCATTCGGTGGTCTTTTTTGTTGCAGCTTTGGGGCCGGGCTCAAGGTGCCACCAAAGCTGTGCTTTCAGCGGTGACCTCAACTCAATTGGGAGGGGCTCGAGGGGGTCGCGCGGGTCGCGGAAGTGCCAGGGATTGGGTCCTGCTACATACCCTTTGAAGAGCTAAACCCGCCGACAGCCTTACCTTAATTCTCCCGGCATTTTTCTATCTTTTTCGCCAGTGGCTTGCGATGACCTCATTGGCGGGAATCGTCTAGTGTATTAAATATGGAAAGAACTTAAGGGATTCAATCTGTTTGTGGCGCTGCCATCTGATCACAAGCTATTGAGTTTTCAGACAAAGACTATGCTCCGAGGAGGCAAGCAATGCGCAATACTCGTTTTCTGATACTCGTCTCGAGCTATGCTCCTACAGCACAACTCGAGGTATGGTCAATGTCGAGTCGAGAGGAATAGGGTTGATGCGAAGCAACTTTATCATCTACGTGACAACCACCGCGGCTCCGTAGCATTGCACCTTGATTCTTGTCTTGTGTATCCCTTTATTCAATGGCCTATTTTGAAAACAATCCGAGTGACTTTTACGACATTGTGACCATACACGGCTCTTGAAAGTAGTACCTGCAGCTTGAGGACCTCGGGAGTGCACCTGAGCTGCAATTAAATGCACTTTCAAGGTTCTCTGCCAGGAACGCAAAAGTTGTAACTGACATTGAGCCTGGGCCGTTGCAGTACGTACAGTACTAGTTAGGCGGTCAGAGCCGAGCACTCAAGAGTCAAAAGAGTCTGGCCAGACTAAATGCGGCTTTCGAAAGTGGGGGCTTTTCTGCCAGCCCAGCGGCTGAATCGAGCTCGGATTGGTTGGTAGCTTCCGCATCCAGCTTGCTGCTACTGGAACTTCAATGGGAGAGTCCCGAGTCGCCTTGTAATCCCCTCCAAACTTCGACAACAAGAACAATAGAACCTGGCCTCATTCATGAAAATAGAGCCGCGACCATCTCCGAAAACACTCGACTCGGTCGCGACTGATAGATCAGAGTCATTGCGCGCTCTTGTTCCATCAGCGCGACGGTGATCACGGTTACACTGCGCGCTCGCGTCTGTTGGGTCGTCCGTTTGGCTCCATCACGAACCCCCAACCTCTGCAACCTACTACTGTCAACAACTAGCACCTCAGCCTCGACACCTCCGCACCGCGATTGCTTCCTTGCCGCGACGACTGCAAGTATCGAATCGCCAGCACCGACTCATGTTTGCGCCACGCTCTATCCATCAATGACCACGGGGATAGCTGTTCTGTAGTCTTGACCCGCAGCCTTGCTGCTGGTGTTGAGCTGAAGCTATGGCTACCAACAATCGTGAGTTCCACGCCTCTCTTTCAAGCCAACACGATGGCGACATCACTGGTACATCGTGAAACCCATCCTGCGACTCCCATCTACGATGCATTTGGCAGCACCGGAGCCACGTGCGAGCTGGCAGCAAGGCCAGTTGACCCAGTCGGAATCTGGAGTTTCATGTTTCATTTCGACTGAAGGTGCGCGTGACGCGCCAGCAATGGTCGTTGGCTATGGCTATTTAGGGATTGTAGCCATGGCTGCTCCGGAAGCTTGCAAGATCATCGCTTTTTCCCAGGGCTTTGATAGCAAGGGAATTGCTCTACTGGCCCGAGTCCATGAACTGCTACAGTGATCGACATGCAGATGACTTCAAAGGTATGACAAATATCCATGCTAAACTGACGTGTCTTCTTTACTATAGCTTTTGCTTCCGTTGGGCAGTCCCAGGCGCCCTTCAACCCATTTGCGAACATGACTGCGCCTGCCCAGAAGTCAGGAAGCAACATTTTTCAACAACCTGCAAGCAACTCGGTCACCCAGACTTCAGGAAGTAATCCATTTGCGGCCGCACAATCCAACAAGTCGAACCCTTTCCTGGGCAGCACGTCGAACGAGCCCAAACCATCATTCGGCTCTGCCCCTTCCGCCAACGGGAATGGTCAGGCAAAGACTGGCGGCTTCAAGCCACCTCCAGGCCCAAAACGTCCGAATGGGTCTGCTACGAACCCATCTAGTACTCAAGGAGCGCCATTTCGCAAAAATGACCACCATGGGCGGCAAGCCGAGCGGAAGACTCAGCCAAGGGGGCCACCTAGTGAATTTGCAAACAAGATCTTTAAGCAACTGGCGAAAGATGGTATCAAGGCGCCGGCATGGCCGAAAGATCCAAACGCACTGCGGCAAAAAGGCGCGATGGATGATCTTCGCCAAGCGCATCGTGCGTACCGAGAAAAGGCCCGAAAGTCGTTGATGAAGGCAAATCTCATTGACGACCCCGACCAACGGCGCCGCTTAGATGAAGCCTTGCCTTTCAAGGGCATATGCGAGGAGAAGTGCCCGGAGTGGGAGAAGATACAGCGCATCGTCGAGAGTGGCCTTTGGGGCCCCGAGGGCTACGATGAAAATGGAAGTCGGGTACCCGTCCCAGACAAGATGATCAAGCGTCTGGCACGCTCCGCTGCCGGCCAAGAAGCAGCGCTTCCGATGGATGTTCGATCACCAGCAGCCTGCAGGCGGACCTTGGATTATCTGATTGACGAGCTCATTGCGGTGGATGACCGATTGCCGACTTACCACCACTTTGCCTGGGATCGATCCCGGGCGATACGCATTGATTTGTCAATGCAAACACCCTCCATGTCACCAGACGAGATCAAGGATGAAATCTACTGCTTGGAAACCGTTGTACGATTCCATGCAACTTCCGCCCATCTGCTTGCGCGATCCTGGTTCACCTACAAGGACTACTCTGAGCAGCAAGAAGTTGAACAGCTCAGCAAGGCGTTGATGACTCTCAAGCAAAGATACAAGGACTGCGCCGACATGGGTATCGTATGCGATAACGAAGCCGAGTTTCTGTCTTACTACATTGTTTTCTTTGGCTGGACTTCATCATTGAAAGACACCGTCGAAAGTTGGGGCGATGAGCTGAATGCCACTGAAGCCATTCAGACAGCCCTGTGCATTATCGAGTCCATGCAAAACACAACCATGTCGCATGGCCCTCTAAAGCCAGAATCACCCACGGAAGTCGCCTTGAATGCTGCCTCGGTATTCTTCAGTATTGTGGCATCCCCCAACATCTCATATACCATGGCTTGCATAGCCGAGATTCACTTTGGTGTCATTCGTCAAGCAATGCTCAAGACGATTGTCAGATCGTATGCACGTCCAAGGGCCTCACCCAAAGACATCACTGCCGGATTCCTTCGGCAGAAACTTCGATTCGACACGGAAGACGACGCCGTAGCTTTCGTGGAGCAGCACAACCTTGAATTTAGGGAGGAAAATGGGGCGCGTTACCTCTTCATTGATCCCCAAACTCAGCTCAGCAGACCACGTGTGACCCAAGCATTTTCCCACGACATTGTCGAGCGCAAACGCAATGAGCGTCCTTTCACAGACGCCATCCACGAAACCATCTATGAGGACACTAGTGCAACCAAGTTGAACGCTGGTACTGATGATGACACTCTGTTCGTGGAGTCGCCGAAAGAATCAATGAACGCGGTCGACGATGTGGCGGCTGCTCAGTCGGACCTAGAGGACACAGATACCTCAACAGATCCCAATGCACAGAGCAACGGTTCGGCAAACCTATTTGGAGTGGCGCCAGCACAGTCTCAATCTCCCGCTTTTGGTACCTCACATGGGCCTTCCTTGTTCTCAAAGAATGGTTCGAATTTCGGGACAACATCTACACCGCCAAAGACGATCTTTGGTGAAGTAGGAACCAGCACAACCCCTCCAAACGCCAGTATGAGTCTTTTTGGCAAGGCCTCAGGAGCACCGGGGCTGGCAAGGACACCAGAGACTACAGATTCAGCAAAAAAAGTAACGTTTGGGGAGACGTCTGTGAAATACATAGAGTCTCGTGGCGATGCCGAGAAAAGCCCATCGGCAGGGTTATTCAACTTTCTCAACACGAACTCCAGCAATACAGCGCCACCAGTGACGACGCCACACACAAACGGTGCTTCTTGGTTTCCCACAAATGCTGCCAACCCTTCTGCACCAAAGAATGGAGGAGGCGAATCCATCTTTGCCGGGTCACAAGCACCGGTAGGTTCGGGCTTTAAATTTCCTGGCCCCAGCGAGCCTGCCAGCAAGGACTTGTTTGGAGGTACATCTCCATTTGGTGTGCAAACTCCGGCAGATACCATCGATACCTCCAGACATCAGCAAAACCCATCCATCTTTGCCACGAATTCGGATTCGCAGCCTACTACTAGTTCCAGCATCTTCAGCGCAAATCCTTTGGAATCGGCACCCCCGCCAGCCACCTCTGGTATGCAATCAAGTATCCCGGCCATAACCTCATCTCAAAACATGCCAACGACCACGTTCGGTGCACCTGGCATCACTGCGACTGCCGCACCAAAGCAGCCATCAAAGAAGCAGAGACTCGACAAGATCGCCGAGTGGTTTGTCTGTGCCGATCGTGGTTTACTGCATGATCTGGAAGAACACGTGGTGGAAGAACTCTTGCGAGACGTCTGGACGAAATTTGTCGAGATGGAAGAGGAGAGAAGAAAGAAGGAAGAGGATGAGAAGTCGTGGGAAGAAGCCCGGAAATTCCGAATTTACAGCTTATCAGTCAAGTATTTCTACCGTTGGGTGGAAATTTTCAGGAAACGTCGAGTGGTCAGTCGTATCAAGATGGAGAAGGAAAAATTCCGAAAGTGGAATGCGCCGGAGAATGTAGCGAAACGGGAGGCAGCCGAGCAGGATGCCAAGAAGAGGAAGCGCGAGGCAGTGATTGGATTGATACAAGAAAGAGCAAGAGAGCAGGCATCGAGGGAGAGCAGCTTGCGCCGCTCGACCGGATCGCAAGCCAGTGTGGAGGATGCGTTACTAGCAAGCGGCATCTTCAATGGGATGCGGGACCCCAAGGCAACAGCGCGACAGGTTGCCATGGACGAGGATTCGGACATGGGCAAGATGCTGTCCCCATCGGAAATGCTCTATAAACAAGAAACCAGACGGAGAGAGAAGCATGGCCTGCCACCTTTGAATCGGCTTCAGCAACCTCGAATTTACAAGGAAGGAAGCAAATCAGCCAAGCTTCGGGCCCAACTTTCCGGAAAAGACGCCATGTCAATATCAACGGGTTCTTTCCGAAACTCGACCCTCAGCTCGAGCTACAGGTCCAGTCAAGGTGTCAACAGCAGCAGGGTGTCCAAGACCAAGAAGAGCAGAGTATCAGATCCCTACTGGCGTCTCAAGGCCAATGGGATGGTGCAGATGCCAAATGGAGAGTATCTTCATGAATCGCTGGCTCTACCGATGCTTCGAGAGGGCAAACGATTCCGTGGCCTCGGAGATTACGGCTTGCCACCATCAGCATCAGCATCCCCTTGCGGATCCGCTGCCGCCGATGACGAGTTCTTTGAAGACAGACCATCTTTGATGCTGGGAGCGCTTGGAAGAAGCCGCGTCAGTCCATCTCCGTCGGTCGCATCTAATATATCGTCGAAACGGAAGCGGGCGTCTTATCACGCCGGCGATGCCGAGGATGAGGATCTTGCCGCGTACAGGAGTGAAGCATCGGCCGACGTTCGAAAGAGAGTCAGGAGCAATGGTTCAATCAGCAACGAACCTGATCTACTCGCTCAGATGCAAACACTGTTCAGTGATGTTCAGGCTGAACGCAAAAGGTTAGAGTCGAGGTAGAAGTGTGTTGGAATAAAAGAAGCAGGACAAATGTACATGGATCTCAAAGTCCCAAGACCACCACATGGTTGACAGGGCAGGACAGGCGTATATCAATCAATGGTCAGCATGGATTTGCATTGGGCGGCGTTTTGGTTACAGAAGATGGACATGGCATGGAGTCGAGGGAACAAACATCATCTGATACCCAGTGCAGATGACTATAGCAAGTTTCAATGCAAAATTCGAGACATTGTACTGGTCAATTTGAGTTGTAGTCACCATTCATTGTGAGAACATTTATATTATAGGAAGGAGGGAATTTTTTCTCCCTTCTTTTTCCCCCGGCAATTCAGGACAATATCTTCAAGGTTCTGCCAGTGCTTCCGGTCCGAGATCTGGAGCAAGTGCCCATCGGCCAATCTCAAGATACACTTAGTTGTGTGTGTTAGATGCAATGGTGCTTTGGTCTTGCGCCTTCATATCGCGTACTATTTCACAAGATTGTGAATACATATGTTGCCCGAGTCGCAAACGATGCTGGACAAAGAGTGTATGATGCTGGCTTGATGGTGACGATCTGCTTGTAACAAATGCTAACTTGACCGGCCACTGATTGTCCCTTGGAAATGTTTCAAGTCGTCACGAGAAACAGAAGCTGCCTTCAAGGGCCATCGTCGGTTGCCTGGTCGTCACTTCCTTTTCTTGTTGCCCAAGTGAACAGAACAGGGCTACTAATTGATGTCTCCCACCTTTTCTTCCGGTCCTTTTCCCATTCCCAAAAAACAACCTCTACTCTGAAATTGACATTTTCAACACCTGAAGCAGATTGAGCCCTCTCCAATTTTAAGCACAACACTGATGACATCGTCTTAACCCGAGACTCGTTCACTCAGTACACCCATCATGCCAAACAGGACAATTAGTTCAGTCGGCGGCGGTAACGATGGCGGCGGCGCTGGCGGCGCTGGCGACACCGGCACCTGGATCCCTCCCGAGTTGCGCAAATACATCCCAAACACTCCCGCCCGCCCATTCGACAAAGCTGTTTCCAAGCACCAGAGGCAGCAGCAGGAACAGCCCGAGTGGCAGTGTCCCAAGCCTGGATGCCGCTTGACTTTCCGCAGTGAGGCCGACCTGACAAAACATCAGAAGCTCATGAGCCATTGGCGATGCTTCGAGTGCCTCACCGACTTTCCCGATGAGGAGGCTCTTTCCACCCATTTCCAACTGGTAAGTGCTCAGATTTCATGATTTGTTCATCCTGCCTCATCGTAACTAAGCAAGCTTGTTTTATAGACCCACCGACAGACCCAAGACCTGAAGTGTCCGGGCTGTGCAGAGACCTTCACGGCTGCTTCGCACTTGGTTGGACACATTGAAAACAACCGGTGCCCTCGCATGTTCCCTTCCATGCTTCATGAGCGTCGACAGAAGCTGGCTACCTTCAACCATGGCCTACGTCAACTGAATCCCATGAGTCGAGGCTTTGGCCTGGGCGAGGGGATGTCGCACCTGAATCTGAATGAGAAACATCCTCCACAGCAGATGCCCGACGAAGCCACTTTGGCCTCTCAGGAGTCCTACACTCAACAGTATCCTGAGCTCGGCAAGGAACTGAAGGATTACCGCAATGGCTACCCTGCTGTACCGGACCTGTTGACTGGCGAGCCTCGCACGAAGCTGACCATCCCACCTGCTGTCAAGATCGAGAATCGGTGGGAGAAGGGCAAGGACCAAAAGCTCTTTCCTCAAGCTACTCCTGCCGTCCGCCCTTCGCCTCAGGAGCTCGAGGATCTCACGGCAGCTACTCCATCAACTCAAGACATCGATCCCAATGAGAGAGTCATCAATCCGGATGACGATCGTTTCAACCCTGCTGTCTTCTATCACGAAATTCTGCGCAAGTTTAACTGTGCCTATGCACCAAAGTGCAAGTACGTCTGCTTTTCTCTCCTCTTCCTGTCTCTACACCCCCTCTTCGTCCTCTTTATCTCTTTTTCTCTACTTTTCTTATTTCTTTCTCCGATTTTTTTTTTTCTGGATTTCCTCATTTGCTAATAGCTTTCTAGAGCTAAATTCCAGACATCCGGGGCCTTGATCGCCCATCTCAGATCGCAAGCTCACAGGTCTACCGTCGAATTCACGTGCCCCCGATGCCTACGCAAGTACAAGTCTATGGCCGCGGCCATGGCTCATGTTGAGAACGCCACGCGAGTCTGCAACATCCGCGAGACAGAAGACTTTCGCAAGTTTGTCAGTCACATTACAGGTGGCATGTTAGACGGACTGAACAGCTCGAGGGATCGTTTAACCGATGGAACACCGCGTTACATCATCCCGAAGGCATTCTACGATAGCCTCCCTCCCTCACACAAGAATGCGTAATGAGAAGGTGCTCATCTCGGACGTTATGACTTGGTTGGGTGTGATGAAAGCCTCAAGAAAACTGCCATCAGTGAATAGGCAAGAAGAATGTGTCGACGGACTTGTTTTGGTGTGATGGTTGATGGGTAATGGTTATGATTTATAAGACGCCTGCGACATGGGCCTTCCTCAGATACATTCCGTTTGACGGGTACAGAGCTGTTGATCCATAGTTTGTCAATAAGATGGGAACATTTTCACCATGCGTGCTTGGCTATCGTCAACTTGTGACGGAGGTCTTTTTTTGTGGACCGGTGAGTTGAGGGACGGGTCGCAGACTTCTGCTGGACTGCGAGTCAATTTTTGCAAATCTCTTTTGCCTGACTGTAGGTATCAATGAACAGAAATGAGTTGATGGATACATCATAGTGGCGGGCTCACGCTCAGACGTTGCCATTTCTCGACATGTTCAACCGCATCTAGAGGCAGCAATGCTGATCTCAAGATTGAAGTGGGCTGAGTCGGATTACCAGAATACAGAGTCATCATTGCGAGCAGGCGTAAGGTTCATCTCCAGACCTCATGGTTATGCGAAAGACAGTCCTACCTTTGCTGACCGTGGCAATCTTGTGTCAATTTGGCACCTGCGGTCAGGAGGAAGGAATAGCAGATATTACAGTGCCAGCTGAGTGGCATCATCGTCATCGTCATCAACGAGCAGGGTTAAAATCATCCATGATGTGAGGAAAAAAATTAAGGGTTTCTTTGCGAGGAAATGTGTCTTGCGTCAGGTCATCACCGCATCATGGAAGCGCGCACATGGGGCCCTCGTGATGATGGTTTTAAGCAAGGGCTTTTATTCAATCTTGACACACACATCGGAGTCGGCAGCAGCGTAGAAGAAATCATGTGCACGCTGTCGATGATTTGAGTTGGTGGTCGTTGCATAATTGAAGAAAGAAAAGAAGAAGAAGAGCTCGCGCCGTCTGAGAAAAAAATTTGGAGGCTTAAAGAGGGGACCCAGTCAAACGGCGCGCCCGCTTGCCCCACCTACAGCCGGAGCCAGCTATGGCCGGGCCGGGAAGGGGAAAAAAAAAATAAGACAGAGGTTGAGGCGACGACGTTGGAATTGGGTACCTAGGTACCCTACGCAGGTGGAGAGGCTTGCTTGTTCATGACCTTGAGCCTCGTGTCTATTTGGCTTCTTTGGACCTCTGCTTCTCAGTCACTCACAGAATTTCCGTGCTTCGGAATTAAGCAGACGCTAATGCTGCCTCTAAATTTTATGCAGGCGCGACTCTAGGTACAGAGTTATCCAGTCAAAGTATGTAATTGTAAACGAATTGGATGGACAGGCAGATTATATACGTGTGTAGGTAGGTACCTAATAAAAGACGACAGACATGCCACCTTTGGGGATCAATGCTGTGCATCAATCGGCAGCTTTCCATTGTGGGGCCAATGCAAGGAAACAATGAAGAATGAATGGCCCCGGGGGGAGAGAAAGAGAGAAAGACTGTTGACTGTAGCGCGTGCAAGGATGCAGATTCATCAGTCACCTCCAACTGCTAATAATGATAATGGTAGTAATGACACTTTACTGATACATTATATACCTGGGTAGGCCTGTCTGTGTTCTTGTGTGTCTGGCGGTGGCCATCCAAGCATCCGATCATCTTTCACCTGGCCTCATCATCAAGCTACTACCGACTACTATTATTACATACCAGACTACTGGTGTAATCCATGTACCCAAGCTTGTACGTAGGTAGTACTCTGTAGCTTCCCAAGCCTCTCTTAGGTACCACATAGCCCAAGGATGATGGAGCGAACCAACTGGGGCGCATATGCAAAACTGATCAAGCACCAGACTCCAGTCACCTCGCTTGTCTTTTGTGTCGTTCCGCACTGCCAAAATCACTAAACCTGCCTTCTGTTCTGCACCAAAGTCCCCAAACCGCTTCAGACGACACATTTTTTTCCCTTCCCTCCTCTCACCCGCCCACCTTCTTGAGACTCCCATACCCGTTAACAACAGTGCATACAAAGCATACATACTTCTTGATTCTTTTTTTTGAATTTGCATCGTCGTATCGAATTCCCCAAAGTCATCGCATAGACGTGCATCACGTATCTGCAATACCCGTAAACTTTCCAAAGAAAGCAAGGTCCAGCGCCATCCCAAAGCGATAATCACCCAACCCGCCGCCCTACCCTACATCCCTGACATCACCAACGCCTCCGACGACTCTGTTTGTGTGTGTGTGTGCTGCGCGTGCGAGTGCGTTTTTGTCTTGTATACCCCCGTGCCGACAGTTCAACAGTCCGACTTTCATCTCGCCACAGTCTCGACGAGGCAGAACTAGAGGCGTATCACACCTCTAATTTTTCTTTTCTCTCCGTGGCGCATTAAGTCGAACCACATTCAACACGTGAATTCCGACGAGAGGCACAAGAACTTTGGACAGATCGGACCGTTTACACGTGGGGGAAGAGAACTGAAGCAGAGAAGACGCAATCTCGATCCCCGCCTGGTCGCTCGTCCGGAAGAAAAAAAGAACCAAAACAAAAAAAAAAACACCTTTTCTCAATGGAGAACAAGAATACCATTTGGAGCCGCCGCCCCAAGTGAGTAGCCCGATGTGCCCTCTGCTGTCCTTGCCGCGCCCAAACCTTTGCCTGCTTCTTATCCCAAAATATGAACAATTCTCTGATATATAATTTCTGCAGCACTAGTAATTTGTCTCTATCAACGAACCAAGAGGGCTCTACCACCCAAGCAAGAGACTTCTCGTCTCTGTCCCGCCGCAATGGCGCCACATCGTCCCATGGCCGCGCGAACCCCTTCGCCGCAACGACACCGAGCGGTGGTTTAGCATCACCCATTGGCACCGGAGGCTCCAATGCTTTTGCCCTGGGCTCTGGAGGCGCCTTTGCATCCTTTGGATCGGCCAAGACCCCAAAGGCCACTGGCAACCCCTTCGATATGGCCATGGGAACTATTGGCAGCAGCGGCACCAAGACGCCCTCGGCAGAGAAGTCTGCAAAGGAAGCCTCCAGGTCCGCCGGTGATGACTCGATCGCATCAGACGCCCCGGCACTCCTCCAGCAAGGCGGAATTCACCTCCTGCCCGACAGCTGGGTCTTCTGGACTCGTCCCCCGATTGGCAAGGCACATGGCTACATTGCCTACGAGAAGACACTGCACCCCATGGCAAAGTGCTCGTCTGTCGAAGAGTTTTTTGCCATTTACAAGTGTCTCAAGCCTCCCTCCAAAGTCCCGTTGATGACCGACTACCACCTCTTCAGGAATGGCATTCGGCCAATATGGGAGGACAAGGAGAATAAGGAAGGCGGAAAGTGGGTGCTGCGTCTGAAGAAGGGTGTGGCTGACCGATACTGGGACGACATTCTCTTTGCCTGCATTGGCGGGCAGCTTTGCGACGATGGCTCTCAGATCAACGGCGTTGTGCTTAGTGTGCGCAATGGCGAAGACGTTATTTCTATCTGGACCGCCTCGACTGGAGGAAAGGTTCTCAAGATTAGGTACGCTATCTCTTTGGAGACTCTCCCCTTCCTCAATTTCCAGATGCTGACTTTGATTTCCACAGAGAGTCGATGAAGTCCATTCTCAAGTGCCCGCCAAACACACGCTTCGACTTCAAGAGTCACGATGAAAGTTTGACTCAGCGAGCCACCATTGACGAGCAGCGACGCGAACGTGCGGCGAACAACCATCACGGCGATAAACGCCACAACAACAACAATAATAACGACAACCACAACAACAACCGGCAGTCACACGAAGAGCAGAGAGCATAGTGGATCTTTACTGCTTAAAGGGACGGACCCGTGGTTGATGCATTTGGATCCCGGCCCGGTTTGGGACTTCTCGAGGAAACTTGATGAACGAGTCATGAGTTGAGGTACTTTCAACGAACAAGCAGCCGAGTCTGGCTGTAGCAAGCGGGCTTGGTTGCTTTGGCACACAAAAAGGTGCTCGTTGAACATGTGTGGATGACATTGCTCCAAAACATGAGCCATTTGTATTTTATGAGTGTAATACCATCAGTGGGTCATTCTCATAGCGATCGGTTTGGGATTTCAGCGAAAGGCGGATGATTGCTGGTCAGGTAACTGCTGGTTTGAAATGGGGACTACCATGGGCCCTGTGATGAGATCAGCTTTTCCAGCTTTGGCTTGTCCTCCAAGGAGATACTATAGCAGTGTTTTCGGGGACAGGCAATGGGCAAGAGCACATGAAAGAAGAGAGTTTCAGTTAGGGAACAAATTTCATTTGCGCAACGCTGGCTCTAGAAATGACTTCTTTCCCATCCCAATTGATGCCCGTGACTTGTCCGTATGCTGTCAGCTGATCCATTCCTACCTAAATAGACGGAGAACATTTGAAGGAAAGATGACCGGGAAACAAGAACAAAGATGATATATATATACAGTATCTGAATAATCTCATAATCATTTCTGCTCTTCCCGCCCATCTGCCCTCTTCCACACCACATTCGAATCCTAGATGATTTCAAGATAATGGCCATGGCTATGTACACACCAGTAGCAATAGCCATGAAGCACTGGGACATTGTACAAAACAGACCCGCCTTCCTTTTCCGACGTGGCCAGAGGGAACGATGCATCGGCTTTTATTCCAAGGGCGTGGATATCATCTCTAGTGGTTTTGCTCAATGGTGGCTATCCAGTATATACGTCAACTGCGACAGCATCCAGTCAACCAGTCTACAGCTTGGTTGATTGCATAGACTGACTTGAGTCATATGACACGTCGCCTTCGACATCTGACAACAGAGCATATCGATGAAAATCACGTTTAGCAAACACCATGATACTGTATGTAGCAATTTATACATGTTCATCATCATCATTCCTACCAGCACCTGCTCTATCGAGGTATTATGCATGTATGACATCAACTCCAAGAAAACGCCTTGCCCCCTGATCGATCATCAATGCCAGGACCGACCGTAACCTTTGACCCCCTTTTTCCCAAATGCCAACAGAACAAAGAATACTCTGACACCCATCGCAACTGAAATTTACAATGTGTAGCGACGTTCACGACACGAGAGCTCCCGCATGCTCTAGTCCTTATCCAGAGCATGCTCAGGGCGCAGGACCCAGACCTTGGCCGACTTCTTGGCGCCGGGAAGACTTGATCTCTCCGCCAAGAAGTCGAGCGTGGCCTTCACCTGGCCCTTGTTCACCGTCGGAAACTTCTTGGAAAGCATGTCTACTATGCCCACTTTCGTGAGGAAGTTATACTCCTTGTTGATGATTGCGCGCTTGAACTCTGGAAACATGGACTTGGGCATCAGAGTGCTCCAGTCGGGTTGATCCGACGCCGATGTAGCTGCTGGTGAAGAGCCGGGCAGAGGAGGAGGCGCCATGCCTGCTTGTGGGTTTTTGCCGGCTGTCTTTGTGAGCTTGGACTGTTGGGTGCTTGCAGGTCCCGGTGCAGATTTGGATTGCCAGTAATCTGTAGAGAACGGATCGATGGAATGGTGATGCTCAAGTGAGTCTGAAAACAACCATTAGCAATTGGAGTCATTCCGAAACAGGTAGAAACAGAATTCAGAATCAAAGGATGAGGTTTTAATGTAATCGGAGAACAAGGCGAGAAAGGTGCGGTTCGTCTGGAGGTACTTACCCAATATAAACTCCATCCTGTACTTGTAGACGGTCGGGCAAACCTCACCATCTGCATTATGGGCCAGTCTCGTCCGGTTCTCAAAACAAATACCCGTGCTGACAGGTTCGGTCTCAGTCAAGAACGCCGGGCGGGTGGCAGAAACATCTTCGGCATCATCCAAGAAATCGCCCATTTCTTCTTCGCCCTCTTCGCCCTCATCTTCAAGGTCATCCTCGTCCAGGTCTTCACCTTCCTCCTCCTCCCACTCAGCTTCCGAATCATACTCGTAGTTGAGAGAAAGAAGGCGTCCAGTAGGCCTTCTTGCCAGCTTTCCCAAGTGAACCTTGGGCGTCGACGTCACAGTTCCAACATACGCCGGGCGCACGTCCTCGAAGAAGGACAAGACCTTTACAGGGATGGACCTGAGCTGGTCCTGAGCATTGGTGAGCCGCAGCTGCTGCGACTCACTTTGGTGGCTTGGTACAGTGTCGCCAGACATTTCTGCCATTATCTTCTTCACGGCAATATGTTGCTTGCCTCGGGTCGTTGGCACGCCACTGAACTGAAATGTAGCGACTGGATCGAATGGCTTCGTTGCCACTTCGCCACGATCCCCGCGAATATGCTCATCCAGGATTCGAGACTTGGCGGCCATTGTCTCTTCATCCATCTGGAAAGGGTTTACCGCCAGCTTGACATCCGATTTGACGAAAAAGGGCTGGAACAACTTATCATAAGCCGATTTCTGAGGCTTGGCTTCCTTGGCTGATGGGCTTGCTGTGATGGGCATCACAATGGGCGCCCTCGGTCGAACGGGAGAGCCATCGACAGCCTTTTTCGATGGCTGCTGGTTGGGAGAGAGTTCTCCCAAAGCAGCCGGCTTGGCTTTCAAGAAGCCAAAGATGCTCGGCTGAGCACGTTTCTTCTTATCCTCCTCCTCCTTCTTCTTGCGGTCCTTTTCCTCCTTTTCGGCAACTTTTGCTGCTTTGGCGGCATCCTTTGCCTCTTTTTCCTTGGCCTTGACGGCCATTTCCTCCTCCTTCTTGGCCTTCTTGGCCGCACGCTCTCGTTCTTCTGTCTCCTTCTCCTCCGCCGTCTTCCGCTTCTTCTTGGCGGGGGGAGCTGCCGAGGGTGGCATTGCAGAAGTTGATTGTGGTGCTGTGCCGGTAGGCAGGGGCGCCATTGGTGACGTGGATGGGGTCAAGTCGTCCTGCATTGGTGACGGCGAGCTCCTGACTGAGGAGAGTTCTGAGTCAACTGACGGGGCAGGGCTGCCACTCCTGGCTTTGTTGGCGTCGTGCTTTGTAATGGACACCAGAGGAATATCTGCAGAAGACATGTCAGAAAACAGGCATGGACACAAGAGGCATGCTCATTTGAGTAACTCACCTTGAAGTGCACCGTTTATGCCCGAGGCATCTTCAGCCTTGATTTCTAAATGATTCTCGACCGAGGTATCCTCGACCTTGAAGGTAGCTTCTGTGAATTGATCGTGGCTTCTCTTTCTCGAGGATAGTTCTGATTCCTGAATATTGGGGGACATCTCATGCAAAGGCATTGGAATGTCTTGTGATGAGCTCCAAGCTCTGTGCGAGGTCGCCGCCTTGTGCTTGTGGGAGCTCCCAAGAATTGTGCAGAGTGTATGTGTGTGCAATGGGAGGAATTGCAGGGGAAAAAAGAAAAAAAGACAAAAGTTGATGAAAACCGGACCAAAGCTGCAAACAGCGGCGACAGTCAAGATGCTGGTGATGATTCCCGCCTTTCTGTACGGTGCAATGCAATGGAATGGGTGTAGCAGTGGTCGGTCACGTTTGTGGGACAAGAGGGACCTTGAGAAACGACGAGAAACGCGATTTCCACGCGTCGACGAGGAAAAGGGTCGCGTTTAGGCCAAAGTGGCCCGTGCTTTGGTTGGGGGGCCCATTAAGTGATTAGGGGTCTCGCGCGACGTGCCAAGACAATATGAGGTCACACTAGCCTAGCGACAAGCTGTATTTGTACCCATGTTTAGGACAACCCATGTGGTAGTGCATAGTAACAGTATCTCGTTTCAACAGCATTCATGATAAGCGTACTCAAATTCAACGTTTTGAGCGAATTATCAAGAATTCTCTGTGCAAGGGATTTGAAATAAAAACACTTTTATGCCAACACATACACTAGGTAGTTTTGTGGCAGTTGATACGTATGAGTGCATGGACCAGTAGTACTAGTTGTCATACAGCTACTTGAACCTTCTGTCCCACATGTGTAGACCCATAATTATCCTTTGTCTGATTATACGACTCCAAACAGCTTGCCATGATAGCAGTAGGAGCGCCTTCCATAAGCGTTTGCGTACACGACTCTCGCAAACAACCAGACACAAGCCGAGCAGTGTTCCTGCCTCAGGCTGAATTGATGCCGTTGCTGCCTAGCCAACATTCTGCCAACTTTCACCGCTGTGGTTGCCTGTTCCAGCCTCTATAAAAAGCTGCACATCCCCTCAGCTTTCTTGACCTTTTCTTCCTCCTTTCTTTTCTTCATACTTACCTTTTTGAGAGACTCTCATGATCAAGCATATGAGGTCTTAGATGGTTGGAATCTGCATTGCACAGCGTGGTGTTCTACCTTCTCTACTATCCTTCGGGGTCGTAGTCGGAGTAATTTTTGTTTTCACACTGTCTTTTTCGTTGTGCACTGCGCCTTGTCGCGCGGTCATGAAGAAGAAGTAGATTCCCTGACTTTACATACCCTATTTGATCCTGCAAGCGCAAGGGATTAAAAGTTACCCGTGCTAGGAAATCATTTTGCTCTCCTGAATGGTCTCATTGACGTATGATCGCTGGATTTTGAGCATGTATAATTGTTGAGTCATTGTTGAGTTTTGATCAAAATATCGGAAAATTTGAGAGACCTTGGATTTCACGTTCATAGGCTCAACTGCATTAGCCTCACTTACAATTACTATACCATACATCAGGAACCCTGCCTCTATTTACCCATGCAAAGAATGCTCATACTTCTGTAATGACTCAATGATACGATCAGTGCGACCCTGGTTTATTACAGAGTACCACACGTCACCGACAAGAGCGTGCGCTGGCTCAGCTTGAGAATTCCATAGTAGTGTTGTATACGCATCGTCGTCATACCAAAATACGGCCATGTCATTCATTTCGAAACGGGTGTCTGCTGCCATGTGGTCAGGACCGATGCCTACTCCAAATATTCCCCTGACGCCACTATCCCCTTTGAATGAAAACAGTCGTCTCCCTCTAAAAACTGAGCAATAAAATAAACAGAATTCCGAGCCAGTATCAACGTCGGTGTTGCCCAAACTCAGACGATACAAGTTCCGAGCAGAGGCGGGCGCGTGTAGTTTCATGTTTCCGGAAACAGAGCCTGGTGCCATGCTTTTGAGCCAGTGGAGTGAAATGTGTGCCAGGAACAAACACCAAGCGCTGTCTCGATGTATATGATCTGCTCTGTTGTAAAGTGGTGAGTCATGGAGATCAAAGTACTGATTCAGGCGTCTTGTAGAATTAGGTAACTCCCTTGAGAAATCGTTTGTACAACTCTGAAAACTGATCCGCAAAATTTGCAAATAGTTCTTGATCTCGAGCATGTCCATATGCTTAGGGAATGGTTCAAAAACCGAGGTGACCAAGCCCATAAGTCTACCGTTCATCAGATGCTCGAGTCGACCACTAAACAGCGCTCTCGCAAGAAGGTTACGGTGAATCTCTCCGTCCCGTTCTTTAAAAACCTTAAAGAATGCTACTCTTTTCTGAGGCAAGCGCCAATCAGGAACCCAGGCCGGAATTCCATCTCGATGAATGCCGTCACAACGCTCCAGTACGGCTATCATGATCTCCTTCAACCTCGGGTCATCGCTGTTGCGGATCCAACTTTTATCGGGATTGAGACCGAGCATTTGCTTGACGACCGATTTGTAAAGGCTTCCGACCGGCTGGTCATAGTCTATCACGAGCGATATCTTGAGTGGTCGGGCCTCGTCCAAATTCTTGACAACTGAGCAATCTGATGCCAAATTGCAGAGTGCAAATACTCTGTCATGATCATCCGCACAACCAGAGTCGTGGAACGAATTCAAAAGATCAAAAAGCCGCAGGCCCTTTTCCTGGCTCGAGTCGAAAACCCACGTCTTCCAAAGTTGCGAAATGGCCAACAATGATGCAAGTGCTGTGTCGATGGTTGTGCTGCTTCGGGGTTTCATGTGTCGTAAAAGTCCATTCATCACACGCAAAAGGTGCAGAAACGTAACTTCCTCGGAGCCGCAGACCATGAGAACATCGGATGCCAACGTAACCTCCTGTATAATCCATCGGCGACTGAACCAAGGGAGTTGTACCAGATCCAAGAAGGACCTTTCCAGGTTCAACATGTGGGCATCAATCTCCGTGTCGCTCGTGCTTCTGAACCGCACGGCCTTCTTGATATCTGCAAGAGAGCGCTGCCCCTCGGACCAACACCCCAGCCAAACAAGCACACAGGAGGCACCCGAGAAGATTTGCGCCATGGCCGGGATTTGTTTGGCTTTATCGGAGTCGTCTCGCTGGTCGATGCAGATAGCATCTGCCCAGATGCGGCGTGCTCGGTCTTGCCGTCGAAATCGTTGCAAGGCATCCCGTAGATTGGCGGTGATCTTGATGACGCTGGATTGGCCACCGCCGTCGTCTCCAAGCACGTAAAGGCATTCTGAAAGGACTTGTCCGCCCCACGTGTAAGAGATTGCCTCGTACTCTGTCAGGTCCTTGTTCGATAGGCAAAGTTCTGCAATACGACATTGCAGCGGAAACGACGCATCAGGTGCCGGTTGCAACTCAATGATGCGCGTTTCCGCTTCTGCAGAGAGTGGTTGATAAGCGAAAGTGATTTCTTCGGGCATAGTTGTTGACAGCTTCAATTATAAAGATACAATGGTGTTGTGTTCAGGATCACCATCTTTGCTGGCGAAAGAAGATATCGTCTCATGATCAGGCTGTGCAAATCACGTGCACGATGCCGCACGATGCAGCTCCTCGCCCGAGGCAGTGTAGGCAATGAACAAATCAGAAGAGCAAACGAGTGTCTACATTCGAACCAATGATTGTTGCCGTCTAGGAGTCGGGTCTCAGTCCGTAGCACAGACAATCTTGCTGCCTGTTGACTATGGCAAGATGGCCAAGTCAAAGCCTCCCCAAGCATGTATTATAGTATAAAATCACTTGTGCAGCAGGTTTCGTGCAAATTCTAGCAGCTCACCTCTTCATCGACAAGTCATGGAATGCAGTATGAACATTCGGATGTCAAGCTAATCAAGTTACACGGGCTATCAAGCTCCAGTGAGTAGCTGGAGAGTAGAGGGGGGGAACAACATACAACACCAAGTATTCCCCAGCTGTCACCGATCTGAGTACTAATCCGGCAGCCTGGATACTCAATTTGGTGTCCTGAATAGAGCTGGCTGCTGAACGTCAAGCGCTGGTGTCCCGCCCGGGATACAGTATTGTATTCGCGCACCCTTGATCAGTCGTCAAGCATTGCGTTCATGGTCCGAAAGTTGGGGAAGAACGCCTTTGGATCTTTTCTTCTCATTGAAGACAGAGCGCCTCAATGGTAAGCCATAAATCTTGCTTAGTTGAGTGCCTTGCCGCCCGCTAGCGCTGCATCACGGCAGCTGGATGGCGGCTTATCGTGGATATGTACCGTATTTGAGTCGATAGTGGCTGGGTTCTGTGGCCAGTACCGAGTGCGGCCAGCGCAAACCTTCGAGCCGTATTTCGCGATTGTTTCTGTCGCACTAGTACAGACTATGCAGTACCGCTCCTACAACATTGACGGCAAAGACAAACTTGTAGCATGACTGAGGAACATATGCAAGCATGACTTGGTGGATGCGGTGAAGATAAAGTGGTAACAGAGATTTCAATGCTGCCAAAATGCGCGTGATTCAATCAATACACAATTTAGATGAGTAGGTATGTATGAAATGATAATTCAGTACGAACGCCATACGCCAGCTCAGTGGCTGAGAAAGTGCATGGAATAATTGCTTTGCTCAACGCATTCATTGTCCTCACAACATCGTTGGTCGTGTGTTTTACCGTTCGTACTCTCATCAAGCCTTTCAGCTCCTTTGTCTCGGGTCTTTATTGCGATGTTCTTCAAACCAATTTCCTGGCTCTATAATTAGCCCCTATGCTATTATAATAGGGAACCGATGTGTTCAATGATACCTGCCGAATGCTGCCCCGTGAGATGCCACTGGCCGGTTGGAAGGAGAGTCCATTTACCCCTATTCATGTCCGAACTGTCATCCATGTATTCAGTGACTGGGGAAGCCGGTGCTGCTGTTACGGGTGACTTCTGTGAATGATCGTGATGCCCTGGGTTGCCGTGATGCGCTAGATTGTCGTGGCTACTTTGTCTCGGGTCTTCATTTTGATGTTCTTCAAACCAATTTCGAGTACAATGGCGCAAATATAATCGAAACCAATATACTCTCACTCTATAATGTTGAAGGGGACAGATGGCTGCAACAAAGTATTTCTGGCGAAGCGCCTCTGCGCAGAGATCGAGCTTGTATTACAAGTGCTCGCAGTCGGAATGGATCAGTGGACATGTAAGTTTGTACCGGTCTATTGTTCCATTAAGATGGTATTGGATGAATCCTGACCTTGTGTAGTTATATGTACGGTGGCCTCAAGTACAACAAAGGCTCATCTCTAGGAAGTGACGTGCACGAAGACGTATGGATACTTTCCGTTCCGGCCTTCGCCTGGTTCAAGCTCGACGTGAATGGTACTAAACGCGCATGGAATGAGTGCGTGATTGTTGGTAGCCAGCTGCTGTCCATCGGCGGCATGGGGAAAACTTTGAGCTATCGTCAACGTGACGAATGGCGGCAAGGTAAGAAGCAAGATTAGAAAAACTGCCGTTGCTAGCGAGGGGATGCGAGAGGAAATAGAAAAGAAATAAGTGGTATTATGCAGAGCTCAATGGTCGCCCTGGAGTATTTCAGCTGCCGAGTGAAGGTAGTGAAAGGCCTGCCGAGCTTGCGCAGGATTGACTGTTCAGACTATCGCGACCGACCCCCGGCAACGCTCGCCTGGAGTACGAGTCACGAGTTCCTCATGGGGTTTCGAGCAGTTGCATCACCGAGGCCAGTGATGATCCGAGAGCCGAAACGTATGTGCAGCAGCCAAGGAGCGCTGCCATTCGAGATGGGCAAGAGTGACGGACCCATGGAATGTCTTGTCAAGATCTTTGTTCATCAAGTCAGCGCAGGCGACTATCTACAGGCAGTGAATCAAGCTGAGTGCACAAATTGAAGCGGGCGCCGAGAGTTCAGGTTCACGCCAGGACTAGCGGCGGTGCAAGACGTGATTCCGCCGAGAAGCGCCAACACGATCTCCCCGCCAAACTCGAGCCCGCCATCAATGGAGCTATTCATATATCTCAGAGCCGGAACCATTTTCTACCACGGCTCTCTTTGGGCAACTTCTCGTCTGGGTCCACAGCGAATATGCCAAAACGACTGACTCCATTCTCGTTCTCGTTCCCGCTCATCAGTCCTTCGACATCGGGCATGTTCCCCCACCCCATCCAGAATTTTCTTCTGCTCAGCGACTTTTTGATTTCATCGGTGCTCATTGACTGGCAATCTGCTGGCAGTAACTCTAACACGTTGCCGCCCGCCAGCAGCGCCACCATGTTGGCGATTGTCGTCGGGCTGCGGTTCGGCAGCACATTGGCCTTTGGAATAAACACCCAGCTCAGAATCTGCAAGGAGAGAGCCACGAGCAGCAGCGCCTCGAGGATGCGCGTTGATGTGGTGTCCTGTACGACACGCACGTTAGAGTCAGTCAGAGTAGCTGCATATGAGCGTGCATCGTTGCCATCTTGAACATTTGGTGGTGGGTCTGTGAGTGTCGCATTTGTCATATCGGCAGGATTTCGATTGGCATTGAGCATCTGTGTCCAGATTATACCGTCCTGAAATCGAATAGCCTCTGCGACAATGTCATTCTTGGTCGGATCCCCTAGCATGGACACGGGTATGGCCCATTGAGAGGTTGTGAGAAGTGAGAAGAAGGGGTCAAGCGAGTCATTTGTGCTTGAGATCATGTGGAGGAGGTGTCCATAAGTTCCGACGAAGGTGGACCATCCAAAGGAAGCCGATGAATTCCTCCTAGTCTCCTTGAGAGGCGTAGGTGGTCGTTGCGTGTCAATGATCAGATCAGTGCTGACAAAGGAAGTGTTGACATCTACAACCTCGTAGGATTTGTTGCATCCCAAGCCTGATGTATGTAAAAGTTGTGGGTTTTGGGGGTGGGACTGCGATAAATATCCCCAGATGAAGACGAAGTCGCTACAACTCCCCATTGGATAGCTTGGAGATCCTACACCAAAATAGGACATATTTGATAGTATATTCACGAAACCTCTGTCTGGTTCAAAAAAATTCAAGTCGCATATCTCGTCAGTGATGTTAATGGAAAAGTAGTCGACTGAGTTAATCAATTGCCTTGTGGAGTTCATCTGAGCTGAGTCGTACTGACGACAAACCAGGCTCTGTTGTATTGCTGGAACGACCGCGTTGAAAAGTAGAGTCGATAAGTTCGACACCTCGCTACCCGCCGTCTGCGTTTCTGGTACGTAGTGCGGGAATGCCAGACCCTCGTAGGTAAATTTTGGATACGATTGGTTGCCCACCAGAATCATAGACGCTGTCTGAACACCATTCTTGAAACTGGTGTCGTTGGTCTTATCCCATTGCGATTCTACAAGCATGTGTGGAAAGGAGTCTGTCGCTCGCAGTGTCGTAGGAGATTCCGATTGGATCGAAATTGCCTGATAGAGCGACGCCGAAATTATGGTGAAGAACGATGCGACAAGAACTGTCGCAGTCGTAGCCAGGGCTCCGAGATGCCGCAGCCTGCTTTCGTGGTAAATCGCATGGGGTACTGACATGTCGAGGAAGTCGAGCACCATGAAGACATCGGTTCTCACCAAATTTCTGAGCATGGTATAAGGGACCACAGCTCTGACCGTCGAGTCGATGGAAGAGAAAACCATGGATATAGTCCCGAATAACAAGCCAGGCAATAGAGTCCACAGGTAGTGCATATATATCTCATCGCTCACATCTCCAAGGCCACGTCCATGGTTGGACTTTTTCAGTACTAATTCTAAAGCAATAATGATTGCGACTAGAGTCAGACACAAAGCGAGGCGTGATGCATGATGGAGAGCCCACGGATAAGGATGTACGGATATACTTTGCTGAACTTTCGAATTATCGTCTGTGGTAGGTGTCGAAGTGTCCAAGATTGCAAATTGAGGACGATCCGTTTCAGTCGTTTTGGTCGCCTCTGATTGGAAGTTCATCCTTTGTAATGCGCGATGCAAGGCCTTTTTGTCAGCGTCCCCGTGGCCCTGTAGCGTAGTGGAAAGGTGATCGCTATGAGACATAATGGCTGCCATTCCAGGGAAAGTGCTAGGGTTGCAAGGCAAGACTCCATGACCCGGTATTGTGAGCATAATGACAAATACAAGGACGAAAGACGTCGCAGCCAACCCTGCCATCCAATGAACGGCCCAATCTTGTACAACAAGACGGTTTTCGTTGATAATGCCTTTGGCGAAGGCATCCATAGGCGTAGTCTCCATCAGGGACGTTCGTGCAATAATGGCACCAAATTGCTGATAGTAATCCGAAGCAATTTTCTCGAGCATATTGGTGTCGCTCAAGAGTGACACAGTGACGCTGGGGTCGAGCTGACTACGATAGATGGATTCCGTATATGTGTCCACGCTGATTTGCAATTGTCCTACTTCCACATATGGGTCGGATTCTCCAAAGACGATCTGGTTCTGATATGCGTTGAGATGTCCTTGCATAATGCTCCAGGCACTGACGTGGCTAAGTGTACGACTCCAATCGCCTGAAGAAGGGGTAACGCTTTCGATATGGCTAGCATTTTGGACAAGGTCGACGTGGATGATTTTGTACGAAGGTGAGCACAGTACTTGGGTAGAGCTGTCCAAGTCCATGTCAGTCATATGACCAAGTAATACCACCACACGTTTTCCGCTATCATCAGATGTTCCGTCACATTGTCCGTGCAGAAAACGACCAAAAAACCTTGGGGGCCCGGTACCGTTTGCCATAGGCGGTGACGGTCCCTGGAATTCGACGTTCATAACACAGCTGGGGGATCTGATTGTAATATTCAATGTGGTTCTACCCCAGTCTCTCCCAACCATGAAGAAACCGGCGTTTTCCACTGTCAGGTTGGCGGGTTCACAAGTAAGGGAATTTGTCAATCCCTCTACCGTGATCTGGATCTGGCCTGCATCAGACTTGACTGACTGGAAAGCAAATTCTTTGGACATCCCAGAAGGATATGTCAGATTCCCTGCTAGCGAGTATTCCATAACGTAGTATGGAAGAGAATTTGTGTCCAGCAGCTGCGTATTGTTGTCCAAGAACTGGCTTTGAACAACCACTGGAAGAGAGTCTGTTTTGATTTGCATGGCTGAAAGAGTGATCAAGCCAGTGGAGAGAACGATCAGAAGTTTGATCAAGAGGGAGACAATAGTGCTTGCTGCAACAACAAAGTCTCTGTTAGCGAGAGACGTATATATGGTCCAAAGTTGAAGCTGGGAAATGTAGTCGAGAAGAAGTGACCTGTCGACTTGAGTAGGCTGCTTTGCCATTCGAATCCATGGTGCCATCAATTTGCTCTGATATTCGACTCGACTGAATGCGGCGGCTATGATTGTAAAGAAAGCAGTTGGGCCATAAGTCCAGGCGTAGTGTTGACTATAGTGTCCCGTCGCAATGCCATTATCTTTGTGAGATGCGACAAGCAATAGTTCTAGTGCCAAGACTACCATAGCAAAGGTAAAGCAAAAGCCGCCCATGACTCGGCGCCGAAGATAAGATGGCCGCCATTTCAAGTCGGGAGAAATGGGAGCGGGTACGTCTCTTCTGGTGCTGGACGAGTCAACTGACAAACTTGGAGGTTCTTCATGTTGGACTGATTCGTAGTGTTGTGTTTTCATGTTGAACTCCCAGAGTATAGGAGAAGATTCATCGAAGACACCCGGAGTAACCACTGTAGTCTGTCTCGCCGCTGCTACTCTTTGGAACGAGCGAGAATGGTGGTGCAGGCGGACGATCGTCGGGTGTATAGTTGACACAATGTTACGACAGTAATTTGACAGAGGATTACTTGTATTTGAGATTTTGAGACGCAGCGGCTTCGGACAAAGAATATCCTTCTCGCGATGAAGTGATTGAGTAGAAACTCAAGGGAAAGGGGACCTGTGAAAGGAGATGTACATTGCAGCACTACTGCGTCCAAGATGGTGTCAGTAAATGTGTGCCGACAGCCTTTTGGGGCTGAAGGAGGCGCAATCAGCAGTTGCTGTTGTGGTACGTACATACACAGGCGGATGGTTATCATGTTACAGCACTATTTTTAGGGGGAACTGCGCCAACTTTTTGTGCACCTGTCAGCTTCGATTTTCGTCAGAGGTTACACGACCGCGCAGATTGAGTCATCATGGGCCGAAAGTGCCCAGGAAGTAGAACAGCACAGTTATATTCTCCTGGGCCACATGCACATTGGGTCTGGATTGCTAAATAAGATCTAATCCCTGGTGGCAAAAAGTTATGCTATTACCAAGAATTATCTCCAGATTTCACCCAATTTCACCCAGTTTTCACTCCAGAAATTTGCGAAAAACGGGAGACTTATTGGTAGAATTCGACACTAGCAAAAAACATCCTGGCGGACTGTATTTACAGGGAAGGAGGGCCATTGCCACCAAGATATTTTAAGGTGATTGCGTAACTTTCTTCCGCGCCCCTTCTTTTGTCATCTATAAGGTTTTGCAAATGCCTTACGGCCTCGATCTCACCTTATGCTTTACGTCTATGGCCGCGTGCCACTGCACTGATTACACGATTCCGCGCAATATAATCTTCTCCAAAAGAGTAAAGATAAATTTTGCAAGCCCTTCCTCGTTGCCACGGTTAAGTAGATAACTATAGAAAGGATAGCGCGCTTATACGTCTTGAATGGTTCAGTTAAGCTGCCAAAGGAGGGATCAAATTGCTATATAGCCATCTTGAATATCCGAGCAGGCTGATCTAAGGTAGGTGCTATGTATACCAGTGTAGCATAAGCATGAGCCGATACTTCCAAAATTGATAGCATGCTCGGCTTTATAGAAAGCGCTTTCTCCTTGATTCTTGGTAGTAGCTACAGAATTCAGACGGTAGATACCTACCTCATTCTCTGAGTGCTATAAGTAGCTGCAGGCTTTCAATTAAAATAATCCACCATTTCCGTGCCACTCATTCAACAACCTTGAAGTATCAACATCTCTTTCATTTCGTGGTCCATCTCCACGACGCTTCAACAGCATCATTATTATTTCTCCCAGTCAACACAGACATTTTCTTTCTCGGTCTTATTATACATCAATTCAACCAGATTGCTGCCGATTAGTTACCTAGAGCCACTTGGCCCAACCCCAAGACTACAATCCTAATCTCAGACTGCTATACTTGGCTCAGCTCTACCCTTCCGGGTGCTTTCGGAAGCCAGACCCTTAGGTCAATCATCATTGATCATTACCCATCGCCCTTGATCTCTTGTTCAAAACGAAATAGCATCAAGGTGGGTTCGGATAAAAAACGCTGCTACTAAGAGGACGATAAGGGTGCCCCCGAGCCCTCTATAAGGAAATACGCACCTTGTTACGATCTGATAGCACCCATAAGACGTTAGCTTAGGCTAACGCACCATACTTTTGCTAGCCCGCCGTTCCGACCCGACGTCACCTCAGATTAGATATCGTGGTCGGGAGTGTTTAGTCAAGTATGACTTAGCTGGCACACGACACTGATAGGATCATCACTGGCGACCTTCGGTGCCAGATGCCTCAAAGCACGAGCGACAAGTGGGATGCTTGGAAACCGTCCGATTCGAGAATCTTCTTCCAGCATTGCAGTGTGCAACTGTCGAAAGTCAGCCAACATTCGAAAACAAGAGGGCGTTTTCAATACTCAGCCCGTCCAAACCCAATACAAATGCAATAGACCTGATCGTTCTCGAAATGAGATCGGCCTGCCTGTAAGGATAGCTCTGATCATGTCTCGGTTACAAAACAATAATGCTGCCGACTTTTAGGATCAACCTGAACGGCGACCAGACTGGTAAGTCCCAAAACCCATACTCCTGGGCCAAACCTACTCTGGAGTATACCTGCTTGAATTTTCTATCTGGCCCAATGCTGATCAGTCTCAAGTGACAGGTTCTCAAACGGTTGGTGATGTGCAGCAGCCAAGCACCCCAGTCGCTCAGGTGAATAAATCCGAACTTCCGGCCATTTCCACAAGCACTGCAACTGCAGCCAAGCAATCGATCGATCCGAAACCACCCGTGGTTGAGCCTGATTGGAGATATGGCACAGGCGTAGATAATTACCGCACGGCTCCAGCGCTTTTCGTATGCAAGACGACTCTGCAGTGCTTCTCTTTCGCTATCCATAGCATCAATTCAAACTCTTGCCGACGCTCATCGTTCCACCTAACTTCGCGTGTATCTTACTGTACGGAAAATGCCAAAAAAGGAACACGTCGCTTTTGACTCTCCATCATAGCAATGGGTTTTAAGCGTGTACCAGTAATCAGCTTGCCTTGAACCACTGGAAACAGAGGCTATACGAAACAATGCTGTGCAGCGTAAGTATATCCAATAGTCTTATCGGCAAGTAGATGTGAAACGTACCGTATTTCTTCCCAATGCCATGAGAGTTGCTATTCGTATCTTACCGTACTACACACGACTTTGCAAAAGCTATTCTAATGGGAGAACTGTTTGCAACGAATGAAGAAAGAAGAGGTGGCCATGTTGCTTAAATAGCTAGAGGAAAGATAAGAATAAGGTTTTCGAACGGTCTTATTAGAAATAAACTTTCTCCTTGAGCTGCCAAGGTTGTGAGGGTTTAGAAGGTGCCAGAAGCAATATTTGATATTTATTATAAAGGGCGCATCGCTGCCTAGATCGGAGGAACCTTGTATAAAGCGTGACTTGCCATATCGACGATAGCCTGCACGGTAACATCGGATTGCTGCCTTGATAAAAGTACGGGCTAGCTGGACTGAGCGCACTGAAACCCGACCGAATGGCTTGTTTTTCAACAAAAACCTATGAAACGATTTAGCAAAGACATTCAGTTTCCTGATTAGAACTTGGGTAACCTAGATGGTTGCGATTTTGGATCGAAATACCTTTTGGTACTACTCCGAACTCATCTCGTGGCGACTAAAAGATCGTTGCGATCCCATCCGAAAGGGCTTAGCTGTAGGCAACTGCTACTATGGGGCTAGCAGCGTGTTGTAATTCTGAGCTGGTGAGTGGCTCCGAATAAGCGGATTGGAGACAGCATCGTGTGATAACAGCAAAGCATTAAACGATTCCTACTTGTGTTATTAATGGCAAACCTCTCGGTGCCTTGTAGTATGGTAATATCACTGATCCACAGGGTTAGCAATCTGATTATGCTGGGGTCACTTTGGGATTTCTCTCGAATAGGAACAACGACAAAAGCCAGCCACAAGCTTTGTGGCTAATGGGTGTTGGAAGGTGCGATTCTAGCAGCCAGAGAGGGGTATAAATTAGCTGTCGATAGGCAAGCCCCGTTACAGATGCAATCTGTACTTGACCAAGTGTTATTTATTTACACCCGATATTAGGATGCTGACACATATGATTTTTGACTTGATGTTGACTGGTGCTATCTAGGAGCCGTGCTTCCAAATTGCAGTAACACAGGCAAAGTTGCTAGCTATTGACTATGGCAGGATGGCCAAGTCAAAACCTCCCCCGAGCATGTATTATAGTATAAAGCCACTTATGCAGGTTTCGTGCAAGCTTTAGCAGCTCACCTTTTCATCGACAAGTCATCGAATAAAGTACAAATATTCGGATGTCAAGCTAGGGTAGATGGATTGACTATGCATTGAAAGGAACAACTCCATATATAGAAGACGCAATTACAGGCCTACTTACCACCTTCAGAATTAGTTATGACTTTCCCGAATTGAACCTCCTCTTCTTGATCTTCTTCGAGGGTCTCTACAGAGGATAGGCGTTGCTCCTCGTTCGTCTCTGACGCAATGGACCTGCTATCTGCATCACTGTATCGATGCTTCATGATGGTTTCCTTTACACCACTTCTGTATCTAGTGACATTCTTTTCTTTGAAACCTTTCATCGAGATATCTGATATCAGAGGAATGAGCTCGTTGACAGCGCTATGGACCATTGATCTCCTTGATCGTGTTGGTCCGCCGTCGTCCCTGGATCCGGTGGCTGTCACGTATCCGAGAGTGACAGTACGGATCTTGTCGTAGCTGACAAATTTGTTGGCTCCGTCAAGCCTGAACGCGCGGTCCAATATTATAATGAGGTCGCATGCACATTTCAGGACCATTCGTGCAGCTGGCGGCGCCTCGAGAAGTGGCGCTCCCAATGCCAAAGGTATGCCACCAAAGAGCGTGAAGAGCGTCATGGTAACGACTCCACCCCATATGAGAGAACTCTGGCCCAGCGACTGAGCCAAGAATATGAGAGTGTTACGGCCGACAATCTTGTTGAGCAGGCCTTCGACCTTGTTTGCCATGTACTCGGGAATGCCGTAACAGTTGGTGACAATCTCATTACACAGAAGACGAGCTATCGTTGGTGTGCCAATCGCACTTGAGAAAACAAGACCTGCTCCAGCTGTGGAGTTGATGATTGCTCTGCGAAGAAACTGGAGCGTTTTCTCGATCGCAAGGTCAATCTTGGCTTCAAGGTCCTGGATTTGAGCCGCAATCATACCGTCAGTGACAAAGGTGTGACCAATAGCAGCAACGGTCGTTTGAATCAACCCTCTGATAGATCGTGCGTCATCTGACCATTGTTAGCCTCTTTCGTCAGTCTGTAACTTCCAAGCAGTAGAAGTCATGAACTCATGGTCTGACTTACAGAGTTGGGAGAGCGAGGCATCCCCCGACCCTACGCCAGCAAACACGAACTGAAAATGCACATCCTGGAGCTGTTTCCAAGACTTTCCAGCTTCTCCTCCCTCGATGATCTCTATGATGGCCTTTTGCCTGAGATCGAGAATTTCTCGCTGTCTTCTCATGAGAGGGCTTGCTTCATCGACTGTGTCTCGACAGATGGATTTAACCTCATCCCACGATAATCCTACATCATGCTTTGTCAAATATTCATCTTTCTTTGTACAGACAATAATGATTGGTATGTTGGGAGCGGCCTTGGCCACAGCCGCAAGAACATTTGCCATCACAGTCTGGACAGGCCGAGAAGAGCCAGACTCAATGCAGAACCTGCGAGACAAAGAGATGTTACTCAGTGAATTCCATCGATTCTGTAGAGAACCTACCAGATCGCGTGCAGCTTTTCTTCTGGCTTAGTTTGTCCACATCGGTCGGCAAGGAATTTGTTGAACGCCTTTACTTCCTTGGTCCCTCCAGCTTGGAAACCTTCCGAGTCATGAATGATTATACCAGGATGGTTCGCATCTTGGAATCCCTCCTCTATATCATGCACACCGGCCTTGCCATGGCTAATTGCAGACTAAATAAGTCGGATTAGTATGTCGAGCAGGGATGGAAGTGCTACAACTCACCATCGGCAAGCCAAACACGCGGTTCAGCAGAGTAGATTTGCCGACTCCATTATTCCCACAAATCAAGATACGACAGCTTGGATAGGCGACTGACGGAGTGAAGTCTTTGATCCAGGGATACGTATCCAGGGAGGCAGTGCCATCTTCGCTAACGGCTTTTAGTGATGCATTTTCTCTGAATACCTCCAAATGGCTCTGAATGCCCTTCAAACTGGCAGCGAGCGATCGCGTATAGTAGGCATCCATGAGAAAGTAGACAGCAGGATGAATGATGGTCCCGGAACGAGCTATCAAAAAGGTCAGTATACACCACTAATATGGAATTGATGCGTTACGCACAGCTCCCTGAATAGCCAACAAGCTCGCCCAACTCCCCGTTTTTCACAAATATGGCCCTCTTTCCAAATTCCATGCTGTCAAATCGACCAGGGTTCAAACGAATGTCATGCGTGGCTGCTCTGGATAAGGCTGCCCTTTTCTTGAGCTTACGTGACTGGTCTGCGAGGTCGACTTCACGGTGTACTGCTCGAAGGTCATGCATGGGAATGGTGAAACCATTTGAATATCGGAAATGCCAAAACATGGAACCCAAAGCCGGCCCCACGGCTCTTGCAGTGTTTTCGTCGGGTACGGGGAACACAAGATCCAGAGGATCGTCGACATCTTGTGGAAGGTGGTTAGGATGTTCCAGAACCAACCCCCGAGCGCGAGCTTCTTGGAGAATCCATTGCAACGGATACAGGGACAAGCCATCATGGAGTGCTCCACCACCCATATCTTCATGACAGCCAATGAACCATGCTTGTATGGTAGATTGCGTTTCTTGTAGCGCGACACCAGGATTCTCGACCATGGAGAGTGGACGAAGTAATCGATGCTCGTTCAGGGCCATGGCGTGTCGAATGGTCTCTATACACCCTCCGGGAATCGTAATATCGTAGTTCAGCGTCGTCATTTCGACGGTGTCGAATAGCCCGAGGAATTTTATGACGGGAACGTAAGAAGAATGTGTGCGTCTAGCATGAAGTATGTTAAGATGGAATGGGAGAGTGTCATGGATGGGTTGGATGCATGCTTACGAGAACTCAAATCTCTCACCGTTATTCTTGTTTTTCCGCCGTCCCAGAATCATGTTCTTCCATCTTTTCCTCTCGGAGGAGTCTTCGAACCTCTTCACGACTCCGCCACTGAGCAGTTTCGCAACAGCACGTACCACATCTACATAAAGTCAGCACTGCGTTTTCCTAGTGTAGGCAGACGAAATTATGACAAACACGCTCCACGACTGAACCCAAAGAACCAGAATTCGTCGTTGGGACCCTCGGCATGATTGACGCAAAACTTTGAACAAAAGTTAGTTCTCATTGACCAAAAGCTCGATAAAAGTCATCGTTACCTCATGGACTGCATGAATTTGCTCATCGCAGCCTTTGCCGGTTATGCCAGCGTTGAGCTTCGCTGGCACAGACTGGCCTACCCCTATGCCGTAGAAGTACTTCACCGTCTGCGATCATGGTTGTTAATGCTACGTCAGTGTTTTCTGAATCACAAGGAGCTCAATTCACCTGCTTGACTTCGCATCCATCCGCGTCTCGAAAGGTCTTATTTTTGATAGACCAGTTGATACGAGAGATATTGCTGTTGTTTCCTTGGCCCTGCCCTGCGCTGCATGAGTCATCACGGTATGTCAATGTGTAAACAAATGTTCTTGCTCACCCTCTTGCCCGTCCGCATTGAACCATGTCCCATCGACACAGGCAATGATTCTATTCCGTGTGCGACTCTCTGACATGGTGTTCGAAGCATTTACTCGGAAGCTAGAAGAAGAGTAGAAAAAAGCTGAGTTGGATGGGCCAGGTTGAGCCACTGCGAAATTTTCAGATTTCTTCTTCTCCAGAGCTCAGCCTGTCCTACACACCACTCCATGTTTTGCCGCTTACCGTGGAGCGCACATGAGGAGGTGGTCAGCCAATAATCAAGCAGGAGCAGCCACACTTCCGATTAGCTGACCAGTGATGATGGTAAACCTTGATATAGAACTATTACCGAACCAATCCTTGAAAAACATGCTTCATGTATTCACCGCCCTCAGCCTTATGCACTCCCTATCATAGGAGCACAAACGACGGGAAACATAATATTAATCCCTCGAGCGCCTCAACATGGGTTCGGGGCGCGATAACATGCATCAAAAACCAATCAGAATGAGCTCTTGGCATCAATACACCCTGGACGTATTACACCCCCTTTATCAACATCTCACGTGTTGGGGAGTGAATGGGCTGCTGCTCGTTTTGTGACGAAGGCCCAACACTTTTCTGCAAAGTAAATTTGCACAGTCAAAACAATACGAATCATTTCTGTAGACTCAATTCCTTGTAGCAGACGGTGATCGGATAATATAAGATGCGTGCATAACCGACCGTAATGGAACAGCTCCTTCGGGGCGATCCTTGGTATTCGGCTTTTGGTATCTGCGCCAGCACAGAAGCAAGATCAGAAAAACTGCCGTTGCCAGCGAGGCGCTGCAAAAGGAATAGAACAGAACTCACTACCTTACACGGCAGAAACACACACGCAGCAGTAGTATTATGCAGAGCTCAATAGTCGCCCTGGAGTATTTCAGCTGCCAAGTAAAGCTAGTAAAATGCCTGCCGAGCTTGACCTCCATACTAATAGCCATATTTTTATCGAAAGCAGAGGGGATATTTCGGAGTTGGCTAGCAGTAGCCCGACTAAGGAGAAAAGAATTGATTTCAGGTAGCACGTAGTATTTCACTTAATATACCGCTACCATTAAAGATCTTTGGATCGTGATACCAAAACAACGGTTATTGAATACTTGCGAATTTCGAAGCACCAAAAAAAAAGAAAAAAGAATAGCATAGGCAAATCCAAAAACATACAACACCGGGGATTCCCCAGCCGTCACCGATCTGAGTACTGATCCAGCGGTTACTAGTTTGACTAGGGCAGAGCGGACGGGATGCCGTATTTTCTAGTACCTATGGTCGTATGTGCTAGTCAGTCTTATTAGATCACCTAATATCCACCTAACAAACATCCATTATCGATAGGCAAGCCCCATTACAGATGAAATTTGCACTTGACCAAGTGTTATTTGTTTACACCCGATATTAGGATGCTGACACATTGAATGATTTTTGACTTGATGTTTATTATTCACCTAGCTATCTAGTACATTTCCGTGACTTACATCTGAGCCTGGGTATGCTCTTCATTTTAACTGCATACATTTGCATCTTGCATCGTTTATAGCTCTCTGCCAGAAGCCTTCTCGGCCTCTGACTTCTCCTCAGCCACCCTCTCGGTTGGAACCCACTCGAGGGCCTTGAGTCGCTCGGACAGGATGGGGTGCGAGAAGTGGTAGCTGGCGTACATCCAGTCAGCATCCATGGTGCTCAGGTTCTGGATCTGGAGCTTGATCAGGGAAGCTGCAAGTTCCTTCTTGTAGCCAAGGTTGCGAGCAAACTCGTCGGCCTGGAACTCGAAGCGACGGCTGATAATGTTCATGCCCAGCTTGATGATGAGATCCATGGGTGCGAGTGCGTCAGAGAAGAGGAGGAATCCAATGATGATGGGGTGCTCCTTGACGAAACCAAAGTCGGCGTAGAGAGATGCATTGTTGATGAAGATGGAGAACAGCAGGAAGATGTAGAAGACGTGGACCTAGTACATATTAGTGGTGCATTACAGATAATTAATGACTTGACCATACCTGAGAAATGCCAAAGAGTCTAGTAGTGTGACCAAGGCTCCAGTGACCGAGCTCGTGAGCCAAGACGGCCGTGACCTCCTCTTCCTTGCTCTTCTCAATCAGAGTATCGTAGATTACAATGTGCTTCTTCCATGGGAGACCAAAGAAATAGGCGTTGCTGTGGGCGCTGCGCTTGCTACCATCAATGACAAAGAGTTCGTGGAGCGGGAAGTTGAGCTTCTTGGCCAAATCTTCGACATTGTTCTTGAGCTTGCCTTCCTCGAGAGGGGACAGCTTGTTGAACAAGGGCAGAATGGCAATCGGGTAGACGGTGATCATAAAGACCTGGAGACCAGCGACAAAGAGCCAGAGGTAGTAGAAGAACTGGTTACCGGTCTTCTTGACGATGCTGAGGAAACCGGCAAGGATCGGCGGGGCGAGAACAAAGGCGAGAATGTTGGACTTGATCATATCCGTAACGAACAACTTTGGTGTCTGCTTGTTGAACCCAAACTTCTCCTCGAGAACAAACGTGTGGTAGATTGACGTTGGCAGCGAGAGAACTTGCTGAATCATGATGAAGGACAGGATAAAGACGATCGAGTGCGAGATTTCGCCAGTGAACCGAGCAGGGGCAATACTGAGGAGAAGCTGGCCAGTCCATGACCAGAGCTTGGGGAGAACGTCAAAGTGGATGAATGCAATGTTCTGGATTTGACCGTAGAGACCTTTGATGAAGCCAAACTTTGCCTTGGCGCGACCATATTCCTGACTCTTGTCGTAGGTTTCTTGCGAGATTTCAGCTTCGAGGACCTTGGGAGGCTTTGACTTTTTGAGAACTTGGTATTGGCGGTAGGAGAGGAATTCTTCGAAGAGGTACTGTCCAATGGAGAAGCCAATAATGACCTTCTTCCAGGGGAAGAGAGGGCGGTCGATGAACCGAGCGAGCCGCTGAGCAGACACTGGATTAGTATGCGAAATGAAGATGCGATCATGTTGATTGAGCTTGACTCACCTGGAGGAAATCCATGGCCCCAAATCTGTGCTGCTAAACAATGATGATGAATGGGAAGACAGACGGCTGAGAATTGCGCTTACGAAGTAAGTGGATGCTTTTCTAGCTCCTGTCGCAGCCCTGGAGTCAGTTTAGAAACCGTGTCATCGCGGGGACGCTGAGCCGGGGGCCGTTTTGAGTTACCTTACCTAAGGCAGGGGGCAAGTTAGGTAAGCTCAGCTCCAGCTCCAGCTTTAGCTCTCCGCCCCACTGTGTTGCTGACCCCTGTGCCAGGGTCCTCGCGCTAGTAGTGTACTCCCATACTAGATACATATTCAGTTTCGATCAAGAGGTAGGAATAATGCCAATGGGCAAAATTTCTGGACAGTTTAGATTTGAATGAACCAAATGTACCTTTATTCTTCATTTATGCATCTAGACCGTCTAGCTCTATGAGTTTGGTAACCATTTTGATAACCTCATTGTCCTGTACACCTGCTTGTGGGTCATTGACCTTGAGCGCAATGACATTGTCCACCATGCCTCTGAGACGGGATACCAGCACTCCAATGCGTGCCCAGCCGCGCAATCTAGAGTAAAAGGTAAGCAATACAATCATGTGAACAAATTTGTTCGAAAGAAGTCAACTCACCTTAGCCAACCATCAACGACCAAACCTCTTCCGAGGGTGTCCAACTCGATAGCACCAGAGAATAGGAGTAGTGTAAAGGCGTTGAATGCTGTGAACGAAAACGTCAGCTGTGTAATCAATAGCTCTGCGCAAGACAGGTCAACTCACGAGTCAAATCCCGCACAAAGATCTTGCTTGTCGCCATCATTGTAAAGTACGACACGAAACTGGCATTGCCCGAAAAGCCCTGACTGTCAAAGAGCATACTGCTCGGGTGGATAAAGACCCTTCCGTTCTCCTGCGTAAAGTACTTGATAGTCTTGGCCTCGGGATCCAGCTCTACAGCTCCCGTCACTGATGCAGCAAACTTCTTGTCTGGGAACTGTATGCGTGCAATCTGGGGGGTGAACGCAGAGGCCGTCAAGGCTCGCACTATTGCAGTAGACGCTGTGCTTTGGCCAGAGCGGCGAGCATCGCTAATGGCGGACGGAGGCACAATTCCTATCTCAGTCAGAGCCGCATAGTACTGTGTGCGAGTTGTCGCGATATCCGAAAGAGTATGGTATGACAAGAAGTTGTCGTCGCAAAAGTTTCGAACTTGTCGCTGAGGGATCCTGTCCTCCATCATCGAGTTCCAATGCTGCACGGCGCGTAGATCTGTGAGAAGGTCTCCATCGCCGTTGGAGAACCTTTTACGCGCTTCCCTGGCTTCTTCCCGCCGGTCTGGAGGGGACAAGAACGGACTCTTGGTACTGAGAATTGCAGCAATCCAAATCGATTCTTCTAGGCAGCCAAAGATCGCTCCGTAAACCATGAGCTTGCCACACCGTAGATCAGCTGGAATCATGGCCAATTGTTGACCGAGCGCAGTGAGCTCGTCTCCGTCCAGAGCTCCCATTCTCTGTAAGAGCTTCATGGCTCCTTCAACTGCAGTTGACTCGGGAGGTGTGGGTGTTCTTCCAAGGAAACCAGCAACATCACGGGTGCCCATTGCTCGGACTGATAGACACAGCTGCTCAAGCGGCACACGGCGGATTTCAGGATCCGGGCGCTCGGCCATTTGCTGCTCGAGATTGCGCGTGTAGAGCTTATAGCAGTTGCCTGCTTGGACTCTGCCAGCACGTCCTCTGCGCTGCTTGCAAGCAGCCCGAGAAGCAAAAGTCTCCTCGAGCTTACGCATATTGTTCTGTGGGTCGAAGCTCGTCTCCTTGACCTTGCCTGTATCAATGACGGCAACTATGTCATCAATGGTGATGGACGTTTCAGCGACATTGGTTGCGACCACGACCTTTCGCTTACCAGGTGGCGGCTTGGCAAAGACCTTCTTTTGATCCCGAGTATCTAGGGATGCATGGAGAGGCAATACATGCAGAGATGAGACAGCCTGAAGCTCTCTGACCGTTCGGTTGATTTCTGCAACGCCTGGCAAAAAGATGAGAATTCCACCTTGCTTTCCAGTTTGGTGCAGTTGTGTATCAATGGCTTTGGCGGTTTCGACCAAGAGGTTGTAGTTGATTCTAGATCCGAGCTTCTGGATTATCTTGTTGACAGGGTCCTGAGCAGTGCCCTTGGAGTCATCTTCATAGTCGTCATATCGGCTTCCACTGATGGTGAAATTAGTCATGTGAATGATATCATCCAAGTAATAATCTTCAACGGGAAACGTTCTGCCAGCAATCTCTACAAGTCCAACTTGTAAACCTTCGGATGTGAAATAGTTCTTGAATGTCGCAGCATCTAGAGTGGCACTCATCAAGACCAACTTCAAATCCTTCCTTCGCCGGAGGACATCGCGAATAATGCTCAAGAGGAAATCCGTGTCCAGACTGCGCTCATGAACTTCGTCAATCACGACGTGACTGACATCGGCCAACGATGCCGCGACGTCCTCAGTCCGGCCGCCAGAGGTTTGAAGCCTTCTTAGCAGAACACCAGTGGTTACAAATGTGATTTTAGTCTGCTTGCTGACTTTGTTTTCTCCACGGATCGAGTATCCAACCTCGGCACCCAGCTTTGTACAACGCTCATCGCTCACACGATCTGCGAGACCAAGAGCCGAGATCCGCCGAGGCTGTGTACAAATAATGTTGGCAGCCCGGCCATAGCCTTTGCTGTAGAGATCGTCTAGAATGAATTGAACCGATTGTGTCGACTTGCCACTACCCGTTTCTCCGGCAATGATTGTCACCTGGTTTTGAGAGACTGTCTGTACCAGGTTTTCCCTGACTTGCCAGGCGGGCAGTTTTTGGCGCTGCGAGAGCATTTGCTTCCAAGACGGGTCGGCCTGTCTTGCTTGCCACTCCTCCTTATTGCTAGCGTCAACAATCCATTTCAACGGTGCTGGATGTCTGGCTATCTTCTTCATCTTTCCAACGACATTTCGGACCTCTGAGGCTGTCGAGGTAACGCCCGAGATATCCTTGAGTTTCCCCGGTCGTTGTATAATGTCGTTGATGTTCTGTTGCACCCAATCCACCAAAAAGTAGACCTTCATTGGTTCGCCACCAAGTGATTCCTTCATATAAGCAAGCGTCTTTTTGACAATGCTGAGCTTGATATATGAAGGCAGATCGGACACGATAGAAACAATGACATCTGTCGGATAATCTGGTGATTTTCGAATCTGGACATAGGTCTCGATATCCTTCTTCGGCCCATTTGCGACGGAGTCGATACGAATCTGACAAATATCATCCGAGATCCGCTTGTAATGCTCGCCAAATACCGATTCCAGGCTTTCTGTTTCATCGGTCCAGCATTCGTCAGGAGTCCCAAGGATGAGAGGCTCTTCTGCATTTTCAATCTCAGTTTGGCCATCACCACTGGTTAGGAGGATCTGCTGAAGAGCTACGGCAGTGAGACCTTCATCGCCGCCGTTCTCATCGTACACCTTTCGACAAAGTTCGACAGAGTAACCGGATTGCGAAAGCCGTTTGATGGCAGCTTCTCGCTTGAGGTCGGACGTCGCCGCGACTGACACGCCGGCGCTGTAGCTTTCAGGCAGAGCCCACTTCGGTAGATCATCTTCGGGAACGTGGATCAGAAGCCACTCCAGAGACTCCTCGCGATCCTTGCATTCGTCAACTGCCTCTTCGACGTGACTTTTTCGAAAGCCCGAGTTGGTAAACTCCTTTACGATGGCTTCTTTCTGAGATGCCGACATTTTGACGCCATACGGGTTCCACACCACTTCTCGACGGAGCAAGTCCTCAAGCTGCGAGCGAGTTTTTCTTCCCATTTCAATCTTTGGAACTGTGGTCCAACCCTTCATGGGGTTCGATCCTCCGCCGCCAGAACTGTTGGCAGCATTACTGCGCAGGACCAGACCAGCAGCGCCGGGCATGTTCTTTGCCTTTTCTTTGATGGCCTCTTGCTCTTTCCGCTTCTTCTCCGCTGCAGCCTTTGCGTCCTCCCTTTCCTTCATGGTTACAAATGGGTCAGCGGCATACTGCCAAGCGAGATCCTTTTTGACGTCTTCCTTTTTCAGAACCTCAAACTCTTTCCACAACGACTTGTAGTCCGGAGGCAGCGTCGTGTGTATATTCTTCATGCTACAGACACGGAACAGAGCATACGTGGCGGCTGCATGTCTGGCCTCGAGTGCCGTTGGCTTGGTGATGAGATGCTTATGACTAGCAGGAATCTTGAAAGGCGGCAGTGTCTGCATCTCCTGCGTCTTGGGATGCTTGGCACTGAGTGTCACAAAGCAACAGAATCCATCAGTATCCTTGTCCTTGCGCATCTAGATTTTTCTTTTATTAACTAGGTACATCTTATAAAGACCAGGAAGTTCTCACATTGTCATAGCTGGGCTTCTCCCATTTCTGCTTCTGGCAGTGCTCCGACAGCAGGTTCACCGGGAGTTTGCCCGTCCAACTGGCCCCTCCCACAATCTGCTTCACCGTCGGCTTGGGGGGTCCCGGCGGACCGTCTGCAGGGTCCGTATTGCCTGAAGAGCCAGCATTCTGCTTCTTTCTGGCCTTTGGCTCCTTGTCAGAGTTGGTAAAGACGATAAAATCGTCCTCTTTGGGTGCTGGAGCCTTTTGCTTTGATGATTTCTTGGACGAGTTGGCCCCCGCTGAGCCTGTACCTGCTGTACCTGGAGGGGCAGCTGCGGGCGCCTTCTCCTTTCCCTTCTTCGCCATGATCCAGTGCGAGGCTGCTCCCAGAGAAATGTACTTTGACTCAGGTCATGGCATGTACATGTAACAAGCTAGGTAACGCAAGCCAATATTGGAAATGAGGCGCCAGAGACTCGAGTGATCATTGAGGACGAGCTACGTTGAAATTCCTTGAGTCGCAATTCTCCACACTTGTTCAGACAGTGCCTAGAAATGCGAAATACTGTATTGTATTAGCGCCGTTGTACGGCATCAGCGCCTTGATAGCCGAGATCCTGCCTGAGTCTCACAGTGCGGGATTACTTCTCAGCAGTATTACGTCGTGTATTGGTGACGCCGTGGTTTTGGATCATTCGTGAATGCGAACAATTCAGCTGCCAAACCAAGCATCAACTTAACAAAGACAGGAAAAGCACAACACATCTCTGAGAACGCATAGGAATACAATCACAAGCCAATTTAATCACTCTCGACCGTAAAAATGCCAACGACAGATTCGGATAATGAAGATGCCATTACAAAAGAGGAGATTGCTGGTGAAGCTTCAGCACCACCACCAACCAAAGCCGGACTCACCAAGACCACTACAAAAAGCAATGCATGCATGTCATTATGTTTCCCAGTCTTGGCGATGAATACTAAGATATTTTCAGTCACAGAACTCATGAGACCAAAGCCAAAAGTCCCTGCTCAGTCGAAAACCTCATCTTCCAAGGCATCCACCGCAGGGCACAGCTTCAAGAACAGGGCCGGGCTAGGACTATACACTCACGACCCTGCTGCCTTTCCTTCAAGTCGGGTCATTTACTATGACAATGACTTTGTCGTGATCAATGACTTGTATCCCAAATCGGCAGTTCATACGCTCTTGCTGCCGAGGTCACCAACGCATAGCCAGCAGCACCCATTCGAAGCTTTTGAGGATGCCGAGTTCTTGGCCAAAGTCCAAGCCGAAGCCACCAAGCTGCGAAAGCTGGTAGCAAAGGAACTACAACGCCAATTTGGAAAATACAGCGCAGCGGACAAGCTGCGCGAAGCGGTCCTGAGCGGCCAAGTTGAACTACAAGATGGTGAGGATCTACCGGCTGGCCGCGACTGGGAGCGCGAGGTCAAGGTCGGCATCCATGCGCACCCAAGCATGAGCGACTTGCACGTCCACGTAATCTCGCGCGACATGTCGTCCGACTGCATGCGGCATCGCAAGCACTACAACTCGTTCAATACGCCGTTTCTCGTCGACGTGGCCGATTTCCCACTCGCCGAGGACGACCCCCGGCGTCACCCAGGTCGCGCCGGATACCTCAATAGCGATCTCGTGTGTTGGCGGTGCGGACAGAACTTTGGCAACAAGTTCAAACAGTTGAAGGATCACTTGGCAGAGGAGTTTGAGCAATGGAAAAGAGAATAAACGTCTGCGTTGGTGCGGAGGACTATCATCTCATTGATTGAGTTGAGTGACCCAGTTCTCGGGGTCATTGACCAGAGAATGAGCGGTGGTGTTGATGTACATAACGATACCAGAGCTACACAGGAACCTGTAATGAGATATAAATAGTGCTTGTAAAATATGCTCCTCCTACACTGGTCGCTGGTTCCGTAATGCCTGCTACTGCATTCTATATCTTTATGGCCCATCATTTCAGTCATGATTGCTGATGTAACCCTGGGCAAAAGGGACCAAGAGCATAGAGGGTTGGTGCAGGACTATATCAAAGATGAAACTAGGATTTGAACAAATCTCTCTTTGGGAGATACGCAAGAGACTGGATGCCTTTTGATCATAACTTAATAGACACACTGCAGGTATGTGCGTATGACAATGACGGGAACCTTTTTTCCTTTCCCCCAAAGCACATCCGGCTAACCAAGTTCTTCAAAATAGATGTACATCTTTCCTATGAAACCGGTTCAGAGCACAAAACAAGCAAAAAATACAAGACGCGATGGGTGTTGACCAGCCGTATCAGTTTTACAACCCTCTCCTCTCTCTGATCCTTTTAAAGGCACTGAGAGCGAAGCCTGCCACAATAGCGTGGGTTATAAGGCGGTTGCACTACTCGTCCTATAGAGGACTCTGGTTAGAATGCGGCAAGTGGTCTAATCATAGATTTTAGCATTACCTCTGCGTCGTCGTCATCCTCGGCAACGGCATCTTCATCGTCATCCTCTTCTTCTTCTGCGGCCGGGACTTCTTCACCATCTAGAGCATCACCCACTTCGACATCAGCCTCGGCTCCCGTATCAATCCCAGCATCTAAGGGATGTGAGCTGTCACGTTGTGGTGACGAATCGCGTCTCCAATCGCGGCGCAGCGACTGCGATTGGAGACGCAGCATTGGTTTCAGAGACTCACCTCCATCTTCTTCAGGGCTCTCAGCACCCTCGACAATCTCCTCTGCGCCACTGTCCTCGGGCTCCTCAATGGGCTCGCTCTTGCGCGGCCTGCCGCGTCTGCCACTGCCGGCGGGCTTGGTAGCCGATGCGGCCTTCTTCGGTGTCGCAGACTTCTTGGGAGTCGCCGCGGCGTCGGACTTGCGAGGGCGACCGCGACGGCCGGTGCCAGTGGCCGCGGTGGTGGCGGCAGCGGGCTTGGGCTTGGGAGGCGCATTGGGATCCTTCGGGGGACGACCACGGGGTCTGCCAGAGGGAACCTTTACAACCTTGCTGACACCGTTCTTGGGAGGTCTGCCGCGACCACGCTTAGGCTTTTCGCCGCCTGCAGCAACGCCGGATTCGGCTGCTGTGATGGGCTCGTCCTTTTTGGCTGTGGCGCGTTGTTCGCGACCAGTCGGCCGGGCGCGCGTACGTGAAGGAGCCATTGAATGGGTAATCTGAGCTTCAATTAAATAGAAAAAAAATAGAACATCAAGTCGCAACGATTTGTCAATGGATGGCCGACAGGATTGAAATGGAAGTCGGATGCAATTGTTTTGATGGGAGGTGTGGAAAAAATGGGAAAAAAAAAAAAAAAAAAAATAAGGTGCCGGTCGAGACACAATGAAGGGGAGGTCGCGGCAACACAAGAGCTTTCTTTCTAGCTACCATAGACAAACGCGACTTGCTAGCTCCTCGATGATGGTGGGCATTGATGGCGCGTCTCTCTGAGCTCGAGGTACCCTCAATGTTTAGCACCATCAATTGACATACATGTATGGGATCGGGCCCGTGCACCATCCTCCAATGCCAAACAGGCTAATAAAAAAGCACAATACTATGTAGCATTGACCGTGAAATGCGACACTGGATGGTCAGCTTCCTTTTTTTTTTTTTTTTTTTTTTATTGCCCTCTCCCTCATGTATGATCAAACACGATGTTTGGGAGGTCAGGGGCAAGTATAAAATTGCTTTTGCCTGCATTTGCATCCCCTGAAAGCCCCGAGTTCGCACACAGATAATGGAAAATGGAATATTCAGGATGGCTCTTGTCGAAATCCATTCTCATCGTTTGGAGGAGTAGTGAACCGGTTGTCGACGGCGGAGTGTTGCTTCAACCTATTGCACCGTACTTCAAAGTAGGAGCGGAGTATACTCGATACTCGAGCTTCAGTTCCAATTGCTAGAATTACTAGAGAACCCACCAAGTATCCTATTTCGGGGTCGAATTTCGAACCGCTTGAAATTTGCAAATTCTTCTCAATGTAATTTGCCAGCTTGCATGCTCGAGACCCGACATGGTAAACTTACTCTTAGTCCAAGAGCAGCCAAGTAGATTAAGTGGTAAGTGAAGCGGTCGCCTCCGTCGCTGATAAAGACTTCGGCATTTCGTGCCTAAAGATAGCTCGGCAGGTAACCACACAAGAGCTTCCCCACACCCGGAGCAGGCCGAGTAAGCCGGGTAATTCTTAATCTTTGCTCTGGCTATGGGTCAATTCCGAAGGCGATTGGAAGACAAGGTGAGCCCGCGACTGATAATGAGAGCGGCCGACATGGTGGAGTCTCACCAAACGGAACGGAAGGCCGCGGGCGTATATATTTCAGTCATAATCACCTCTCAGCACCTACCATCTCGGACTGGCTCAGTTTCATCAGTTTCTTTCAAGACCTGACGATCTCCTATAATTCATACATTTTCCATTCGTACATTTGTGTGATTTCGCTATCTGCCATCATTTGCCGGGCAGCCAATATGGTCGACACCAAATACTCCGATCGGAGCATCCCAAAGATCTCTCTTCATGACTTTGAGTCCAGGATAGACGAGATCACAAGCCAGCTCGTTGCAGCTGCCGAGACTGACGGTTTCTTTGCCATTGTCAACCACGGCATCCCGGTCGAGGAAGTCGAGGCACAGTTTGATGCCGCCGAGCGCTTCTTCTCCCTGCCCGACGACGTCAAGGCCACAGTCCCCTTTTCCCACAAGAACACGGGCTGGGAAAAGAAGGCCCAGATCCGACCCAGCACGGGAGTCGCTGATCAGAAAGAATCATATCAAATGCAATTCGGCGAGCTAATGGACGGCATGTGGCTCTCCGAGGACACCATCCCGGGCTTCAAGGAGCAAAGCCTGGGATTCATGCGCAAGGTGCAAAAGGTTTCCGAGAAGCTCATGGTGTGTTTTGCCAGGGGCCTGGGATTCCCTGATGACTACTTTATCAAGGTGCACGATATCGCCAGGCCAAACATCCAAACAGTCCTCCGGGCCCTGCACTATTTTGCAGTCGACCCAACAGTGCCGACCCCCGATGGGTACTGCCGCGCTGGTGCGCATGCGGACTGGGACTTTTTGACTTTGCTATTCCAAAGACCAGGCCAGAGCGGACTGGAGATTTGCCCTGGCAGGGAAGCATTCACTGCCTTTGGGCTGGGTGATACTTGGACAAAGGTTGAGCCTGCTGCGGGCGAGATTGTTTGCAACATGTAAGTCCTTTGGCCAGAGAGACGAACACTACTACGGGACACTGACATGATCAAGCGGGGATCTCCTCATGTCATGGAGTGACGACCGGTTCAAGTCGACTTTCCACCGCGTCAAGACGCCCACAAACCCAGAGGTGGACTACTATGGTCCCAGATACAGCATGGCGTACTTCAACCAGCCAAATACCGACTGTCAGATTCAGGGACCTTTGAAAAAGTACCCCGTAGTCACGGGAACACAGTTCACCCAAGCGGCCATGAAACGCAACTTTGCAGCTCTGGAAGCCAAGAAGGCAGCAAATAAGCTGGAAGAAATGAAAGGAAGTGTGGCTCAAGCGGTGTAGGAGATGCCAGTGTAAATCCATATGAGTTATGCCCAATTATGACAGGCGCTTCAGAGACTACCGGGAGAGGAGAATAAATTGATGTGAATTCGATCGTAATAAAAATGATAAGCGCATCTTTATTGCAAAATATTCAATCATGTGCATCGACTTCTGGCGAGTTTAGGTACTCAAGCCCAAGGCAAGGTCAAATCTGCCGAAATCCGAATACTTGACCCTGCCTTCACTGCTCAACAGAGTGTTCATGAGATTGACTTGTTGAAACGCGAAGGCTGCTTGGTCGGTTTTGCGCCTTTGAAGACGATAAGAAATCACGATTGATATACTGCATACAAGCCTCCAAGATGTTTACCAAGGCGTCTGCAATGCAATAATTTCAACCGTTCTCAGAAGCCCATACATGAATTCCCACATGGTTTTCAATGGGAGCATCTCTAATAGCCATTGAATCAGAAATGATAGATCCGGTGAGCAAGAGCGATAATCTTGTTTAAAAAGCCTACAAAAAACAAGTAAAAAAAAAGAGTCGCTTTGACAGCACTACTAGTACATTCATTTGAGTGCTATATATGACAGGAACATGGCTGAACTGCCCAGAGCTTGTTGTTTTTCTAGATCGACCTTGGTGCAAAGGAAGTTCTTCGTATGGGAATCTATTCCAGTAAAGGGAGAACGACATATGATGGATAATATTATTATACACGAAATTGCATCAATCTCGCGCATTAAAGTACCACAGGTGTAAGAGAAATGAAAGAAATCAACATCGAAAAAGCAAGATGCCTCTCTTTGCTGATCACTCTTAATGCTGGATCTGGTCATTTAGTCATGTCGCTTACAAACACCTTGGAGGCTTGCATCAAGGTTTTGATTTCGGCACTTTCAAAACAAACATCAACGCAACCCAAAACTGCCAGACGAAGCTAGTATTTGACCAGGGTTGTACAATCTCCGTCTTCCCATATTTACCTTTTGAATTTTCTTGTCTCTAGATCTTCTTGCCCGGAGCAAATCTTTTCCCCTTGATCGTAAAAGTCAACAATGTCCCACTGGCACCACGGCTTGGTCATGGCTGTTTTCTAACGCTACACTGTTGTACCTATTGGGGCTCTCTCTACGATAGTATATTTCAAAAGTTTATCTCATGGACCGTGCACGCTCTACCGTGCGAAAACGTCCCTGCATTTCCTAGGGTACTTAGCACTTTTACGCAAATACAGCTTCTATTTCTGATTCAAATCACTATATACGTATTCTAATGGAACCTTGCCGCGATAGATTCTTTTTACTATAGAAATTAATGAAAGTTCGATGCGGCGTTGTTTTGTGGTTCAAATTAGTAGTGTCGAGCAGTATTTTCCAGCAGATTATTTAGCGGGCATGCCCTAGAAATACCACTTAATAAGGACTTCTTATAATGGACCTTAGGGGGCTTCTAGTGGAGGCAAGTACACCGTACAGTACTAGGGTAAAGGTAAGGCAGTAATCGCACATGAGCATGCACGGACCATAAGATAAACTTTTGAAATATGCCTTCGTACGTGCCTAAAAATACCTAATCCCAGCGCAGATCAGGTCCTCTGGTCAATCCGCCCACCACGTCACACCCACACAACAAACCAGAGCCCAAAGCCGGCCCAGCTCAGCACCCTTCCCCACACAACTTAACCCCCCAAGCTGGGTGCGAGTTTACCATTTCACCAACGCCCCGCTGCCCGTGGCAACCACAGTCAACATCTCAGACCCCACTTGACATGTGCAACTACTGCTGCTGAGGACGGTCGAATATCACGGAATAGATGTACGGCACATTCCACAGACTACGATTCCGCGACGTTGTCGACGATATTTGCGAGACACTGACTGGAATCTGTGTGATTGATTTGGATCATCCCTTGTTTGAAAGAGACATTAGCGACGCCGAAGAGTCTCCTGTTTACAGTCCCGAATCGATGGCCTCGGTGGATCTGCGATCGAGCGTCATTCGCTCTTCTGCCTCCACGCCGTCGCTGCGCTCGAGAGATGGCGCACTGCCTTCACACATGAAGATGGACGGGGGTGGTAATGTCAAGGTGGTCGTGAGAGTTCGGGCTTTCCTGCCCAGAGGTGCGCAAACTTGTCCCGACCATGTCGGCTTCACTGTATGAAATCGTGGACCTTGTCAGCTAACACGAATATAGAAATCGAGAGGGGAGCGCAATGCCTCATTAGCATGGACCCCATCATGCAATCAACCACTCTGCACGTCCCAAATGACAGCGACCCGGCCAACAGCAAAGCCAGGACACGCAAGGTGGTCGAAGAGAAGAACTTTACCTTTGATAATTCCTTTTGGAGTCACGACAAAGGCGACAGACACTATGCACACCAGGAAGATGTCTACAATGTGTTGGGCGAGGAATTCCTGGACCACAACTTTGAGGGATACCACACATGCATTTTCGCCTACGGACAAACGGGATCTGGCAAGTCGTACACCATGATGGGAACACCCGATCAGCCAGGCCTGATCCCACGAACCTGCGAGGACCTGTTCCAGCGCATCGAGTCAGCACAGCAAGAAACGCCCAACATTTCGTATCACGTTCGCGCGTCGTACTTTGAGGTCTACAACGAACATGTGCGAGACTTGCTCGTCCCCGTGGTGCCCAATCAAGCACCGTATTATCTCAAGATCCGCGAGTCACCGGCCGAAGGCCCATATGTGAAAGACTTGACCGAGGTCCCTGTTAGAAGCTTGAACGAGATTTTACGGTATATGAAGATGGGCGACTCATCCCGGACGACGGCGAGTACCAAGATGAACGACACCAGTAGTCGAAGCCACGCAGTCTTTACCATCATGCTTAAGCAAATCCATCACGATATGGATACGGACGAAACCACGGAGCGCAGCTCGAGAATCAGACTCGTCGATTTGGCTGGAAGCGAAAGGGCAAAGTCCACCGAGGCAACTGGGGCACGGCTTCGCGAAGGTAGCAACATCAACAAGTCACTCACCACCCTCGGTCGCGTCATTGCTGCTTTGGCAGATCCAAAGCACGGCCGGGGCAAACGAAAGGGCGATATCGTCCCATACCGAGATTCAATCCTGACCTGGCTGCTCAAGGATTCGTTGGGTGGCAACAGCAAGACGGCCATGATTGCTTGCATTGCCCCGTCCGATTATGAAGAAACTCTCTCGACGTTGCGTTACGCCGACCAAGCCAAGCGTATCCGCACACGCGCCGTGGTCAATCAAGACCAAATCTCCACCGCCGAGAGAGACGCGCAGATTGCAGCCATGGCTGAAGAGATTCGGCTTTTGCAACAATCAGTCGCGGATACCCGAAGGAGAGAGAAGGATCAAAAGGATAGCGAGGAGAAGCTCGAAGAATACCAGAATCGCGTTGCAGCCATGCAGCGCATGATGGAAGAACGCAGCCTGGTCGCCGAGGGCAAGATTCGCAGCTTGCAGACGGAGAATGAAGCATTAAGACTACACCTTAAATTGGCACTCGACAGCTTGAAGAACCCAATCCCGGAAGTTGTTATCAACACAAATGACCCACTCAAGGCGGTTGGTGTAGACAAGGAAAATGCCAATCCACCCGACTTGGGCGAGAAGCAAGCAGACTCGGAGACAGGAAACGAGTCGGACGAATACTACGACGACGACGACGATGACTACATCCCCGAGGTTCACGAAGAACGGGCAAACGAGATGCAGGACTACATGCATGAGTTGCTCAAGGACCTATCCTTGTTCAAGAGGAAGATTTGCGATGACAAGGGCAGGTTCGTGGAAGATAACTTGAGAAATCCATTGGGTGTACGCGTCAACATGTAAAGCACCCTTGATTGGAATTTGTTGGAACATGGGTTGGAAAGGCGAGGAGTTTGGAAGCATGAAGCGGAATGAAACAGAATAGAGATCAAACTGAACTTTCAGGATCATGATTGTGTATTATGAGATCATTGACAGCACTATAATGAACAAGACTTACGACTGAACGACCATGGAGTTGCCAAATGATATTGGAACAAGCAATTGTGTCTGATCTATGTCTGACGTGCCGTGTCCCGGACAAACGATGTCAAGGGATACAAGGGACCGCTAAAGTCCATATCATACCTTTTGGTGGAATTAATAACAGAGACATTCAAGCATTCTTACAGCATGTAGAGCATACCAGTAGTTGACGGCTACACAGAGCCCTTCTTCTGAGCAAGACTGCGATACCTTGTGATACCTTTTTGACAGTGTTAGTTGCAAACCTTGTCCAGCAGACTCGGACTAATGTAGTGAACTGACCACATGGCTGGCAAGTAAAGCATATCTCCCGGATTCAGCGTGACTCGCATAGGCTGTGCGAGGTGAGAATACCTAGTCGTATTTGCATGAGATCGATCGGGATCCCACACGGCAAAGGGAACATGAGGTCCATCCTCTAGCTTGAGCTCCAGTTTGTCTCCGTCCCGAACGTAGATAGCTGGACGCAGGTCTTGCTCGTTGATGCAGGGCTGGCAGAGGGCCGGGAGCAGGACAAAATGCTTCTGACCGGCAATCTGCACGTAAATGTTTTCATAATTGTCACGATGCATCGCCGTTGTCGAAAACGAGTTGCCGACCCACATATTAATGGCATCAGGTTCCTTTTCCAGGGCTATGCGTGCAAACGGAATAGACCTCAGGGTTTCCGAAAACAAGGACGAGTATTCGTGGCGTAGGTTATCATTCTCTGTGGCACAAACATGAGATGGTGGCTTGCTTAGGCAGCTGGTAGTTGAAACCCACGTGTTTGTGCATACCTCACCTCGACGGGATCAATGGGCGATTCTAGTTCCTGTTTCGTCAGGTAGTCGATGAAATCTTCAAAGGGTTGATCTTCCTCGTGTGGCTTGGCGAATACGGTATTGTCGTCAGCATAGAGCGTCGGTGCATCGGCGTTCCTGCAAATGCCGTGTGAGCTACCGTCCTTGCTTTGCTTGCCTCTATATGACGGCTGGAAGAGAGAATGGTCCCATACCCGTACGGCGTGATTGCAACATTGACCTGATGGCCCCTCAGCGCCTCCCTTAGATACTCTACGTTCCATTGCTTGGTGGCTGGCCAGTCTTTTGCCCCGTTGCGAATGACAAACGGCGTGTTCTTTGCTACGAAGCGCATGAATTCCAGAGGACTTGGTTCCTCGTCCAGCTCCTCAATGACTGACGAGTTCAGCTCATTGTAGCTCACAATGAGTTCTTGGAGCGTGTCGTTTGCCAATGCCATTTCGACCAGCTCTTGATTCCCAAATCAGATTCAGCAGAAGCGGGTTCCCTGTCCAAGGCTTGAGCTAGGATCTGCAGATCGATCTCTATGCCGGCGGCAGGATTCACAAGGCTCTACCCAGCAGATCTCTCGGAGATCTCGGCCGAGATAGCGTGCTCGATTCCGGCAAGTCGATTTATGGAATTTTGTCGTACGATCAATGAAAGACTTTTTTGAGTTGCGCTGCAATGGAGGGTGTGACAAAAAGGCGATGGTGTAAGATAGTGGCAGCCATAGCCGTATGTTTTGTCCTAGGCTGGCTGGACTGGCTTGATGAGGCTACCTACGGTACAAATTCCGCAAATTGGTTGGTTGTGTGGGACGGGCCCGGGTGCCCGGCGAGTCTCCATCTTCTCGCTCCGTGCTGGCCAATGGGAGAATTTGCAGACGAGTGAATACCTTAAATCACAGCACAGGTTGCGCTGTGCTGCCATTGCTCTCTAGACATGCTATTGTTCAAAATTGCATTCTTTTTACAGTCATGGGGAAAACAAATATGAATATATCCTTTCCATGGCTCATAGGCCAAGTTGCAACGTCGAGTTCAACGGCCACAAAATTCTAGATCCTTGAAGTACCTTGGACAATGGGTCATGCTCCAAGTCATAAAGTAAATTTTCTTGTGCAACCAGAGACAATGTTGACACTACTGATTCGTACATGACCTTCGCTTGCGATGAGTTTTGGTGGTGGGGCAAAGCAACGTCCGTTACGCCGAACATTTGCCTACTCTTACCTACTTGATATACTTACATATGTATGTGTGACGACGCTTGCCAATTGATAAGACGGACAGCAAATCGTCAAGTTGTCTTGCAGGACACCGACTTTTTTTTCTTTGTCACCATTTATCAGCGGCTGTCGGGCATCAATGTTGGCAGGCTCGTAACTTCGTTACCAAGACCAAGGTTCTTGGGGATGCGATCAGCAGCCCACGAGTCAGGTTTCGCATTGCTTACAGCAAATAGAGTATTTGTCTTGGACTCCTTCTTTCAGCTGGGGGGACCCAAGACCCTGAGGGGCCGAGCTAGGCTACATTGATAGGGCATGCTACTCCATTCAGGGAGAGCTTACGTCGTTGCTGAACTTCAGGAGAAGTTCTTCTCGTCTTGAATGCCCATATGCGCAGAAGAACCTTTTATATGACATGCTTCTATAATCAAGGTTCGTCTGTGCATACCCGCTTCGCTTTCCATCAAACGCACACTGCAGTTCGTACACTCCCAATATGTACGCTTGGTAGGCTGATCACCATGAATACATGTACCGGAACCTGTTCCGTAGAAGATGTTGAGGAAGCAATTGGACACTTTGGGTCAATCAATCAAATCCTTCACAGAGGATCGGCCACTCGGTACGCACGGGAGACAGGTTGCGCGGGAAGCGGGCAGCACCCCGCCAAGGTGCCACTCAGCATGGGGACCCCCTAGCTTGCACTGCAATTGAAGGTAGCCCCAAGCGCTGGCGTGTTCAAGGGCCCCTTGTTTTAGTGACCTCCAATTCAATTGAATGGGCTGCAAGGTTCTGACTGATGAGACTTCCAGTAACCACCTGGCACGCTGGGCAGTTGACGGGATGAGTGTGAATGACATGAGCCTCCCCGGCGCATTAGCGTAGATAGGTACATTGATTAGCGTAAGCCGAAGCCTGGTACTCCGTCCGTAGTTTAGACAGTCTACCTACTCGTCCGCCCGCCCGAAAAGAAGCACCGCTGCCCACATCTCCAAATGCAGCTACGTGCTCGTGCCCAGTTCGTGCTCAACTCCAGCAGACCTTCCTGCCTGGCTGCTTTCTTTGAATGGTCTGGTCCAATCCAAACCCACCGATCGCCTGCGTACCTAGATGTAAGTAGCGCACAAATCACTTGTCTGGGTCTCCTTCTCCTTCTCTCTCGATCATCTCACGACTTGGTGGCGGTTAGGCCTAAAACAGCCTCGGATCCGACTGCTAAAGTGGTTTTTTGGCGAACATATTTGGGGCTAACGACATTGGTCCTTTCTTTTCCTCCACCAAAAGTCTCAAGCCGCCGACTATCTATCTACTACCTACTGCTACGACCTACCTTACATAACTTGCCTGCCTACACCCTTTCCAGGTTTCCTTCCTACTCACCGACGAGAGGAGGAAAGCACTTGATGAAGCTCGACTTGCGCCTCGGGTTTTAGCGGCGCCTTTCTTCGTCCTCAACTCCTCAAGATCATGCCCCCTCTTGCTCTCGCGACAGACAGCCATATGTGGCGAAACCGATCAGAACCACCATTCAGACATCACAATCCATAGAACAACCCGCTCACACATACACACCAATGCGCCGAGAGGATGATTTGGTACTTGCTATATCCTTTTAGAGGGTGCGTAAATTGGCTTCTGCTGCTTTATATCTGCTGTCCCTCCTTCTCATCCAGCCCTTCCTGTCTTGCCCTGCCCAGCCCTGGCGCTGCTGCTGCTCCCTCCCGCATCCCGCAGAACTCTATTGACACCTGAATTAGAACGACCGAAGCCCCCGTACTCAGTCCGACCCATCCTCTGCGCGATGCCTTCACCCGATACGGCAGATACGCTGCCCGTCATGTCATTACCACCTTATTAATATCAGTCACTGTTGCAGCTGTTCTGATATATCCGTTCCCGTTCCTATATACCACTGACTTTACCAATGGCGCCTCCAATCTCCCTCACCATGTCTGGACCGATGCGCAACCGCTTGAAGAGAAGAGCGGCATTGAGCCCGATGTCATGATGCGCTACATCTGGGTTCATGGCGACTACATGAGAGCTCTCGATCGAGATGTGCTGATGGGCGCTCTGGAATTGCAAAACGAATTGCTCGGGCCAACGATTGACTTTAGTCCTCGCCAGCTCCCTCTGCCTCTCGAGACTATAGACTTTTCGCATACAACCGCCCTCGATTTGAACCCCCGGCAGCGCGATACTTTTCACATTATCAATGGCCTGACAGACGAGTCTTGGTTCTTTCACTCGCCGTTACTCTACTGGTCATGCGACATGAACAAGGTTGAAACCGATCCGGACATCATCTCCACGGTCAATAACAAGAAAACGCAGCACACTTCAGTCAACGTCACCCTACGCCATTCGATAGTGTTTAGTGGGAAGCGATTTGAAGATCGTCGATTAGCGGCTGCTGATGCTCTTGTTATTACCCTGATTCACCGACGAAATTCCCCCGTTGGCCGCATCTGGCAGGCGAAATCCGAAGAGCTCGCCCGCAAAATGGCTGACAAATGGGACGTATATCCATCTGATGGAACTAGCTATCGCAGCCAGATATACGAGTTTCAGTTCCGGCCCATGTCGCTGCACGATGGTCTTGCTTTGGGTGCTGCCTATCTTCTCACGACTGCTTATTTTGTCGTCAGCCTCACCAAATTGCGAGCCGTAAAGTCCAAGATTGGCCTGGTTGTAACAGTAATGGCGCAGCTCGTCCTCTCGATCCTATCCAGCTTTACGCTCTGCGCTATATTCAAAATCGATCTATCAAAGATCCCGCAGCTGGCATATCCCGTCGCCATCTTTTCCATGAGCCTGGAAAACATTTTCAGGCTCATCAATGCCGTCATTCTGACCCCATCTGAAAGCAATACCAGCAATCGCATCGGCCATGCATTTGGCACAACCAGTCATGTTGCGCTCGCTAGCGTTGGCCAAAATCTTCTCATCCTATGGGGATTGTCCTATATTGTGTCGCCTGGTGTTCAAGCATTCTGCTCCTTTGCCGCCATAGCCATTATATTCGACTTCTTTTACCTATCAACCTTCTTTCTTTCGGTTCTCAGCGTGGATGTCCGCCGAACTGAACTCAGCGACGCATTAGCAAAGGCTTCCATTCGCAATCATCGAACGCCCGCAGAAGCAAAAGCCCGGCAAACATGGCTCGATGCCTTATTGCAGGGCAAGATTGCCATGTCAACTCGAATCGCTGGTACCATTGTCATGGTGGGATTCGTGCTGATTGCGCAATGGCACTTTTTCGAAAACGAAAGCCTCCTGAGAACTTTGGGTCGCATCACCATGATAACCAGGAAATACAAAGACCATACACCAAAGTCATCACTACTTGTTGATATTCATCAGGCCAGGAGCCCAACATCCTGGCTGCGACTGCAAGATCACGAAACGGCCCGAGAAGTCATCAATGTGGTGAAACCAGAAGCCCACAGCTACGTTGCCAGGGTATTCGACCCGATTATATTTGTCAAAAAGGGGGCCGATCGAATGCTCTCTACCAAAGAGCCCCCGTTTCTACCCGCAGTCTATGACTTTGTACGGCACCAAACGTTGCCCTTTGTTGTGACCGTTCTGGTTATTGGCGCCTTGGTGCGCATTCTCATGAACTATCTGCTTTACGATGAAATGTCTGAAAATACAATAATGCTACACGGCTCGGAAGAGGAGCCCCTCTTGACCGTGAAGACGTTGGGTCAAGGTCACTTGCTGGATATTGTGGCGTTGTGTGCGTCCTCTGACGGGCATGTCGTCTCTGTTGGACTGGACAGAACCATACGAGTTTGGGATGTGAAAGCTGGTGGGAGTTACGATCTCCAAGGGAGCGAAACAGCTCAGATCGTCTTTCCGATTCTTGCCATGTGTATCGACGACGAGTCCCGGTGGCTAGCTTTACTCATGACAAAAACCGTCCTCTTGTGGGACCTGCAGGAGTGTCAATGGGGCCCAACTATATCCGTGGCTGATCACGGTCACCGACCTGAAGCTTTCTTCTTTGCTGCGCAAGAGGTTGAGGGAGTCCATCCAGTCATATTACTGCGTCGCAATGGTATCATGACTGAGATCAAACCGGAACAGCTGGCGACTGTCAGCTATGAAATCTCCGAAGGAGCCCTTGTCTCAGTCGGCGCTCTTATCGAGAAAGGTAAAGATTCCTCATTTATTGCACTCATCTTTATTTTATCTACTAATACTATTGAAGCAAAATCCACGACCAAAATTATTACATCCTTCCGTAATGGTCAAGTCCACTGCCTGAGTCAAGAAGCTTCAGGTTGGAACTGCAACACAGTTGACATACCACGACCAAGAGACAAAGAGTTCATGTCACTTGTGGCATTGCCCGAGCTTGGATTCATCCTTGTTGTCAGAGTGCAATCAATCGATCTGGTTGATGCCACTTCATATTGTGCTATACATTCCTTCAAGACTGATCCGATACAACCGAAAACATTGAAATGTTTTCACTCAAAGAGAAGAACGATGCGATGTGGCTCCGTCGGTCTCAAATATCTCACATTCGCTTACCTGAATGCATTCACCCGGGATCTAGTCGTCCAAACGTACACCCCGCAAGACGAAGGCGCGTCTATTTGCTTCCGTGAACCCGGGCAGCCAGTAAGCAAGACATGCTGTCGATGGCCCGAAACCAAAGAGCGCAGGAGTGTAGTCAAGGACCCGGGCACATGGGAAGCACTTCCTTCCAGGATATTACTAGGTGTAAGGAAGAAGCCTTCACCCAAGGCCCGGACGGAGAATGGAAGTGCTCATCAGAATGGCAATGGAGAACTCCGCCGGCGGCGACCCAGTCACACGCCGAAACCGATATCTCCTGTCAAAATGGAGGACATGTGGGAGATATGGATGCTCTCCCAGGCGGACAATAAAGAGTCCTGGGACACTTTACCCCTATGCCGGGAGACTGACGACGAACATCTCTTTGTCACCAAGACTGGACCAATGGTCCGCGTCGGAAGAGGCAGCGTCGCAATCGGGCTTAGCAATGTCATCAAAGTGATATTAGTCGGCAACGAGCGATTCGAAGGGAGTGAAGAAATTTCAGCATTGGAGGACGGCTTAGGTACCATCATGAGTCGAAGACGTAATAAGCCGTCGACTCTCAGAGGTAGACCTGCGGCCCTGCTGAAATGATGCACTCGAATTGCATAATCTGGCGTTGTATATACTTACTTATAAACTAATTCATATGGGTATGGATAATGGTTGGAAAAAAACACGGACAGGGACAGCATATTCGGCGTCGTACATACACGGGCACTTTATTTCTTCACTTGGGATACCACTAGTATCACGTCTATACAAATCCTCATGGGCACAGGCGCTTTTTATATGGTTGGCTTTACTTGGATGATGAAAGGTCCTCAGCAGTCTATACTACTGCAGAGGAAAAAAGAAAGCAAATTACACGCAGACATGAATTATAATGATTTAGATCCTGCACACTGAAAAAGTTCAAAAGTCTATAACCCGGATCTTATCTAGCTACCAGCAATGCTCATTTGCTTGGCAACGCAACCTTGTTCCCCAAGACCTTTTTGTGTATACCTTTTCATCAATCCCCCTTCTTGTTTTGTACTGTCATTCCTCTACTGTTGTGTGTGTGTGTATCTTGAGCCAGCAATCATACACAATTGAAATCCGTCACAGCCCGACATGAAAATGTAATAACAAGAAGAGAGAATAAACGCCAAGCCCAGTTGATCTCCCAAGCTCCAAATAGAAGTGAAACTCCACAAACAAAATTGCATCAACCCAGATCAGAAGGATTGGAAAAAAGAATGAAACCAGGTAAACCCGCCCAAAAACTCCGCAAACCACGCCGGGTCCCACAGTCTATCCCACGCTGGCTCAAAACCCAAAGTCGTAAATAAAGGTTCGTGATAATATATGGTGTCGTTTGGTGTCCTCCATTCGTATACAAGTGCTGTCCGCTGCTCGCTTCATGAACATCAAACAGGAATAACGAGTTCCGTGGTGTGTTCTTGATCCACCAGACGTGCTCATGATGAGAAAACACATCAGACGCCTCAGTAGTAAGAAAGGAACGTCAGATCTTGCAGGAAAACGTATAAAAGAGAGAGAAGGAAAGAAAAAGAATGAGTCGAAAGCATTCTAGTCTTGTTCTTGAAATTTCCTTCACGATCTCCTCATCTTGACGCCGCCGCCGCCGCCGCGGCGGACCTTGACGACGGGCGGCGGCGGCGGGCACTTGTCGGGACACCAGATCTGGCACTCATCGCAGGCCTCCTCGAGGCCAATGGTGTGCCAAATGGTGCGCTTGTCGCAAGGGGTCTGAGTAAACGAGGCTGGGTTGCAGAACCGGGCAAAGGTAAAGGACATGTGCTTGCAGCTAAAGGCGTGGGCGTAGTATTTGCACATGGTGGCGATGGTGGTGGTGGTAAACAGTTTGGGTGAGAGCTTTCTTGTTGCCTCCTTTTATATCAAGAGGTTTGATGGTCTTGTTTGTGTGTGTATAAAGGTCGTGTCTAACTGTTTGGCTTGTAGTCTGGTGGCAAAGTAAAGAGTTGGCTCAAGATTGGTAGTGTATGAGAGAGTGTGTGTGTGAGAGTGAGTGAGTGTGGTGTTGTATAAGAACTCTTTGTCTTGTTTTAAATGGCAAAATGAATGGTCAGATCCGAGGGAAAATGGACAATTGAAATAAGTGAATGTCGGTGTGATGAGAGTAAAGGAGTGGAAATGAGTCGAAGCAAGTGAGAGACTACTGTCGTTCTGAAATGATTTTCTTCTTTTCTTTCTGTCAAGGGAAGGTGGTTGATGGGTTGTTCTTATGGTCGCGTGTATGCTAATAAGCAATGAGAGGTATACGCCCACTCAGGGGACGTAGCTCAAAAGACGTGTGTGGCGAGCCTTGCAGGTTTGCTTTTTTTGTTTGTTGGGCAGCAAGGTTGCCGAATAAGGTTGTGTGGTTGATCTCTGGAGAGAGAGAGAGAGAATGTGGATGTGGATAACCGGCTACCAATGATGCGGCGACGACAACGACGTATGCAAGCAAGAGTCAGAGAAACAGTCTGAAAAAAGATGGCCAGATCTGGGGTTGTTGATCATTACATCGGACAACAAAGTTGATGGCTGCAACCGTGCGAGTCATTCAAAAGGTCCGGGAAACGTTTCAAGTCAGAGGAGTATCAAAAAAAGAGTCGAGAGAGTGTCTGGGTGCTATTCTTAAATGTTGTTTCTTGTCTGAAGCGTGTGGAGTTTGCTGCTTTGCTGGTACACTACGGATACGGTGCAGACAACCACCTGTTGGACTGGAAGTGGACTGGATGGGGATCTAGAAAGTGACGATGGATACCTGCCTGCCAGGCATCACTTCTACTTTTAGAGGTCCGGGTCGGGTGGTTCCCAAAGGGTCAAGCAGTCAATCAAGCACTGCCAGCAAGCAAGCAAGCAAGCAAGACGTTGTCGGTATGACTCCATCAGAGATTGATTATATTGTCAATCAAAAGGATCACCTATCCGGCTACGTTTGTCAATTTTTGGCAATAGGCCGTGATGTTCGTCAGTTTAAGCGACCCCGATTGGGACGACAAGCCTGGATCATAATTTGGCAACGGCAGTCGGTTGCGAGTAGCCTGTTTCAGCACGGCTGAGTAAGTTCCACAACATGTGAAGATTAGACACGATGGGCGAATCATGGACGAGTTATAGGGCGGTCGCTCGGCGAACGACACCTGTCCATATGCCTCAGACAGGAAGTTTTGGGCAGAATGTAAATTAGAGAGCTTTCTATTCCTTCTGTCGACCCAAAACCTCCGAGCCGAGGAGACCCAAGGCCTGTAGGTAGCCTTCTTCTTTTTTGCCCAAGGTCCGCGGATATGTAGTCTGGCCACGAAGTGTGTGCACGGAACCTTTTTTTTTTTCTTGGGCACGGTCGCGGACAGACAGACAGACGGACATGTGCTTGCTTTCCTCATGGAGGTGGAGAGAGGGAGAGGAAAACGTGGTGCAATATGAAAGAAAAGACGTCTCTTGTTCCCGAGGATATGGGATAGATGTGGGTGTGGGGATCTCCAGTCTGATAAGCTGTGTTTGACGCAGGTGAAAACCTGGCTTGCATTTGGGCTGACCACAGGTCGCACGTATTATACTCGTCTTGTCCTGTATGGAGCCGGCGGGCGGAAGTATGTCAGTTGCGCCCGAAACGAGGCTCGACAACTCTTTCGTGGCAGCCATGTCATGTACGCACGAGTCATTCTTGGTGATTGCTGGCAATAATCTGACCCGTATAGGCCATTTCTTTTGAAAGTTGGTGTTTTATTGATGGGCATTAAATGAGATAATACTGGAAACCTAGAATGCTGGCACCTCAAAAGCTGTTGCGCCTACAGTCTTCGTCCATTTGCACAAGTTGTATATTGGAGTGAGTATCGGTAGAGTGAGCGAGGGAAACACTTGCAACCTAGATTGAGTTGGCAACTATAATTACCTGTTGTGACACGCTGGGCACCTCTGGAAAGCAAACCCGAGGAGCGGCCATGGTGTCGTGCAAGTTCACAACCTTGCTGGCAATTCCGGAGGAGACTGGGCGAGTTCAAAACAGTAAAAGCAGCAACAACAGCAACAACAGCAAGGTGCCGACGCAGCAAAGAAGTAGTGTTGGAGATCAATTAGAAGTTGCGAAATGTGCATCCTCACCGCCAGTTTGTCATGTAGGTATGTCGTCGTCTGTATGCTCACGACATGATCATGGTAACAATGAGGAAAATCGGATGGGAATGGGATAAGCCAAATATAGAGCTGGGTGCAGGTGTAAATTAGCGAGCCCGGGCATCTGGGGTTTCAACTTCCGGGTGCGACAGGCAGGTTGCAAAAACAAAGATATTTTGCGAAAATCATGGAGGGGATGGCCGCATATTTCAAGGCCAAATGCACGAGTAATCAAGGGGACATGACCTTTTATTTTTTTTTTATTCCATCATTCCGTCTTCCGCGGGAAACCTTTTTTGTTCCTTTGCTTTTCTTTGGTTCCCTCTTTGCTCGACGGCACTTGCTTTCTTCTGTGAGGTCATTCCGCTGCGAAAAAGCTTATGGTCAGTGGCGGCGTTGGTGCGCTGTCAAGAGCTGGTTGGGTGACGGGCCGGAAATGTAATCATCAATGACACTGACAGTGACAAGACAACCCGATGACATGACAGGCAGGTTTTTTTTTTTCGAGGACCGACGAGGACGAAGACAGCGGCATACATCGAGGCCAGCAAAGCGGCTGCTATTCTTATCCCCAATCTCAACCAAGGCTCACACACATTTAGGTACGCCGGCGTGCTACATTAGCCATGCCTTCCATGCCCAGCCCAGGGTAAGGTACTTGGCAGGCGCCCGTATCACCTAGAGCTTGACAAGTACCTACCTGCCCAAGGTGAGCCTGAACCCGTCCCTTGCCTACTAGCTCCCGCTGTGGAAGGGGAAAAAATTGGGGGGCTGGGAGGGAGCGGAGGGAGCTCGAAACCAAACGAACGGACCCCCCCTAATGTACTTCAAGGTAGGCCCTTGGACTACCATTAGTGTACGAACGTGGGGTAAGGTGGCATAGTCCAGTGAGGTAATGTACCTAAACCTCAAGGTAGCTATGCGGTCATATGCGGGCAATGTCTAGATCCCTGCGTCTTGTCCAAGATGCATGTCCAGAGGCTTAGAGCGCCTACATATTGTAATATCTTTTTTGCGCGCGCCTCTCTGTGTCTGATGCAGCTCTCCCTGGTATTTTGGCGCTGCAAGTTGCTGTGTATGTTTGTAGGAGGCAGTATGCGGGCATGTAGGTCTGCAATGCACCGGGAGATTGACCTATGCAGCTGCGTCAAGGGTTCGAGAGATTTGAGAATTGAGACTGGATCAACTCCGTCCTCTCCTCGATATCATGAAACCCGATCGATCCAAATACCAGGGGGCCTGTGTCCAGATGGCAATCCGCCGTAGTATCCACAATGCGCCCAGCGCTTGAAGGGAATCGTCGGGCAAGAACTGATAATTACATTCCCGGCATCTTTGAACCTGTCGAGTTCATGGCAAATAAAACCCCCCCTAGAAGGGAGACGGAATGCGGGTTACATGATTGTTATACTTGATAAAAGTGGTCGAGTTTCATGGTAGGTAATGCACTGGTGTGACACGGAAGGTAGTTGTCGTGTTACCTAAGGTCCCTAAGGTACCTAGCACCTGCCCACCATCGCTGTATGTACTGCCTTCTCGCCCAAGTAACAGTCCATCAAAATCATACTAGATACCCCGATAATGAAGACTGCGACGCAAAACGGACACACAGGTGGTGGGATCGTACAGGCGCGAGTATGCTGCAAGGGAATTGCCCTTTTCCCGTTGACCGTGACGGTCTCAATGTCTCAGACAAGAGTGTCTCCCCTCGTGGGGAAGGAAGCCAAAAAAAAAAAAAAAAAAAAAAAGGGACACCCGCTTGGCCTTGGGCTGCCTGCATCTTCAATTGCGCTCCGCCCATGTAGGAACAAAAGTTAATTTTGCGCGCGAGGCGTCTTTTTTGGCGTTTCGTTGCCATGGAGAAGCCTCACTTGAGCAGTGAAATAGAGTTTGCGATCTGGATGTTTTCTTTCAAGAACGGGTTTGCAAAAACAAATGACACCAACCCTAACTACAGTAGCTCAACTGTCAACTCGTTAGGTCAGTGTGCACTAGCATTTGACATCTGCAAAGACGGCAAGACGATACTGCAAGCTCTCGACGTCGGTTCCACGCCAAATTGGTGTATCGCATCCAGCTTCTCACGATATACTTGGCCGGCTTGATATCGCATCGCGTCCGACGTGTCACGGCGATAGCTGATCATCCCGTGGGAGGACTTGTTGCGACAGGAGATACTATACGCAGGCTATTCCGAGTGCCCATCCCCAAGACATCTTGAATTCCGGAACACGGACTGGCCAGATACAAGAGAGACGAGGTTTTGAACCCTGTTTCGGTCATCCGAGTCCTGGTCTGCTGCTGCTGCTGCGGTCAATCAGCTAATTTATGACGAGGGCTTGCTTGGGGTCTCCAAATTGCCAGAGAGGATAAGAAAAAGAGGGAAAAAAGAAAAGAACCTCGTCGGCCCCGGACCGCCCATCTACTACATAGAGTACCTGGTCCCAGGGTACATAAGCAGGCGGGATTGCTGGTTCCAATCAGAGCTCCACCTGGCCGCCTCCGGCTCTCTGGATCCTCGTCTCGTCGCTCGTCTCGCCTCTCCTGCTTCTCGAGCCCTTTCCTTTCCTAGTACTACGACGAAATAGAGGAGGGGAGGGATTATTACATACATACATTTTGGACAACTCATCTTGCATCAAACGAACGCATCCGCGCCCTCGACCAAAATTTCAGTCTTCGACTGCGCTTCCATTCATTCCTTCACTCGTTCATTCGCTTGCCCCAGTCTTCCGAGGGCCCCGATCTATCTTTTCTGGCAGGGGCGGCCTGTTCGTCTTTTTTTCCTTCTCTTCTTTTTGAAGGTTACCTGACTCTCCCCTGGTCCATTGACGTTCGCATCGCAGACCAGAGGCAACAAGCGTCAAAGGTCACGAACCAGGGCTTGTCAATCGCGCAGTCCGTCTCGTCCTCGAGGCCTGCCAGCCGACCTCCTGCTATTACTACGTACTACTACGTACTCCTACTACCTACGCCAACGCCTAACTAAGCCTTGGACTACACTGCCGCTCTGACGCTCTTCACTCTTTTGCCTGGCGTCCTTTTTTTTTTTCTACTACCCATTTTATTTACCCACTTGTGCTCGGCTACCCGCCATTCGAATTCAACAACCCGGGTCAATTCAAGTCAAGCAAGGCCTGGCGAAAGCTGGAGCTTTCTTCTTCTTCTTCGTCTTCTAGCGACCAAATTTGTACTGCACGGCTCTCACGACGACCCACTGCCGTTCATGCATTGGAAGCAACCTGCCACTCATTCCTTGCAAATACTGGGAGGCCCATACATAATGACCTGCGTACCCCCCGGACGTACATACATCTTCTAGTAACCCTACGTCTGTGACTACTTTTCTTTTTAAAAGTCAGTCCTTTTTCTCACCGGGTGCTCAAACCATTGCACCTGCTGTCCGTGATCGACCTCGATAAACTTCGGGCCAGTCAGTCAGCCAGTCCATCTCACGATAGTTGGATTCAGCCAAGCCACAGAGCTTCGACGAACGGCTGCTCCACATCGTCAACCAGTGCACTTACAAGATCCAAAATCAGCTGGTGGACCGCACACCGCCTTTGGAAAGGCCTCCCGCCACCAGAAACCTCATTCAGTCAGCGTGCGTCGGCTGCGGTATCAAGGAGATCCCCGCCACGTGGCGATCATATATATACAGCCGCCTAACCTAGCGCCTTGGGCCCCATCATCGTCATAGGCCATATTCGACAACGCCGAGATGCTTCATGACAGACGGAACGCAGCAACACCGTCCGCCGCATCCTCCCTCATCATAGCCTCTCTTCCAACCGACCCACTCATCTTGATATACTTGTCTCATTAAGGCGATCCTTGGTCTCTTTTACTTGAATCTTCAAACTCAGTCCATCGGCGTTGCGGTTCTTGGCTGTGTCATATTGGTCAGTTGCTTTAAGCCATCCAAACCATTCTTTTTTTTCCTTCGATGCCATATGATATACCTACAAACTCAAGCTGACAATGGATGCAGCTCTATTTCATTTTCGGGAATTTGTCTACTGGGGCTTAATCCTGGGGTTTGCATGATACACAGAGTCTGCAATCATACCTCTAATTCTGCAGCTGCCGCTCATTAACAAATTTACTGGCCGCAGCCAATATCTCAAGACACCCGGATCAGCACCTGAGTGTCTTTTGTCATTCGTTTCATCCGATCGGCAATCATTCGTTTTGACAATTCGATATTGATAGCCAATATCATAAAGGCATTCGGGCTTGGCATTCACTGTTCTGAAGGCCACGTCAAGGCGTATCAATTACATCAGATCGACGTGGACGGAGCAATTCCTCACTATTCGAGCCTTTCAAAATTGGCAACCAACCAATTGAGCCCTTACGACTGGGTAAAGGTATGACCATTATGACAATCTCATTCCTCCATGACCACATATATTCTCCAGTCACGGCAACACGCTTGAATCCGCCAAGCTTTACTACGTGCTGCAAATTCACCTGATATATATGTGCAACGTCTCTTTCAAACAGGCGAGCCAAGTTGATGAGAGGCTGAGCTAACCAAGGGCCAGACAGGTGTGAGGCAGTCGGATCTGCTTGTTTTCAATGGCATCCTCCGAGGTGGACCAAAAGTTTCTCGGCAGGCTTGCAAAAGCTGTCGAACCCAGCAATGCGCTTCTGAGCTCGATGCTGTACAAAATCCTTGGTCTTTCCATAAACTTATCAAATCATCTACTAAAGGCTCGAAAACAAAGACGCCTAGACACGACGCGTATGACGCAGTCGCTCGAGCTCTACTTGCACATAATATGGCTTTCGCGGGAAGGCCTCGTAATGCTGGAGCAATACGTTTTGCCCATGGTGGGAAACTATATCGAGCTACGAGTGCTTGCATATAAGCTCCGCGCTTCTTTTTACCACATCTTTGTCTTGTTCCATAACAACCCACCCGTCTCGACCATGACGCCCGAGGTCTTGACTGCGGCTGCACTTTCAACGTTGAGCTCAACACGACCAGACAAAGGCAAAGGTGTGGCCAGGGATGACGACCTACCCGAGACAGCCAGGTCATCCTTGCAACCTACTCATAACCTCGAGGGCGGACCTGTTGGTCCTCCTCCCGGCTTTGGCCCACCGGCACCCGAAGCCATTGCATCCTTTCTCCTTCCCCACGTTGACTACTTACCAACAGCCCATGGCTACTTTAAACAAGCTGTCGAGCTCGCTGACAAACACCTGTGGGGGTCTCATTCCTTGCGGCTTTCTGTAAAGACTGAATATGCAGCCTTTCTATACGAATGCGTGCATGATGTTGAAGGAAGCCGCCGACTGGCCAAGAGGACAATAGCCGAAGTCTACGACGCACAAGAGGGCATGGACGACGACATGTTCAACGATGCATGCGAACTTGTGACCGTTTTGGGCAAGATGATGAAACGGGGACTGGGGTCGGGCCACCCGTCGCGGAGTCGAGGTCCAAGCCCAGCACCCATTGCCCCATCTCGATCCGACAGCGTGGCCACAGCAATTCCTCCTGTTGGCATGCAGAATCCCATTTGATTTTTTCTGTTCATAGAAATCAACGGGTAAAGCGCTAGCCAGGAGAGGCCAAGCAATGTGTATAGATTTGGCGTTTGTTATCGTTTCTGCTTGAGCCCTGTTTTATTTCCCAAAAATGGGTTTGCATAGCCGGCTGGAGTTTACAGGAGCATCTTGTTTGCATTTCCATATACAGCACGATTAAGCTGGTCAATGGGGCACTTTGTATTAATTGGCGACACTTCAGCTTTCAGGATATCTTGTCGACTGCATTTTACTAAATTGCAGTGCACATGGTGGAGAATGAAGGGACACCTCAATTCTTTCAGCGTTTAGATACATCTACAAGCGAGGTGAAGATCATGGCCTAGAGGTCAAATTATTGATAATGCTATTACTATTTTCAAAAGTACATACCCATGCCTTGCATCCAGTGTGACGTGAATGGCAACGAGCCGAACCACCCAGCAAATGTCTCTGTAAAGTTTACGGCACTTTTGTATTGATTTCCTGTTACCAATTCCCAACAGCAGAGAAGACAATAGCCACCCCGTGCCAGGGAATCCACGTTGAACAGGAATTTGTTTTCGCGTGGTCTCCTTTTTCTGTTGTTGACCGAGTCTTGGTAGATATTGAGCAATACACGAACGATCACCTGCTTCTTATACCACAACTACTCCCCTCTTTTGCAAACAGTGTCAAACATGGCAACGACTCTCCCGTGAGGCCTCTTGACCATATCACTTTGCCTGCTGCATCTTGTACTTGATGACCTCTTCGGAAACCATACGACCCGTAGCGTTGAAGAAATCGGCCTGCATGCGCTTGAACTTGAGAGCCTCATCCTTGGCCTCAATGACGGCCAAGACCTTGCAGTCGCCCTCGGTCCAGTGCCGATCCGGCGAGTACGTCTTCTGCTCCGGGTACAGCTCGCTCCAGTAGTCGTGGTAGACGAAGCGCTTCTGCTCCTCGCGCTCGGCCTCGTGGTCAAAGTCGTCGTCGCTGTCGGTGCTGCCGATACCGCTGCTGTCCGAGTCCGAGTCGGACGAGTTGGCTAGTTCGGCAAAGCGCACGCCGTTCCTTTCAATGACCCGGCCCGAGAGCTTGATCTGGCCCGACTCGGGAGTGGCCGAGGTGGATGACTTGTTGTTGTTCTTCTTCTTCTTCTTCTTCCCCCCTCCGCCTCTAGCGTGGACAGGTTGCTTGGCTTGTTGTTTCACCACCTTGACACACTCGTCGAGGGCTTGCGTGAGATCAATGGCAGTCTGGAGCGGCGAGGCGATTTTCTTGTTCTGCTCTTGATCATCCTCCTTGTTTTCTTCTGCTACCACTACGACCTCATCTGGCGGCGACGACGCAATGGGCTTTTCCGGAGACGGAATCTCCTGACCTTGCCGTCGCATGTCCTCGGCCCAGTTTTCGCCAATCGAGTCCGTGTCCAGACCCGCGGCCTCGATTTGCGAGCGGATGAATTGGAAGCGCTGCCTGACGAGGTTCTTTTTGCGGCCTACCGACATGGCAATGGCGGCCCAAGTCAGGCCGTCCTTTTTGAGCTTGCAGATGGCGCCGTCTTGGTCCGTTGTCCATTGGCTATTGTCCCGGATCGGGTCTGCGGACGCGTCGCGCGCGTTGTCTTTGTCGTCGTCGGCCATGGCTTGTGATTTGTTTACGGGCTTGGCCTGACCTGTCCTGTGTATTCAGGGCTCTCGATGTATAGGCCAGACTTGATGACTTGTGGTGGGCGTTTGGCGAGACCTTGTTCTGCCGTGTGCTTTCGGGTTGAAATCAGGGGGCCCGGCCAGAAGTCGAACACTCCTTGGGCGTTTATGATGAGATATGATTCAAGTAATAAATACTGCTTCACCTCTCGGTGATGGGATTGTGTGATGTTGTTGGCCAGGAGATTATGACCTTTCTAGAGCTAGACGACGGTGGTTGTCCGGTGACGCCGTTTGATTATTGTCGTTTGCAGCCCAATGCCGATATGAGAATTTCTTTATTTGTGGAATAATAACGTGGAAACATTGACTGCCCCGTGAAATTAAGCCAGGTCATTTCATTGGCTCCTACTGTATTAGTGCTTCATAACCTGCTCTTCACTTTTGGATGCCATCTGGCATAAGGATGGTCTTCCCCGGAAGGGATCAAATGATCGACGGCACCAGTGTGTAAAAGTCCGGGATGAACCTGATCGAGACTCGTGACACCACACATGCGCATTGTCGTCTCCAGCTCGTCGTTGAGAACTATAAAGTATTAGACATGGTTTGTTTCTTGAGGTGCAAAAGTGTGACTCACTGTCAATATAATGTTGAATACCCTCTTTGCCATAGTTGAGGCCATATAAAAACCCTCGACCAATCCCAACAGCTTTGGCGCCCAGACACAAGGCCTTGAAAATGTCGGTTCCTCTTGAAACACCGCCGTCGACATAGACCTCGAGGTGATCAAAGACCTGTGGACAACACTTTTGTAATTCTAGCAAAACCAAGATGGTGGCTGGCGACGTGTCTAGGCTGCGTCCGCCATGGTTGGAAAGCAGAATCCCGTCGGCGCCAGCATGCATTGCCTTGACCGCATCGGCCGCAGTTTGGACCCCCTTGAGCACCACAGGCACGCCAGGTGCGCACCGGCGGATCCATTTGATATCGTCCCATACCGTCGTGGGATCAATAAAGCTGCCCATGATGCGACCTAGCGCGCCGCCCTTCTTGTCATTCTTGGCCTGCAGTCCCGTCATGGGAGAGGCGACGCTCTCGTCGGCCTTGATGCGCTCGTCGGCCTCGCGCTTGCCCGTGACTGGTGCGTCTACCGTGAGGAAAATGGCCTTGGCGCCCCGCTCCGTCACCTGTTTGAGCTGCTCTTCAGATTTCTTGCGGTCCTTGTTCATGTATAACTGGAAAAAGACGGGTGTCTCCTCGTGGCTGGCCAGCTCGACTTGCTCGTGTGCGTCCATGATTTCGGAAAACGGATACGAAGCGCTCGTCGACACCATTTGCGGGATGCCGAGGCTCTTGCACGCCCGTCCAATCTCCCTCTCGCCCTGGGGGTGGAACATCTTGCCCATTGAAGTCGCGGAGCAAAAGATTGGGCTCTTCATCTTGAATCCCAGCATGCTCGTGCTCCTATCCACATCCTTTACGTTCCGCAAGATACGTGGACGCAAGATGATGTCGCGATATGCCTCGCGATTCCTGTCCCGCGTATAGCAGTCCGTGGCAGCCGAAGAGGCAAAGGCCCACGCCTTGGGAGTAAAGCTCTTTTCAGCTGCCAGCTCAAAGTCATGAGCGCATATGAGACTGTCCAGCGGCGGCTTTAGGATCTCGCCTTTATCTTGTGGTGAGGTGCTCTTACTCGGCGGTGTACTCCACGATTCTGTGATTGTGTTTGTGTCGAGTCTTCCCACATGGCAAGCCGATGGCAATGTCGTCTTGATGAGAGAGGAAGAGTGCACCTCCGAGTACGCCTTGGTCGCATCTCTGCCGGCGTACTGTAAGAGTATGTTGACGCCGCCGGGGTGATTAGGTGCAAATGCCGTGACATCGTAGACTGTACCGTCCACGACTAGCCACAAGTCGTCGACTGAGGAGTGTTTGGTGATCTCCTCGACAGAGATGAGGCGCTGTTGCATATCGCTTTCGTCAATTATTTCCCAGTGTGCAATCTTAATGTGACCATGTATATGAATTGCATTCAGACTAAATTGAGTTCGATATTGCCGGTAGAGGAATGTGATGAAATTTCTATCATTTATCACATTGCAAGGATGCTTAGTATTATTTCCGTGACTTCGGGCAAACTATAATCGCTATAAGTTGACGGACTTTGGCTGTCTCGGCTACAAATATGCCGAGTAGTCTGAGGGGTAAATTTAGGAGTCCTTTGGTTCGTCTCCCTCAATCATTTCATCCGCTTGACTTGAGGTGGCAAGACATGATCAATCTGTGGCTCTTAGCAGGCCAATTTTTGAGATGTATACTTGATGGTGAAATTCCGAGCTACCCAATTACAAGTTTCCTTTATCGCCTCACGTAGGTATGCTGCAACAACTCGGAAGTAGGTAGCTGAATATAGCCACGCAGCGCCGAGTTGTATGTTTCGTGTTACCCTACCTGGCTGTATAGGTACAGTACATGTAGATTCTCATCAACCTGCCAATGCCTTTCCAATCAAGCTCTTTGCCCTGTCGCTCAATTGCATCCCCAGCGCGAGTTCCTGGCCCTTGGGACTCATCTTGCCCCAAGTCTTTCTCAGAATCCCAATCATCTTCTCCTCGTCAATCTCGTCCCTCTTTTCAAAGTCATCAAACTGGTCGTCGAGAAATACCAGACACGCCGTGTCCTCCAAGACCTGCGTCTCCTCGTCATTCTTGAGATTCTCCTTGCGAATAAGCGCCGCCACCCTCTCCACATCCTCCGTAGCCAGCGCCGGCGTGATGGAGGGGGACTGGAGCAGCTCGGCGACCTGCTGTGCGGCCTGCGCTTTTTGCTTGGTCCGCCAAGTGAGGTAGCCCGGGCGAGTCATGGGATACGAGCTCCTGGGTATCTCCCATCTGTATGTGTCCCGAATAATCTTGTTAGTGATGAAATTGTTATTTCCTTCTCGCAAAATCAAGCCATCTTCATTTCCCTTTACCTCTTGAAGTGCTGAGCTCGGCAGGCTAGCTGTAGTGTCGGCGATGCGTCTGGACACCGTGCCGCCAACCATTTGGTCATCTTTTGCGCATAGTGCAGCTCATACGCCATGGGGTCGCTGCCGCCCTGGCCGGCCGTGGTCCGGGGGTCTGTGGCATGGGCCTCGTCTATCAGTCTTAGGCCGGCTGCATAGTTTTCTGGGAGTGCTTGGAGTGTTGCCATGTTGATGTGTCTGCTCGAAAGACTGAGTAGTAATGAGTCGCAAGCGATTACAAGCCTTATCTCTTGAATGAAGTTGAGAACAAGACCTGGAAAACTGATCACTATCTTCAAGCATGTGGGGGCTGACAAAGTCAGTTTGCCGATTGGACGGCGCTATCTTAGGGTGTCTTGCTAGTATACATCAATAGCCTACATAGACAGTGACAGAATCTATCTTTTTTGGGACAGCGCTACCACTTCATATCATCTGCTCTTTGTTGAATGCCGACACGAGACTGTGCCTTCTTGTTCCAAGGCATATACCATCATGATTAATTATCTCATGCATGAAATGCAGCCAACTGAGGCTACGAAACATAAGAGACCCCCGATTGTCTCGGCACGTAAGGGAGAAACTTGAGAGAAGAATTTGACGCATTCTAGTTTGGAGCATTCCGAGGTGCTTTATTTGGTATCAAGTCTCAATCAATCCGCTACAAAAACGATGAGCATCCCTCTCGAGGCGGGATTCACCGAAGAATTATATAATATGAAGCTCGGATCAAAGCAAGGTCAAAATAGACGACACCCGTCTTTCTATGCGAGCTCCCTTAGCTCACCGTCCGGTCGACTGGCCGGCAACTCGGCAACTTGTCCGTACGGCTGGTTGTAGTGAGCATATTGACCAGCCTGCGCAGGATTATATGCCTGATACTGCTGCGGCTGGTGGACGCCCGCGGCCAGAGGCGGCGTGTGGGCGGGGGGTGGGGGGCTGCCAGTCGGACTGACGGATCCGGTCATCATGCTGTCGTACTGGGAAGGTTTGGGCGAATGAGGGTCGTAATACGTCGAAGGGGCCATGCTGGCGCGCGGGTCCTGGCCCGGCATGTAGGCTGCCTGGGGATAGCCGGCAAACTGCTGCGGAGATGCCTGGGCCATTTGCTGGCCGGAGCCGTACATGGAGTCGTGGGGTCCGGGACTGGGCTGCTGCGGCGGCGGGAAATAGCCATTGTTCTGGGCTGGCGGTGGGGGCTGCTGCTGCTGCTTGTTCTTATTGTGCTGGCGAATGAGGAAGAAGATGCCGAGGGCAAGTAATCCCAGGCCGGCAATACCTCCGACAACACCTCCAACAATGGCGCCGGTAGAACCTCCCGAGGAAGAAGATGCTGCTGCGGCAGCAGTCGAGGTTGATGTGCTTCCGCTACTGGTGGTTGACATCGACGATGAGGAGGCTGATGTGGAACCCGGAAGGCTGTCGTCGCCAGAGGTTGCCGAGCTTCGCGTCTTCGAAGACGTGTGAGTGGTTCTGGTTGTAGAGGAGCCGGTCAATGCGCTTCCCAGGATGGGAGCATAATACTCAACCGAGTAGACGCCGGCAGCATAGCCACAGCCGAGCGCGCTATATCCAGCGTACAAGGGGTCGTAGCTGTCATAAGAATATGTGACGCAGTTGGGATAATCTGACTCCGTGCTGTCGAGAGTGTAAGTGCTCCTGCCTATGGGCGCAATCTTGTTCTAGCATGCTTACCAAAAGAGCGTATAGTCTGAGTAGGTTCCCGAAAATGAGGCGGCAGATCGCGAGGGAAGGCAAGAAGTATAAATATTGCAGTCATTAATGTCTGCAGAGGCGCAACATCCCATGACCGCATCCCAGTCATTAACAATACACTGCGCTGAGCCTTGGCAGACGACAGCGGCAGCTTTGATATCAAGAGTCAGTCAAGGTCGTTTTTTTGAGTATTGAGGAAAGAAAGCAACAGTGGATATTCCAGAAAGGACTTACAAGATGAGTATCCGGAATAGTATCCGCAAGTACTAGTGCCATCCCTCTTTCGCAGCTCCTTCTCGACTGCATTGGCTTCCGGAGCCGATGTTGGCTTCGGTGTCCAGCCCATGGGGTCCAGGTTCATGATTCCATCCGTTTCGCGCGCCGGTTCCCATCTCTCAGTCTCGGTGCCGCGCTTGACAAATTGTGCGCGTGCGACTGCAGCGACGCAGCCGAGGATTGTCAACCTCGAGATCGAAGCCATTGTGTGATTGTCGCCTTGACTGCTTGTTTTCCACAATGCCGAGAGAGGGAGGGGAAAAAAAGAGCGGTGGTTGCCTTGGGAAAGAAGGAAAACCAGAGAAAAAAAGACGACAACGCGGAATGGCCAAGCAACGGCTGGGTAATGTTCCCCTCAGGAACTTTTATTCTTCTACATGCTGGGTAGATAATGTAGCTGCTAGGCAGGCAAGTAGTTAGATTGCTTACCCAGGTTCCATATGTCTAGCAAGGGCCGTTCGTTTGCAAGGACAAACGCCAAATTCTGCCTCAGCTGAGATGCAGCTCCACCATGACCACTTTTTTTCCTCTCCCAGCGGCCGCGTTCCGAGTCTCAATTTGTTTACTATCTGTTTATTCGCGTTACCATTGCTATTTCTTCTAGATATGTGTTCATGCCTCTATTCATGTTACTCGAATTGATTTCCCTCGCTCGTGTCTTCCAATCATCGAACCAAAAAGGAATCCCCCCTTATCCCCACCGCTTCGTTGAGGTTTCTCGCGATGTATCCCAAAATAGCTCCAAAAAACTGGTTCGTTCGCGTTGGGGTGGGTTGTGGGGCACGCGAAACCTTTAACCTTATACCCAACTAAGCTTCAAGCAGATAAGCTAGCAGCTAAGGAAGCGAGCAGCTGAAAGGTTCCAGTCTTGGCAACGAGGTCGTCTTGTTGCTGATCCGTCCCAGAGACCAATGAGGAGTTGGCCTCATTTGCCAGGACCGTCGCCGGGTGGGTGACTGCCCTGGGCTAGCAAAAATAAGGGCATCCTTCGTTTTTTGACAGATCAACAGGCAAGCCGAATGAGTCTTGTTCATCTCTCTCTTTGGGTCTAGTCTGCACCAAATAGTCAGAGTGAGGAGCACCGCCGTGGGCCGAGTCATGAATGTGGAGGACGGAGACCCTGACAAATTGATCATGTCTTCCGTTCTCTTTTCAGGGAATGCTTATCTCCATTGAGAAAGACTGCTCTTCGGGTTGAAGTTCCACTACCATGGGGACTTTTTGGGTGTGGTTCCGTACCTGTGCAGATGACTTTTGCTTTATAGTCAATATCGTGTCTCATCTTCAGCTTGACAAGCGACTAGTCAACTAGGTATTCTCTCAACTCCATTGCAAGCTTCTATCATATCAGTTAGGGCAATTGTATCGTATTCCTGTCAAAGGTGTACTTGTTTTGATTTTCAAGTCTTGTAGGAGCCCAAGCCAAGCACTAATTATTTCTCAACACGTTCCTAGGCATGCCAAATTCATGGAATGCTCAGTGGTGGTCGTGCGATGCCCGCGGTCTCTGATATTTCTGTTGTGCAAGTTCGCGACCACCTCAATATTGTTAGTATATAAAACTTCAGAAAAGTCTTTCTTTTTTTCCCCTCCCTGTTGTGCTACAGAGTAGACACTCACGTGTCCTAGTGATCAGAGTTTCATGGCCTCTTGAAAGGGATCAAGATGCTGCGTGACGTATCAGACACGTCAAAACCGTTGCAAGAATTAACACACATCAGACGATTGCGGCGTTGCTGCTGCTACGTGCAGGATCAATTCGCAAGGGGGAAAACACACATGTCTGTTTCACGGGAAATGTCACCCACGTTCCGGAGGAGGGGAAAAAAAGACTTAAATGCAACCGAGTCCCCGCCCCAAGCCGCTGGTATCACCTTCCCACGCGCCGTCCCTTTCTTTCTTTTCTACAAAAGCACGCGTTTGGCCTTACCGGTCGCTCAGAAGGAAAAAAGACCGGGATTAAACACATTGTGGGACAAGAGCTTTGCCGGCTGCAGGTCACCGGTCGCCAGAGAGAGTCCGACTCGCGAGAATGTTACACGAGAGCCTTTGGGGGTGGGTTTTCGAACTTGGCTAAATGCTTACTGCATCTAATACCATCACCGTCCTTCTGGAGTATGAAGAGACCCCCCTGCTCATATGAAGATGCCTGCTGGGAAATCTAGAGGTTATATCATGTGTGTATGCGATCTTTAGACTGAGTCCGCCTGATCTAGATTTTTCACTTACTTGTGGCTTGCGCCGGCAGTAGCGGCATTGCGGGTAGATCTACAGATATCCGAGACAAGGATTTGTTTGCTGGCGAATAGCTGTTTCCTTTGCGGCGGTTCCTGCTTGCGCCACAGGGTTGCATGAAGGACAAACACCGCAATTCCTCAAGTTGGTTTTCTTTCTATGCACGTGAAGTAGCAGTGGTCTGCATCGATAAGGGGCCAGACTACCAGCTAAAATTGCACTTCCACGCATTGAAAGAAGATGGTAGTCTGACTTAGTACTTGAAGAAACGAGAAGAAACGAGTCATTCGCTTGATGAGACACTTGGTGTGCTTTTGGTGCGAGGCTCGGGTTCAATGGGCGAGAATGTATTGGCACAACTCCCATAAACCCTTGGTTGGGGCGTATAAGCCGGAATTCCCATCAAGCATAGAGATACAGAATCAGCATTTTCAACCAAGCTTACCTATTCTCTATTGACTACCAATATCATATGAAGAAAGGGAAACTGACTAAAAAGGAAAAGATTAAACGATCAATTTGTCGATGAGCCTTCACGAATAAAGGGTTGCTTTTCCAGTCGAAACGCTGTTGTCAGCTTCATTGGAGTTCTCACTTGATAGCTATACGGCACCGGTACGCACACTTCTGGCCGGCTGGTGAGTGTTTACTTGATCTACCCATGACAGTATGCATCGGACACATTGCGCTTCCATAATCCCAAAGTTATAAATATCTTCGGTTGTCCGTAATTTAGTGGCGGGATTAGCAGATGCGATTTAGACAGAAGTACCAGCCATCGAAAACGATGTCCACAGGTCGAACGCTTGTCGGTCGGCTTGTTGCCACTCAGTACAGCCGATTAATTCCAGCTCTGACATCAGGATAGTGTTCGGGATATGATGGGTACGTGAAACGAGGTACCATGTCTCATAAGAAGAGCTCTGTGTGAGAGCTGCAGCAAATGAGTATATAGAATGTCTCAGACCAGGTGATTGGTGCCAGAGGTCAGGCGATATCACCTAGTCACGTATTTGAGACAAGCTTTTTATCTTCCGTGTATGGTCTCGATCACGCACACGAAATCGGCACGCTGTCGGTATCCTTGTCGGAGCCGCCATGGGATGAGTGTAGGGAAGCCCACTGGCTATGACGGACTGCCCTAAGGAGGCTGAACTCGGCTATCGAACTCTGCAGACGCCATTGCGAATAGTTGAGTGATTGCTTTGCAGCCGGGATCCGGATATCCGCTGCAGAGTCTGCGTTATTGAGCTTGATATCGCCGACGAAAACTGCCAACACGTATACTGGCGAATCAATCAGAAAAAGAATTCGGTAGGAGAGGCAGTCAGTCATGAACGAGAGGTTTGATAGGATGGATCATGATAGCGATCTACCTCGACATCGCTGTACATGCCTGGACTCCATATCATTGGGGCACATGTAAGTTTTCGGCTTGCCGAGGGAGTGCGAGTAATACCAATAGTCTGTGCTGAGTCTTGTCGACCTTATTGGCTTCGGGAAGAGGACAAAGAGTATTTCCATCAATGGGAGTTCATAGCGAAGCTCGGCTGTTTCTTTGTTCAAGAATAGTCCCCATTCCTCATCCATTCCCGAAACTAAAGACAACAAAAAGAACAGAGGGGTACTCACCGGTGAAGGAATAATGATAGTCAGCAAAATTGATGAGGCAGCCAAGCTACAAGTCGGGATGCAGTCGGGGGATGGAAGATCTCTGTGTATAAAGAAACACACCCACACTGATCCACGGATCTGCAGCCATGGCGGCACTACTGACGGATATCATTGGAACCGCGTCCAATCCGCACGATGGCTGTAATGGCATACTCATATTTGAGTTGTCCAACAGAGGCTGCAATGATCTCTATTGGCTCACCATTCGCAGTCGATATAGATTTACCGTCTCGTAAAAGTAGCAAAAGAGAGAGCGCAAATTGTCATGTATGAAGCGGCCACGCCGACATGAAGATCGAGAGCCGATCACTCTCACGGTAAACCAATAATGCTTCTACAAAAGCGTCATGGCCAAGGAAGCCTAGGACACAGTGTCGGCAACCCATGTCAATGTTTTTAGATGGGGTAGAATTTCGAGCAGAAGATCCAAAGTACGTACCGTTTCTTTCACAAAATGAGTTGATTGATGTAACCATGGATGAACTTAGTGCCATGGTCAAATCGAGACATAACGTCTATGCGAGATTGCCGAGATGTTAAAGTGACGCGGTTTTTACCAGACCCTTGTCTTTTGACAGGTACTCAAAGTGAGGAGAGCGTCGTTGCTTTTTCTGCTCCTTTATGCTACCTGTGCCCTCGCTTGCAAGTTGCGCCGCGATACCAGCAAAACCTTATCGTATAGCCGCGACCCGAAGTCGGGCGGCAGGAATAAAATGCAGAGAGTTGAAGAAACAATGGCGAAAAAACAGCTGTGACGCGCGGCATCTGCTGCAGCGGGAGATGGGGGGGAAAAATCAAGAGTAACGGCCCGGATTGAAGCTCCCTCATGTGATGATCATATCGTAAATCTTCCAGTATCTGGTGTGAAGCGGTTGTTTGGTTTTGCGGGTCGGATGCTGCCGGTAGGTGGCTTTGCAGCAAGTACTCGAAACGCCTAAGTCCGAAGACTTTGGCATAGTCTGGGAGATCGCCAAGGGGCTGACGGGCACCGGGAGGTAGCCGGCCTCGCATGCAGATGCGGAACGCCCGAAGGGAGGGAAGACACGGTTGATCAGGAACGGCTAGGTATGTACGTAGTATGTCTTCCACCTGGTATCATCGGCATGACCAAATCCAGACATGGAACAGGCTTTTTCTTTCTCATCTTGGTCATTTTTTGAGGACCCTTGACATGGTAATAAGGCCAGATATGGAATAATTTTTTTGGCAGAATATGAAATGTGAGAAGAGGAAAAAAAAAAGTTGACCATATGCAAGCTGCATACCTAGGAATGTGCCCCAGGGCCGACAATCCTGGAGAATATAGTTTGTAATGCGCTCGTGCGATACTTTGCGTAGTCCCCTTGATGGTAAGCAACTATTGTGGACATTCCTGGGTCATGATCGTCCATCATAGCCCTACAAGACCAGGGGTTTGAATTGATGGTTACGAATTCCAGTGATTGCATGTAGGCGCCCAGGAACTCGGGAGTCGTCGATGCGCTCGGCTGAGCTCGGATTTGTCATGATATTGCCGTAACGTCACAGCCCGACTTTGCAGCTGCAGTTTCTTCGAGATGGAAGCGCGTTCGTTCAATGGTGCAAAAGTCTTTGGGCGGAATGTGGATTGATGGCTGCTGCGGGCGAGGCCGCCGGCAGACGTTGCAGATCGCCTTGTCCGTGTAGCTTTGGTGCAGTACCGGGTACCCGGAAGGAGAAGCTGTATGTCTCACCGATGAGAGACTTGAGCGGCAGCCCAACACTTTGCACATCCATTGCCCAGATAGGTCAAAGAACCTTGCAATCGATACCAATGTCCCAAGACTGAATTCTTGGGTCCATCACAAGCAAAGATGTGTAGGACGGAAAAGAAAAGGGAAAACACCCATACTGCAGCGCATACATACTAGGTACACGCGGACATCAGGGAAATTTTCATAGAGGGCGGGGGCTAGGTAGCTTGGACAGTAGCCTTCGGCTGCTTGTTTGAAGGAAGGAGCTTTGAGATGTTCCCGGACTACTACTACAGTACGTATGCCCTTTGTGTCTACGTATTACATTACTACATACTCCAATTGATGAAATAGATGGATTTCCAGGGTCCAATGCGCCCATGCTAATGCTTGCCGCTGCGCCGGGGCGGCGTTGCACTAACTAATCCCCAAAGGACAGCCTGTCGGACGCTGTGCCGTCATCTATAGTGCTACTTTTAGGCTAGTGTGGGCAGCCCTCATCTTACTATCCCTCCATACCTGAGATGTAAACTGCACGACACGCGAAATGAAAGAAGAAAAAGAAAATAAAATCACAAACTAATCGACTCGAAATAGAGAAGGGTCCGCCTCAACAGCAGGGAGAGAGTACCATTGAAAAGAGAAAGGAAAATTTCCGAGTTTGTGACATTAAAATGTGATTACTCAGCCCATAGCAGTCCGGCAAAACTGAAGTCCATCATGTTCATGGTGCAAAGCTGCCATTTACAGCAATGCAGCTGCTCACCAATGGATATCTACAATCCCGTGTCTATACTCTAAGTCAAGATCGAGATTGATCAAAACTCCTACTCCGATTGGCCACTGCTAACGATGATGCGTGGATGCATCATGGACAGTTCTACTTCTTCCGCGGGACAAAAACATGCTCGTTCAATGGAACAATCGGATGTGAAAGATGGGAATAAGAAACCCTCTATTTCGAAGCTGTCCGGTAGTCAGCCAACCTAACGAAGCCGCCGGCCATGCAGGGAGCGAGCTATCGGTAGGTAGGAATGTACAAACGTAGTATAGTGGAGGCCATGGAACGGCGACATGACCCTACTAAGCCTACCTTCTATTGCTTACCAGCCATACCTCAGTAACCTGGGTAGTAGGTACTTTGTAGTCCCTGTGCTTTTTTTTTTTTTGCTAAACGCAACCGTAACGTCGCCTTGGTTTTTTTTTTTTTTTTTCTTGTTCCCTCCCTAATTGCTCAATCCCTCTCCCTCTCTCATACACACAAGGAGCCCTTGCAGGCCAAACATACCTATTGCCTACCGACCAACCTCAACCTCTCACCCTAACGTACCTTGTACCCATGGTTTTTCTCCGCAGCAGCCGGCATCTTGCGACTGCCAACCAGGAACATTTTGTCCCTCCCCTCGAGTGAGTGGCGTGACGCAGAAACCCAGACAGATGGACGGGCGGCTCTTTTTCCCTGGCCGTCGGTCATGGTTCAGCTGCTGGATCCCGACCCTGCCCCGGTCTCTGCTTCCCACCCACCCCCCTAGAACCCGTCATTTTTCGCTTTTCTTTCTATGAAAATGTGTGCATCCATCTTTACCTTCAAGGCAGGCTGATCTAGACTGAAAGAGGAATGATAGCAGAAGAGGCCACCCCCAGCCCAGCCCACCCTGCGCCGACCAACAACAAGTATATATAATACTGAACCTTGCCAGAATCCCATTGCTCTCACACCCGAGGCTCTGGTAACCCCCATTGCTATGTCTTCGATTCGGGGACGGCGTCGGCAGTAAGTAGTTAGACACTTCGGCCGGTGATCTCATGCGGCTCTAAGCGTGAAAAAGGAACGAACCTGGTAAGTAAACTCGCCTGGCCGACTGGCTGGTCTGCAAACCACTGAACCTACTACCTACATACATGCAACGCATACATAACTTCATTGCTCCACTCTCAACGGCTTGACATTCAAGGTCAGACTAACAATAACCTTGGGTCTTACAAGTCCCTCTCTCTAGTGTTATTAGACACATCGAGGCCGCTCGCCATTATACAAACCCCATCGAGCAGGATAAGACATTTCTCTGCTCGGCAGCAACCCTTGGCAGACCAGTTCGAACCAAAGGGAGAAGAAAAGAAAACTCAATTTCATGTCCTCGAAACGCCAATTACGGATATAACTATGGCGTATCATCCTCACGGCGGCGGCGGTGGCGGCGGCAGTGGACCCTCATCTTCATCTTCATTCGCAATGCCGTTTTCTCAGGGCAGATCTCGTAACTCGCCTCAGCCATCTTCATCCACGACCCGCGGGCATGGAGGAATGCCTGATTTTGGCCATTTCCAGCCAAGCCCAATGCTTGGGCTGCAGGATGGCCAATTTGATATTTTTGAATGGTACCCACAGTTCCAATCCTGTCTGAGGTACTTTTTGGATCACGCACAATTCAGCGGTCCCGTACAAGCCGTGGCCGCCTTTGTGAATATACAGTTGCCCTATCAGCGTTCTCATCACCTCGCGCTGTCATCAAGATCAGGAAGCTCTCCTTCGGCGATACCATCGCCCTCACCGCGGGCTGGTGGGACAATACCACTGTCGAGTTCCTCGGGCAGCCTTGCAACTTTGACCCCGTACATCCGACGTCTTGTGGCAACTGGGTTTGATTTTCCGGGAGTGCTCCATGGGTTTTTCGGGGATGATTGGGTGGCAGGAGTAGGTCAAATGCACGAGGTCGAGCGCCGGAACTATCTTTTTGCAGCAAAGAGTGCGTGCTGGCTTGACGTCAAGCGTCACTACGATGAGGGCGAGGGACAAACTGTCCCCTTTCTCCGGCCGTTGCAGCATTCGACAGAGGAGGAGATTGCCAACGCTGATTCGCACTGGAGTGAGTGGTTAGCCATGCAGGACTGGCTTATAGGGCCAAGATCACTGGACAACCTTGAAGGATCGGGCACCAGCAACTCGCCGCCGCGTTTTAAGCGGGAACCCCCAGACGACAGGCATGGTCGCTACCATGTTGTTGACTAATACTAGGCAATGCTCGTTTATACTGCGACGAAAGGCTCGGATTCTTGAACCAATCTGACAGCTCTTCTACTTGACAGTCATACTCACCAAGATCTTGCCAAAGATGACCTCGTACTATCCACATGACAAAGACGCATATGGGCAAGGTATGTGAGAATCAACCAGGGTGACAATACATGGGCTCGCCAGACGGGAAATAAAGGAGAGCATGGAATATGTGCTCTGCTTGAGTTTTGTAACCTTTATTGCCCATACCAGCCTTAACGGAGACAGTCTCAAGCAAGGCCACCGAGAATGGACAAGACAAATCTCGGTTTTGTTACAAGTTGTGGTGTAGTATAGGCTATTACAACTAGCGTCCCGAGGGCCCCCAGGAATATGGTTGAATGAACTACACTATTACAATTCAGCAGCTAATGACGCCATGCATTCGTTCGTGTGTTGCAAGATTCCAAATTCCTCCCTGATCCATGCTGACCATATTACCTCGGCCACCATTTCGCTCAAACACATCCCCGTCTACAAGTCACCGATGTAAGGCTTCCCGCTCCCAGCCGCACTAGACTTGCCATCGTGTCAATGAACAAACCCAGCATTCCCTTCGAGACGGCTGCGTATCGAGGGTGCTACCGAAGACCGATGACGCTTGAGACTGAGCGGTTGCAGCGCTGACGAAGAATCTGGCAAGAGAGTGCACATCATGTTAGTCCGTTACAGGACTCTTGTCCGACCAAGACACGTTCCGGTACCTGCAACCTGCATGCGGTCTCGAACTTAACGATGCCATTCGCGAGGCAACCAGGTCGTCGGCCTCACCTCCGCATCGCATAGGGGACCCCTAAAAGCGCCACATTGGCAGGGTACCTCCGGCGACAGTCTGATAGGCTCATCGGCTGTAGCGAATCTAGGCCACACTTCGGCTAGCTCTTTGCATTGCGCCCACCTTGGTCCAGGGTACATTAGCTGCTAGAAATCTACCTTGCACGCTTGTAGGTACCTTAACAATTAGCACTAGCTGCTAATGAAGAAGCAACATCCCACTACCGGTACCTCAATCCGCGTACCCCAGCAAAGCAGCAAACAGCAGTCAGCATGCGACACACCACCAATAATCGCATACATTGTAACCTAGCACGGTCGGCTCCCCAGCACTGTTTTTGTCTGCCCACCACACCCAACTTTTAGTTGCCTCTCAGCCTCGCGAGGCTTTCGAGCTGTTGCACTTCATTTCGATGCGCCTCAGCTTCGACTATTCATACCGAGGACATTTCGATTCCCGTCTGCTACTCTGTACAACTGAGCACAGGTCAAATGGTTTTGAGAAGATAAGGAAGAGTCCGGTGTAGCGGGCATCAGACACGCGGCTGCCGCAACGCAGCTGTCCACAATGGATATAGATATGGATATGGATATCGACATGAGCACCAGCCTTGAACAAGCTGGCGCAGGCCCGGCGCTCGACCAGAAACATTCAATCGACGAGTGGGAAAAGTTCATTGCCTTGTGTATACTCAAGCGTCTCGACCCGGAACCTTTCGAGACCTATGTTACGGTCCTGCATTCGAGGCACCCGTTGCCGCCCGCCGCCGTCGCCGATGTCTTCCTGAAGCCGCAGCCTACAAACCGAGAGAACCTCGATCCGCGCGTGCCGCGATACGTACAAATCCTGAGCGAGAAGAGGTTCATCGACACGCCATCGATACTCAAGGCCCTCTACAAGCATTCCACGTCGCATACCCAAGCGCAAGCAGTCGGCCATGCCGACCCAGAAGTCGCACAGGCGACTCCCGAGACTAGGTGGAAGAACTCCTATGGCCAGGAGGAAACGATATTCTACCGCCTTACCAAGTCTGTCGCGCTGGGTACGGGCATCAAATCCTTTGGTGATGCCATTGCCGTTTGCAAAGTCGTAGCCAAATGGATGTCCCTCTTCACTTCTGCGGCCGCGGCCTTTGCCCAAGACATTATGGGTCAAGCTCACAGCCTGCAAGCCAAGGACGACATGGAGGCGTCGCGGGCTGCCTTTGTCATGATGCTTCTTGGCGTCTGCGAAAATCAAACAGTGCTCAGAGCGCTGAGCGGTCCCTCGGCCAAAGGTGAGATGATGAACCAGGATCAGTGTTGCGTAAGTGATGGTGAGCTAATGGATTCATACATCAGAGGCGCGCAAGGCTCTATCGGAAAGTCTGAGTAGTTTCATACCTTCTATAATGCAAAGTGGCGCTTCTCAAATCGCTGAAAGGCTCGAATCATTTCGCACCGGCACCCTTGCGAGCTTTGAGCCACTGGACAAGAAGAATGAGGCCGCCAAGGCAGAGTTTGATGACCTTATCGATTCCACGTTGGGTTTCGATAACTTGGCTGTTTCTGAACTGCCGGTCATGAACACGCGTGCCGGTCTGTATATTTACCTAAATGCTGCGGTATGTTGACTGGCACTCACTGCCTGGAATGTAGCTGACGTCATGTAGCTGGTTGGACGCCCGCTTATCGACGACGCTTTTCTATATGGCTATCTCCAAAATCGATACAATGTGAGTCTTGGCTGTGGTCACATCAAGATTATTAAATTAACATTTGCAGGGTGACTACCAATCGTGCTTCATAGATCTAATCCTGGCTTCTTTCGATGTCTTGGCCAATGCAGTCTTTCGCAGCGAGGGATCAAGAACTGCTCACCTTTTGCGCTCATACTTGATCAATAAGCTGCCTGTATTGCTCGCGAATCTGGCACAGTCACTATCGACACTATTCCCGCCAGTGACTCCACAATTTTGCATCACAACAGCCTTGAGCCAGGTCGACACCAATGCATTTCCCACGCTCTCGGCCATGTTTGACATATCGAGTAGCAATAACACCTTTACCGACAGTGTCAGACAAGAGTTTTGCTGGGCATGCTGCTTACATGGACTCATACCTGAATCAGCCATAGAAGTGCTCCTGGGCGAGATCACGTACCAATCACTTCCCGAGGGAGGCAAGTGGGTCAAGGAGAAATTGGTGAATGAGTGCATGTCAGATTCCGAGAGGATACAGGGCCTCGTGAATGAGCTTGATAAAATGGACGGGAATGTAGGTGCCGTCTGCCAAGCTCTTGCTGAGGTAAGTTTTGTTTATATACTCAAATATCCTTCGAGTAAAGATGAGCTCACTGAATTTGATAGGTGATTACTCGGCTGTGCGCTAGTAAAGAGACAATCACTCTCAAACAGCTTTGTAGCCAGCTCGCCAAGAAGCCACTATCTCTCGACGTGATATTGCTCTTTGAAAAGCCCATCACCATTCTACACCCGCTTTGCGAATTGCTCGACAATTGGAGGTACGACGAGGAGCAAGGTGAATATCAACCAGTATACGAAGAGTTTGGATCGATTCTACTGCTCGTGTTGGCATTTGTGCACAGGTATAACCTGGATATCGCAGATTTGGGAACCAGAGCCTCGGATTCTTTTACGGCCAAACTTCTCAGTAGTGGTCACCTGCCGAGGCAATATGAGGATCTGTCCGAACAAGAAAAGAACCAACTGGGAGGCTGGATACAAGGCCTTTTTGATCCAGACAGTGGAGGTCTTGGCGACGAGCTGATGTCTTCCTGCACACCTCAGGACTTTCATCTTTTGATCTCTTCGCTATTCTATCAGACCGTCCTGGCATTTAGCACGGATCGGCTGACAGAAGACAGCCTCAAGAGTGGAGTTGAATGTGAGTTCACCTGTTTCATCAGTCCTCCAGGCTGCTAACGTTCATCAGATTTGGTCGACACTTTCCTCCTACCATCTTTGGTGATGGCTTTGACTTTTTTGGCCAACCACCTGAGAACCAGTCGGGCAGCAGAACCAAAGGCTGTCATCAGAATTTTGCAACTTATTTTGTTGACAAAGCAAGGGTCAAATGAGGCACAGACAATGCTTTCAGCTGTCATTACTATTGTCGCAAAGCCATTAGAACATGCACTGAGATCCCATCAACGACATGATCCCAAGAATCAGGATATCGAGCCATTGCTCAAAGCAATCAGAGACAACACACAAGTACCTCCGAGAACGGCTGGCGCCGACTCCAAAGAACTCGAGGCTTGGACAGGCACTGCCAACGGCGGTCTGGCTGCCTCGGTCCGTCACACCATCCAAGGCCTAATTCAATGGAGCCTCCACCCAGGTCTCAACGTCATGCCGACCTCGTACACACATCGTCAAATGATTGCCGCTCTCAAGATGTTAGGGCCCAGACAACTGCTGAGGTTGATCCTGGACGAAGTCAAGCAGAGTTATTCCGAAGCTGGTAGTGCAAGCTATGCCTATGACATTGCGATGGCTCTAGTTTGTGCTCCTGATGTCACCAACCAGCCGCCTGCACCGCCTCCAGCACTCATGAATGACCCAAACCAACAGGCGTCTTCAATTCAGAAGCGTGTAGCATTACGCCAGATGCTCAGATGGGAGGCCGAGGACTGTAAGAAGATACAGAAAGTGGACCCAGCCTTGGCAGAACATATTGTGCGGTTGCACCGAAAAGTCGAGGCACAGATGCACATTGTAATCCAGCCAGCTCCAGCCATGATGCAAACTGATTTGAGTCTTGGCCTGGACGAGAATGCAGCCGCCTCACTCGACGATGCCCTTGCTGCTGCTCAGGGCGATGTCATGGTAGCCAATGACACGGGTATGGACCTGGACCTTGGCCCCGACCCTTCTGGAATGGGCTTGGACATGGGCGGCGCTGATGGTGGACTTGGCTTGGGCGATGATGATATTTTCGGATCATTGGGACCTGTCGGCGGTGGGGCTGATTTGCTCGACGGCTGGGATACCATGTTGTAAATTTGATTACAATACGCCCAGAAATTTGATTCGGTGAGCGACGGTACTTATATCAGGCGTAAAGGTCGAGATGGATGGATACCACTACTTCAGGATATTTGAGCATGAATTCTCAAGAAGACTTGAAAGGCAATAAATAGGGTAGTTACTGTTGGACCAGCGACTCGCACTCAGTCCGAGATGTGGATAGGTGAAAATGAATTGTTTTGACACGAGGAATAGGCGAACCAATCATAGTCCAGCTGTTTGTCTACCCTAGCAAGTGTATATTAGTTATGGCACTAATATGCGTGCCCTATCACAATATGTTACAAACCTTCTGCATTCATTGCAGACTCCGTGGTTGCAAATGCCAGGCTATCCCTTGAATCGGTATCTCCGATTTGGTTTTATGTTGGGTCAAAAAAGGACTTGGCTATTAGTAACGGTTGCAATTCTTTGCGATCACACATGTTGGGAGACAAGCCAATGATTCTTTTTCGTCATTGGATGAAGGCTGCCGGCGTCCGCAGCACATACTGCACCCTAGCAGCCCACGAGGAGTAAGCACCAATCTTGTCATGGATGGGCTACTTGTGTAACAACGGCTCATGCTGAGCACAAAGCAAGACCTTCTCATGGGCTTGCGCAGTGATTCAGAGGCTGTGGCGGAAACAGGTCGTACCTTGCAACCCCTTTGTGCAAGACTATGCAAGTGGAGATGCATTTTATCAAAGACTGTAGTCAGACATAACAAGCAGGTAAATTACTCATTATGGTGATCATTTGATTCTACTGCTATTGGTGCTCATCCTTTCCCGTGTGAGATGTTGACTATTGAGGGGAAAGAGCTGTTGTATCACCCACGGCTGCATTCGGGGTTACATCAAGAATGGTCGATCCTACCGGTCTTTGGTCCCATTGCACTTGCGTGCACCTGTATGATATAATGTCACAATCAGGTCGTGGTTTGGAGATGCCGAGGGTGGGTTTTTCTTTGGAAAATCTGGGCAAGTCAAAGGCCGAAGGAGACGGGAAAGGGAGATTCTGCATTTGCTTAGAAGTGTGACACTCCCGTCGCCTCGGGGCCCATCCATCCTGTGTCTTGCCTATAAAAGATTTCGCTGCCTGCTGCTCTTTTGCTCCAAGTACGACTTTAAAGGCGAACACTGCATTTCGCAACAGCCTTGATACACGCAATCCCCGTATAGACGAGATACATAAACAATGTTTACCGATCTGGTCGCCACGATTCAGGAAAAGTGGCTTGTCTTGGCCACGGCGTTGACGCTGGCCTATGTAGCCACCAAAGTGAGAGCCTATCTCAGACTCAGACATATTCCAGGTCCGCCAGGGAGTGGATTTACCGATATTGCTCACATTCGAGCCTGCCTGGGCGAACATGCCTATCAGTGGTACACTTCGGTGAGCGATACATATGGTAAGTTTTCAAAATGGACAGGCGAACTCCCATTCGGAGAATAGATGTAAGAATACTAAGCCTAGACTTAATTTCTTCATCCTTGCAGGACCATTTGCTCGAATTGGACCCAACATTGTCCTGACTTCCTCGGCCGAATTCTGGGAGTCGGCCAATGCAAAACCTGGTTATAAACGATCCGAGTGGTTCTACAAGGCCGCTCGCTTCGACTGGCCCCACGACAATGTCTTTACTTCAATCGATGTCGACAAACATGACGCCAAACGAAAAATGATGGCACCTGGGGTAAGTTGATGATGACACTGCGTCTTTATGTTTCCGTCATGGGAAAGGGGACAAATGCGGTCCCCTGGCTATACGTTGCAAGAAACAATAAAACAGGGTACTTTTCATTTTTTTTTACTAATGTTGTCCAATGCGAAAAATAGTATTCCGGAAGAGAGAATCTGACGCTCGAGGCTGATGTCGACTCGTGCGTGGCCAAGTTGCTCCAGCTCGTCGGCTCCTACACTGATGACAAGCACACGGGCAACGGCGGCGTTTTCGACCTGGGCAAGAAGCTCCAGTTCATGACCCTCGACGTTATTGGCCAGGTGGGCTTTGGCAAGTCTTTTGGGTTGCTTGATATCGATGATGACCCGGATGAGTTTGGTAAGTGTTTACTGTTTTCTTGTTTCTTTCTGTCGAGAGAAGTGAGCCCCCGACCATGGCCAGTTGCCATTTCACTTATCGATGGCTTAATACCTCTGTCTTTTCACAAATGGCTCCAATAGGCTGATATCCGACTCCTAGTTCGATCAACTGAGCTCGGCTTGCGGCGCTGCAACCAAATCATGAGTTTGGGCATCTCCTGGATCAACAACATTCTCGTCCTCTGGAGCGCGGCCACGGCAGACCCGAGCAAGCAGACGGGATTCGAAAAGATGCTCAACATTAGCACCAACATTGTCGAGGGGCGGGAGCGCGAATTTCGCCAAAACCTTCAGTCAAAGGCCGGAGGCGTTAATGAGAGAGCCGACATGCTGGCCTCGTTTATGAAGAATGGCCTGCTCGGCCAGGAGCTCAAGACCGAGGCGCTGCTGCAGATTGTCGCGGGCTCCGACACCACGGCCGGCGCGCTCCGGGGCACGCTTCTCTACCTCTTGACGCATCCGCGCGTCTGGCGCGCTCTCCAGGAGGAGGCTGATGCCGCCGTCCGCAACGGAACGGTCCCCGTCGCCGGGTCGGGGGACGTGATTTCGTATGCCCAGACCAAGAACCTGCCGTACCTCCAGGCCGTGGTCCGCGAGGGCATCCGCATCTGGCCGCCGCTGACGGACCCGTTTGCCCGGGACGTGCAGCCCGAAGGGGACGAGGTGGTTGTGGACGGCAAGAAGATATTCCTCCCCGGGGGCACCAGCGTCGTTCCCAGCTGGGTCTCCATGCACCGCGACAAGAGCCTGTACGGCGAAGACGTGGACGTGTTTCGGCCTGAACGGTGGCTCGAGAGCGAGCAGCCCGACAAGGAACGCCTCCGGGCCATGCGACGGACGAATGATCTCATGTTTGGCCATGGCAAGTTTTCCTGTCTGGGCAAACCCGTAGCCATGATCGAAATTCACAAGACGGTTTTCGAGGTGAGCTTTTTTTTTTCTTTTTTCCTTCCCTGGACACTGCTCAGCCTTTTCAGTCGTGTATCTGCATTCTTGAGTACTGGTCATTTTTACTAATGCGAAATCGAATATCCAGCTGGTCCGAAACTTTGATATGGGACTGATCAATCCAGCCAAGCCGTGGAAATCTGCCAGTCTTATTGGACTCTGGGTCATTTCTGACATGTATGTCCATGCCAGTAGACGGACACCGGCTGGGGTTTAGGGAATGGAGGTTCGAGAAAGTAGTATAGAACCATCAGAGTGGCGCTTCGTCAAATGAATCAAATATTCATTATAGAGCACCTGAAGCACCGTATCATGTGCACGAATACCCTCTCTAGTAGCTAGAATCGTCTGTATGACTAAAGCCTTCCCTGACAAAGACCCGATGTTCACTTTCCAAAGATAAATGTCCCTTCATGTTCTTGGATATTTTCTTCAGTTCTCTGGCATCTCTGAACCCATGGGTATATTCTTGACCCCATCCCTCTAAACCGTAGAATAAGAGCGGCATACTGGACGATTTCCAAGCTACAAATATGTAAGCGGTCAGTAAAACTGAATATACTTCCACCGACCAGTAACAGGGCTGGGCAAGGCGACCGAAAGACTCACCTTCAACGTTATGTGACTTGGAAATGATCATGACAGTCACAAGCAGCACAAACGAGAGCACCGAGACGGCAATCGGCAGCGCCAGCCACTTCCACTCAATGTGGATAAACGTCTCAAGGACGAGGGCGGTGCCATTGACCGTGGTGACATTGGACTGCGAATTGCGCATCGAATTCGTCATGCTATCGGCAATATCGTGGACCATGTCCGTCAGGTTATCTGCATTGTACATGGCCAGGCCAAACGACGGGGCCATGTGGCCGCCGTCGCCGGGCGCAATCGTGTTCGTGAACAGGTAGACGCTGCTGTTGAGCACGTCGCGCATGTACTGGCCGAGATTGAGGTGATCCCAATAGTTCATGGTGTAATTTGGCCCCGACACTTGACCGCCGACTGACGCCTGCATGGTGAAATAGGGACTACCTTGGGATTCAGGGGGGTCAAGGAACCATTCTTGACTGGATACCTCCATTATGGATTCGTTAATGGATCCAAACTGGGTTTCTCCGTTGAGCACTCGGACGTCGCTGTACGTCTTGAGACAGTAGGCAAACATGCATTGGTTGACGGATGATGGGTTCGAAGGTCTGTCTGAAGCTGTACTGGAAAACAATTCTCGGTTCAATTTGAAAGAGGTAAAGGCGGCGAGGATGGCGGGCGTTCCAAACGATGTATTCGTCCCGGCGTACTCGGGCGTCACGGACATGGTTGACGAATTCCACAAATCGGCGTAATTCCCAGCTGCGTCGGTTGCCATGTGCCAGGTAAAATTGCTTTCTGGCAGCAACTGATATGGGACGGTTGTGTTGCATATTGTGGTGTAGTTACTCTCATCGAGACCACAGGCAGTACTCGTTGAGGCTGTCACATCCTGTCATGCAAGAATTAGCCACGGTCATGTGCTGGCAATGCTCCGAGGCTATGGCTGCTGGCAGATCTATCCACATCTCCTATATCTGGCGATACTGATTCTGTGATTGTTCTTACCTCACACGTGCTGCACACCCCGAGGGTACTGAAAGACGGATACGTGCAATTCGATGTAGGACAATTAAGGTCAAACGCAGGGGCGACACCAAACGCTGCAGAGATGACGGCACTCTGCAACTGGAACGGCGCATTCTGTGCTACAGGTCATGATCAGCCTCCTGGCACCAAACATAAAGACGTCAAGTCCCAATATGACATACCAACGGGATATGGAGGACCGTGGTTTGCAGTAATCTCGGTTCCGGCATCGTAGACCTGGGCAATGTTGATCGAGGCAACCTGGACAGGCGTTGCTGTCGGCCGGGTAGGAAAAGTCAGAACCAGCTGGGCAAAAGGATCAATGACAAGAGCGGCAATGGTTAGTAACGAGGCACACGAAGCCAGGAGCGCTGCCGACTTCATCCGGAACATCAGCTCCAGCGCACCCCAGGGCCCACGGGAAGCCAAATCAAATAGCTGTAGTTGAAAATATTTAGCACATGACACAGTGATTTTCCACGAGTACAGGGGAAGCATACATGGAGATCATTCAAGACTCGCGGAGCCCCGGCAAAGTAGATCCATCGCAGCTGTCCAATCACCTCGGCGAGCACCAGCAGACAAGACGACTTGGCGAGCGTGGTGATGAAGGAGATGACGGCGTTGGGCCCAATCATGAGGGCCCAGCCGTCCAGACGTTTGCCGTCCTCGTACTTGAGGACAATAACCACAATGGCGATGCACAGCAAGCTGAATGCCGAAGCCAACAACTCCCACATCCAGAGGCGAGAATTTCTGGCCCTCCTTTGTCTTTGCTGCTTCTGCTGCTGTCGCTCTCCAGCCTGTGCCGCCGTCATCGGGATAGTCTTGGTCTCTTGACCGTAGGCATATGGTGGCAAGTCGTGTAATTGGACATGATCTGTGTCAGTGATGTCTGATACGCTATAGTGCTCGTCCCGGAGATGACGATTCGACGCATGAATGCCGACCGGCTGGTAATTCGAAGACATTCTTTACAAGTAACCCGACAAGTACCCAGTCAGTTTTGTTATAGAGAGCTGGAAACTCTTAATGGAGAGTTTCTGTTGCTTAAAAGCAGAGCAGATTTTCGACCATGTGGTGACAACCGCCCGCTTTTTCTACTGCCGTGACATTTTGCATTGCTTTTAGGCACCACGAGACATCCATCCGCAAGGAAATACTACAGTTAGTCAAACTGGGATGATGCAAAATCCCCCCCTAAAGTGCCATAAGCGTCGCAAACTACCTAAAATCGTCGTCCAAGGGCTTGCTGATTGGATACCGCTTCGCCACCTATAGATTGACCCGATTCCATTTATAGATTGGAAATGGGACGTTTGGACGTTCCAATAACCTCTAAAACCCTGGAAAGGAACCCAAACCCTCGGACCCTGATCGTTGCCAGCGACTAAAACCGTAGTGCTTACCGCTATCACCATCTTGATGCCACAATTGTATAAGCAAATACACAGACGATGAGGTCATGGCTTTTGCCGTTGAGATTGCCAGACGAAGATGTAGACCATGTCACAAGTTTGTACATTTTGCGCCCAATGCAGATTACCTTTCTTGTATTTGCAAAATGATCAACGACTACCATATCTACCAAAACAGTTTTGATCTGCCATACACAACTAGTATTTATATACACCACTACTTTCTAATGTACAGCCCGTGTCAAGAGTCTTTTAAAAATTGGGCAAGATCACAAATTTCCAAGAAACAACCATCATCTGGAACAAAAAAAAAAGTTTTAGAATCTTGTCTAGTCTAAGGTGCTTTCAAGTGGTTATCTCGCGGCTCTTACACACTGCGAGGCTCCTGTCCCATCGACTCGATATACTGTAAAACCTTGACAAGGAACCAAACATCAGAGAGATCAACCAAAAGCGATCTTCGGGCGTCGTTGTCGCTTCTCAAAATCTCTACACAAGAAACGCTAACTGTCCCAATCGTCTGGGATCGAGACACGAAATTGACAAAATAGAGATCGTAAAATACCCTGCCTTTCCTTTGAACGCCGATTTGTCCATGCAAATATGACCACGCCTCACCCCCCCTTTTTCTTCTTGTCTTCACAAATCTGGCATCAAATTGCCAGATACATTGCCCGCCATTAAAACTAGAGATCTCATCTATTTCTCCAAGCCTCTAATGAAGGACATTCTAATGTCTAGAGCAGACTGCTTCTATGCCTGAGCGCCGCCCAAAAAGGAGGGCACCTTCTTCCAGGCCTTTTGGTCAGGGACCTTGACGCGGCCAAAGTTCTCATCGAGATCAAGAATGATCTTGAGAGCATTGCGGCTACGAGCATGAGGGGAGGCCACGTCCTTCTCCTTGATGGACGAAATCACCTCGGCAACACCAGTGTGTACCTGCTCCGACTTCTTGCTGCCAGGGAAAGGGAACATACTCTGAAGAACTTCATACGAAGCAAGAGTGAAACCAAACTGGGGCGAAGAACGGAAGATACGAGCAGGACCACCCTTGAAGAAGGCTCGGAAACCCTCCTCCTTCATGATGGTCTGGGCAGCGTGACGAAGGCCAGTGTAGTTGGTGTCACCCTTGCGGGCCTCAACCTGCAGACGGGTCTTGATGACATCGCAAGGAGTTGTCAGGTAAGCGGCGGGCATACCAGCGATAGCACCAGCAGTGAGCAGCTGGACAACTCCAAGCTTCTTGGTCGGCGACTCGCCAAACAGGTCTTTCTTCAAGTGGCTGTAGGTTGGGAAGTAGATGGCCGAGAAGGGAACATCTCGAAGCAGGCAGGCACTAGCACCCTTGTAGAGACCTGCCAGTCCAAGGTTCTTAACGATCCACATGGCTGAGCGTCTCTCGGCACCAGCAGCCTTGGCAACCTCTCCCTGAACCTGAAGGCGAATCTTGACGATTTCAAGTGGATTGGTGAATACCTAGAACCAAATGTTAGATCAGATAAACATGAGAAGCCCATCAAGAGCATATACGTACGACTTGGCAAGCACCAGCTGTACCACCAGCCAGAATTTCAGAGCCAACCCAGATGTTGCCAGTCTTTTTATCGGTGAAAGCATTGCGGACCAAGTCGTTGACTGTCAGCTTGATGGCCTTCTCGGGCGCAACACCAACTAGCTGAGGCAGAACTCCAGAGTACAGACCCTTGAAACCTTCATTGGCAATGACCTTTCTGAAACAGTCAATGGAGTTGTTGTACAGACGCTGGCCGGGGTTAGCGCCTCGCTGGTTCTGCATACGCGTCTTGACAAGATCAATGGGGTAGACCATGAAGGCTCCAAAGGCACCAGCAACACTGCCAAGAAGGAAGTGGTAACCGGACTCGGCTGCTTGCCGCAAAGCAGCGCCGGCAGCTGTCTTGGCCTGACCACCTGCTTCACTTTCCTCCACAAAGCCACGGTTTCTCCAAGACGGGTCGAGCACCTTGGCGAAATCCATCAAGCTGAGACGGCCAGAGGGCTCGTCAAGGCTGGCAAAGTGAAACAGGATGTCAGCCTCCATAGGTGTGAACAGAGAAAACCGTGTGATCTTGGCAGCCTCGTTCAAGAATTCAGCCTTAGTGATCTTGCCGTCGGTGCTCTTTTGACACGCCTTGCGAATGATGAGCTCTACCAGATCCATCTCCTTAATCATGTTCTGGAAGGCTCTGACGTTGGCGTAGGAAACTCGGCTACCAAGGGAGATGTTGCAGAGAGTAGACAGGTTCTCCAATAGGTGGTCCGACAGCTTGTGCTTCGAGGTCTCGCGAATGATGCGCTCAAAGTCCTCTGGCTCAATGTAGCCATCACCGTCCTTGTCAAAACGCAGGAAAGCTTGTCGAATTCTCTCGCCCTGGAGACCACGTAGCATCTGCGAGAACTCATGGTATGTCAAGTTGTGGCGTCTGGTCTTGTCCCCAATGTAAAGCTTGGCCCATTGGGATTCCCAGTCAAACGGGATGCTGTCGGCGCCCTTGTTCAGCTCGTAGAGTCGGCGGAAGTTGTCATATGTGACGGCGCCAGTGCGTTCGACATCGAAAAGACGGAAAGCAATCTCGTATTCGGCGTCGGCTTTGAAAAGCAAGTTGTTGAACGCAGCCCAGTCAGCGATGCTAACGCGACCTCTGCGCTTGCGATCGGCGACGTGGAAGAGGAGACCGTATTGCTCACGCTTGATCTTGCCCTGTCAAAGAAGAGGTGTTAGTTTGCTGTCAATGCGTGATTCAAATGGTCTAAGGTGCACATACATAGTCTTCGTCAGCAGGTGCGACAGCATCAATGAACTGCTCCTCAGTCATGAACATTTCGCCAGTCTCAGCATCCTTGTTGGCAAGGCTAAGGAATGTCGCTCTGCTCTTTGCAGAGAGGTTCGCAGGGTCTTCGCTGCCAAGGAGACTCTCCTTGACAGCCTCCTTGATGGTGGCTGGTGCCGACATGCTTGCGACTGACTTGATGAAATCAGAAGAAAGATACTTCAAGGGCGCGAAAAGATGGTCGAATGAGTGCGAGGGGTGAAAGAGCACGCTCTGGGTGCCACCGGTTCCTGATGAGATGAAAACAGCCCCTGTGCGACAAGACTTTGCTGTTCTCTAGTCTGGTGATGTTTTCGAGCTAGAAATGACTCGGCGGACGGGACGGACGAAGGGACGAGATCGGTGGTCCCCGGAATCTGGGCAGGCGCGGAAAGGAGAAATTACAATGGCGGGGAAGTGGAAACGAGAGGACGTGCTAATACCCCCAAACAGTTGTGTTGTGGATTGAAGTTGTCAACGATGACAATTCGCCGATCAAGTGGCTCGTAAATGGTGGGATTGGGGGTGCGGTCAGGTCAGACGAACAAAACTCGCGATTCTTACTTGCGCGCTTCTTCTGAAATTTTTGTGACAAACCAGCTGGCCCAAAGTTTCCTAGGCGCCTGCATGACCCTGACCTTAAGGCACTTCAGGTACTCTCCAGGCCCTGATGGGATCTGACCGACCCTCCCTCCTAGTTCGCTCGCTTGCTTCCAGCTCCCTTCCCGTCCAACAGCCGACCACGTGATGCGATGAAAAACCCTTTAGCGCGGGGTATTAATAGGCCAACCACCCGTTCAGCTCCAGCTCCGGCACCAGCTCTGGGATTTCGGCAGGTCCCTGTTTCTGTCCCTTGTGCCTGGCAGGAACTCAAGGTAGGTAGGTAGTAAGTAGTTAACAGCCACCGTCTCGAAACGGTACATGTACGTTTACACATTCGCCTTTTGCTTGCGTCCAGGTCTACGGAAAATACTGGATTATCCACCATAGAATGTACTTGCGAAGAATTAAAAGTGCTGATTGATAAGAATATCAATATTCAATAATGAAACAGAAGAACAGGCAATGTGTCATTCTTGCCAGAGTTCAAGGAGAAACGTCACGAGACATTTGGAACTGACAGAAATCACCGCGTCTCGCGCCCATTGCATGGTACTTCTCCAGGTACCCTGTGCAGCTTGTCTTAACACGGCCGCGCTGTACGGTAGGTAGCTTCGATTCACTCTCCAGAAACAAAACAGAACTCGCCGCCTTTCTGGCAATTCAGTAAAGACCAAAGCACTCAGAGATCAATTCAAATATCAACCATATATCATTGGAATAGGGTCAGATGCAGTCGTGACCAAGCTACTTCTACAAGGCAAACGCGCAGAATCAACTCCCATATTAACGTATGCAATTTGTTTACGGAAAAAGTAGGAAGACAAAAAGGAGAAGACAAGTCTTGTCTTTAAACTACGACATTGTTGTCATTGCTAAAATCAGAGGTTCCATGTGACCAAACCTTAACCAGAGAGACAACAAATCAACCGTCTTTTGTTACTATTGATCAGGAACTGTGTTGCTGCGCAAATCAAAATAAGAAAACTTCCTCTCATATATCTATTGAGATTACTACAAAGAGTGAAAATATTTGCTTGATAAGTTCATTCCTCTTCAATATTCGACAGCATATCACAAAAACCAATGTGCACTCCATTTCCAGAAAAGGACTTTCCATGGAAGCGCGGGGGATGCATTCATTGCACATATCTGGTGGCTCGTGGCCATAACAAGTCCTGAAGCGTTTAAAAATGCAAATGTCAACATTCTCTCTTCTCGGGTAGGTTCGAAGGATGCATCCATAATTCTCGTGTTAAGAGGTATGCACATTGGCATTATTTAGGTGGGTAGAAGACCCAGATTATGGCCGTACGGTCTGTAACTGCTGAGGTGTGACATTATGGTTCACGGTCATCCGCAGCAATATTGCAAGATTGTTATCAGAATCGGTGAATCAATGCCGTTCTCTCCTCTATTTTGAGAGGCTATCTATGTACGCCGGGACGCCCCTACTCCTTGAGTTTCCATCCATGATCAACTATGTACGAGAAATTATACTCTGATGCCATTCGCCTTTCCCCCCTGATGCACATGAAATGATGTATACTCTAACAAAAACTGCAATTAGAAAAATGCCAGCTTGGCGAGACTACTCTTCGTTTTGAGAGGAAACCATCTCCTTGCCAGCTGTAGTAGATCCAGACTTTGCACTGCTTCTGGGTCGCTTCTTGGGGTAGCGGATGGCCGCAATGCCATTCGTTGCGAAGCACATGATGCCAAAAGGTTTGTATGCATCGAGAAGAAATCTCATGGCGTCCGCTCGCTGCAATATCCTCCTCTTCCTGTTACTCTTTTCTGGTGTGCTCCAAGCCGTGCACTCTTGAAGGTCGAATTTTTTGGGGGGGGTGATGCATGTGTCAATTGTCGTCTATTGGCAGTATTGTTGCGAGAAGACGCCATAGAGCGGACCATTAATGCTTCTTGGGTGGGGTGAAAAACCAAATCAAAGCCATTGCTGTGGGTATAGACATGTCTCGTAGCTTCGTAGAGCGTCATAAAATGGCCAAAAATGTGGCCGTATTAGTGTTGTTTGGTTGCGTAGGTGCAAATAGCTCACGCGCTCCTCGGCCAGAAAATCAATCTTCAGCGCTGTACAGACGTGATGCATCTGTTGCGCGTTGATATAGGATTTGGCACCAGACTATGCAAAGTTCTCGGGGTTGCAATGGTGCACTTCAAGGCAGAAGCAGCGCGGCCATTATACATACTGACCGAGGGTGACTAAAGTTGTCGAGTGAGCATTGTGTTGTTGTAAAAGCTCTGTTTGTTTGCAAGTGACGTTTCCAAGGTCAACCTTGGAGAGGAATAGGCATGCGCATGTAGCTGCGTTCGTAAGGTACTGTCGAGGGCCCCCACGTGGGTGGCAAGCTTTCGTAGCGGCCATTTGGTGCTGGCACCATCGACTGAGGAGGGGCTTCCAAGTAGAATCCCGACTTCAACTGACTCTCGACATAGGCGGCGCAACGCTTGTAGCGCTTATCCGAGTACTTTTCAAAGACTGCCTGGTGGTGCTTCTTTGCTATGGTGCAGCATTCAAGAATCATGCTGATCATTGGTTGAAGCTGAGCAAACGTATAACCAGAGTAATGGACATGCTCAGTAGTCTACATATAGCGGTCAGTCAAAGCTATCACGCCAACTCTGGAAGGAATACTCACCCATTTGCCCTTCTCTAAGATGAGTCGCGAGAGACAGTGTGAGCCTGCTGCAAGAAAGCTGGGCGGGCATGCGACGAAGCGCTCATCCATGATTGTCACCTCGAGGAAATATTTGGCCAGAGTTCGCGTCTCGAGATCATAATCGTCAGCCTTGCTGATACGCCTGAGAAAACTCATGGGCCCCGGGAAGCCAAGGTCAAAGTTGAGCATACTGAGCATATACCGCTCCGCCTTGAGGATTTCGTCCACCGAATAGCTATTCTCGACCATGTAGACGATCTCCTGCACCGAGGGACAGTTGATCTCCTCGTACTTCGCCGCCAAGAAAAGAGCCGTGGCGCCGACTAACTGAAGCTTGCCCAGAGACACTACCTTGACTGACAGGAATCGATCGATGAAGTTGACTGCTAGGAAGAGAGTCTCAGGTAGCAGATTGAAGCGGCCGTGGACCTGGATGACCCAGTCCATCAAGACGCTGCGCATAGACCATTGAATCTCGGTCTGAATGTCCATGTAATGGGCACTCGGAAGGAGGGCAATCTGGAGGATTTCATGTAAGCTTCAATCACCAGAAGAACTACATTGGAAAGTTCTACACTTACCTCCATTTCTTTCATGTATTCGAAGATTTCATCTCCATACTCGGCGACCATGCTGATATCCCATCGCTCATCTTCGACTTCCTCCGTCGTACGATTCTTTTCGACATGTACACGGGCGGCCTCGATCTCGTCGAGCGTCTGCTTGGAGAACTTTGGTGCGTCCATGACGGTCATAGTGACACTAGGTTCAGCCTCAGCTTCAAGCAGGTCACCGACGTCGGGGTGAACTGCGTCGTCGGTGGATCGATACGTATGGGCAGTCGTATATCCTTGATCGATGTCGTAAAAGTCCTCGTCTTCGTGGTCAGAAAGTTCGTGTTCGAGCAGATCGGCTGCCGAGATCAGGCACTCGTCTTGATAGTTGATGTTGTGGATAACAGACTCGGATCGAGACTCTGGCTCTGACTCGGGGTCGCGAATTGAAAGCGAAGAGTCGACTTTACGTGGCTGCAAAATGGGGCACTGCTCGGGTGATAGCTCCTCCACAGCGTCCAAATAGGGAGTCTGTGCGACGTCGTCCTCGATGATATTCTTGGCGGCAGGCAGAGGTTCCCAGTGAGCCAAGTTGTTAATGTCGGTGTCGAGAAGGGAGACAACCTGCTGCTGCTTCTGCTGCATAGATTTGAGAGCAGGCTGGCTCTGGTAGTGTCGAGGTTTACGTGGGAAAATAGTAGAAGTCGTCCGGACCGCGTCCGCAGCTTCGATGTGATGGGTAACGACGGTGCCTGACTCTGCAGTCGTGGGCCGACTATCGTTGTTGTTGCTGTTGTTGCTGTCATCATTGTCGTTGTAGATGGAAGTGGAAGCCCGCTTGGGCAGTTTGGTGGCCGCTTGAGAAGGGGCATTTGACACAACACCAGTCAATGGCTGGATATAGCCATTGTTCTGCGCCGAGGGAAGGAACGTGTTGCCCTTGGAAGAGGGTCGTTGCGCGGGACGCAGGAACGCGTCTTTCTGGGTAGCTTTGGCTGGAATGGGATTCTCCAGGGCCTTCACGACCTGGACCTTGACGTCTGGTACCTTGGACTCATCCTTGAAACTGGTCGTGGTTCGGAGGGTGTTGCTCTTGTCGGCGAAGACGGCACGCTTTGGCGCCATTTGTGACACTACGGTGTTTGCGGCAAGGGTGGGTTGGCCGCGAAGGTTTCCAGTTGACTTGTGCCGTTGATGGATTGCCTGTTTGGCAGGCGGGAGGTTCTCGTTATTCGCAACGCCGAATTTGCGCGGAGGACGGAATGGCTATTCAAATGTGCTCAGTCAATAAGGGAACCAGGGATGTTGATTGTGCATTCGATCGATCGTCAGGGGAAGAATAGATGACAAGAACTAAAAAAAAAAGAAAGAAAGAAAGGCCAAGACTGTGGAATTGGGCAATGCTTAAATCAAAAGGAGTAGTACTCCAAGGAGTTATGAGGCAGAGATTGGGGAGTATGGACCAAGTCACCAGCGGGCTTGAGGCATAAATGGCCGGTGATTCGTTATTGTGATGACAGAATGCAAGGCTGAGAGATGAAGTGGTAGATTGATTGGGATTGGAAAGAAGAATGGATGTGTTTTTGTATGCAATATCAAACTCCGCAAAAAGGCTCCAGGCGGTGAATTGACGCTTGCGCCGATATCTCTCAAGATACAGCCAAATACTTTTTTTTTTTTTTCCCTTTTTTACCCCCAGAGAGACCATGTCGCAAGCGATGAATTCGCAGTAAAAAAAAAAAAAAAAAAAGAGACCCACAAGCGCGCGATTGCTTACCTTTGCATCCATTGCGATAGTTGATCCTGGTGTCGATTGCACCAAGATAGCAGGACCCTTAAACGACTCCTTCAAGTACAATGTATGATACTAGGTTAGGTAGTGAGGCTCCTGGGCGCCGGGTCGGCAGTAGTGTAAAATTCGTAACCGCGGAGACGGGCGCAAACTGAGGCAGATCAAATACTTCGACAGAGCTGCTCAAAAATGCTGATGGTGATGATGCTACTGCTGGTGCGCGTTGTGCTTGCGTCTTGAAGTCGCGTCCAAAATTGATGGGCAAGAAGGTAGTAGGTAGTAGTAGTAGGCTTTGCTCATTCCGAACGTGGCTCGTGTTGTAAGTAGTAATCAAACATTTGAATGAGGTCCAGGCTAGCAGTGAGGTGCACCTGGTCTATTGCGCGTACCCTGTAGACCCTGGCGGAGAAAAAGGGACCTTGGGAAAGGGGAAACAGAGGGGAAAGTGATTTCTCGAGAAAGCAGGTGCAGTGCAAAATGTATGGACGATGTTGTTCGCAATGCGAAAGAATTCGAGAAATGGGCCAAGACTGCGGTCGTTGGGCAATGGGATTTTTTGATGTGCCTTTTTTCCCCTTCTCCCCTCTGTTATTATTGTTGTTTGTTGTCGACGGCCTTCCAATTGTTTATCAGCACCAAGCTCATGTCCAAACCTTGGGGATGTAAAGTGCAAGGGTTCCATGCTAAGGATTCCAGAAGAAGCCAATCGGACGCAGCGAAGTGGGGATGTTTCCGTGTACATCGGTACATAACGTAGCATTGGCTCGACTGGCTAGCCAACGGCGTTGTGTTATGCAGCCAAAGAAACTGCAAACCTGGGGAATAAAAACAGTCCGTCCAGCGATCAAGCGATCAGATGGAATGAATGCCCTGCCCTGCCTGCCCTGCTTTCATGATCATTCTGGAACGTCTACTGAATATGGGGTTTTGTATACTCTAATATGTCTCTGGTCCAATTGTGCAACCAGTATGTATTGCATGTTGGCATGTATGCTTCTAATCCTCCTCTCAAGCCATTAGGTCAGTTTATGTCGTAGAGCCAAATATACAGAGTACATATGATTATGATGTCTCGAGTATGGTCACCGATTCCACAGCAACTGGAGTCTGACTTTTTGCCTTTTTCAGAAATAATGACAGGGTAAGGCGAAAAGAAATAGCTGCATGATTGTCTCAAATTTGAGCAATTTGGCCTTGGATCCTGCGTACGTACAAAATAACAAAAGATAGCTTGGGGGTAGCGGGCTTTTCAAGTTGGCGGAACTCGGGTGCTTCTTCCATGATCTGCAATCACCACAAGGAATGGTCGTTCTGTGCCAAACCTTATTCATCCTATCATGTATCGAGGGGATTGCAGCTTTGGGCATGCACGAAGCAGAACTATTCCCCTCAAGGGATTGCCCGTGGCAGCTACATAAACTAGTGCAAGATTATATCCGACAAGACTCACGTGACTTATCACGTGATTATAGCATTGGAAAACTTCGAGACGATTCCGCTATGACGTATCCGGCAGTGAGCTTCTATAAACGCGGGTCTACCAAACGCGCTCGAAGTGAACATTGCAATGCTCATGAACCACGCTTGATTCAATTCGAGTGAAAATATGAAAGAAGAGTCGCATAAACTATAGAAAGCGAATGCGACCTTTTTTCTCGTTCATTTCTTGGTTGTTTGATTCCGTAGTTGAGATTCGGGCAATTTACCAGGGATGACGGGACTTTGACACGAGGTCATGTGACTTTAATGGGTTGTACCAAAATCCGCCTCACTGTGTCGCATAACTCAAGCGCAGTTGGACTTTCAAAACTCATTGTACGTTTTCAAGATTGTATTTGATGAGCGCAACCTGTTCAGAGGCATGCGCACCTTGCGCGACAACTGGAAATAATGCGCTCGCAAGCGATGGTGGCGATGGCATTACTGGGCTGTGGTTGCGACGTCCGGCCAGTGCGAGGGAATGGCCACAACCCGAAAGGCAGAAACGAGGGAATACTGCTGAGGAGAAGTTTGAGATGAGGCCATGTTAAGCGGCCATGCTTTGTTCCTTGGATAATATATGATGCTGGCCGCCGGCCAAGCACACGAAGGCCGGCAGGTATATCTCAGTAGAAATCCCTCGGTCCTCGAGGTGCTTGGGGCAATTGACTAGCCATTGGCAATCAAGTGCTGTGCTTCGGCTTGAGACTGAAGGATCAAGCGTCGAACCATGCTTGACACTTACAGCGAATCATTGTGCTTCAGCTATGAAGCAATGCGCGATTGCGATAACAATGGCTGTATGGTCTGCTGGAAGCCGGTCGTCATCGGGCTTTGATACTGTGTGGTGAGCATTCCCACCCATTTGGCCGTATGCAGCTTGAAAAGTCAGAATCATCGTGGCAGCATGACAAAACTGCGGAGTCTGGCATGCTCCATCACCTTAGCTAAATTGTGGCAGAGCTAGTTCGTCGCAGGCACTCCACCCGCGGAGAGGGTTGTGAGCGCAGTCGACTACCTAGACGCCGATCGCACGTATTGAGATGACCATGGCGCAGTGATTATGGGCGAGATCAAGAGATCACGGAGTCTGGTAGGCAATCGTCGAGCGATCTACGGTGTATGGGACAAAAAGGAAGTACAGAACACGGCAACCTTGCTGCAAGAAGCTGCGGTGTATCCGGAGGGCTTTCGCGCGCGAATAACCATCAGATGCCCCCCCCGGATGAGAGAAAACAACAGACATCACAACAACAAAGCTGGCTTGGCCGGGCTTCTTATTGGACATGTCAACTCGTAGACGGTCTAGATAATGGGCGACCTTACTTGGCCAGCGCTGAAGAACTTCGAATGGGGAGCGATCACCTGCAGCTGAAGCTTTGCGATATGAAACAAGAAGCGAGAGGCCGGCCGGGGCCAATTGGTGGGTCACCCTTTTTTCATACTCGAGCTTGGGTTTCGCGAGCGCCGGTCGACCAGCCATGCCGGCTAAAAGATACGTGAATTGACAGGCTCAGAAACAATGCGAAAGTTCAGTGGGCGCAAATTGATATAGAGATAGATGGTTGAGATTCTATCCCTTGCCATGGCTGCGATGCGCTGTTCCTGGCTTTTGCTATCAATCCTGATCGAGTTGAATATTACTGTAAAGAATTGCCCGAGTCTGATACCCAGTTCGTCAATCAGTGTTCGCGCGTAATTGAGACAATAGTTTCCGGCCAATGGCGCTCGAGGCCGGCGGCAATTTACACTGTCCGCCAACTTTTGGTGCCCCTCGACTTGAAGCAGGCGTTGCTTCCAGTCATTTATTTCTAGTTCACAGGCCGAAACGGTGAAACGTGGGCAGATAGATGGCATGGTGGGTGTGTCGAATTGGATGAGGGGGATTTGCTGGCCCGGATCTTGCTTCCATCCAGGTTGTTGAGCCCTCCTCACCTTCATGACGCGCGGTCCAGAGTTGGTTGTCGATGTGGTATCCAAAGCCAATGGAATCCATATCTACAACGATGCAACCCTTGTCCCAGACAAGCTGGCGCGCATGATGCGGGCGGAACTCGCTACTTATTGGCTATATGCCGTCCTCCCGCCATTGCGAGTGAATACCACCTGACGGTTCACATACTAGATATGTGCCTGTCGAAGATCTCTCACTCTACTACTTTCTTTAATGGCGAAGAGATTCAGATGTACCAAGGTAATGTCTATAGTCAAACTGGTTCAGCAGCAGACCTGCTGGTGCAGTGCAGAAGCCGATTTGCGAACCAGCGCTTCGGTTGTCTCTCTCTTACCTAGATACATACCAGTAGGGACACATGGTTTGAACGGTCCAATGCGTGCCAACGCACCGTTTGGGCGCCCTTCAATGCCGGTAGAGCTTGTGCACAGTTTGTGGTTGGCTGCTGCACAGTCTGTGGTCCCAGTGCCCATACTCCTTCCTTGCTGAGCACTTTCATCTCACTAATGGTCGACGGTTGTGGCTAGATAATGAAACGAACATCATCAGAAAATATCAGCCATGGCCAAATACACACTGGCTTTCTAGGTCGTCTGTCTGTATCTATCCTTTTCGCAATTCCATCCCTCCTCGAATGGTCATTGTTTGCCTGGTGCTTCAGTGAAGGGTGGCCCGAGTTCCGCGGCGTGCAAGAGCAAAACAGTCCACAGTACTTCTGTCGCACTTGGACGTAATTCACCAGTGACATGACATGGCACTGTCCCAATGAACAACCCGGATAGCCAGATGCAGCAGGTTAGAGAAATGGAAATAAATCAATAGAAATTTGTGATGAAAATACAGCATACTCTTGGATTATGTAGTAGTTGTTCAACCAGTCCTAGTAACAGGGACATCAAGGTTTTGACTCCAAACTGTGTTTAGTAACGATCTATTTATTGCTGGAGTCTCACTGGGCGGCTAGCCCAACCAGCGACTTTCTCTAGAGTGAGTGGAGGCGACGGCAAGAATCCTCTCTACTATCAGCAGGCCCTGGAGGGGGCAGGCAGGTAGGTTGCGCTTCCCCCCACGAAGAACACGAGAAAAAGCATCAAAGGGCTCTCGGGAGGGCATGGAAGCGATCCCAAGTTGTGAAGAATATAGAATATAGAATATCAAAAGTTGGACAAATTCTGTGGTCGCAAAACTCTCTGGCGCATTCGATCGACCACGCATACCGTACATAATAAACGTGCTGGCCAACGTTTCTAGTGCGCCGGGCCTGGTGAGTAAAAGTAGCTGCATTGCGCCTGCCCTCCACTTTCTGCTGCGGTGGTAGTCCACTGACTGACTGCGCACAGTCGCAGTTGCACTCCTCCTCTTCCTACCGTCACAAAAAGCCCAACTCACATTCTCCTCTCCATACGCAGTCTGTTGAAACACCACCAAGATTATCCTCTGATCATCCAACGGCATCTCCTGTCTCTCTTTGGCCTGTGTAATTTTTCTGTTCTCCATACCAGTCCCTTGTCTATACTGTGTCCCGGCTTCCCACCAGATCCGCCTGTCCCTGTGTTGACTTTCGACTGCCGGGCATAGAGATCCGGTGCACGACGCTCAATGCATCTGTAGGGAAGCCACCGCCATCAGTTTTGCCTTCTGGTCAGTAAATCTTCTTCTATACTGCATTGCGATCAATGTCTCTCGACCAAATCAGAATGCCATGACCTCCTGCCTTGCTGTCCTCACTCCGTATTCCCCGGGTTACTCGAGGATTCTATTCCTGTGGGCAGGTGGTGGCAGACCCGGCTCTCACGGGCTCTTCTTTTTCACAACATTCCATTTTTGTGATAAAATGGCAACCATGAAGAAAACAAACTGACATGATATGCATTTTGGCAGTTCAATTGGAGCCCTCGTCGAATGCCGTATGCTTAACCGATCCGCCGACCGATTCACACGTCACTTTTGACCGCTTTGCGACTCCTGCGACTCCACCTCTCTACCACAAAGCCAACTCCAAAATTAAAAGGCTCCTTTCCACCGACCACACCCGGGCCGGCTTCAGGACCATATAGAATGGACCTGCCCAACTATATGACCTCTGCTTCTCCCATTGATTTGGCTCCCATTCATTCCGCTCGCTCCAACATGGGTAGCGAGTCACCCGTGAGGCCCGCCGCGCTTTCCAAGCATGTCGCATTCGAGCTTCTCTTCCCCGAGTCACCTCATTACAAAGCGCGCCTCCCATTGAGAGTGCAGATATATCCCCATGACAGCACCGAGTCGATTGTGACAACGGTTAAAAACTTCTATGGCTTATATTCGGGTCCGACCGGGGGCAAAGGTATCAGTTTTGAGGACGACCGGGGCAATACTCTTATTGCTGGGTATGAGAACTTTCACAATAATATGGTCGTCTATGTACGAATCATTGAGGACTCGCCGCAGTCGGCAGTCCCCTTCCTTTCTGGTTATCCAGCTGCCACCGTTGCAGGCCGGAGCTTTGGCAGTAATGATTTCTCTGGTCAATCGACACAACATTTTGACCAGCATCACTCCAGACCGGCCTCGCGGACTTCCAGAAAGCGAAGTGTCTCTCCTAATGGCGAACGTGGCCGACGTAGCACGTCAATCGGCCCCAACCCTACAGCAGGCAAGAAGGGCAGGTCTCGCTCATCCAAGACCCGCGGCCCGAACTACGAGAATCACAGCGACAGCCTAAACGGCTATAGCAGTGGCGACAATGACTCTCCTTCTGTGTCAAGCAAGGCAAAGGAACCCATTGGCAACACAGATATAAGCCTGGAGAATATTGTTGAGGGTGGTCGTAGGAAGCGTGCCAAGTTTGAGAGTTCCGTGAGTCTACTGTTGACACTAAGCCCCCTCCCAACTGATCTCCACTCCACGAGGCATTCTCTAACCTGGTGTGCAAATCATAGGAACTTCCTCTATTTGCGCCGCCTCAGATGCCGGCTGCCACTTCCAATCCGTCTGTGTCTCCTGCTCGACGAACAGACCCTCACCGAGCCGCCATTCCTTTCGCCCACCCAGGACAAAATCCCTTCACCAACCCACGGCCTCTCCAATCCCCACAGCATTACGGCCATGGCGGCTATAGTCACTTCGGCATGTACGCTACACCCAGCACCGACTCGAGGCGTCATCGCAACAGCATTGGCTACCCGCCCGGAATTTTGCCAACTCCAGACCCTACGATTGGTAGTAACATGTCCGAAGAGGACAAGGATGTTGCCTTGCAGCTTATGAGGCTCGGTGATATGTCCAATGTCTCCCATGGGAGGACTTCTGCTTCTACTCTGGATGATACTTTTAGTGGTAGAGCTGATGCTGCCTCCTCTACTGGCGCTACTAGTGATGGCGAAAGTGACAGTGGGGATGACCTCCCTCCTACTCGCCGTCAAAAGGTTGAGACCTTTGCAAGCAGCGCACGAGTGTATCAGACGACCGAGAGCCACTTCAAGGCCCAAGGTGAAACCAGTGGCGATGACGCTGACTACGAAGATGGCAACGATGATTCGCACCTTGTGAATGGTGTCAAGGCCAAGCTGGAGAAACCACGGCTGCCCAGCTTGAAGACGGGCACAGCCAAGCCCAAGTCCAAGGCCCCCAAGTCCCAAAGCGGCCCCAAGGTCAAGAAGTCGAATAGCATCTCGACCTCTGGGCCAATGTCGCCCACATCTCTGCCAGCGCAATCACGCAAACCCTCAATTGTAGGCCCCGGGCTCATGCCTGGCCAGCCAGGAGAGGATGATCAACCCGACCTTTCGACAAAGCCCCGATGCCAGCGCTGCCGTAAGAGCAAGAAGGGATGCGATCGTCAACGGCCATGCGGGCGTTGCCGGGATGCTGGCCTCAGCGCTGATCAGTGTGTCAGCGAGGACGAAGGCAACGGTCGTAAAGGTCGTTATGGACGCCACATGGGTGTCCCCGTCAAGACGGTCGAGACTGTCCCTCAGCCTACTCTACTCCCAGCTGCGCCGATCACCGCCCCAATGCCTCCTCCCCTCGGTGATAAAAATAAGAAACGCAAGCGATGAACAATGCTCGAGCTGTGGTCAGCTGAGGCGTGACACTCGATAGCACTCGAGTCCAACCAAACCATGTCCGGGTCGCCCCACAATCCGGTCATCTTGCATTTCGAGGAACTCCGAATTGGGTTTCATAAGTGCTCGTGTATTGCATCTATCTGCGTCCGGCCCATCACTTGTTTTAACATGGTCTTTTTACTGGAGTTCAGATAGGTGGCTGGCGTATTGGCGATCGGAATTTTTGAAACGGCCCTTTTGGAATGGCCATCCGCTCCTTCATACTCAGACTTGGTCTTTGAGGCGTTTGGCTTGGTTTATTTTAATTTCCAAAGGCCACTACGCACGTCCTAGTGCTGCACGACGAACCAAAGCAACCAAGTCGTTGAGCAAATGCTGTATTGGAAAACGCTTATCAAGAATAAAATATGAGAAGAAAGAATGGTGTCAAGATACATGGTGGACTAGCGAGGGAAGCTACGAAGAGGACATTTCTTGGCCCGAGCGGGTGGTTAGGATTGGAAGGGAAAGCTGTTGCGACTTTGAATCTCTCTAGAAATGGCTTCTACAGCTAAAAAGTCGCTCGAGAGGACGTTGTCGTTCTCTCATCTCCTATGTTGAAAGGTAAATAGTTGTGATTTGAAGATGTTTAGCCTGCCTGCTTATTGCCACTGCTTCCATGTTTTCGCCTGTGCTTGTATTCAGATGGTTTTTGCTTGTTTCCAAGGGAGTGTTTGGTCACCCTAAGCGCAGCGTCCTAGATCATTGCGACTATACAACCTGTATGTCATCCATTATCAAGAAGCGCCTTATGATCACAGCAACTCCTGAAACTTTGTATCAATGGGTGGGTGGTGCGTCTCATCTCATTAACGGTGATACCGCTGAGGGCGGACTACAAAACGGGCATTTCAATCAACGCGGCAAATTTTCTGAAGCTATTCAGCCAAGACTGTGCGCGCGATTCAAGTTACCAGCCAGCGCAGCAAACTGCAAGGCGGCCATCGTGGCCATCAAATGGGAGCCCAGCTCAGCCAATGGTTTGCTCCCCCAACGAAATAAAGCTGCCGCGACGGAGTGCTTAAACCCGGGTTTTCGGCAGCGCCTTTTGTCGCAAGTAGATTCCAACCACGCCTACGGGTCTCGTCCGCCCTACGGTACAATTGCGCAACATGTTTAGTGGTGAATAGCGATGCGCGACAGTTTGCGACAAGGAAAACCTCAAAATGACGTTCTTGTATTGACGTTGAACTAAACTTCTGCGGTGCGGCCGGGGGGGTAGGCGAGTTTTGGAAAAAGCCCCTCTCCTTTAGGCTTAGCGCAGTTCCCTTGCGCGCCCATGGAAGCAGAAAAGAAGAAGAAGAAAAGGGCACAAAAAAAAAGTGTGTGCGTCGCAGAAGGACCAGAACCTACCAAAAGGGGGATCCAGTCCAATCTACAAGCGCAAACAAGCTTAGATGGGAAGGAGAGGGACGCACCGTACCGGTCCTTTTCAACGGACTTGTTTTTCTTTTCCTCTCTTTCCGACTATCTTCTACTACCCACTAAAACAGAATCCCACCTGTGTATAGCTCCCGCCCTGTCTCGGCGGGCTTGAACTTTTTGTCTGGTCTACCTATTTCTCTATGTCCCTCTCCGTCTTCCCAACGGGATGGAGGGGGGCAAGAGGACGGGCTTGGCGGATTAACGCCAGTTGCCAAAACGGGGAACTCTGGGCACGAGCCACAGGGACGGGGAAAGTGTATAATCGGACCCACCGCGACGAATCAAAATGAGGCTTTCAACTGCTGGAGGGCAAGGAGGGGCCAGTCGGAGAAGCACTTGGCAAGCACTTTCAAGCTCCCTGACTCTAGCGCAAGGCGGGCACACCCGAACCTGCCCTTTTGCTTGGTGATTCTTTTTCTTTGACAGCAATTGCTGCCCCATCATTCCCTAGGTACCTACCTACCAGCTACCAACCAGGGCCCGGGCCTAGCGCTTGATTGCTTGAATCGCGTCGCATCAATTGATTTATTCAAGATGGTGTGAAGAAAGAAGAAGTCATCTGGATCGCTTTTGTTCCATTTCAAACTAAAGGGGTGGCAGACGAATGCGCAGTCGAGAGATACTAAGGACTTGCAGGTTGCGACCAACGTAATATCGTCTGTGCTATTTGCTTATATACCTGCTACCATTCGTGACCACGGAGCCTCAATGCTGTCCCTACTGGAAATGCGCCAACCGCAAATACAGCCAGCGAACTTCGTCCAACCAATAAACAAACTTGTCTGCTGCGTATAATCCAAACACATTCAAAGTCGACAGATTCTCCATGATAGTTTTCAGGAATATCTGTCGCATTCAGCGCTCACGCTAGCGTCGCAACAGATTTGCGACGCGGCCGTCTTGCGCTTTTCTCCCCCCCCTCTCACGGTGAAAGACCGTCTGTGGCTCCTCCTGATTTTCTAACCTACTGCGTAAAACTAGTCTTTTGCGAATCCACTTCAGATGGTAAGCCATGACCTTTTCTTTCCCCTCAGGCCTTCATTCTTCCCTCTCTCTCTCTCTCTCCCAGCGCCACTGCGGACCACGTCACCTACTAAAGTGGTGCACACCGTATCGCGGAGTAATAAGTGCAGTAGTAGAGTAGTGGAGATATCATGTAGTGCATTTATGGGACAGTGTATTCGTTGGCCGATTTCCATCGAATAGCTTGTTGTTTCAAAGGTTGACATGTACGAAGACCAGGCATCACGACCAGGGTGTGTGTTTTTTTTTTTAAGAAAAGAGAAATCACGATTTGCACGTACTTGATTTCGCCACTGGTGCCGTCGACTGCGTCCGATCATCAGAGAGAGCGAGAGCAATGGGTTTAGGAAGAAGTCGTCCGGTTGTTAGTGGTAGGAGATCTAGAGCGGTGAGTGGACTCGCCCTCTTTCCCGCTCTCTTACAAGCGAGCTGGGAAATTCTCTCGAAGCACTAGAACAGTGAGAGAACAGCGTCTTACATGGGAGGAAGGGAGCAAGGGGGATGGGGGGGAATCCTCTCCGTGGATCCTCACTCTTGGTTTATGATCATCCCCTTGCGGGCACTGGGAACAACTAAAATGAAACACGCAGAACAACGATCCATGACTCGGTAGCGCAAGAAAAACGAACAATACTAGCTATTTTTTGCCGTCTTGGTCCCATATGTCGATGCTAATGCAATAGGTAGAAAGTTGGTTGAGAGAGCGACAGAGCGGCCCTGCGGCTCTTGTACGAATCAACCATGCCGCTTGAGGCGCATCTGGTGCTCGCATATTGCTTGGCCTGCATCCAATCGCGCAAGCTGTGCGCCATATGGTTCACCGAAAACAAAGCAAAGCACCATAGCCCATCCAGCTCGATATTGTCTTTGTTTATTTCAGGGTCTACAAACACTAGATTCTATGAAGCGGTTACCCAACCCCGCTCAGCAGTGATCCTCTTTGAATGTGCTGTGTTTTTCTTCTTCCATGCCTTGCAGCATCGTTGGAACGTATGACATGGGGTCGTCCCGCAATGAACCCTTCTCCAGAGATTTTGTCCACGGGAAGACGCGGGAGCCACAATGAGATCTGACATGATGTTATGCCTGCCTGAAAATCTCAGCTGATGATGGCTCGTCATTATTAGCTCGTCAAGCCCGTATTATACGATCCAAAAAAAATTGTGGGTTGGTATTTCCTTACCACGACCATCAGACCATTGGCTCTGCACTATTGCGACTCTGTGGGATGAGATGTCAATCTAGTTCTGCACGTACATGGCCAGAGGGGCCCAATTCATGACGATCCATCAGTTGTGGCAAATCTTATATTCATGGTCGATATATTCAACTTTGAAGGCTTTGAAGGACAGCACATCGAGAGTACATGGATTATTCTCGTAGCCAGAGACAGTATATCAAGGTATAGTTACTTGTCGGTCGACAATTGTCTCAATTCTCCCTGGGAGAAGATGGCTGAACTAAAATCAAATATAAAGTACAATCAACATGATTGGGTGAATCCATCTAGATGGTGCCCGTTGAGGTCATGCCTGTAGTCAAGCGGCTTCTCATTTGGAGTCATCGTATCAACACTGAGCCTCTATTCTCTTTCTCATATTCTAGAACGAATCTGCAACACAATTTTATGTAATCATGATGGACTATGACCACTCCCTGACTTCTTCTGGGTGATGAAAGTCTACCTACGCCTTACAATGACAGTCTCTCCAGGAGTTGCCCTTGGTGTTGGCCTTCTCGAGCTTCCCATATCCTCCCTAAGAATACAATGTACATATTGATGATTGCCACGCGCCTTATTAGCGGTGTCCCTGTCGACTATCCCTCTTGTATGAATAATCATTGTGTAAGAAAGTCATTCAATCGGATTCTCTCATCTCCGGAGCCACAGCTAGGTCTGGTGCATGCGACATCATGTAATCATTTTGAATAATCATGTCATCATCAAGTTATAATATGATTTCCGCTATGTTTAAGTCTATCATACTTTCATCTCGCCATGAACGCCTTCGCCGTGCCTCAAATTCATACAGTATGAATTTGTAAATCGTAAGAAAATGAAGCCGAAAAGCAGACCATCTCCTTTGATATCAAACGCTGAACGCCGAGAAATCTATTCGCTTTGTTGTATTTATATTGTATTTCTTTTCTTGCTTGTGTCATGCGCTCGGGACTGAGAGCGTGATGAACCCTGATCACTTTGCGTTTCCTAAATGGTCAAACCTAGAATTCTGGCGGCTTTTTCGTTGTTACCATATTCTGTACCTCGCAAGGGTGGACTATCGGGTATGATGAGCTGCTGGCCCTCCGAGTCGAGGATCTCCGTCGGATGGGGCCATTCGCCGGTCATTAAGGTGCGGCGCTTCTTCTTGATATTGCCTTGACTAATTTGTTTCGAGCCCAGATCGGGTCGCGCGCCAGACGATTTTGTTCTTGGTCGCCCGTCTGCGCTCAGTGACGAGCCTGCTCCAAGAGGCGATCTGGCGTACGGCACCACTGGAACAAGAAGATTATCGTCTTCGGCAGTCTTGGCGCGACTTCGACCATTGGTCGGTATCGTAGGGGCAAAAGACCGTTTCTGGAGTTCAGGCTCAGGCTCAGACTCGAGGCCCGGTGTGGCCAAGCCACTCTCTGGGACTCTGGGGGCCGACTTTTCGTTGGTTGTGAGACCCTTCGTGGTTGCAAAAGCAGAAGATCGCGTGTGGTAAGGATCTCTTGAGAGGAAGCCGTCTTCGATGGGATGGACCATGACGGATTGGTGATGGATCGTCAGTATAGAGTTGGTGGGTACGTTAACCCAGTTTTCTGTGCATATGTTAGTATAAAGTATAACATTGGAATTATATATGCAATAGGAAGACATGAAACTCACCTCGTTCAAAAGTGAGAGGTTCGCTGGCGACAAGCACGATATCGGCGCCCTTGTCGCGCCGCTGCATCTGGTAATCGTGACCGCTCGACGAGTTTGGCGTTGGTGTTGATTTGCTCTCCCATTGTGTTCCAGACGAGTAGTACAAACTGGCGGCCTCGTCTGTTTTACTGCTCACGTATCTGGTGCATATGACACTGTGTCCATCGGTGACGGCAAAGTTGAGCAAGCTTCTGGTGTCAATGTTCTCACTCTGAATGAGACTTTCGGGGATGCTTGTGGTAAGCTCATTGATCTCTTCAATGGTCTGCAGGAGCGCCTTTCGCAGTGTGGCGGGACTGAAGCCTTCGGCAGGCGACGAACTCGGATCAACACCCAATCTCTCCAGACGATCCAAGAATAGGGCAAAAGCCCATTCACTGTCGGTGCCACCCTGGACGGAGAGATACCACTTGTCGTGAAGCTTCTCGCCCAGTCTGCGCTTGATGTATTTCCAACCTCCGAGGCCGCCATTATGCATCCACATGAGACTGCCGTGGGTGAAGGGATGGCAATTATCCTCGCTCAACGAACCCTCGGTGGTAGCCCGGACATGTGCGAATATGAGTCGGGAGGCTGTCTTCGTAGCCAGTCGGTGTAGGTTGGTGCAATTCCAAGCGGGAATGATGGATGTAAATAAACAGGGAGCTTCGCCGAGCTTTGGGTCGGTATACCAACCAATGCCGAACCCATCAGCATTGTTCTGGCCTCTTCTCGTGTCCTATGTCACGTATGAGCTGTCAGCTGTGTGTACAATCGATCGAGGCCGGTGCGGAGCAGGTCATGCTTACAAGTCGCAAACGAGAATCAAAGGACTGCTTGAGAATTGAATGAGTCGGGTCGAGAATGAGCTTGGAGAGCAGAATCTCGTCGCTGCCCCGGTATAACTATAAGTTGCCGAGGAGTGGTCAGTATAATGGTCTGGCAAGCCAACAAGGAACGAGCACGCGACCAGATAGGATGACTCACGAGAAAGCGACACATGGCGATGGGCTGGAGTTGGTAGATTATCTTCTACCTGGAACAAAAGGTAGAAAGAAGGAGAAAAGTACCAGGATGTGATACTATCGTGACAATATCGAGGGGTCGACTAAAGTCGCCATAGATCTAGCTCGCAGGGAAGAGAAAGGGGGACCGCGAGCAAGTTTGGTAGGACGTATTTGGTGTTTTCGTCTGTCGATCAAGGGGATGAGGATCCAAGCAAACAAATGGGGTTTCGGTGGTTTATTGTATATTGTCTTCTGTTTGGTTTTGGGTTTTTAGGTTTCTTTGAATAGTGTTTTTGTGCTGTTTCGCGTGTGCGTTTTTCTTTTTTTGCCCGCAGCGCCGTTTGATGTCGACTCAGAAGTTTGGCTATTTTAGATGGTCTGACGACAGCGCTGAATTTGGGCGCGCAGCGAGCAGCAAGCAGCTTTTGTTTGGCGAGTGCCTGCCTTGTTTAGCGTATGCACGATTGAACCGGCCAGATTTCGGAGAGCGGGATGAGAGCCAAGGGACAGCTGAGAGGAGCTGCGACCCAGCAAGGCTGACTGACGACAATCGGCCAAACTATGACGTGATTGGTTGAGATCGGACACTGAGACCCTGGGAAATGGCGAGTGGGGCCCAACTGTCATTGCCGGGATCGCTCCCCGCCCCCAAAGTTCATCTAAACTACGTATCACTAGGCACTAGGTACGTACCTAGCTGGCGACTTATGTAGCCTAGGTTAGGTATGTAGTCTGGTAAAGAAATTTTGTCTCTTCTTATGGGTGTTGAAGACTATCTACATGTTCCGCTCGACATACTACTGCGCTAAGCAAAACTTAAAACACAATGCACAACTTCTGGGCTGCCGCTGCGGGCAACGTGGGTATACGGGTGGATGCCAGTTGGCATGTTCTGTACTACCAGGCAGTACCTAGGTGATATGACTGAAATTACCAGGATGAGTATAAGAAGCAACAGATCAAGTACGATTTCAAATGTCGGTGGACTGGGATTACAAACCATCCAGGATGACTCAAGAAACTTATTGAAATACTTGATACATGCTTGATTCAATACATTATTGAAAAGAGAAATTCGAAGCGACCATATATCCCTTGTAGGTGTTTTTAGGTTTTCCATCTCCACCTCAACACGTTTGTGTGTAACATTTGCTGCACATTATTTGCGAAATTTGAGTTTTTGGCGCGACCGTTACACGGCAAAGGAAGCAGAGTTGATTAGATGGGCAACGCAAAGCCACGTGGAAGTCCAGGAACAGGCACATGTTGAAGAACTAGGTTGCGTTGTGGCACCAAGCTGAAAAAGTCGAGTCGTTGTGTTGCTCTGCTCAACCAACAGCCAGATGGACTATCATTCTTCAGTCTATACATATTCTTCATAGGAGTAGACTTATACTGTGTTCGGTCTTTGGAGCCTCCCGCCTCGCTCACTATTTCTCCGTTCCAAAGGACTGGCGAATAGCTGCACTTAGTCGCTGTATTGCTACCTTCATAGTCTCCTCCTCTGCACTGGCAAACGTGATGCGGAAGAATATCTCCTGAAGTGGCTTCTGTGAATCAACCCGGAACCATGAGCCCCGAGCACAAAGTACACCGTTTGCAATAGCATGGTCAAATATCTTCTCTTCCAGCTCTATTGCTGTCGACTCGATGGTGTTTGAGCACTTTTGGTGTTGCACCTTGATCCATATCTGTAACATGTCTTAGCTCGAGCTGGCTATGAAATGCGCCACCGAATACTGTTATGATTTCACCCAGACAACAAACCAGGGTGGAATCATACTGGGAAAAGATATGAGACCCCCCATCAGAGAGACGACTGAAGTAACCAACAGTCACTATAGAAAGGAATGTTGGAAAGAAATTATAGGACTTACAAACATTCCTGCCTGTGGAACATCCCAAGTGACAATGTCTCGAGGCAAAAACTCCTCACAGGCATTCAACAGCACATCGCGCCGTCTCTGGTAGTGCTTGCTCATCTGACAAAGCCATTTCATATATCCGTCGTGGCCCCAAGTCTCATCCAGCAATTTCCACAACATGAGCTGCGAGAAGCCTCCAGGTCCCTGATTCGCAACTTCAGCATGGGCGAGGAAACGCTCAATGACTTGTGCACTCGCTGTGACCCATCCGAGTCTTGCACCTGGTACTACGACTTTGGAAAACGAGTCCATGCGCAATACACGGCCGTCTGTGTCGAGACTCAGAAAAGTCGGCACCAGATTCTCGAAGTACTTTTGCGCACTTTTGTCGTCGTCATCGATCCCGCGGCCGTCGAACTGATCTTGCATTTGCAGAAAGTAGTAGGGGTCATCTTCGATAATGAAGATATCATGCTCTTGGCAAACCGCATACACGGCTTGGCGACGCTCCAGGCTCATGGTTGTCCCTGTCGGGTTCTGCCCCGTGGGAATCGTGTACAGGACGTGAGGTTTTCTCGCACCACGAGTCTTTGCATCCCAGTTTCTCAACATTTGGTCCATGGAGTCAGGCAAGAGACCTTCTGCGTCCATTTTTACGCCAAACATCTTGATGCCTTGTGGTGCAATTGTCTCAATGGCTGTGGAAAACGAATATTCTTCCATCAGGATGGAGTCGCCTCGCTCACGGTCACACAACAAACGAATAGCCTGTTCGAGGGCGCCCGTGTTTCCGACAGTCTGGCAGGCCCGCCAATCTGCATATGGGGGATTGAACAGCATCTCGGTATGCTCCGTGATCCATCGAAGCATCTGTGGCGATCCCATTGGCTGCCCATAGTTGAGGGCAAGCGAAAGATCATATTCGGAGGCACCTATCCTGCTGTCGTGCTTGGAGATTGTTACATCATGATCTGGGGCACACGAGTCTGTAGATGGATCTGGAATACGCAAAGAGATCTCTGAAAAAGGAAAGTATTCGCTAGATGGAAGCCCACCTCCAAGCGATACTAGTCCGGGAGTCTTGAGGTGCTTTGCCGCCGCTTGCTTTAACACGGAATGAGTACGCAGACTGCTCTCTGCACTAAAATGCGCTGTTTTTGCAAAAGTAAGCAGGTATTTTATCATCAAATCGCGTATCAGTGTACATACCGCTAAAGTCTTTTGCCAAAGGCTTAGTGGAAGTCTGTGATATGTTAGTCAGACATAAAGGACTTCCCTGGGGATGGCGTACATTGGTTTTGAACATATCACTATCCGAGTATGCAGCAAATCCGACAGACATGCGTCCATCCTGGACTCTTTTTGCCTGGATTCTGGCCAATAAAGCTTCGTAAGACTCCATTGTTATAGGCACACGGTTCGTGGGTAATGGTAAACGCAATATCAGGCAAGTTTACAGTGAATTTACATGAGCATCTAAATAGGTATGATATATCCATTGCTATTTGTAGCGACTTCGGCCGATGAGTCGAAAGACTAATAATCACATCAGCAAATCCATTCTCAATCTCTCTGCAGTATACCGCGCAACTTGACTCACCGGGGTAGATATGGATGTACCCACTTACGACTACACCCGCCACGCCCTACGCCCTTACACAACGCCCTTACGCCCTACGCCCTAAACATGGTGCCTTGCGCTCTGAACCCAGAAACCCTGATGAGAACTTATCAATGGAGCCAACGAGGCAAGTCACCAGCTCAATTCAACGCAAGCCGATTAATATTGACCCTGCCAAAATGGCACTTTTGACTTTGATGCTGTGCCGACCTCGGGCCTAATCGAGCAACATGGGCATATAGTCATGGCAAGCTCCCTTCAATATCTCTATCCTTGAATGACAGGTCGTGAAAGGTGTCATGGAGACTTGAATGGTTGATCTTGTCTACGGAATCGCCTCTATCGTGAATGCTCTTGCGTCGTAGTCAATGAATAGTGACCATGAAGTCGGTTTCACAAGACAACTTTTCCATACTGAGCCACTACAAACTCCAATTCAATTACAGTCTTGATCAACCATAACTGAATTGCTACAGAGTCCGCGAACTTGGATCACGTGAAGCATGATGACTGTTTATGATATAGATTTCATTAGTACTTGGGTACTTGTTTTAATTCAATCCACTTATTAGTATACGGAATAGGTAATTCATAGTGCTGCTATCATTAGACTTTTATCTAGTCTCATAAGCAGAGACCCCACCACACATGCGGTTCCGTCTGCTGCCGATATCGCGGGGTGGTTTTATCTGACTTCATACGATTCCTTGTCTGCTGGGCGTGTACTTCGTACATGGACTGAAGAATCGCTGAAGCAAATTGAGAGCCGTCTAAAAGTAAACATGGAGAGCTCGCACGGTCAGTTGAAAGCCACATACCCACCCCTATCACAAGGTGGGACTCTCTAACGCCCAATGTGAATAGACCTTGGCTATTCCGAAGCAGATTTGCTCAACTCACTGCAGACAACATCGCTCGGCTACCACTCCAGCATCACTACAGAGGAGCTTGAGAACCTGCAAAACTTGCTCGTAGATGAAAATGTGCTTCCGACTGAGCATGATGTGCAATACAACAGCCTGTCAGACTATCCAAGTCAACCGCTGGAGATGATAGCGCCGTGGCAGGCACACGCTCCTCTCGTCGAATCTCAAGCGATTCCTGTCCCGGCGCTGGCCTCCAACCAGACCTTGCCGCGCCGGAGAAGCCGGTATCTACGCAATGGAAGTGCACGCAATGCATCTAGCGAGCCAGTCACTCCTGCTCAATCGAGCCTCAACCCGATGCAGCGATGGCAGGAATCTCCGCCAGAAACCGAGGGCGCTTCCTTACTCGCCATTGCCGGGGCCTTGAGAAATAGTCCCCGGCACACCAGGTCTGCAGAAAGGTTGAAAACCAAGAGATGGAGTGTAGCAACTTCAGATACAAGCCTCGACAGTGCCGACACGGGCTGCTCTTCCCAGTCTATTGCCTCATCTAGGTCAACTACATCACGGAGAGAAAAGCCAAGATCGAGGCATGCATCGAGGGCACGAACAACACTCAACCGGTCCAAATCCGGTGCCCAAAACGGTCGCATATTCCAGTGCACCTTTTGTTGCGACACATTCAAGAACAAGTATGACTGGTCCCGGCACGAAAAGTCCTTGCATCTCTCGGTCGAGAGATGGATTTGCACACCATTCGGGGGCGCTATTGTGTCGCCATTGACTGGCCAGAACCACTGCGTGTACTGCAACCTGCCTGATGTGTCCCAGGAGCATCTTGTGAAAACACATGCACATGGCAGTTGTGAAGGCGAAAACCAGGTACGAGAATTTGGTCGGAGAGATCATCTCGTCCAACACCTGAGGCAAATCCACAAGATAGATGCAGCCCCGGCATGCATTGACGACTGGAAGGTTGACGCTCCTCCCATTGCCTGCCGCTGCGGTTTTTGCAACACACAGTTAAACAGCTGGAAAGAGCGGGCGGATCATCTCGCCCGTCATTTTCGGGATGGGTCAACCATGGACGACTGGCAAGGAGATCACGGGTTCGAAAAGCCAATCGCCTCACAGGTGAACAATGCGATACCCCCATATCTGATCGGAGCGGAATCCCGCAGTCTGGTGCCATTCTCTGCCACATCCTCCCGTACCAAAGATCATTTGCACCAAATTATGAAATCTCATGATGAATGGGCAGCCGAGCTGGGAGGGGGTGAGAGCCATCAGTCGAACCCGATACCAAATCAGGAACAAGTTGACGAGACCGGGGCTCAGCAATCTGAATCTGCGGTATCCAAGAATTTTGTGCATTTCCTCACGTCAGGGCTCGCACGATTTGCTCGTCAACAAATGAGCCTCGGCGTTGTTCCATCAGATGAAATGTTTCAGAATGAATCGAGACGACTGGTGTACGGCAGCCAGGATGGATGGGATCAAACCATTGCCGACAACAATCAGTGGCTTTCTACATTCAGATCCACACATTTGGGGCCCAATGATGATAGCCAAGGTTCTGGGCATGGGAATATGACTTGAATAATATTTTATCATCCCGTCTCTAGTATGCTATAAATACGTTCTTGAGTGCGAGGGGTTATGATTATGATATCATTCAGGTATTCATATATAGTGTGCCATAGCATGGCCTCTATGCTATCCGAGAGTGTCTTCTCTAGCCCGTCTTTCAAACAATTGGTTATAATAATGGTAAAGCCCCATAACGCCAAACGCCACGCCTGTCTTTTTTCTTTCTCCAGCTGGATTTGCCTTGTACATGACAATCCTCTGAACGCTCCCGAAAAATAATCAATTTCGCCAAAAAGTAGCTTGTCGACTGACGGAAAACCACTTTTCATTACTCTGGCTCCTTCGCAATCTGTCGCCTTCCTGGAAAGACTCGATCAGTCTCTCAAGGGGCTGACTGGACTGACGTCTCCAACCTCGCCGTCGTAATCTTCGTGTGGCGCACCGAGGGGCTTCATCATGGTCTCCTCGAGCCAGCGCGCATAGCACTGGAACCCGCCAGTGCTTCCCGACACCACGGCAGACCGGCAGCCCCGCACATCCTCGAGCAGCTCGAGCACCTCGCGCCCGGCACAGCGGTAATCGGCCTGCCAGACCTCGACCTCCAGGTGCTCGAGGCCGCTGAGCGACTCGGCGGCCGCCGCCCGCGTGAAGCCCGGCTTGATGTCCAGACGTACCCGGAGGACGGCGCGGCGCACCAGCGAGGCCATGGCGGACGAGACCACGGGGCTGTAGTCCTCGCGCAGCCGTGGGAACGACGTGAGGAGCGACGGGTGTGCTAGAAAGGTGTTGAGGCGGTAGAGCATCTCGTGCGCTTCCCAGTGGGTTTGCCGGCATACGGACAGGATTTGCGGATACACCTTGGGGTTGGATGGATGGCTGTGGCCGGCTGTGTTAATGGGGTCGACTAGGAAGAGGAGGTAGGTGTAGATTTCCCATCTCATCTCGAGGGGAAGAGATAGGAATCCTATCCGGGGCCGGTGTGTGTCATGTTGGACGAGTGATTTGGTCTCACTATTATCGTCCATGGTGTATGTAAGAATTTGAGATACAAGGACTGCAAGAACGTTGGGTAATCTGATTGATGTTGTGCTTGTTGTGTCTTACTGGAGGCGTGATATAGGATATCGCCGTGTTCAGTATAGGTGGAAATATGGTAATCGATAGCAGTGTCTTTGGGTAATAAAATGGACGAGAACAACAAGACAACTTCAGACATGGCAAATACTCTATAATTATATCTTCTTTGGATAAAGTGGGACATACGGGTGTCTACGGTGTGTTGTTGTAGAATATCAGCAGAATGTGGTGTGACATTTCCTCAGTCGCGCCGATAAGAAGTGGGATCTCGAGGCGCCCAAAGCCCAGGTCTCCCGGTCTAGATTAAAGCAACTACGCAACGTTTCCGCTTGGGATTTCCGTTCAGGAACAGGGGAATAAGGCTAGAACAGACCGTTGCGAGACTTGAAATAAAAAGTAGAGAAAATAACTACCTACTTTCTAGTTGTTGTTGTTGATCTGAGCACTTGACTAGCAAAGTGCCGGTGATATCTTGGTGTCTTTTGTGCTTGAGCATTAAACCCGTACCTCGCCGAGTCATGGACGGCCATGTCTACATAGTTGACTTATGCTATGACCTATTCAGCCCAACCCGCCATCGGAGATCTAACTGATCCTGGGCAAGAGTACAGGGCGACGGCGAGGTTGCTTGGACTCTGTACTATTGCATTCTCAGATCGTGTTGGCAAATTGATGATTTCTTTTCTGCCGAGTCGGTTACACATGCTCGACTGTCCATCGACAGATGGTGTTCAAGGCGTTGTACAAGAAGATCAAGTCTAGCGACAAGACCCACCACCGCCCGTGGCCCACATATACTCACTCTCCTGGACCCCTGGACTTTCATGAGGCATCATATCATCATAGTCAGTCGATCCATTGTTGACCAGCACCCAGCTGCGAGCCGCCGCACTGCACTTTGCAAAGCAGCGTCGCATTGAAGTGCCCCTTGCAGGACGGCTCGCTCTTGAACTAGACGCGCTTTAAGGCGACCCAACAAGAAGATCATCGAGATTGGCTTTTTTTTAAGTCCCGAAGTTGGAAGCGAGACGAGACGAGACAAGCCTTTGTTGGGGGCTAAGAACGAGGTACCGAGACGATGTAAACCCGGAGCGCCTCTCCGGTAGCTGCCGCGCAGGTGGTTCAGAGGGCGCAGGGCTTGAACAGCCCATTCAATGACAGGCTTCTAGCGGGAACAAAGCTCTTTGCTTGTTCTTTTTTTTTTTTTTTCTTTTCCTTCCTACTTTCCTCCCTCTTATCTTATCGTAGACGTGATCTAGCGACTGAATCGCGCCTTGGCGACCCCTCGGATCCGGCGCCATGGGCCGCCAGAAGATCGTTAAACTCTAAGTCTCTCAGCCGACGACTCAAGTCGCCTTCCACGAGGTCATTTCCCCATCGCCAAAAGGGTGGTCTTCTGGTCGTCTTTGTCATACGGAGGCATTTCCCCGGTCGCCAGCCAATTCATGTCGTCGCGCTGACCAAAAAAACAACAAGACCTGGGATATCAATCCGCTTCTTGAATGTCAGCAAATCCGTTACAGCACGGCGCAATTGATTCGACGGCGACAGCGACACCAACAGCCATCATCCCGTCAGACCCGCAACAACCCGATACCTGTGTGGGACTTCTTCAACAACGTACATTATGCAGTTTCTCGTCTTTCTCTCGGGCGTCTTCGGCTGGGTCTACACCTTCTGCTGGTCCGCCTCATTCTATAGTCAACCGCTTCTGAGCTATCGGAGAAAGTCCACCTCTGGGACGACTGTAGACTTTCCGTTGATCAACACATTTGGTACACACATACCTATTGCCCCTTTCCCATGCGCCCGCTAGTAGTTCCCGGTACCTGCGCTTGGACGATCCTCTCGAGGTCGAGGCCATTCGAGAGTAGATGCAGATCATGTACAAACACTTTGCTAACAAGTCAATCGCTTTCTAGGCTTTTGCGCATATCTGACCTCCAATTTGGCATTCTACTACTCCCCCGTGATTCGACATCAATATGCGCTCCGCCATGGCGAGGGCCATGTGCCGACCGTCGCGTTCAATGACGTTATCTTCGCACTACACGCCGTGATTGTCTGCACCATCACGACGTCGCAATATATGCTGCCGTCCCTTTGGGGCTTTGAGCGCGCACCAGGTACCAGGCCATCTCGCCTGATCCTCGGTGTGGCTACGGGCTCCTTGCTGACGGTCGCCGGTATGATTGCCCTGGTGGCCGGACAGGACCCGTCTTCTGCGGCAGACCCGCGGCACTCCTGGGCCTGGCTCGATGTCGTCTACGCCATCTCGTACGTCAAGCTCTTTGTGACGCTCATCAAGTACGCGCCGCAGCTGTACTATAATGCGCAGAACCAGAGTACCAAGGGCTGGAGCATCTGGCAGATCCTGCTCGATTTTGCCGGCGGTATCCTCAGCATTGCCCAGCAGGGCATCGACTCGTACCTCCAGGGCGACTGGACCGGCATCACTGGCAACCCTGTCAAGTTTGCCCTTGGCAATGTGTCCATGCTGTACGATATTTGCTTCATGACGCAGCACTACGTCCTCTACCGCGGTAGCAACGGTGCCAAAGGGGAGAGAGAGGCTCTCCTTGAACGAGGTGAGGACGAGAGAAGATTAGATTAGACAAGCCAAGACTGTCAAGACAAAGTAAGGACCAAGAAATACATGGGTTTGAAAGCTTATTGTATAGTGTCTATTAGTGGCCTGGGTTAATCAGGTTACGATATGTCAATCTCTCAGCCAAAGGTGTTTGGTATGTGGAGTTATTCTTCAGAGTTATCGATCAACAAGATCGTGATCAAGAGATATCAATATCATTGAATAACGATAAAAACAATTTATACCTACTTGTCTCAGCGAATACACCAACCACGAGTGTACATGGATTTGTGTCAGTCAAAGCAGCCAATACCGACCAACCGGCGGCAAAGGAGGGATTTTAATGTATTGCTTTGGTCTGCAATATGCGGTGCCCGGATAAAGTCAACGGCAACAAGGACTTTCCCTAACAAGGCGGAACAATCGAACGCAATAACCAGCTCTTACGCGCCCGACAACACCTGTAGAGCATACTGGTTTTTCCATGTGGCGCAAAGCAAGTAGAGAGACATCATGTGTTACCAAGGCAACCAAACGCTGGCCAACAATGGCCTTTCACTTGCAGATAATCGAAACACCATGACTTCTACCGAGACAACAAAAGACATGCACGGTAATTTGTGTGTTCCCAGTGTCTCTCACCTCTGGTGTCAAGTCGGCAAATCCCCTCTGTTTCAATAGTAATAGACTTGTGTCTTGTGGTGGAAAAGTGGTCTACTTTTTTGTCCACTCACAAGACAAATTACAAAGAGATTTGAAAGAAAATAAAGGGATTCCCTGAACGATAATACCCCATACTCAACATGGGTAGTTGGCCCCGTCGAGTGATCCAACTAATGGCTTGGTATCGCGGGGTACCCTGTCAAGCATGTCAAGACGAGGCCAAATGACCAATTGCCGTCGACACAAGTCGTGGCACTTTAGCCCTGGACAGGTAGCATTTGCTCGGCCACGGCAGAATCCATCTAGGATGACACTTTTACTCTGGGCGCCGAATGAGGAGACTGACAACTAAAAGTACAGGTCAAAATGGGTTCCCGGTGATATTTGCCGAGACCTGCCAAGCGTTACCCTTCATCCTCGTGGAGGGATGTATTCTGGCAATCTTGGAGAAAAGAGGACAAACAGCCGCGGAGAGAAGTGGGTAGAATAAGCTTGTCGACAGAGTGACTGCAAGCAGCGCATAGACAGTTGACAGGCTCAGAGTAGGTAGGGGACGAGGAGCTCGAATGCGACACAACGTTTGTTCTAGGTAGTCCAGGCTCCTGCAGACACTTGGACTAACGAGATTCACAACCTTTTCCAAGCATTTGGAAACCGTGAATCGCGGCCAATCCAATCGAATCCCTGTGCCCCTTGCAGGCTTGCAGAGGGGACTTTCTTAAATACATACCTTGGAAGCTCTTCCTACTCGTCGCCGCATCATAACTTTGTTCCCTTTGGCAAACCCTTTTTCTTCTTCTTGTGCGCACCGCAACCCGTGACTTGGACAAACCGTTCATCTGTCTGAACGGTCCTTTCGATCACTGCGCAATCATGTCCGTCGAAAAGTCCGACTCGCCGGCAGAGGTTGAGGCTGCTGAAAAAAGTGATGACTCTGTCGAAGGACCATCATGGACCGAGGCCGAGGAGACTGCTCTACGGCACAAGCTCGATTGGCAAATCGTCCCGACCGTGACCATCCTATATCTTCTCTGCTTCCTTGATCGGTATGTCATTCTTGTTTCTTACTTCTCACTGGTTGTTGGTCGTTGTTCTTTCACAGGTCGTGATAGTCAAGTGATGAACTCGACAAGCAAGAAAGAAATTGAGAACCTGTACTAATTTTGACTCCTCTAGTGCCAACATTGGTAATGCTCGCATTCAGGGCATGGATAAGGAACTTGACCTGAGCGGCTACCGCTTCAACTGGGCTCTTTCGATCTTTTATATTGTCTACCTGTGCTTCGAGGTGCCTAGTAACATCATCTTGAAGAAGGTTGGCCCTCGTTACTTCATACCAGGTCTCGTCGTCGGTTTCGGCTTCATCTCCATGTGCACGGCATTCATCAAGACTTTTGAGCAACTGTGTGCAATGCGCGCCCTTCTGGGTATTTTTGAGGGCGGCGCCATGCCTGGCATCGCATTCTTTCTCAGCTCCTTCTACAAGCGCAAGGAGTTGTACTTTCGCGTCGGAATCTATGTCTCGGCCGCCTCGATGGCTGGTGCTTTTGGAGGTGAGATTATAGACGCACATAATCCATCCTTTTTTTTACCTGGTGACTGACAATAACCTCTAGGCCTCCTCGCTACTGGCTTGACTCGAATCCCGACTTGGGGAATCGCATCAACAAGGATCGGAACCTGGCGCAATATTTTCTTCTTTGAGGGCATCATCACCATGATTGCAGGCATTCTGGCGCCCATCATCCTCCCTCAGAGCCCATCCAGCTCCAAGCGCCTGACTCCCCGCGAGCAGTGGATCGCCGAGGAGCGTCTGCGCCGCGAACACCGGTCCGACTCCAACGAGAACGTCAAACCCAAGCACGTCAAGCGCGCTGTTCTCAACATTATGAACTACATTTGCGCCGGCGGCTTCTTCCTCATCAACGTCACGGTCCAGGGCGTCTCCGTCTTCATGCCGACGCTGCTGGCCGAGCTGGGCTGGACCTCGACCAAGGCCCAGCTGTACAGCGTTCCCCCCTATGTTCTGGCTTCGCTCGTTGCTATTGGCATTGCCTTTGTCAGCGACAAGACGGCCCGCCGCGGCATCTACCTTGCTGGCTTCACTCTGATTGGCATTGTCGGCTTCTCCATCCTGCGCTGGAGCGACAATGCCAACCTCAAGTACATGAGCATCTACTTTGTTACCATCGGTGCCTTTCCCGGTGGCCCTGGCTTCCTAGCCTGGGGTCTCAACAATTCGGCCGGTCCCGCTGTTCGCGCTGTCTCGGGTGGCTACATTGTCTCGATTGGCACTGCTGGCGGTATCTTGGCCGTCTGGGCATATCTCGCCCGCGACGGCCCCGACTTTCATATTGGCCATACCATCAATCTTGTCGCCCAGTTCCTTGTGCTGGGTCTGTCGCTTTCTGGAATCGCGTATTGCAAGTGGGAAAATCGGCTGCGGGCTCGGGGTGGTCGTGACTATAGACTGGAAGGGCTGACGGAGCAGGAACAGGCCGATCTTGGATACAGACATCCCGAGTTTAGATATATTGCTTGAGGTGTTTGTTGGGTAATCGGGGCCCCGAAATCTTTCGATATTGGAACAGCCGTGCGAGTAGGTACATAGTTTGTCATTGTTCATGAATGATTGTCTAGGGTATTTAGAAGTAATGATTTTAAGCAGAGTCTGCAACTCTTCTGGTATCACCGTACATAATCGTGACCGCGTAAACCAGCCTTTGGCTCGAAATGATATGCCCAAAGATTGCTACTCCATATACCGAGTTAATCCGTTGCTATCTATTCCTACCTCTTTAGCTCGGCAAGGGTCTTGAGCACTACATCAGCAAAAGGTCGACCATCCTCCCACATGCCATCATGCGTCCCCTCGAGGTCCTTGAGCACGAGCATTCGAACCTTGTCCTTCTCGAGCCGTCTCGCCATGCCGTCAATCTCGGGCTCATCAATGAGCTCATCCTGGGGGCCCCAACCCAAGACAACCAGCTCCCCAGCCTTCCAGCCCCTGCCGCCAAAGTCGCCCTGGAACCGCAGCGGCGAGACATGAGCCCATGTCTCGGGCCCGCCAAAGGCGCCCTCAAAGAGCTCCCCATACGCGGGGCCGAGCCTGTCCACCAGTCCCTGCAGATCGTAAATACCCTCGAGGCCGACAATGGCCCGGGGCAGCGCCGCGTCGGCCGGGGGTGCCGAGCCCCGCAGCGCCGTCGCGCCCATGAGCAGCTGCAGGGCCAGCGTGGCACCCGCCGAGTGGCCGACGAGCACATAATTGCTGCCAAAGCCGTACCGGCCCTGCAAAAAGGCCAGCGCCGACCACACGTCGCAAATGTGGTCCGGGTGCCGGGCGTTGCGGTACTCTTCCGCGGGCGTGGTGGCGGGGTCCTGGGGGAAGCTGGGGTGCGGGCTTAGCCGGTAGTCGACGGAAGCAAATCCCGCAAAGGCGGGAGACGAAGAGGTGGCGTCAATGGTAGGGCCAAAGGTCTTGTGGTCGATGCGAAAGTCCCTCCATGCGCCGCCATGAATGTAACTGAGTGAAAGCGTCAGAACGATGCGGCAGCAGTTGACTTGATGTGAGGGTGTTTACATGATCCAAGGCTCTTTGCTTTGCGACCCCGTGTCTGGCAATGTCCAGACGCCTACTCTCTGCAGCTCATGGTCTTTTCCATAACGGTGGGCCTCATAAGTTAGTGAGGACGACATGTTTTTGCCAACACGCCACGATCTATATATGCAAGAGATAATGTAGTGTACCAAATAAAGAAATAAGGAAAATATCGCAAGAATTTGATAGTTGACAGTCATGTGCCTATCCCTTTCCATTCGGTTCATGTATTTTTCTTCCAAAAACTGTTCGACTGAGTGACTTATGTCCTTGAAGTCCATGGATTCAAATTATCCACTCGGAGTTGTGCGGGGCTCAAATCGGCCGGAGCGGATCGGCCGCCACCAATCAGCGGAAGGACGGGATTCGGAAGCGGAAGTCGAGTTGATCCAAATAATGCCAACAGTACTCTGTATAGCTTTTTTCTTGTTTTCAGACCCTTTGTATTCATATAAAAGCCTGCTATGGTGTCAATCAGACTCTGGTAAGACGGTACTCGGCTGGAAAATCGGCGTGTCTGGCCTAAACTCATGCTGGCCTAAATAATCAGTTTGAGCATGTTGTGCGGACATGCCTTATTCTAAAGCCTATTTCGGATGAAAGCCTGGTTCATTGGAAATTACTTTGGCTACCTTTGTGGCCAGTTTGCGAGCTCAACCGGCCGAGAATGACCAGATAGTTCTCGCGATCCTGGCGTTTGCGCCGAGAGCTCGGAACGCGCCTGACCAGAAAGCTCTAAATAAGTGAGGGTGAAATCTGTCGATAAAAGGCCCTCAACATTCGAGTCAGACTTGGGTGGCGGATATATTTGTGAATTGCTGTTTGCGTCCCTTTTACGCTTCCATCTCAATGTATAATACGCCAAGACAAGGAGAATGATGAAGCCTGAGGTCCCTCCAATACCGATGCCCACAGCTACACTGGTCGGTATACGGTCTGTGGCGTCCTGAGATGAATCCCCACCGGTCGTGTTCGAGGTACTTGTAGGCAAAATGGTAGCGGTAGACACTGTTGGAGAGCCTGTCAAGTCTGACGATTTATGTACGAGCTGAAATAATGGCGCGTAGACGGTGTACTTGTCGATAACAGAGCTGGAGGTGATGAAATCGGTACCATCAGAAAGGCTCACGGTGGTACTAATGGTAGAAGGCAATGTCTTGTACATATATGCCACGCTAGTCGCTCCTTGGCCATTACAAATCCCCGTACGAATCGAGGTGGAACTCAATATAGCCAAGCAGGTTTGTATATTCGAGTCCCATGTATGAGTACAAGTAAATCCTCTTTGTCGATTCTGTCAGCATCACACGGACTCATTTTACTGTGCCTGAAGCTGAAAGACATACGTTGGACAGCATCCGACGGCGGTTTCTAGCAAAGACAAGCTGAATTGAAAGTCAAATGCTTGAGGATCAGCCTGCCCAGCGGTACTCGAACAGCTCGGCGTATATCCACTGGGGCATATAGTGCCTGGAGAGTAGAAACCCCAGCCAGCGAATGGTTGAGATGTTGATCGTGCATAGAAAGCGGTTGGTGGCCAGCACGCGGAATCGTCTATCTGGCTCTTGCGGCCGTCGCCATCGCATGTCTGAGCGAGCCAGCCGTATGTACAATTATCGCATTTGGAAATGACGTCGTTGCAATAGCTGGGCGCTACGAATGGGGTCGTTAGAGGCCCAAGATTGAACTGAGCGGGCTTTGCGTTCGTAGTTGTAGTCGCGGTGGCCATGTCGCTGGTAAATTTCTAGTTCATTGTGTGCATAAGCAAATAAATGGCGAGCCAAAAGACGCTTGGTACTAATGATGAGGATCTGTTGGTCCAGATATATTCGTTCCGTCGGTGACTGGAATACGTCCACTAGAAGAAGGCAGCCCTTTGGACAGCAGCAAGAAAAGTGCAGACTCACCCTCTCCCATGGAAATAGACACGCCAAAGAGGATTGGATCACTCAAAGAACAGGAGGATGTGGCTGCCAGGTCAGCTTACAGAAGAATATATAATCGAACAGCCACATTTCAAAAAGGAGGCCAAGCCCTGAAGAAAAAGAAAATAGACATTATGAAAAATAGGGCAATAAGCTGCGTTGGTAGTACATGATGTCTCGGGCAACATGTTCGTCGTACAGATCTTTGACTGGTACGACTCCCCAAACGGATGCGCATGTGTGCATTTGATGCAGTCTATTCTGCAAATACTCTATATGGTCATGGAGGAATCTGATTGGGGTTTCTCGTGCTTATCCCACCGCCCACCGCCCACCGCCCATACGTGGGAGGCTGCATCAGAAGACTACATCGATCAGTTCTGTCCGGCTGTCATAGCAGATCTTCTAGAAAATATGTAGTGGATGGTCATCAATCAAACTTGTCACAGAGGTTGATCGCTCTTTGCCACATCCCGAAGATGAGTCCAGGAAAGGTCATGAGCTCAGACTAGTCTCCATGTTGATATATACCGATCGTCTGATGGTTGCTTACGTACATGAGATTCATTGAGACAAGATAGAGGCAAGTTTGTTGTTAAGCCAACGATCACTCAGGAAGTAACGAAATGTACTTTTGATCAGCCAAGGTACCTCTGCTCATTGGGCGTCAGGCTGGTAGAAGAAGTAATTAGGATAGTTTCCGTGTACCACAAGAAACTTTGCTTTTGTCTACGGCCGGATGGAACACGAAAGTCTCAAAAGTCTTCAACAACAAAGGAGGCCACAGGTGTGAGGTGCGACTTCTATAAAGCAGATTAATAAGTCTGCGCGCAGTCAGTTCACAACTCCTAGCAGTTTCTCGTTTTCCCAAACCTGCTTGTTCACTTGTGTCTCCCCAATATGATTGACTTTTTGACGTTTTTTTTTTTTTTTTTTTTTTAACAACACCGTTCTCTTTCCTAGTCTTGATATTTCCTTTTGTTCATGTCACCGAAACGCAAAATCTTCAATGTGTTTGCGAGGAAATTCAATTATCAAACATGGTAACCAGGAGAGATGACAGAGTTGGCGCATACTGAAATAACAAAACCCCATCAGCCTTTCCAATGATTGCGACCGAGGTTTTACATGCAAATGGCATAAACCATGGGGGATGTGATGGAAATGTAGCGGCGGCGATCCGTGGAGTTTTCTCATGCGTGCGAGCGTTATGGTGGTCTATGGCTGCCATTTACTGACAAGGGGGGCATTTATGCTGTCGTGTGAAGGGAGCGATAGCACAAAGTATGGTGACGTGCTAGTAGTAGTCCTGGTAGGTAATAAATTCCGGACGCGTTGCTCCTCCGGTTTATCATCATATGCAGGATGCCCATAATTCGCCGATGCACAGGCATCGCGCTATAATTGGACGCTGGGCGATTCTAGAACATCTCTGTATATTAGCTGGCTTGCGAACCGAGGCAGGTCGTGATTGATGAGCTGACCGACCCTGACAGCCCCCGACTGCTGGGCCGCTGTCACAGTCGGCTACCAGAGTCACACCCCAATTCTGTCTTATCGCGCCGGTGCAACTGAATGCACTAATTCGGGCAACTTCTACAAAGGATATAGTCCAGTTGTTCTGGCATATCATCTGAATTACGCGAGCACAGCTGAAGGGTGAGGTCTTTAGCCGCATGTACACTAAGTAGTTAGTTAGTTAGTTTTGCTATTGTTCATCAGGTTTGCGTCGACAGCGCGTGTCGGAAAGGGTGCGCGCAGCACGGTTGTATTGTGTTTCATCGGTCGCGGGCTCTTAGTCTGATATCATCCCGTCATGGATTCATGCCGCATTTGACACTATGGATATACACTTGCCCTAATACCAGGTTCTAGGTAGAAGATCGGCGCTGTCATTCTCTACAAAGGCTCCATCAATTGCAACGAGAGAAGGGGTGGTGGATCGAGATACTACCTACCTATTACCCAGGTGCCTGCATGCATGTATGCATACCGACTTACATAGCTTAGCCGCGAGGTTTATTGAGTTTAGTGTGAAACACCAAGCTAACCTTTCTTCCCAAATCAGCCTGTCCCAGAGTTGAATCTCAGGATGAAGATGCCTGGCAAGCCACTGGAGTATGGGCTTGTTGTAGACCCTGGCTGGTGTCTGTCTCCAACGGACCACTCCTGGATATGGAACCCACCATTCGCCGACCTCGACGCCTCCCGGTGGCATATATTGCTCGCCAGTCCTGTTGGTGTTGAATCTCCGCATACTGTCACAGTCTAAGGTCTCGACGACGTGAACTGATGGGGCAGCTCTCCACAGCGGCAGCAAGGTTGCCAGCTACTCGATACCCGTTGCGGCATAGTCTTGGCTGTATTCCGTAATTCACCCCCACTGATGGATGGATACCTATTGTTGCGCTCAGACATATCAACTTTTTCAAGAGCTTGTTGTTATTCTCCTTCTTTTGGTCGACGTGATCAGTCCAGCCAAGAGAAGAAGGCTTGGCTCTACTCCAGTACGTATGTCGCCATGAGCTGCATTGGAAGAAAGACGCCTCCCGACTTGTCCTGATACCTACTACTCCTGAACGGCTGCCCAGTACCCCAGCACAATGCAATTGGTGTGGCAGTTCATATGCAAGGGCGCTCTCTTGCAAGGGGTTGGGGTAAGGGAGTAGATCCTTTTTAACATGATCTCTGCATGGGATTAGCACTTCCCGTCACATTGTACGGTAGCTCCCGAGTTCGCGAACGTGGGCCGACTCCCCGGTACCGACCAAAAGTGCCCTCTCCAAGCTTGTGTTCGAGAACCACGATCACGTCAAAGCTGGTACGGAGCACCCTCCATCCATTGCTAGGACCAGGGTAGATCGTGTGTCGCGGGTCGGGGTCGGGGGACACGAGTTAAGAACCTGTCAAGCATAAACAGGCAAAAATACGTCTCACACCGGCAGCGGAACTCTACCGAGTCCTGCGTTTTACGAATCTATGTACATGTCTTGGCGATAATGTTCATATTAGTGAACCCGTAGCCACAATGAATGGCAGGGTCATTTATTACGGCAACCCACAGGGGGCCAAGCGCTTTTCTGCCCAAATGTCTGTCTCCCCCTCCCCCCGGAGGGCTTGTTGTAATACATGGTAATAGTCATAACAAGAGAGCCTGCCCATATCGGCACCACCAGACCGAAGTCTGGGCTCGGCCACCCGTCATTGCCAAATGGTCTCTTCGGAAGCCGCGTTGTATCAGACGTCTCTCATTGTTGCAACATATTAGCAAGCCGCTTCCTTGTCGCAACCCGTCAACGCGCCTCTGGTAGGTTTCGTTGTATTTTCTTTTTTCCCATTTTCTCGCCTCGATGGCGGCTCAGGACCCCAGTCTATCGACTGAGAGTAATGGCGGCCCTCTCGTTAGCACCGCCGCCGCCTTTCTTGCTCTCAGTTGGGTGTCGGTCCTTCTGCGAACATATGTGCGGGCCATAATGTTGAAGGGATTCCAGGCCGACGACTGGTTCATGGTGATTGCACAGGTACGTCGGCTTATTTCTCTCGACTGCAGCGCTTAGACATACTCATTCCTTGTTACCGATAGATCAACTTTACAATAAGCTGTATATTCATATTTAAAGGCGCTTATTATGGCATTGGACGGCATAACAAGTCTCTCGATCAGCTTGACGAGATCGAGGGCCTCAAATACCAAGCCTTGGCTACGGCGACCTACGTCGCAAACATGATGTTCATCAAGCTATCAATAGCAATCTTTCTTTTGCGGCTGGCGACCCAACGGCGGTACAAGTTCACCATCTACGGGAGTATATTCGTCGTCAGCATTTGGAGCATCGTGCTCTTCTTTTGGAATCTGTTCCAATGCCACCCTGTCGAGGCACAATGGGACTATAGGATCTTAGACAACGACAAAACGGCGTTTTGTGTGTCAGCCGACCAAATTGTCGACGCTGCATATTCTCTCAGCGTCATGTCGATCCTGTCGGACTGGTTCTTTGCACTTATACCGATCCCCATGGTTTGGCATGTCAAGATGACAAAACAGGCCAAGACGACGGTAGTAATGGTTCTCGGGTTGGGAGTGTTTGCCAGCGTTGCGACACTGATCCGGATCAAGTTTCTCGCTGATTTAACTCAGCTTGACGATCTTTTATGCAAGTCTACAATGTCCTCTCTGGCCAACCAGGAAATAACAAAGCTAACAACTCCCAAGTTGCCACGACCGACACGATGATATGGACGATTGTCGAACCGGGCGTGGCCATTATCGCGTCAAGCCTCATTACGATTCGACCCCTTCTCCGCGCGTGGAGGGTAAGGGGTTTCCAAAGTACGGAAAATACCAAACGAACCGGTGGCATATCGAATGGGCACATGAACAGGTCAGGCGTGATGCCAGGCTTTGGCTCAAAGAACGGGACGACTATAGACGTCGAAGCTGCTCAGAGCAGCCGAGATGAACTGTCCTCGGGCACAGAGATGGATGACCAGAAGCCAAATCCCAGATTCTTGTCACCCATTGCCGAAGCAAGTCACAAAGATTTCGATATCGCGGATGACTCGGCGACTGCCAAGCTCACGATTGGCCTACATCATCGCCGTTCAGAAGTGCCCAGCGAAATGTACATCATTGAAGGGCCGCCGTCACCGCAAATGCCAGGACACACCATGTATAACGATACCTGGTCTTCACGACACTCGGCGACCTCTTCCGATGTGGAGCTTGCAACAATGGAGCCCGTAAAGCAATCCGACGGCCGCATCGGCCTCGGATCTCCGCGCTAATAAAGTGGATGGAGAAAAATAAAATCAAGAGCAAGAGCGGAATCACAAGGTCTTTTTTTTTTCTTTCAATGAGGCTTCAATTACGTAATAAATGTCTAGATATTTACAGGGACGCGTTATAAAAGCAGTGGGCAAGGGATCGAATCAAGGACTTGGAGAGGCGGCGTACCAGAAAGGTTATAGATACCCCAAGAGTTGAGAACAAGGTATGGAATTTCTCAATTTAGAGATGAGAAGAAATAGCGAATGACCAGCAAAGAACACAAATGAATAATTCTGTCGACTCCACGGCCCTTTCACTCCGCCCATGAAAGTCTTTGCTGAGTTTGTACCTGGCTTTGCCCACTTTCAACTCCAACGAGCTATACTATGTACGGAGCAGGGAAGGAAGAGAAGAAAAAAAAAAAAAAAAAAAAATAAAAAGATCTGCATGACAATGTCACGTTGCACTTTCCGAAGAGTATACCGAAAATAAACCTTGGCCAGCATTTATACATCCACTTCAGAATGGGGGCCATGGCCAATGCTTTTTCCTTTTTTTTTTTTTTCTTCCTTCAAAGAGGCGGCCAAGGTTCCGGCTTGACGTGCTATTACACCTGCATGAGTACATAATTGGCAAAATACCTAGTATACGTCCCCAGTTGATGACAAGGACCTGGGAGCGATGCAAGAGTCTCCATTGACTCCACAACAGACATGCAAAGAAGAACGCCAAATCTGCATGTCAACAAATGTCAAAGCAACCAAAAGAAAAACGTGTCGTAGTACTTACTAGTTTCAAAACGGTGCGGCGGTAATGTCTATGCGTGGCTCCAGAGCGGAAAGACGAGAGATTTTCAATGACTGTATTCTTACAAATGTCCATCCCTGACCGAGAACTCTCAGGTATTCTACCTTGACGATGAAGAAACGCGCTCCGCCCAACAAGAAAGTGGAGATGGTCTGGCTTACTGGCCTGGGCTGTTTGTCCACAAAAAACTAGAGGTTTCGCGGAGCAGTCGTCCCTTTACAGATTTTATACTGGGGACAACAATAACAAACAGATGCAGGGGCAAGCCAAAGAGAAGCAAGATCTTCTGTGGTTACCGTTTCAGCCTTTCTCTGCTTTGTTTATTTCGGAGGTAATCAGATATGCCACAGGGTGTTTATTCACAAATCAATTAACGACTGGGCTGGTTGGTAATTTGTGGAGAATATGTAGATTGTATACTACGCAGTAATCTCTAGAAACTCGACAATGACTGACGACTGCGTGTTTGCGAACCCTGGCGCCTACACACATACATCAGAGAACCCCGTATCGTGATGCAACCATGTCAACGCAAGCCTCATGCTTGACTTGCTTGGGATTCAGGTCTTGCAGGTGCAGTGCTTGTGGGTATTATGTCAGGTGGGTATTTTTGTTTTCTGACAGCTACTTGTCTAAACATGTAGCCTAGCCGCAAATCGTAAATCGAGGTCTGATGGCCAACACAAATACGGCACCGAGAAAACCTCAGGCTGGAATAGGCTACCGGCTTAGTGGAGAAGATGACTTGCGGATCTGCCATGGCTGAAGAGGGCTGTTTCAGGGCATGCGAGCCGCGAGCGGACAGGCAGACATGATATGGGTATTGTCCTATGTCGATTTTCCTGGGTACTTTTAAATTGTATGCTGCATGCCGAGACCCCTTGTTTCTAGTGGCGTACTGGTTGTAATCGTCATCCAAGTCGAGGAGCTGGCGCAGCAAAAACGTTGTTCTATGTGATGCTCGTCACTGGTATATGATGGCGAGTTCGTAGTCGTCACAAGCACCAGGATTCTGCTAGGATGTTGCACAGCCGTTGCTGAAATGGCATGTGAACCGATATTTCCATAGCATAGGGGCATGGACCACTTATACCCAAAGACCCAGAGAGTCCAGGTCCGGGTTCCATTCGTCTTCTTCCTGGAAGACTGGGGTGGCGACAAATTTGCCATACACGTTGCCCATACCTGTAGCCTTTCCTGGATTCTCGCCATCCTGCTCGTCCACAATGATTGCTGTCGTCAAACAATCCGTATCGGCAGCGATGCCCAAGTCCAATATCCTGCCACCCCAATCCAATTCTATCTTGCCAGACTTTCTGACGTTGAGTCTTCCAATGTAACCACCCTGGGGTGGAAGAGCGGAGTTGGTTGCGACGGCCCCTGATGTACCCGGCTCTGCCTTGATTCTTAGACCGTTTGACATGGACTCATCCTCGGCTTCTACCACCTCTGTTCCGTCCTCGTTGACATATAGCAATGGCGGAAGTACTGGCGGAAACTGAAATAGGAATAGCTGATTGTCTTTGGCTTGTGTTTCACCCTCTTTGAGAGTAAGTGCTTCGAGGAGTGTTGCGGCGTCGAGTGCTGCCGACTGTAGCTCTGTATCTTGCATTGCCTTTGCCCGTTTCCTTTCCTTAGCCTTGATCTTAGCATCCAATTCGGGGTCTTGTTGTGCGAGCGGCTTCTTCTGTAACTCTGGCGAGGGCGGCGCCTTGGGCTTGGCTGGTATGGCATCAATGTCCATGACATCGTCTTCTGCTGAACCTGGCTCTGGCTTAACCTTGACACTATCCTCTTCAGCGGTCTTGGGACCCTCGTTCCACACTTCATTGTCGTCGGTCATTTGCATATCGCGTGGCAGAGCACCAATTTGCTCGCTGACGAACAATTCGTCATCGTCATCGTCTTCTTGCTCATCAGCCTCAAGCTCAGCGCTCGTAGCGACTTTGAGCTCTTCTTGCTTATGTTCGACTCTAACGATACCGACCGGCAGAAAGCCAGGGGACTTGGAACCGTTTGCAAGGCTGACTTCGGGGGTTGCACTGGCCCGCAGTGTGTCGACATTGACTCGTAAATCGTTGACTCGGCGATCGTGATACCTAGGCCCCCAGTTTGAGCCACCTTCGCTTTTAGCTCCATGTCCTCCCCATGAACCGCCGCCCTGTTTAAGCATATCTGCCAAATAGTCAGTCAGCAACTCGGACGGATCAAGATGAACAGGCACAGTCGAGTCAGACATACCTTGACCAACACCTGAAAAGACACCATGGCCAGTAACGGTTCTCCGCATGAATCCAGCATCACCTCTGCCGCGGCCTCCGGCGCCTCGTCGAGCTCTGCGATCAGCCGCCCTTTGTTCCTTTTCCTCAACCTTGATCTTGGCGGCCAAGTCTCGGGTCCGCTCATCCTCGAGCTTCTGCCGCTCGGCAGCGTCTCTTCTGACGGCTTTGGGTTTGAATCTCGCGCCGCGAAGCGACGGAGCGGGTGTGGAGGCGGCAGAGTTGGGCGCAGACTGGCTGGATTCTATCGTGACGGCGCGCGCTGCCGAGCTTCCTGGTGCCAACGCAGGCACGCTGCCGGGAATGGATGCGCCGTCATCGCCGCCTTCAATTGAAGGACGAGTTGAAGGAGCTGCTGCTGTCGCCGAGGCACCGCGAGCGCCGCGGCCTGAGCGAGCGCCCCTGCCTCCCCGTGTGCTACCGCGAGAAGACATTGTGGCTGACCATTGGTACTGAGAAAGCTGTTGCTGCAACCGATCTTTTTTCGGTATCGGGGCGCAAATGTTAGAAGCAAAAGACTTATCGGTGGGGTGACTCGATAGATGTGGGGTTCGTCATCGCTCTAGAAACTTTTTGGTGGGGGACGAGATGTGTTATTACTAGTAATCACTTACAGAAAGACACTGGAAATGGATATGATAAGAGAGGAAAGACAAGTCCAAGTAAAGAAAACACTACCATATGGGTACATTGTCGATTCTTGTAAAAGAAAAGACGTCCTTGTTATCTTGCTACCGACGTTTAAATGATTGGTCAGTCATTGTACACCTCTCCAATTGATCGCACTTTCCAACATTTACCGCGGAGCGATAGTTCCTGATACTGAGGGTAAATGCGATGATGCTTGGTAACTGACTACCTATATATAATATACCTGGCGAGTTTCAACTCAGATGGTTTTCTCAACAAACTACTATACAACTATATATAGATTGAGTTCCATCAGCAAATATCTTCTTCAATCGTACAACTAGGACGAACAGTGTTGTCTATTCATCGCGAGTGATTTAGTGCATGTAAACTGGCAAACCTGGACCATGCTTATGAATTGCGGCAGTTCTAATGTCTCTTTCCGATCCAAGACTTGGTTCGTCTGTATTTGAGTTTTTCAGGACCGATATAGGCCTTTTGCATCGCATTCTCGGCTTCTTTTTCATGAAGCGGTCATCGTCTGATCAGCGGCGGCACTGGTCTCGCTTTCGATGCTATTCCCGGGTGCCTCTCCCTTTGAGCATAGAAACCACTTAAACAATATAGAGTGCACTTTATGTAGATAATAAGCAGTGGCCACGTGTTCAAGTCCCCATGAGACAGTCGAAAATGTTGACCCGGGGTAAATTTTCTCAATGATCATCCAAGGCCGTAGCGATTCTGTTCCAGATATGAGAGGCATTCTTGATAGAATATCTTCGTTTGAAGTTGGAAAACAATTAATGAGTCCTCGCGAGATAATACCTCATCGAACACACATCAAGGCATCGTCGCCGAATTCAGACACGACACTGCCTTGTTGCATGAGCATGGAACCGATCCAGTTTCTGCCACCTTCGACGGTCGCTGACCCGAACTTGACGATCACGCAGCCTCTGACTTGTGCTGCAGACCAAAGAACCTTGTCTATTGACTCCTGCTGAAGTCTGACTGCACGCCACTTCTCAAGCGGAGAGCGAGTCGCCTCTTCCGCCTTTTCTTTTGCAGACCGGAAGTCTCTGGACCCAAGTCTGGGCAGCGCAGCAAACTCCGATAAGAAAAATTCTCCGAGGGCCTGGGTCAAAGGACCTCGAAGTAGCAGTGTGCCGAAGATGGCATGGCAGTGCATGATATCTCGGAGTGGCTTCGGGTGTGCCGAGCCTCCCGTCCCGTCCAGGTTGACAGTATCGCGCACGAGTAGCCTGTTCTTCACGGACTTGGACGAGCTGGCCGCCCAGATTTCATTGCGACCGATCCATCTGTCAAGGTCCCAGTTTTCACCACGAGCCGAGCGCCCATGAGTCACCCAGTCCAACATACACAAGGATGCCGTTCCATGCAAGGTAAATATCTGCGTCTGCTCATAGTTGCTTCCTTCAAAGGGTTGCACCGGGTCCGGTAGAAGACAGAGGGCACCGCCGTCCTGTATGTCCACGTGCAAGGCTTGCCTGGTCACGATACCCGACGTCGTCGGCTTGAATATCTTGGTATGACCTTGTGTGACAAGAGTCAGCCTGGCATTTTGCTCGATATCAATTGCAAGGTTGATTTGATCTCCGCCGACCAAACCACCGCCATATGACAGAAGAAAGACCAGGACACTCTTCTGATCGGCCTTGAATGCGGGTGATATAAGTTTCAGCGGATACTGATACGTAATGCTTTCGAGTGCTGAAACTTGGCTGGGCAGAAGTCTAACGACTATTCGTCCTTCTCCGGCTGCGGACAAGGACTTGGGGAAGGGAGAGTTCATTGCTCAGATGATAGTTTGGCCAAGAATTCCGATGAACAGTTTACTGATGCTAATCCGCAGAGGCTGTTGTTGCAGAGCATGCCGAATTTGGGGCAATTCCAGAAATATAGCGAAGATTCCGAGATATCGAATAGAAAAGCAAAAATCTTTCATGACATAATTCAACGATCGGACATTATAAATAAGAGAATGACAATAACGCCGGCGATAAAACTGCAAGCATATAAAGTGGTTAACAAGGTCTTGTTGACAGACCCAGAGAAAAGGTTCGACTATGGAGTGTGGCATTTTGAGGGACTTACAAGGGTATTATTGCCCTGCTGCTTGGTCCTCAGTGTTCACCATGGCCGGATATGGGAAGATGTCGAGGTGTCCCAATTCTGATCACACTGAGGAGCAATGTGGCACATTCATTCAGCTGCATATGCATGTATTTAGCTGCGAGGAGTAGAAGTGAATGGAGGGACGCAGGCTCTCAATGGCTGGTCATCCAGATTGTCATGCATATACATCCGCATCATGTTCTTCTTTAAATTATATCTTAGACAGAAAAACACGTAACAGTTCCAAGAAGAATTCAATGTCTTGAAGAGGTAGGCGCATTGCTCTGTTTATCTGTGTAGTCAATCACGCGAATTGGGTAGAGATCTATGTATACTATTTCGGACAGCAAAACCCCATTTCCCCCCCGCTGGCCGCCTAAAAACCTGGCGACCGTGCACTAAACTGTGATGGGTTGCTAGCGTGTCAGGGGTCAACAGTAGGAACACCCAGCAAGCTTGGGAAGCAAGTGCTACCTAGCGAATCGGTGCATCCAGCCAAATTCAAGGTTGACTACCCCAAACACGCGGTCCCATCCTCAAATTATCAACCAACTTACCACACCACCAACCCCAGAACGCGCTGAGCCACTTCACCACCAAGGCCTCTGTTTGATCCGTCGCCGCCAGGATTATGGTCGCCCATCACTGAAGCTTCACGTAAATGTCAACAGCTAGAGCGCCCCTCATGGAGAGTGAAGATAACAACGCGACTCCCTCGCCCTCAGCGGCTGAGGCGCGCCGCCGCTCGGGACGCGTCGTGAGAGCTCCTCAAAAATACATTGAAGAAGTCCATACCGACACGTCGTCCAAGCGCAAGCGGGCGCGCGACCATGATGAAGACGCCGAGAACCATGAGCCAAACGATTCCCTGGAGGAAGCCAGCGACGAAGAACCCGCTGAAGACAGCGATGCCGACCTCGTGCCCAGACAGAAGAAGTCAAAGTCCAGAACAAAGAAACCCGCCGCAAAGAAGCCAAAGATCAATGGCGATGCGCCCGCCGAAGCTGCACCCGCGCAAGCGAAAGCCTTGCAATTGCCACAACGACCCAAGAAATCAGTACGCGTCGCGATTGCGCGAAAAGACGGCGATGGCCTTTATGGTGAGCATCTCGAAATGCCCATTCGCACTTCCTTCTTACGAATTTGTGCTAACACCGCAGAAGCCGAGATCTTCAGCTCTGGAGACACACCCAACGATGTGGCCGCCCATTGGTTCCAGCGATATGTTGAGAACGACGCTGCAGCCTTGACGGACTTGGTTAACTGCGTGTTGCTTGCAACAGGTTGCGACCAGTCCTTGACCGAGGATGATATTCGTGATCCAGAGAACTCAGCAAATAAGCTCTCAGAACTGGAGGAAGCCTTCGAGCAGGTAGGACAACTTGCGTACTTTCTATGACGTTGAACTCTGCTAACTAGCCTGCACCACAGACAAGTATATCGGAGTACCCCCTGATCTCCAGAGCCAAGAGCAGCAAGGACTTCCGGCAGCAGTTGATTGCATTCTTTGATTCGCTTATCGCTCTGCTTCACCAAACCGACACGCTCTATCAAGACACCGAGCTATTGGACAACATTCAGCGTTGGATTGGTATCATGTCATCCTCCTCCCTCCGCCCATTCCGGCATACCGCCACAACTATCGGACTTGCTTTGCTGGGCGCAATGGTCACGGTGACGAGACAATTAGACGATCGAATTAGCAAGTCGAGTCAAGCTCTCCAAGCCGAATCCAGCCGAAGAGGCAAGAACAAGGGGCTAATAGCGAACACGCAAAAGGCCCTGGATACGGCAAATGAAAACCGCCAATTGATTGATGAGAAGGTCAAGGAATTTTTCGACATCATTTTTGTCCACCGTTATCGTGACATCGATGCCAAGATTCGGGCCGAATGTATCGAGGCGCTTGGTGACTGGATTTGTACCTTGCCCACGGTTTATATGGCCCCAGAGTACCTACGGTACTTGGGATGGCTTCTTTCTGATGTAGCTCCTACGACACGCTTGGAGGTGCTGAAGCAACTGGGTCGTGTCCTTAAGCGCGATGCCGGAAAACTTGCGCACTTCATCGACAGGTTCAGACCCCGCTTGGTAGAGATGGCAACCAAGGACCACGATCTATCAGTCCGCGTTGCCGCTGTTAGCGTCGTTGACATTTTGCGATCATCAGGCATGCTCGAGCCACAGGAGATTGACAGCATTTGCAAGCTGCTTTTCGAAGCTGAACCAAGGGTCCGCAAAGCCGTCGTTCCTTTCTTTGTTGAACTGATAGAAGAGGTAATTGTCAACAAGATCGACGAAATAGGCGGAAGTGAGGCCCTTGATGAGGTTTTTGGTGACGGATCAGAGGCAGATTACGATCAACTGCACAAGGTCTGGATCAACGTCAAAGCCCTGGCAGAGAATTTGGCGGTGTACAATGCACAATTGGATGAAGAGCAAGACGAACTTCGCCATGGCCTGGATGTGGCAGCCGAGGTTGTCAATGCCAACATACCCGAGAGTCGAATTATCCTAGCAACTCAAGCTCTATATGAGAAGATGCCAGAGATCAGCAACTGGCAAAGTCTTGCCGGTTATCTTCTATTCGACCATACGACGAGCTCAAAATCCAGATCCAAATCCAAGGGCAACTCAATCGAGGCGGCAACTCGCAAGGCGGTTGCACCTACGTCTGAAGAAGAGTCAATTCTCGTCGAGGTTCTTGCTACTGCTGTCAAGGAAAGCCTCACACAGTCGAACGAACATGACCGATCCAGGAAGCGGACTGGACGCCTTGATATCGACGGGCAAGAGGACACAGGCGTGCAACTTGCAGATATCATCCCCAGATTGCTCAATAAGTATGGTTCGGATCCCCATCTTGCTAGCGTAATCCTGCGATTGGAGCACTATCTCGATCTGGATGTATTCCGGCAACTTCGCCAAAATTCGGCAACATACGACAAGCTGCTAGATGCAGTCACGGTCCAGTTTAATCGCCACGTAGATCAGGCGGTCCTCAACGAGGCAGCCACTGCACTGCTACACGCAAGACGTTACGACGAGCTAGAGGAACTGACGGATAGCAAGCTGGCTGTTCTCTGGGACAACAGCTTGAATGCCTTGAGGACGTTTGAAAAGACCTGCGAGCTATCAGTGCGCGGAAACCTGGATCGCGCTGGTCTCGCTGAACTGGCCAACGTTTTGAAAAAGATCAGCAGTCTGACTGCCATATCGGATTGCGTTGATGTTCTTGAAGCTCCAGGAACTGCTGATGACTTCAACGACCCAATCATCAAGATTCTGGTTGACATTGTACATCGAGGCCTTCTGAAGGAGCCCGATGACCACCTTGATGACCCGGAAGATGAGGTCGTAGCATTTGCCATCAAGTCCTGCCTTGTCTATTTCATGTGGAAAGTGTCAAGATTGAAGACTGCGTTACAAAAAGAGGAGGACATTCCGAACGAAGAGGCCAGCAACCTCGTTCATTTACGCAAGACGTTTGTGACCAACTTGATCCATACGTTTTCTTCTCGTGGATTCAATGACGACCTCCGTCTCTCTGCCACGGGAACAGCCTGCGATACTTGCGCCCTCTTCGTCTTCCTTCGACCTTACATCAAGGGTCCACAAGCCGCCAAGTATGGAAAGCTGAAGGGTCTCTTAGAGGAACTGCCCTCGGGCTTGATACCTGCTGAGATCATTCCGATTTTTGATGCTGCTGAACGGGCATATGCGCAACGCGCCAATAAAGCCAAAAACCTCGCGACGGCCGACGATGAGGATTCAGTCAACGATGATGATGCGCCGCCGGAGGATGACGAGGATGAGGAGCTCACTGGACAAGAGAAGCAGGCAGCAGAGCTCAAAGCGGAAAAGATCCTTTGCGACTTAACAGGCAGACTTGTGCTAGGCATAATTGCCAAAGTCGTCGATGCTACAGGCCCTCATGCTGGAAAACTAAAGAAGCGCATCCTCCGCAACAAGACTAAGTTGGGCCCCAATTTCAAGGAAGTCGTTGCCTTCCTGGATGAAGATCACCTCAAGGAGATGCGTGGAGAGGGCAAGAAAAGGTCTGCACCAAAGAAGAAGGAAGGCACACAGAAGCCTGCAAAGAGTGCAGAGCTGGTAATCGACGAAGATGACGAAAGCGACAATCCGTTTGGCGAAGACGAACCAGAGGAAGGTACGGAGCAGGATCTTCGGAACAGAGAATTACTTGATGACCCAATCGAAGACGACGATGAGGACGATGAGAGGCCACCAGAGCCAATGGAGGAGGATAGCGTGATAGGTGACTGAATGTGAGGAAGGCGTTGTTGAGGGATGAGTGGATTTCGTGTTACGACAGGAGTACAAATGGTTTGAAGGCCAACTTCTATGAAAGGAATGGCGAATGCCGGATTCATTGATAATCTTGTAGCCCTTTTTTTGCTTGATGGCAGCTACTTATGAGCCAGCATTGTTGCAATGCATATTTGTGTATGATGAAAGAAAACTATTGCTATCATGAATCCATCACTGGCCGGGGATGAGGTGTTGCTGTATAGAGGGCCGTGTTTCATTATTTTTATAGGATTCAAAGTCCATGATGCTCCTGGCTTGTCCAGTCTAGATATATTTGGCGGTTGTTGCTGTATGGTATAAAGGAGCCCACCCCAGACATTTGCTGTCCGGCTTTCCCATCATCTATTGAGCAGCACTATGCTTCGGGGATTCAAATGTTGACTGGTTGCATTGCCAAGCTTTGAGGCACATGTGGGTACGTTTCAGTCCTTCGTTGTTCGATTTGCCTTTGGATGCGATTAACCGGCAGCTTGGGCAATTTTGCTGATCTTCAATTAGCAACGAGGGGGATTGACAAAAGTGTGAGGCTTGGCCCCACAACAAACTACGTCTGACGTATTGTGTAATGTAGCTGGTTACTGAATCGATTCTCTGGATTCATCTGTTTGTGAAGGGCTTCAACTAATGACACACAAGCAAACGGCAAAAACTAGGTATCACTGGTATGCACACTGCATTCTCGCACCCCCATCACTCATCCCAGGTAAACATCAAGCTACCATTGGCCGAGTATGAAGCCCAGGTCCATATTGAAAGATTCGCCAATCACGATCTTGGGCCTGCCCGACTCGAGTGAGACCCTATAAACCTAGAGAAAATAACAAGGGGTATGAATCTCCACACTGGGTCCAGGCCCGATATATTGAGACATGTCTGTTGAAGAACAGGTTGCATCCCCGGGAGTAGTATAACGTCATTCAGTCCCAGCCAACGACTCGAATGCTGTCGTGAGTGCAAGCGCGGCGATCTTTCAGGGGAAAGAACCACTGAAAATCAATCCAAAGGTGGGCTGTACATTAATAGAAGCAGGAGGTAGCATTCATGCCATGTGCATTACCATGCCAAACGCCAATCAGCGTGTACATTGTTGCACATATACATATCGATTGACACTGGCTTTTCTTCTCGCTCCATCTTAACGCTTTACTAAGAGTGGGGTGGCTCAGGTTCGGCTATGTAAGTGGTTTGTGTGTTGGGGATGACCGTTGTGTGGCCTCGGATTTGATCATCTTCCTGAGTAATGACCGTATGAAATGATTTGCGCCCCCCCCCCAGATCTCTTTGTGCTCGGCTCTTAATAAAAATCCCTTGAGTCTTGAAGTGATTGAGGGGGTTGCCATGAGTTTGGTGTACAACTACATGTATGCGAAGCAAGCGTCGTCCTCTCTTTTTACACAATGTCAAGACATACGACAACACGCTCGTCGTTTCCCCATTTCTTGTACTTATTCTCGCTACCTCACTCCTCTATCCAAGAAACTAATTCACTTGTTTACAGTCGACATCTAGACCACAGCCCAATTAGTCTTGAGAACAATCCGCCTCATTTGCCTCAACACACCATAGCAGGCAACGACTCTTTGTCTGTTTTATGGCAGAATACAAACATATCAAGACAATTCGATTGGCCCGTGATCAAATAGCTACCTATGTAGAAGCATGATCACTGTGCATCCCCGTCGCGGGCTTTTTGCCCTGATGCCCTCGACTAAAAAGAACCTCGTAGTTGCCCTGGTTCTGCTGCCGTCCATTGTCATGTGGTTATACCAACTCCTTCCAGCACTGCGCAATGAGTTGATCCCTGTTACCAACGCCAATGACGCTGACAAGATTGTCGCACACACGCCAAAGGGCGAAGATAGGATACTTGAGCAGGTTGATCTCGCCGAGTACCCGTATAGCTATGGGAGCAACCTGTCTGTCAACCTCGTCGTTGCCACCACCCGCAAGGAAGACATTTCTTGGACGGAACATTTGCGGATACCAAACCTCAATATCATACGCTACGTGTCTGACGATCCTCAGGCGCCCTATCACCCACCCCTCGCCAAGGGCCGCGAAGCTCTCATGTACCACACCTACCTCTACGAGTTTTACGACGAGCTGCCAGACGTGAGCATATTCGTACACTCGCAGGAGCAGAGCTGGCACACGGACCCAGAGCTCTGGTCATCAATGCTCTTTACGCTGTCCAACTTGGACCTCGAAGCCGTGGTCGAGCGTGGCTACGCCAGCTTGCGCGTCAGCTGGCACGCTGCCTGTCCGGACTGGATCAACACCACCCACACCAGCACGCACGGCCAGACATACAAAAAGAAGCAGGAGGAGCCATGGATGGTGCCGGCGTTCCGGGCCATCTTTGGCGAAGACGTCGAGGTACCTGAGACCGTGGGTGGGCCGTGCTGCTCCCAGTTTGCCGTTACGCGCGAGGCCATCCGCAGTCGTGACCGCGCCGTCTACGCCCGTGCCATGCAGTGGTTTGTCGAAACGGACTTGAGCGACTACATTACCGGACGGGTCTGGGAACACATGTGGAGCTTTCTATTCAAGGGCGAAGCGACCGATTGCCCCGTCGAGTGGAAGACGTTTTGCCGCATGTACGGCGTCTGCTTCGCGGACCAGACCGACAAGGACGAGTTCCACACCCTCTGGAGGCAGCGCCGAGATATGCTCGCCCGCCGCGGCTTTTGGCTGGAGCTCTGGGATCCTCAGCGCGCTGCCTGTGAAAAGATGCGTATTGCCGAGCTCGACGTTGACATTAACCGTCGGCTCCGTACCGCCATGGCAAGGGGCAGGGCCGGCAAGACTGCCAGTCGATCGCAGGCCGGACTGGGTAATCTCTATATCAGTGATACCGCATTGATATTTTAGATGCGCAAAGTGGAAGAAAAAGGCAAGCGGGAACGAAATGCAACAAGTACCGAGAAACTAGAGCCTGTTATATGTTGCTTTATACCTTGATTTTATAATGGGCATATGTTTTATGGCCTAGTGCGAATGCCAATGGGATATGGAGTCGAGGTCAGTCCGTGGAGTAAAGGGATTCGTTCTATTTATAGGGATCCATCCTATTTTGAGCGAAAGAAGACAGGCTGCGAGGCCGTGGTTCGGATAGTCATGTTTATTCCTGCCTAGCTCGAGTCCCGTGATTCATAAGAGAAGAAAATAAGCGAAGTCGTATCAATGCGACCAAAGCTCCGAGGATAACAAGAACTTGAGGTGGGACGGCCGGCAGTTTGTACGAAGGCAGTCTTTCCTACTTTTAGTTGAATGCTTAATTCACTGGGCCAGGTTAGTATGAAACAAGTGAACTCCATGTGGAAATGCGACATAATGCATTGCCATTACTCATTATCATTAACGGTCTATTTGCAAGGATAAAATTGAATGACTTCCTCGGAGCCGGGTATCAATGCCCCCAAAAAGATATACATGTCCAATTTTGATCTCACCAATAATGGCATGACTCAAGACGTTACCACTGACAATAATCGCTTGGGTGCATCGCAGTTTCGTGATAGCCTAGAACTCTAGTTTCGAAGGCATCAACTTATTCTCGTTCCAAAAAGACCAAACATTCGCTGATATCGCTTGCCATGGCCAGCATTACATTTCCTAGGGTCGCTCTCGCTTATTTCGACGCCATATTGGCGCAGACAACACGCAAAAGGCTTATTCGATATTCCAGGTGCAACCTGTTTCGAGGCATCATCTTGTTGATGAGCTCCATTCTCATCATCTGAGCTGTCAGGGGGCGCCTGGTTAGCAGCCAGGCGTCTGCGCGACTGACTCTGCGCCTTGGACTCCTGCTCCTTGTATTCTTGGAGATTGCCCCAAAGCTTGAAGAGTTGTTCCGACAATTGAAAACACTCTTCGGGATTTGCGAGAAGATCACAAGCGTCCATATTGGTAAGGTATTGAGCTTCTGGATTATTCACCACTGCCCATAATCGTTTCGGCGGGCCATTCTTCCCGGCATTGGGTCCCGCATCTTCGAGCTGGAGGGCAAACCGCCACTCCCAGGTCTTTTTTCCGGCAAAGGCGTCCAAAGTGTCCCTATCGTCATCTCCCGAGTCCGGATCAGACTCTCCATCTGAAAGCATGTCGTACTCGGTAGCCTTTCGCCAAACGGCGAAATTATGGAGTTTGCGCGGGCGATAATCGACAACCCGCACATGCGCGCGATATCTGGCATTGGTGAAGGGTAGCGTCATTTGCACTTGCTCGCCATCAATATTCGTCGTCAACGAAACCTGCTCGACAATTGTGGACAGCGGAAATACTGGCTCGTCGATGCTCGCGCTCTTTATAAGTTCGTTAAGGCCGAGCAGCCCTTCCCTTTTAGTCTCAGCCTCTACAAGCTGCTTGTTCTTCGCAGCTCTCCTCGCATCGCGGCGTTGCCTGGAGTTTAGTTTTGTGTCATCCACGGGCTGCTCTGCTTTCCGCTTGTTGCCATTGGCGGCAGCGAATGACTTCTTCTGCTGTTTGGCTGTCTTTTCATAGTCCCGTTTTCGTCGAATGGCTTCTTTGAGCAGCTCATCTGGGGGTTCGTCGCCGTGTACATCAAGGATCTCGACGGTTTTCCTCCCACCGAAGCTGTTTCGATCTTCTCTTAGGAATCCTTCCATGTTATTTCCGTTGCGGCCGAATTTCACTTGTACATTCCTCAATTTGACCCAATCACCTGCCTTGATGTTTGCCCGAATTTCGGAAGCATGTGGTTCAAAACAGCTGAGTTGCATTGAACGTTTTCCGAATGGCCCAGGCCAGCTACGAGATTCCATGCTTGTCCTGGAGGCAATGTAGCCAAACGGATCACCATCCTGTCCTCCTGGCATGTCACTTCCGTCCCAAGCAAAATTGTAGAAATTGTTGTGCTCGGTATAGTCAGTGATCCAAATGGTGGTCCTGTCCATCTGATCATACGGCTCTTTGATGACCTGGACAACAAAGTCGTAAAACTTGCCCTCTTCAACATTTTTGAGGAGACTTGACTTGTCTCTGATATTGAGAGAGCGCTCAGTGCTTTGCTGGAATTCGGACACAGTTGGCAGCGTGCTCTTGTTACTTGAATGATAAATCCAGGAGACATAGTCGCACTCTGCATCTGTTGGTGCCCTGGACGGTTTGCCCCTATGCAATTTCCTGGTGGGTTTCGCTGCGTGAATGGCCGAAGTGGGAGGTCTCGGGATCTCATCAGCAGGAAAAATGATGATTTCTGTCGACTTTCCAGGTTCAGTGCATAGGCAGGTATTACCACCCCAATCGTCTACTTTGGCATTGGTGACCAAGACCACGTCGCCAACTCCTACCTGAGGTTGTTCATCCTCAGGTCGAAATACGTTGAATTTTATGCCACTCTCATACTCGTCCTCGATGGACTTGTCCACTAGAGTGAGATTAGATTTATAATCTTGGCCTAGTGTTAGTCGGGGGCCGCACTTCAAGAGGAAATATTCGAGGTTTTACCTGATCCTCTAGTTGCTATTGGTGCCCGGAAGTCCTTGACCAGACCAATGACGCTTGCGGATCTGCCGCGATGGCCACGTTGATTCTCAAGGATGTATCTGATGCTGTCAATACCGTCGGGGAGGCTCTTTTCAGCTCCGTAGCGGCGAGAGGTGGAACGTCCATATTGCGACATCTTGGTGTCAGTTCCACTGATGACGCCTCGTCCTGACAATTCCAAAAAAGGGGGATTTTAGATGCGGTCTTGTCGACTGCACATGGCGTGGTTGTAGCTCCAGGCTCGTGTATCTGATTGATCTACGGAATATACACGTGGTAACGCGTCTTCATTAAAGTGGCAGACGCGACTTTCTGGCTTTGACGGGTGCTGGCTGCCTGACAGGTGTCACGACGGCGGCGCCAAATCACGTTGCACTGATAGGGCAGAACATGCCGCGACAGGGGGGGGCCCTACCTAAAGCCTTAAGGTAGAGGCCTCACACGCAGCAGGACAGGCACAGCCCACAGCACTGAGCACAGGCACTGGGTAAGGGGTGTCTTCCGTTTGAGGAGGGGTAGATCGATTGGCCCGTGCACTCCGCTCGATACACCACATGAGAAAAGAGGCCAAGCAACCTAACATGGTGGGGGTTACGATTTGCACACAGGTTTTTCAATTCATGAGTTTGGCACGTGTCAATGGAGTCCGTTGTCATAGTCTGGACTCTCAAATTCTTTGCATTTGACTGCATCGGTTTCCGCCGCGGTGGATTCATATTTTTACTTTTTCTTCCTTTTTGACAAACAGAGCACTGGACGCAGAATGGCTTGTTGCAGAGTTGTGCCGCTATATATTGTGGATTAGAGATTGCCTTTATCTGAGTCGATAGGTTTGAGTACGCAGTCTCTAGCTCCAAGGACTACGTAGGTGAATACCTTCGGCCCCTACCGGGCAATTAGCAGTGACGATGATAGCTTGCACCTTTGCAGTTATATGAGAATGGTAAGAATGGGATAGATGGAAGCAAGAACAATAAGATTGCCATTTACGACGAGAGCAGTCTCACCTTCACGCACTCTGTGTCTCGGTCAGCAACAAGCACTAAAGGCAAGTCTTGAGCTTGGGAAATGGAATTTTGCAGCAGTTTTCGGGTTTTCCATTATGCGCGGGGCGTCCACGTTCCAGGTTGCCACCATCTGTCCAATTCATTGCTGAGCGGCTCGTCTCGTCCCCACACCCCTTCATCGATGTACCATTTGTGTTTAAACAGGATTCATCGCCTTTTTTGGGAGGGTTTGTAGAAGCCAGTGGAAGACAAGAGCAGGCGAGAGATGAGCATGCTTGCTTGAGCTGAAAATGGCGAACAAGGGCTCAGGAGCAAACAATCAAGTAGAATAAATCTAACCCCTACAGCCGCCTGTAGCATGATACAGATTTGGTAGAGCCCCCGCCTAGGTACAGGTAGATCAAGGTACTTAATAACCATTTATCGACTTTGTTGCAGCAACCTACAGCACCACATTAGGTACTGTACCTATCACCTGCGTTCCTACGTGCATCACCTAGTTGAGCTTTCCAAGTGACTGCGCTCTCAGTGAATGCGCATTGCCGCTGCGGCTTTCCCCTCATCATAATTTCGCCTTGCAGCAGCGCTTGGGGTCAATTTTTCTTTTCCTTTCCTACATTTACCATCCATTCCAACCAACCGTCCTCCGGCTTCTTTTTCTGAGCCATTATAAACCACAGAGATAAAAAATCAGCACACCGAGACAAGTATTTTACTTTACAAGCCGACTTGACTGTCTCCACTTGAGAAGAATTCTTCCTTCATCAATTTCTCTAGGCCCGTTCCGTCGTTAATCAAAACAAACCACCCCGCCTTTTAAGGGTCTCCTGGGCATCCAGCAAAAACAAATTACTGCCACCTCCCAGATCAAACACCACTACCGCCAACTCTTCCCTTTTCAGCATCTCGCTGGTACTGGTTTCGTCGTCGCATCAGCATCGCGCAAACTCCATCGCAACCATGGCTGACCGGTACATCCCCGAGCATCGCCGAACTCAGTTCAAGGCGAAGAACACTTTCAAGCCCGACGAACTCCGACGTCGCCGCGAAGAGCAGCAAGTCGAGATTAGAAAGGCCAAGAGAGAGGAGAACTTGGCCAAGCGTCGTGGTATTGGCTCTGGCGACCAGCGACCCGGTGCATCTCTGGGCGCTGCTCCTGATAGCGATGATGACACTGCTCCCTCGGAGTCTCAGGTATGTCAAGTTCTTGTTGAATTTTAATGCGCTTTCCAAGCTGCCTTTTGCCCGCCGGCGCATACATTTGCCCTTGACTTCCACTGCCGTACCATTCCAGAACGAAGCTTTCCTTTGGCTGCCACCTACCAGTGGCTGCCATGACACACTGTCTATTCATGTTTTTTTTCCACACATTCCTCACCCCACAGCCAACTCAAACCTTGATACCAGACCCTCTCCGCCACTTGCAAATTCGTACTGGTCATCATGCGCTAACCAAGATTGTGCTATAGCTCAACGAGGACCTGCCTCAGATGTGCCAAGGTGTCTTCTCGGAACAAATCGATCTTCAAATCCAGGCCACCACCAAATTCAGAAAGCTTCTCTCCAAGGAGCGCAACCCTCCTATCGAGGAAGTTATCAAGACTGGCGTCGTTTCCCGATTCGTCGAGTTCCTGCGCTCCCCGCACACTCTAGTCCAGTTCGAGGCTGCTTGGGCTCTAACCAACATCGCCTCTGGATCTGCCACACAAACCCAGGTCGTCATCGAGGCCGGTGCCGTGCCCATTTTCGTTGAGCTGTTGGGAAGCCCCGAGCCCGATGTTCGTGAGCAGGCTGTTTGGGCTCTTGGCAATATTGCTGGCGATAGCCCCTCGTGCCGTGACTATGTCCTGAGCTGCGGTGCACTGAAGCCGCTTCTCGCCCTCTTGGGAGACAGCCGCAAGCTGAGCATGCTCAGGAACGCCACATGGACTCTGAGCAATTTCTGTCGAGGCAAAACCCCCCAGCCTGACTGGAACACGGTTAGTCATTTTGAACCTTCCCCCGTTGATGCCGGACTTGTACTGACTGAATTATATACAGATTGCACCTGCTCTCCCTGTTCTCGCCAAGCTTGTGTACTCTTTGGATGATGAGGTCCTGATCGATGCTTGCTGGGCCATCTCGTACCTTAGCGACGGTTCCAACGACAAGATCCAGGCTGTCATCGAAGCCGGCATCCCCCGTCGTCTTGTAGAGCTGTTGATGCACGCATCAACATCCGTTCAAACACCCGCTCTGCGTTCGGTCGGTAACATCGTGACCGGCGATGACGTCCAGACTCAGGTCATCATCAACTGCGGTGCTCTCCCTTGCCTTCTGTCCCTTCTAAGCTCCAACAAGGACGGAATCCGTAAGGAAGCCTGCTGGACAATCTCGAACATCACTGCCGGCAACAGCCAGCAGATCCAGTCCGTCATTGATGCCAACATTATCCCGCCTCTGATCCACCTGCTGTCGAACGGCGACCTTAAGACGAGAAAGGAGGCCTGCTGGGCCATTAGCAACGCGACTAGCGGAGGTTTGCAAAAGCCCGAGCAAATCCGCTACCTGGTTTCCCAGAACTGCATCCGTCCACTTTGCGACCTCCTTAGCTGCCCTGACAACAAGATCATTCAGGTTGCTCTTGATGGCCTTGAGAACATTCTTAAGGTTGGTGACCTGGATAAGCAGGCCGCTGGCGACGGTCCTGAGTCGATCAACCGCTATGCTCTCTTCATCGAGGAGTGCGGTGGTATGGAGAAGATCCACGACTGCCAGACCAATGCCAACGAGGAGATCTACATGAAGTCATACAACATCATCGAGAAGTACTTCTCTGACGAGGACGAAAACGCCGATGAGGGCATGGCTCCCCAGGCCCAAGGTGCCAATGGAACTTTCGGTTTCGGAACCAACGGCGCTCAGGGCGGTTTCAACTTCGCCAACGGAGGCGACTCCATGGATATGTAGAGGATCTCTGCGTTTTCCACGATTTTCTTTTTGTGGTGGCATCGTGGATGCGCGCAACGAGTGGCTGATATGACAGACTCGACGCCTCATCCCGAGCGGTGCATATCCCAGTGCGCTGTATCATTATTTTTTGCACGCTGGTCTGGCGACTATTCCACACCAATCCTTTCGGATCAATGAAGTAGATCACAACACCAATTTACTCCCCAGCGACACGCATCACAGCTTCTGCATTAACATCACCGTTTTCCCCCTTATACCACACGAGACTCACCGCGACACGAGGAGATGAAAGGGTATGGCTTTGACATGCATGAGAGAGATGGTGGACAGGTCCTTTGGTAGCTTGAAAGCTCCAGCCTGATGAGCACAGCAAGAGTGGCTGTAAAAGAGAATGGATATGTTTGAACAGGTTGAGGGTCATAAATGGTAGCTTGAAAGCTCCAACCCTCTGGGTCATGTGTCACGAGATATGTGAGGAGTATCTCATTGAACGCGGCGGTCGAGAATTGACACATTTTGCGTCATCCGTCGGTCGTGTTGAAGACTCTGGACTCCTGGTGGTCGAACGCTGTAACTGCTAGTGGCAGAACAGCTGCTCGCGACCCCTTGCTCGAAGACGGACGGGATGTGTCCAACCAAGTGGTTGGCCTTAGAGACATCTGCCGAGCTTCATAATACATCATGTTTGGTAGCGGTTGACAAAAAGATAAAAAATCAGCTTACCTTATCCCCAACTGACGTCTTCTGTGTCGGTAAATCTGAGGCGAACTCCATAACCTTGGCGACATACTGCATTTTTACAAGGCAAACAAGCACAGTGCGTCCCGTGAAGTGGGCCAATTTATCTGAAGTCATAGCAGCTACCATGATATCGAGTACAACCATTTACTTCTGCGACGTGATATAAAAAATGTAGTAAAATTAATCTCTCATGGTAAGTCCTCCTCCTCGTCCTTTAGGCGTCTCTCCAGCCAAAGATCTCATATCTAATATCCTGCCTTTCTAGCCCAGAACGAATTATATATTACAACAATAAGATTTTACTCGCCGTCCGTCTCGAAAAAGGGGTTGTTAGGATCGTAAGGGAACTTGCGGACCACCACGTCGCCCTTATATTGCCAAAGGTCGTACTCGACGGGGGTAAAGTCGAGCTCGAAAGAATCATCCTTCTGCCCAAAGGTCTGCACCTCGGCTGCGGCCCCATCGGCGTAGTTGATGCGCACCTGGTTCACTGTCTGCCGGCTCTGGTCGGTGTCGAAGTAGTTGCTCGGCGAGAAGATTGCTCCGGCGTGGGCGACTGTAAACATGGAGTTGGGCAAGTCTCCAGTGTGCGGTACGTGGTGCATTCCCAGATTTAACCACAGGACCAAGTCCTCTTGGTTCAAGCTTTCGCCATTGAAGAACTCAGAGAAATCAATGGGTGGATTGTACAGGTCCTGCGAAGCGTACGGGTGTGCAGATCTAGGTTCGTAATCGTGCTGTCTGGTAACCTGGATATCGTATTCAGCCCAGTGAGCCGCGTTGACCAAATCACTAGAGTTTTCCACGGTCAAGTGAAGACCACCAGACATGGGGGCTACGCGGTAGCCTCTGTACTCGCCCCACTGGTTCGGCTGGTCCTGGTTCACGACCAGAACCTGCTGGGCCGAGTTGGGAGCCCAGTTGAAGCGAGACTCGGACTCGTCCTCGATAAAAGTCCGCTGTACCTGCATTGTATTCCGGACCTGGCCGTTGGACCACGGATACACGCGCGAGACGGGGACATTGGTCATGAGCTGGACCGTGTTGTCGGTCCCGGCAATATCAAAATCGGCCTTGAAGTTCAACACGTGGTCGTGCATACTTCCGCTGAGCGCTTGCTGGATCTTGAATCCAAAGTCTTCAGAGCCAGTCGTGGAGTAGGTGGCTTGGATATAACCCGAAGCCCGGACTTCGACGGAAATAGAGCCATCCAGGAAGAAACTATAAGTGAACATGTAATCGTAGTTGCCCACTGTCGAAACCGATCGGACGGCGAAATACGTGTTCTTGGTGGCGCTCACGTAATCGGCGGTACTGTGACGCTGGATCGGGTAGTCGGCAGTATACTCGAACAGACAGATGCTATTCAAGTGTGTATGGGTCGTCTCGTCGACGTAAAAAGTCGAGTTGAGATACGTGGCATAGGCGGGACAGTCGTACTCGGGTACAAGCTCAAATGCATAGGGGCCGAAACCATAATACGAGTCCAGATACGCGACACCCGACTGCACGGGATCGCTGGCAGCATAGTGTGCCAACGCCTCCTGCAGGCCAATCTCGTACAATATGCGCTCGCCCTTGTAGCGGATATCATACAGAGCCATGCCCGTGTCGCGCGAGAAGCCAATAAAGAAGGAAAAGCCCATCCACTCGACGTACTTGCGCTCCGAGTCGACGGCGAACCGCGGGCCCGACGGCGCAATCATGGTCGGCGGGTAGCTGGTGTCGTAGGGCAGACCCGGGTCGATGGGGTCGGTGCGGGCCCAGGCGCCCTCGACGTTGGGCAGCATCTTGGGCAGGGCGCCGCTCCAGTACGCTTCCCGAAAGGCCTCGGTGGTCTCAAAGTACTGGTCGTCGTAGAGCCAGCCCAGGACCTTCCACTCGCTCGAGTCGCGGCCCGTCACGTCGCTCTTGAAGTACAGTCCGGTCGGCAGCAGGGTCGAGGTGTCGAACTGACCTGCAGGGTAAAAGGAGAAGCAGTCCCAGCGCACAACGTGGCCATCGTCCTGCCACATGGGATCGATGCCGTGGATGGCTAGGGTATCGTTATCGAGGCCAAGAGCAGTGGCGTTCCAAAGGTCGAGAGTAATGTCGGCCACCTGGGCACTGACTACCCACAGCCAGTCGGGGTACAACCTGGCCTCGTCTGCCGCAAGGTTCCGGACCTTGCCCTCGGTCTTGCGCGTGAGAGGAAACTCCAAGGGCTGGTAAGTGGTGGTGTTGTCAATGGGCAGCGGCCCGACGAGAAGGTCCTGGAAGTAGGGATCGACTGTAGCACGGGTATCAAGAACAACGTGTGCAAATCGAGCGGGTGCTTCAGCGCCTCCGTCAATGTGGGCGAGTACGTCGGTCTTGTTAGGGACTTGCAATTCGATGAGGACACTATTGGAGGTCAATTAGTGCGGGATTCGAGCGAGTTGAATAAGTGGCAAGGGGGTGTCTTACATGGAGTTGTCCCAATTCGTGGCATTTTCAGAGACCGTCAGGTTGAGCGCAGTCTGGGAGAAAAGCCAGGCAATGACAGAGGCAGCCTCTTCATCTGCCAGCCCTCCCCAGACATTTTCGTATGGGGCCGTAGTCTCATATGGTGTGACTCCGTTGAAACCAGGGCTCACGATCGTCTCATTGACAGAGTGTTTCTCGAGGGCACGTCGGATCGCGGTGCGTGCCACTTTCTTGCCGCGGTTGTGGGACCATTCCGTCTTGGAGTATATCTTCGGATCCGGTCGTGCCTGGGCCAGCTCGGCCGAGGAAAGGAGTGCCAAGAAGACGGCTGACAATGCCTTGGGACTCGAAAGAGTGGACAGTCTCATCGTGGTGGTTTGCCAAGCTCCGCGTATAAAGGAAAGTGATGTGCGCCAAGCTCGAATGGTGATGCCGAGAAAGAGGCTCAATCATTGTGCCAAGCGTCGCTATTTATTCTCCCCGACATCGAGTTTGGCTGTTTTCCCAATTCAGATCCTATCTCCATCATGGTGTATTCTGCAGTTGATTTTGAAATTGTAGGATGAAGGACTGCAGCTGGAAGATGCGGCCGCGAATGTTTGCGGTGAAAAAGGATTGCAGTTTGAGATAGGTCATTACTATCTGGTCAGCGTTATAGTAAGACTAGTTTTGCGAAAAAGCAGCTAAACCATAGTAAGGCGAACTCAGCCAGCTGACGTGAAGGATCCGATTGGTGATAATCCTCCGTGCCGTCTTCCTATTCATCAAGGGTATATGCAACTTTGACTAGGATGTCGTCTGGAAGGATTCTGGGTCATCTTCAATGATAATGTCCCACTCCACCACGAATAGAGATGACTTTACATGAGTCCCAGATCTATTATTTGTCCATACTATTCCGAGACGCTGTCTCGTGTAATACTTGTGCGTAGACTTCTCATTTGGTCAGTATAGTCGCGTAATTTGATCAAACTGCTTCAGATGACCGACGAGAGAAAGTTGATTAAAGAGATCAAGGAGTTCTTCGACGGCGTTGCCACGCGTGATACTTTCGAGGACTTTTAGCAGCAGACCAAATCAGAGCAATGCAATGAGCACGGCTTTGGCGAGGAAGAGCTTTAGGACTTTGGGATGACAGTGCGCTGAAGTGCGACGAAAGGGCACAAAAGCGCTGTCAAGAGAATATCATTCAGTTGGCGTTCGAGTCCTACATGAAATGGAACAATTCATTGCTCCTTCCACTGCTCGTATTTCAACGTGCAGTATAATGTAAGGATGGCCATCATGAATGACCCAATTCCAGCTCCAGTCGACCCGTTATTTGTAAAAACGCTGTAAAATATGACAAAGACGACAAAAATAATCATCGCCAGAAGAGAGAGAAAAAGCACAAACGGTCTATTCCAGCCCTCAGTGATGAGGATTCCCCACCCGCAACAGTCCAAGTCCTCGTCAAAGGTAAGAGGAGTATCAAGCTTCTTCGGAAATCGTCTCAACCAGAACCGGTTGAAATGCGGGCCTGGCTTGAGAAGTTCGTGAACGGGTACGCTTTGAATCTTCGCCTTTATAGTAATCGGCTCGTATATATAGGTCCTCTTGACCTGAACTTCTTCCACCCCCGGGATCTCTGGTTTTTCAATGTTGCCAGCACATATCGTCAACCGGACAGGCATCAATTCGAACTAGGTAAGGAGGACTGTTAGGTGCTTGTAGTCAGGTATGATCGACGAAGGAGCGGGTACCTTGATAAACTCTATCTTCCGTGGTAAAAATATCCTACAGTCTTGGAGAGCGTTGGTTATCCATTGGGGGAGTTTGATGTTGCGAGGAGAAACTTTCGATATCCATGCCAGCGTTGATTGCAGAAAATTGTTTGTACCCGGAATAAGCGTCGCCAAATTCCAATCGTGGCCTTGCCTAGCGATCCTATACTCGTTTCTGATCTCTTGGAACAGGAATTGATCATTCGTAAGAGTTGACACGTCGATATGCACGAGCTTCACCAGGCCGTGCTTCGTATTCACGCAAAGCAACAAGTACCTTTTTGCCGTGTTTGCAATGGTAACTGCTGGTTCCTGGGCTGTGATTTCTGCCACGACGGAACCTTCTGGGTGTTCCTCCAAGGAAGGGAGACCTTGAATCGGCACTCCCTGTCCACCAATGTGTGACGAAGTTGAGGTGGCCAAATGTGCCGGTACTGGCGGTTGAACGTTGTCGTGTGGCGAAGTACGAACGCTAGGATTACGACAACGAACTGAGTCTGCCTCTTTTCTTATGTCCTGTTCTAACTTTGCTGCTTCCCCTGGTACCAGATCATCTATATCTATATAACAGAGCGCACCGCAACCCTGGGGAAATTAGATCCTGAGTTTCAATTGTTTGATTACAAATGAGCCATCTCTGAACTTACACATGTATAAGTTGCTCTATAAGCCCCCGCTTGTGGAGGATCTAGCACTGCTGCAAGCCAGTACCAGATTTTGGCAATCCACAGACGATGCGGCGGCCCCACGTCCTCGTATTGCTCACGCAGGTCAGGGTATTCATGCTCGAGATACGGTGGTCCTGCTTGAGTAATCACTGCTTGCTGGTTTGTATCCTTATCGAGGATCCAATTGGTGGTTGGTTGGGCATTGGGATCTTCTTCGACAAGTCTCACAGATTCTGCTTGGAGCTTGGAGCTTGGGTTGTCTTCCATTACTGGGTCGTCGTCCAGCACTAGCAATTCATCCAGCACAGGGACGGGGATGTCAATAAAAGCTGCGCCTGTTCCACTAACGTCGTGATCCATGTCGGCAGCGGGGTCAATGTCGGAGAGCATATCATACGAAGAGCTAGTGTATGATGCAGCAAGGCTTTTTGAACTTTTAGTGACGAGTATCGAGTCCGCTAGTCCGACATGGTGATCAAAACGATCAAGAAGATTACCGTAGCACCAGCCTGCTAGATCACGGTGGTAGCCAGAGTCTCCGGTGTTGAAATCATGAGCTTGGAGGGCAAGGTGTGTTAGCCCCGGCATTTGAATAGGCGTATTATCCAGAAGCCAATCCATAGAGTCAATCTGTGCCATTAGTTGTTGATTGATAGCGGTATCAAAGCTTAAGGTAGAATCTGTATCAAGAGATGGAGGATATCGAGTGATATTGCTCTCAGATGCCAAAGCCAAGTCTGTGAGTCCATCTTCCATATCGGCTACGGAAGAGGAAGGAATCGATCGAGGATTGAGCTTTCGCTGGGGATCCCCCGCCTCTCGCGTGGGAAAGTGAGTATTCCATAATATGGTTGATGCGTCAGGGTCGTGGGCTTGGGCTTGGAGGGTAGGACGTATTAGACTTTCCTTCTGGGTAGGCTTCTTATCTAAAACTTCGACTATTCTATCAATTCTGTTCTTTAAATCCTGATCAATTTCGGCGCTGGCGTGTAAGGTAGGGTCGTTATTCCGAAAAGCAGGATATTTGGCGGTATTGCTCTCACTTGGCAAAGCGAGGTCTTTGTCAGGTTCTATGCTAGCCACCGAAGGGGACGGACTTGGTCGAGGGGTTGAGTTTCGCATGGGCTTAGCAGCCTCTCGCGGGAGAGTCTCGGGAATTGGCGACATAGTTGATTCAGTCGCAGAATCAGTTCGTTGTGACGGGTTGACAGAACATGCTTCTTGAGATACTCATGCATATGCAAGAGTTGGTATATGTATCGCCAGCGAGGTGCAGACGCTTCGGATCTGGAGTCTAATAGGTGAATGGCACGGGGCCGGTCTCCAGATGCCTGAAGGGAACTGATCAGTCGACGATGTGCGGAAGTTGAACAGTATTCTGACTGACCTGAATGTGCCTCTGCTTCAGCCGCTTCATAGGCTATTTGAATGCCTCATTTTCTCAGTCATGGTTCCATCACTGAGGACTCCCTAACGTTGAGACCTGCAATTATCAGAGCTGAGCCATCATACATAGGCGGGGTAGGACTTGCGGTGTTCAGAACAGCTGCCAAGCCTATCGCCCCCAACCTCAAGCAGACCAGAAAAGGATAAGTTCCAAGTTTCACGATTAATATAAGGCCTTGAGAGCCTTACTATTGCCAACACAGTGTCCTTTTAAAGGAAAAGAGGGGCAATCTTGTGTATAATAGGATAATAGCAGCATATTCCTAGGAGAACTGGAAAAGTGCCACCATATTGTTTCCACCATACAACCCCAACGCCACCCACTCAGCCGCTTGACACAATAACGTAGTTCGCACCTCGCTTATTATCACTTCATTGCGGATCAGTCACACTACTTCGGTTTGTAGACCTTCTTCGCTGTAGTTATGTGATGGACAGTTCGGTTCATTTGAGTCTTTATCCTCTGGTCATGATGATTCAGTCGAGAAAATAATTCTTTCCTTTCTAATACAGAACAGAGGAGGACTTCGACCATATGAAGTAGATTAGTTGCAGAATCTTGAAAACCATCCTCATCCGGAGGCGCTTAGGTAGACCACATCCTAGTAAGTAGTGTAACATTGGGAAAATCTTCCAACTCGCTATCTCATATAATACTTATGCGTAGACTTCTAATTTGAGCAGTATAACCGCGGAACTTAATAAACCACTTAAGATAACCGACGACGGAAAATCAATTTAAAAAATTAAAGAGTTTGTCGACAGCGCTGCCACGCTGGATATTCTCAAGGGCCTTTAGCAGCAAGCCAAATAAGGGTAGGGTGGTTATTCGCATCCATCGGAGGTCATCAATCCTTGTCAGTATATTTGGTAGTGCTCGAAATACTGCTTGATAAATGCAAGTACTTTGGGGCTAACTAGAGACTGTCCTTTCCGATAGCTCATATTCTTTCGACTCGAATCTTAGAAGGAATTCCTCAAATGTGTTGCTATAATTTTACGAATTGCCCACTCCTGCAGATTGTGTATGCAATGTATACTTGTGCTCGTGATACCAAAGTGAGCCGAACCAGCTTACGATCTAGTTAATAACCACACGCACACCCTTGCTTTCAGCAACCGGTCGGGGAATGAACATGTCATGATCGTATGCTACATCCCGAAGCGATGTCTCATATAGCGCCATGCGTGGGATGACACGGAGCGCCAGTGCGGTAAGACTCAAGTGAAGCTCACATAGAGCAAGGCTAAACAGTAAGTCAGTTTGATTGTTCAATTATGATTTCGCCCACTGTATTTGAAGGGCAAATGGGATACCAAGACTTACTTCATCCCCAGGCAAGCTCTGTTGCCCTTGCTAAATGCAAGCATGGCCCTCTCCAGCTCCTTTCTCCGCTTGCCGTCCTCGTCAATCCAGCGCTCCGGCAGGAAAGCATGCGAATCCGGAAAGAAGCTCTCATCATGGTGCGTAATGGCGGCCGACATGCCAATGGCGTAGCCCCGCGGGAGCACAAGCTCGACGGGCTTCTTGTTGAATTCGCCACGGTAGACGAGGTCTTCTCCCGTTGGAACGCGCGCCGTTCGTCCCGACACACCGTACGAGAGACGTAGACCCTCCTGGATGACGCCGCCTAGGTAGGGAAGCTTTTCCAGCACCGTCCAGGCTGGCAGCTCGTTGGGGTCCTTTACGACCTCGCTGAGTTCGGCGCGCAGCTTGGCCAGCTGCTCGGGCTTGTCGAGCAAATTAAACGTAATGACAGCCAGGGCCCAGCTCGTGGTCTCGGTGCCGGCACCCACCACGGCGGCCGCCTCTTCCGACATCCAGGTCATGGTCTTTGGCTGTAAGCTGCTGCCATCGGACTCGAGAATCGTGTGGAAAATGGTGGGGCGCTCAGGCCGGATCCCGGACTCGAGACCAGACTTGGCCTTTGTGACGAGGCTTGGAATCATGATCTTGAGAGACCGGATGAGCAGTGCCATATCTGCGGGGAGAATATCCACGATGCTAGGAACAAAGAGTTAACATAGTTACTTCCCAATGACACCACAGCTTGACTCACTATACGCCCAAATCCTGCGCAGCATTGAGAATGGGGAAGAAGCGGAACCAAAAGACTGGCTTCAAGACGGCAAGCAGAGCCATGCGGTAGTTTGGGTACCAGCTCTCCTGATCCAGGAATCCTTGAGATTCGCCAAAGCTGTAGCCAAAGATGGTATCAGAGGTGAAGCAGCTGTAGGCCATGGCAATGTCAATGACCTCCTTGGTGCCAGACCGAGCCAGAAGCTTATCACACAGATGATGGCACAGCTTGTGGATGTCTCCCTCGAGGCGGGCAATCATGTTGTGGGAGAAGAACTTGGCCACGGGACCACGGCGAGCACGATGCAAATCATGATCCACAGTTCCGAATGCATTGCTAGTTGTCCTGCAGGAGGGAGAAGAAAGAAGGATTGGTAAGTAAACGGTCACCTTTGAGCCGAAGTCATGGCATACTTACGCGCCACCGTTGATCTGGTGAAGAGGCTTGTCTCTCTTCCTGCCACCAACGGCGTAAATCTCATCGGAAAAGGCTACATCGTTGCAATGTGTCTCGCCGGGATTGATGCGCACAATAGGACCTAGTGTGTGTCATCAGTACTAGTGAGCCATTTTTTTTTCGACGAGCTCGACACATACCATATTTCTCGTGCATGCGTTGGATAGCATGTGTGTATCTGCCGCCCAGGACAACGTCGTGGTAGAATTCCGGCAGATAGCTAGCGGCGGCGAGCTTGGGACCAGGGATCTTGTGGAGGGGATGAAGCGGAGAGATGTTGTAAAGCATCTGAAGAATATTGTAGAGCAGCCATACCCCAGCGAAGCCTATCACGACCTGAGAGGCCGTGATATCGCCCAGTTTCATGTCCATTGCCGGATCTCTCACGACTTCCAAATCTCTAATTTTGAGTTAATGGGGGGTTACAAAGAGGGAAGGGCAGGCAGAGCTTGCCAACTATAAAATCATAAGATGCGAACTCTAAAACTCCACCTGGTGCGGCAAGACCCGTTTCAAGCGCCCATCAACACTTCTTCAGAGGGTCTCGATCCTGGGGCGATATGCAGCAATACCCAGACTAGTTCAAGGACATGCACTGTTCAGGAGAAAGACCCAATGTACCATAGCTTTGACATATTTTCCGCTGCTGAATTGATCAATCAGATAGCCTGTGTTACATGGCACTTCAGCTCTGCCTTTGCCCAGAATTCTTCAGCATTATTTCCGTGCAGATGCGAGGATGCCTCGGCAGTTGATGCTGAGTCAATGGGAATCACGGCAAATCCAGCTGAAATTGATTTCGGTGATGCTCTTCGAAAAGGTATAGCTGTGCGTGCTGTGCCGCAGGGAGGGTGACAATCTTATAGGTGGTCTCAAAACAGACTCCCTTAGCGGCTCCAGAAGACTGGTTTGATAGTGGATTATGCAACGGCTGTTGTCATCTGAATGGTCGCCTCGGACCTCCAGGCCGACGCTAGCAAATGTCCAATCAATCATTTCCTTATTACGATTTCACGTCCCTTCTTATGCCAACATGATCATGCGGTTTAGTCATTTGTGGAATGCGCATTGATTGTGTCTAGCGCCACGTGCGATGGTGTCGCTATTCGCAGGGGCTTTCCTTCTCTGCAGGGCTTGCACGTGGAGTTTCCATATTTGAGGCTTTTGACTCAGTTACACAACGCTCAAAGGCAAAACCTCCGATTGGGCAATTGTTCCCAAAATGGCCACGAGTATATCTTGATAGAGCTGTGATCATCACTTTTGTACCCGCATATATGTGTAGCTGACGAGGAAAAGCTAAGATGATATTTACTGCCATAAACCACCGACAAATGTCATGTTACATCAAGAAACCTGTGCAAGGTCGGAGGTGCAGACGACAGCGGCTTGAATTTATATTTGTATTGAAGAGGATCGGTGGCAAGAAGGATCACTTGAGCCGCACGTAGCAACGGTTTTGACCTGTCAGTTGGAATCCATAACTTGCCAGGATCGGAAACCCTGCCGACCGATCAAGTCCCTGCGTAAGCGACTATATTTACCAGTATGATGGCAAAGTCAGTTTCTAGGCAGCCCTCATACGAAATGATCCCACGCAAGAGAACCATAGTCGAAAGATGGCACGGGGATATATCATTGGTGCGCTGCGAATACTTCTTACCAAGTCTCGACGATCAGTCTTCTTGCGATATGAATATTCGACCCAAACAAACATGATGTGGGAAAATGCCCAACCTTCTCGCTATTCAAAAAGGCGATTCGGGCGGTATATGCCCAATATCTTTCCATCTTGACATACCGTTGTTTCGGCGGCTGTTCCCAGTCATCAATTGCGGACAAGCACAGCCGGATTGATTAAAATAAATGTTTAGTTCAAGTACAGTAATGCCTCATACACAGGTCACCTGACGCTTGAGCTAACACGTTTCATTCATAATTGTCAGCAGGCGCGGTTGTGAGCAATAGATTTGCGGAGACGCTCCATCGACATGCTAGATCCGTTATAGGTCCTGCCCATGTCAGCCCTGTGAGTTCCATTTGCGGTCGGATTGTTTTGCGGATTTTTCTCTTCCTGTGCAAAGAATCTGTGCAAATCATAAGTGACATGTCCGTGATCTCGAATCAAGAGTGTAGATTAGAGGAGACGAAGCGGATTCGTATTGCAAATATCAAGACAATCTCGGATCTAAACTTAAATAAGCGTGGCCTTGCAGATCCGGATTGGGAGTAAATACGGCCGCCCAATATCTCCGTTGGCAAGTGTCTCAGTACTCTCATGACTTGATGATGAGAACTTTCTGCATCTGGTCATAGAGTCGAAGACGACGAAGAAAAGAGGGAGGCTAGGTCGCACGTTAAGAGCCTCATGGCCAATTCCTTTGGCTAGGTAAGACAAGCCAAAAATAGAACCAAAAAAAAGGGCATCATAGTGGTCCGCTAGCCTCCGTTAGTGTCTTACACACGCGATATTAGCAGGTGTCCAAATTGCTGCAACTGTCGTAAGAAGATTTGACCAGCAACATCACTCCCCAAGAATGAGCAACCTCCAATTCGGACACGTGTATTGAAGCTCTTCCAAATATCCAGGTTTGTCACTGCACTGACTGCACTGCCCTTCAGCTTGGTTTCTTCCTCTCCCCTCTCGCCTTGTCCTTGGAACAGACGAGCGGCCGGGTGGGATAACAAACCAACCATTCCTCTAATCTAGACGCCCGGGGCAAGCTACAGTGGCTCCAAACAGGCTGGGACATGGCAATTTAGTGCAAAGAGGAGACGACCCAGCATGCCCAGACCGTCTTAGATCGTGGACTACGTTGCACCAAAAGCAGGTACCATGATCGCGACCAACACACGGCGCCGCAATTCATTGGCTGCGATCTGCTTTTTTTCCTTTCGCTGACCATGATTCAGACCGGGGAGCCCCCCCTTTTGCACACCCAAGCCTCCCCACTCCTTCGTCATGGAAACGATGAGATTCCCGATTTGCACTTGGGTCGATTGATTAGCTGGCAACCTAAACTAAAGGTTGCCTCTGCCAGCAGTCAGGGCAGTCAGTCAATTCTTTTCAGCTCTCTCCCTCCAGTGTAAATTTCAACCTTAAACCTTGTGCACGCCGCCCGTCTCCTAGATCTGGGGAGAGGAATCAAAACAACTTTTTAGACACACTCGTTTTCTCTATCTTTTTCCTTGGCAGTACATGACAGCATAATTCTAGCATTGGCTTTTTCAAGAGGTTGCATTATATACCCCACTGTCTTATACTCCAATCAAAATCATCTATACTCTTGTGTATAATGGTATTATTCAACGTCACATCGTAGACGATTTTCTACCAGAGACACGATACCAACAATTTGTTGCCCAAAAGGGCCCGCATATACCGCGATCGACTATTACTTCCTGGACATACCGAACACCTGCTACCATATAAAGGAGGAGGGAATCGCTACCAATTCGGGTAGCACTCAACATCATGAGGGCATTGCCACAATCACTCCAGGCTCTAGTCCTGCTCCTTCTCACCACATCGCCGCGTCTCGTATCAGCTATCGAGAATGACTTTAGCGCCTACCCATCAGGCTCACAAGCCTGCTTGACCCAATCGGCCGATTCGAGCGGCTGCACGGGCGATACGGGTACCGAGATGAACGAGTGTCTATGCAAGAATGGCGGCAACTTCATCTACAACACGGCATCGTGCGTGGCCCTAGAAAGCCCCTCGGACCTCGAGACCGTCTACGCCACCCTCGAGAACAACTGCGCCGGCACGGGCGTCACCATCAGCGTCGGCGAGGCCGCCTTTCTGGCCCAGGCCTCGGCGGCCACGAGCAGCGCGGCCACGGCGAGCTCTACCGCGAGCCAGACGAGCACCAGCACGACGTCATCGGCGAGCAGCACGGCGACGGCCGACTCGGGATTATCGACGGGCGCCAAGGCAGGTATTGGCGCGGGTATTGGCATTGCGGCGGTGGGACTAGGACTCATTGGCGTCTTTATATGGTGGTACCGACGCCGCAGCAATCAAAAGGGTCAAAAGGCGGCTGGGGATAGCAACGGCGCCTACGCCGCCGCGAGCACCGCGCCGAGCGAGTATACGAGCGCCTTTGGACAACACCATCCGAGCCCACACCCCGAGAGTGCGATCCCGCTTTCGGCCACATCAGGATGGAACTCGCCCTCGCCGTCTGCGGCGTCGGGCATGTACTACAAGCCACAGGACGCGCAGGTGCCGGGGGCAGGGCAGCCTCTGCTGGCGGAGCTGAGCAGCGAGGGCGTGCAGCAGGTGGCGCCCGTCGAGCTATATGCGCCGCACGAAGGAAGCAGTACCCTCTCGCCCAACACGGCGGCAACCTATGGACGGAGCAGTCCCTCGTCATACCATGCCGAGTTGCCGGGGACGTCCACGCCGGAGCCAGACAGGTACCAGAGTCCGCCGGGCACGCATTCGCCGTACTCGCCGCCATATGAGAGGAGTCATTTTTGAGAGTAGCGTTAATCTGAAATCTAATGAAACAAGCTTCAAGAGAAAAAAATGTTTCGATATGTGCGCGGTACGGGTGCCAGTGAGATACATTGCGATGTTCAGCCGAGACCTGAGACAATTCCGACCATCCCTCTAGTTGCTCGGCCAGAGTAAATCCCGTCCAGTGGACGTGAGCTGGCTAGAATATAGGTAAAATTAAAGTGAGCACAAATTGTGGAATTTCCTTTCGTGCCGCACGAGTGGATATTAGATATACTCCAGCTATGCGGTCATTAGAGGAGCTCCGGCTATCCCCAGCACGAAACGGCAGGAGAAGCACTAACACTTGTGACAAAGCTGTTATACTGACGTAGACTTTGCCAAAAATTGAATTGACATGCAACGGCACAGTAGAGCAAGTAAGAGGGGTCGCTTTGTACATTCATGGCAGTCGTGATTGATTTTGGCTCATATTATATATAATATCGTACACCAATACAAACCAGCCCACAAAAACCATGGCCTGGTCATGCTTTTCCGTTCCCCTATCGTTATTGTATAAAATAGTACAACCCGGTCCCGGAGCTCTTTTTTGAGCTAGTTGCTGCTCCCCAGTCTATGCGCGTTCCTCTTGTTCCGCACCACCCCGGAGCCCGCCACTGGGGTTGGGACTGGTGTGGGAGGAACGGTGCCTTGTTCAAGTTCAGACTGCTGGCTCTACTCGGCAGTCTTCTTCTTCTGGCTGGCACCGCTCTTGACACGCTTGGCGACAGGGCGGTTGATGTGGTCCTCGGGAATCCAGCTGGCGTCGAACTTCTCGGCACCGGTGGCAACACCCTCGCCGCCAGACAGAGGCTCGGCCTCGACAACCTTGGCCTTCTTGGGAGCTCTCTGCTTCTTGGCCTGGGGGAAGAAGGCCTCAATGTAAGTCTTGTAGACAAAGTAAGAGACACCAGAGAAAGCGGCACCGAGGACGAGGTACAAGAAGATGCTAGTTTTACCATTAGTGACAGCTTAGGATCAACATTCTGTTGTCAAGTACTTACATCTGGGGGTCAAAGATGCTGGTGGGGGCCTCGACAATGCTGACGGTCTGCTCGGTAACGCCAATCTGGAAGATGTTGCCGCTCTGGGTAGAAACGACGGCACCAAGGGAGAGACGAAGGTCCTGGGGGTTCATGTCCAGAACGAACGAGTAAGGCAGCGACTGGGTCTCGCCAGCGGGGATGATGGCATCGTAGCGGACAGTGCTCAGGTTGCGGACAATGCCGACCGAGGGGTGGGCATTCTCGGGCAGAGGCTGCAGGGTGTGAAGCGAGCCACCGACAAAGGCGAACTGGATGGGCTCGTCCTCGTGGTTGGCAATCTCGATCACGGCCTTGGTGGGACGTCCGTTGACCAGCTTGACGCCAAAGATGTCGGCCTCGGGGAAGGTGGCAGAGATATCGGCACGGAGCTCGGGGGTGTTCTCAGGGTTACCGGCGTCCTCGTCGATAGGCTATGGTGAAATCAAACATGTTAGCTACGACACAATGCACTGACACTTACGAACTATAGTGATGGGTATAGCTTCGCTGGGGAAGAGGCAACCTACAGAGTGTTCCTGGGCGAAGACGGAGGCAACACGAAGCGCCAGAGCGGCAAGAGCCGAGTACTTGAGAGCGACCATGTTGGGATGGAGATTGACCAGTGAGATTGGGACGGAGCAGTCAGGGAGAAAGAAGAAGACGGAGGAAGGAAAGGAGTCAATGAAATAAGTCAATTGACCCGGGACAAGAGTGCGGAGAGGATACGGACAGGTCAGTAGTAGGTTAGTAAAGTGACGCCTTATTACATATGGGAGCTCTCCCTCATCAAAAAGTTATTGTGTGAACGTGGCCATTGACCCCCTGGAGGTCGACAAGGTCTGGCCAATAGGCGGCGATAATCTGGACGCTGAGAGTGGATCCCGCTCAGCTTGGCCGACTGGCCGCTTAGGGGCCTCGACATAAGCTTAGCTCCAATATGTCCAGAGCTGAGCACCCTCCCAAAAACGTTGGAGCTTCTAGAATGATCACCAGGGTCCCAATATCCGCCGCATCGGAGGGATGACCGATACAATGATATCCATTGACACTGATCAATTACCATTGTTTGATACGTGATTTGGCGATATTCATGACAACAGCCATCGGCACGAAAGTTTCCCTTTTGCTCGAAAGTCCATCAATAATAGGTGGTATACTAATGTATAGATGCTCACTGAACGCTCACCAGTATGGCAATGCAACTATAATGGCTTGGCTGGGGTGATGAAGCCAGTACATTCACCAAAGCCAACACCATCACCACAAAATGCCGTCATCCGCACACCATCTCCATCCTGTAGATATGTTCTCTTTGCTCCGTCCGACAGGGCAAACTCGACCTTGCCGCCCTTGGTCATCTCCAACAAACAGCCATGCTCATCATCGCCAACGCCGGAAACGGTGCCGGTTGCGAGAACGTCACCCGTGTTGAGATTGCAGCCATTGACAGTCTTTTGCACCACCAAGTCTCGAAAGGTCCAGTACATCCAGGAAACATTGGCCGTGCATAGTTTGGTCGATGTGCCATCCCGAAGGAGCTCCGCCTCGAGCTTGATGTTGTAGCTCGGCTTTGCCTTCTTTTCGTGAAGGAACACCGGCGCCGGGATTTCTTTGGCGGGAGCCTCCGTCGCAAATGGCTCCAGGGCATCCAGCGGAATGACCCATGGAGATATCGAGGTGGAGAAGCTCTTTCCGTTCATCGGTCCGAGTGGAACCATCTCGAGACCTTGGATATCGCGGGCTAAAGAATTATTGTCAATCACCATGTCCGACAAGAAGGGTAAGTTTCTTTTCAAGGCGACTTACCACTCCAGTCGTTGAGCAAGACCAGACCAAAAATGTGATCATCCGCATCCTCGAGCTTGACGCTCTCGCCCATCTTGGTAGGCTTGCCTACAATGGCAGCGAATTCAAGCTCATAGTCCATGGCTCTGCTAGCCCCAAACTCCACCGTCTCGCCAGCTCGGTACATTCCATTGGGCCTCTGTACTGGTGTACCCGACACGACAATTGTCGAAGAGGTTCCTGAATAGCCGACTGGATAGTGGAGAAACGCTGGTGGCATTGAACGTTTTCCAAAGACGGCCTCTCCAGCGTTCAAGACATGTTCTTTTGAGCAGGAAAAGTCCGTGAACCCGGCGACCTTGATGGGTAAATGAAGTTCGACGTCTTCTAATTTAAATCCATATTTGTCCAGGACCGCCTTGTCAGCCAGAATCGATCCCAATTGCTTTCTGAGCTGCTGTAGTTCTGGTTTGCTTAAACCAGCAAGGTCGTTGAGTGTGCACTGGGATACAAATCAGCTCTGTGCTCGAGAACAAGGATATTTTCAGACAGACGAACTTGTTTGAGGGCTGATTTGACTTGATCGGTAACGTCCAAAGTCAGATCGGATAGAAACACAACCTTGTCTGCTAGCCGGGTGACTACTGCTCTCTCCCGGTGGGCGTCACCAACGGTGCTTGCGATACCATATGGGATATTGGCAAGCGAAAAGTGGTCCGAGTATGCCATGATGAAAATGAAGGGCCTACAATCCTTGTGAGAATTTCACGATTATGAGCTGAGAATCGTCAGATTGAAGATGCCAGCGACGAGATAATACTCCTCTCCTCTATCCCCTCCATCTATCTGCCCATCGCGGTTCAACAAGAACCCCCGGCTGGGGCTTGAGCCAGTGCCCCGCCCCCGCTGTTCCGCCAGACACTACCCCTACTTCTGCTACGGAGCACTAGATCCAGGAACCGAGCAGGCCGAGATACACCTATTACCAACCGAACTGAACGCGTTTCAAATCCATTCATGATTAAGGACGAAACTTTATGCTTACAAACCAGAATTTTATGCTGTAATATCATTATACACTCCAAGCACTGACATTTTCTGGCATCATTGTGCGGTGGTTTTGATCTACAAGGTTGTTCTTGACGTGCAATAGGTACCTATGAACGGAATATGCACCAATGTATTAATAACTGATTTTTGGCGGATAGCGCGTCTATTAAATCATCACCTTATGAAAACACTTTGCTATAGCTAAATAATTTATAATCTCAAAGCACGTCACTCACAATATGCTTTCTTCTCGTCACGTAACTTGGCAATATATCACAGAACTACATGGTATATACATATTTTGGCAATTCTTTTATTCTATAATATTGTTCGGTATCCGCGCAGCCAAATTGATCCAATGCTATAACAGCATAGCTTTCTTATTTGGGAGGAATGACAGGCAGGGTAACATAATTTTCGAGACCCTCTCCAAAGTGGATGTGGTTTTGTCCGGCGAATTTCTCACTTGTTCTATTCAACAACGTTAGCTTTTACAATCACGAGAGGTGAGATTTAGGGCCAACATACCTGTCTGTCTCAGAGTTGTGCTGGAAGATACCAGAACCCTGGGTATCACCACTGGCAACTTCAAAGACGAGCTTACCACCCTTTTCCACCACCACGTTGGAAGGCCAAATCTCAATATCGAGGGGGTAGACCTCGCCCTCCTTGACGGGGAGGACGTCGGTGGAAAAGTACTCGCGGTGCGGCAGCCACGGGCGGTTCTTGGGGTTATCCGTGTGCACCTTGCGGAAGCTGGCGCGCAGCCAACCCTTGGTCAGTGGGATGGGGTCGCCGGCCGTGCCCGTGTAGTGAACCTCTTTGCCCTCGGGACTAATGTATCGCAGAGTGACGAACACGTCAATGTCTTTTTCGCCGGCAGCCTGCTCGGCGGTGAGAGATACATTGAGGTGAGCCGTAATGTGGCCAGTGATCTCCGTCTCTTGCTCGAATGGCGCCGTGGTGAATTGGACGAGCTCTGGCTTTTCGAGATTACCCAGAGCTTTGTATGAAACCTTTGCCGGTTCTGACACAGTGGGCTTTGACTTGGCGAGACCTTGGTCTGGCGACAGATAAAAGTTGGTGTATTGGGTTCTGGGAATAGGCCATGCCTCTTCCTCACGCTTCTCGTAAACCTTTTCCTTTTCAGCATCGTTGAAGCCAACATCGCCCTTTCGTAGCGTCACTGTGACTGGAGCAACCTTGCCAGGCTGGGTCCAGCCAACACGGTCATCGCCCTTGAGGAAAGCGTCCAAGAAACTCTTTTGCAGCTCAACCTCCTCCTTGTAGTAGAAAGGCAGGTCGTGACGACCAGTGATGAAGCGGAGGTACTTGAACTTGGAGCCGGCGTGGGTATAGCCCTCAACGTTTCCGCGAAGGTGCAGCAGGATACCGCCCCAGTTGGCTACACTCAGGAGAGGCACCTCAATGTCCTCGAGCTTGAACTCTTTGCTAGCGTAGTAGTCCTGGTCTCTGAACTTGTACTTGGCGTTGTCAATGGTCTGGTCCTGGCGGTTCTGAACCAGAACATCATTGGGGAGGTCACCCTCGATTGTGTCTTCTTGGCCACGAGCACCGGGTCCATCTGGAGGGAACTGCAGCTTGGATCGGCCGGGCTTGCCGTACTGGTTGACCAGGACCTGGCGGTTCCACCAGAAGCCAATAAACTTGTTGGACAGAATACCACCGTGCTGGCAGCGATCTCTGTAGTAGTCGGACATTCCCTCCCTGTGTCAAATTAATCAGTATGGCTTGGTCATAAGGTAATCGCACAATGTGAACTTACCAAGGAATGATGGCAGCTAGACCCTTGGGTTTTCTGGCAGCGACACGCCATTGTGTGCCGGCATAATAAGAAATACCTAGCAGGCCGACTTTGCCGCTGCTCCACGACTGCTCAGCAGCCCACTCGACCACGTCAAAGAAGCACTCGCTGGTGCCCTTGCTCATGGTGTCGAGGAAACCGGGGCTTTGACCCAGACCACGCTCGTCGGCTCTCACAATGGCATAGCCCTGCTTGGTCCAAAAGACGGGGTCTGGCGTCTCCCAGCAGCTGTATTTGGAGCGGTGCTCCGGGTTCACCTGGTTGAAGGAGCCATTGAAGAAGGTCTCGTAGGGAATGTCCTTTCCGTAGGGACCATACGTGACCAGGACGGGGAACTTGTCGCCGGACTTGGCAGAGAGCGGCAAGTAGACATTGGCACGAATGGGAAGTTTCGATGCCTTGAGCGGAATCGAGACGTTCTTGTGGAAGATCAAATTGTTCTCCGTGTCTTCGATAGTGGACGAAATGTCACGGATCGGGGGTGTCTGGACTTCCATTGTTGCTAGAGATTGGTGATGCCCGCGATGCGTCTTCTTGGGGATTGCTCGTATGTACTAGCAGTTCAAGAAGAAGCAATAAGAACAAGAAGCAGAAGATGAAGAAAAAGTCAAAAGAAATGAGGGTATAGTCCCAAACGTCTCAGAGAATTTCGCGGCATTGCGTATTGTCGTCGCCGGATGTTGCACAAGTCCCCTCATCGCAGGCCGTCCGGAACGCAGGTGGGGGAGGGGCGCTTCTTCTTAAGCCGGCATATACTTGTCCACCTACTTCCAGGTCCCCTAATTGATATTTGATCGGGGCTTCGGCGCCTTTTGTCGGACTTACGAGTACCGGCAGCATGTCGCGAATTGTCCGAAATGTCCTTGACGATTTTATTGGATTTTCATTCTGTATCACGTCGGTTGGGATGTGACTTTGCTAAACCGCTAACAAGATCATAGCTACCAGGTTCGGGCAACACCAACGAGGCATTCCCAGGCCTGAGGGTCCACAGTATCCGGCAGTTACTATGGGGATTTCACATTCAAAATTCGAAACGCGACTTTGCTTTGAAATAATTGATCATGATTGTTTTATTTTTTACGATGTGATGATACAATGAAAGCCTCTTCGTAGTCTGTGTTATAGTAAATGCGCCCAGTAAATGTCACATATCTTGCCCTGTAATTCCATCTCGATCATCACCCAAATTCCCCCAATCGATGTGCTGAAAGTGTCTAATGAGAGCCTAAAACTCGCCTCCAACCTTCCATCTCCAAAAAGTCTTGTTGAATCGCCCGCCAGTTGTCCTCCACAGCCAGTTTGAGATCTAACCCAGATTAATTAGTACTTGCAAACCTGAGAAAGTCGCACTTTGCAGGATCAAAATCAGGTTGGGCAAAACGGCCACTTACACCCGTCAACCAGACCCCATTCAGCATGAGAAACACAAAGCAGTTTTCGACACCATTGGATCCCCACGGCCTCGCAGTTCTATCCAGCTCGGTGTTGATGGGACGGTAGTTGGGCACCCCGCGGTAGGTATTCAACCAGCCCTCTGGGTTGTCTGCTGGTGGTGCTCTGTGGTCGTTTAGAGGGACCCAGACGTGTCGCGGCGGCAGATCGCGCTCGCCAGTCAGGTGAATTTCATAGTCTTGCAACGTCTCGGCAATGGTGGTGGTCACCGGGTTATCTGTCGTCGTCACCGACATGTTTGAGGCCGTGATGCGCTCTTGGCGAATCTGTTTGCTGATTCGAGAGGAAGTTGTAACAAGAATAGCTGTTGTAAGATGGTGGGCGCTCCCGGAATCCCAGTGTGTAAGTGCCTGGGAAAAAGAAGTCGACGGAAATGGCGATACTGGAATTTTGATCCTGGAACGATCGGATCTGCTGCTGCAACTGGCCACAAATGCACAAAACTCATTCGACCATGGTCAGACAAGAATAGTAGCAGTACCTAGTCCATGGTCCCGGAAAGACGAGACAAGATTCCTCGGATTCGAGCCGTGTGCCCAGGTTGAGACAAGGATGACAGCTCCGTTGAAGTGCTGTACATAGTAGGGGATTTCTCCACACTCCCCCACTTACCGAAGCGCTGATCTTGAAATCCCCCAGTTTCTTATCGTTTGGGGTAGCTCAGGGTAAATTGCAGCAAAGCTACTAACTCCTACCTGGTCGCATCACTAGAACGGGACGTCGGTCTCAGAAAGTTGTCCGCTTGTGATTTCTTTTGTAAATGAATTCCTTCAAGAGTATTGTGAATTTATTTTGTGTTTGCAACGTATACACTCCAGAGTTCAAGTCTAGTTTGCTTATACATTGTTGTTGAGTATACCACTATACGAAGAGCTACAAGCGAGCATTTCAAACATGGCGTCGCAACAAGCAGCTATCGATCGGCTGCAAATGGTCGTGATTGACGGCCGGACAGAAAACATTCGATATCGCCAGGACCAACTCCAAGCTCTCCATGCCGCTCTGCGCAACGATGCGGGTGCAATTTGCAATGCTTTGGCAAAGGATTCCCAGACTTCGAGTGCAGAGGTTGAGACAGAGTACTACCTTGCCATGGACACTGTAAGGCATTGGTACGAGACTCTCGACTTTCCCGAAGAACACAAGAAGGAATATGCGCCTGTTGTCGAGGGCAAAGACAATGCGACGCGCAGGGTGGGTGTTGGTCTGGTGATTATCCGTCCCACCAGCCACACCCGGCTGTATTCCATCATTGCACCATTGGCCGCTGCCATGAGCGCTGGTAATTGCATTGCGGTGGAGGTAAGTCTGTTATAAACTCCATGTGTGTCTCATTGCGCTGACAGAGTCACAAGCTTGAGGACACCCTTCTCCAAGTCGACGCCATCCTTCGCAAAGTGCTGCCCGCTGCACTAGATTTCAATACTTTTTGCTTGACAAAGACAATCAAGGACTCGTCGATACTCGAGAGCGCAACACTTGTCGACCAGACGAGCAGCGCAAGTGCCACCAGCCTCACAAACCAACTTCTCTCTGCCTCCTCGACCCGAGCCGTGGCTATCGTGGACCGCACAGCAGATGTAGATCTGGCTGCCAAGGCTATTACAAACGCAAGGTTTAGCTTTGGAGGAACATCGCCGTATGCGCCTGATTTGGTATTGGTCAATGAGTTTGTCAAGCAAGAGTTTTTCGAGGCTTGCTCCAAGTACGCTACGTTGGCATTTGCCAAGGACTCTGGAATCAAGAAAGTCAGTGGTAACCAGAATGAGGCGACGCGAAAGGCCGTCAAAGAGGCAGAGGACAGGAAGCAAGTGTCGAGTTTTGGCTCAAACGAGTATAAGCTGGTGGATGTCTCCGTGAGGTAAGGCTATAGAATTTCACCGACACTGATGGCTACGCCTATATTAACGACAATCCCAGGTCATCGCCACTTACACAGCTCAAGGTTAGCGGCCGTATCCTTCCCATTGCCAGTGTCTCTGGCTTGGTAGATGCCATTTTTACAGAGCAATTCGAGTAAGTTGACAAGCGCACAACAAATAAAAATGCATTTACTAATCTTTCATAGAAATCCACTACTAGCAGGATATTTCTTTGCCTCTCCCGGATCCGCCAAGTACATTGCCCAACACCTACCCTGCCACATCTCCTGCATCAACCAGATTCCTGTTCAATTACTCGTCGGGCCTGCTGCGCCGATAGCACACGATGCCGACTTTTACTACCGGTACAACAAGGACATGTTCTCTGCCGCACGTCCACAGTTTATCGAGCCGCCAGCAGAGACTTTTACAAAAGCAGAGGAGCTGCTTTTGGGATCCAAGAAGACCACAACATCGACCATTCGGGCGTTGGCGGTCAAGCCGCTCAAGCCTACAGGGCAGCCTGGAAACGCGTCGCTTGGTTTCTTCGAGGCCGGCTTTGTGACCATGGCCAGCATCACCTTCTTTGGATTACTGCCCATTCTTGCTTACAGCTCGTGGATGGTGGGACGGAAAGGGTTCGAGTCGGCGTTGCGTTGGAGACATTGAGATATGATGAAAAAGAGGAGCACATTTATTTTTACGACTTGACCCAGGTCAATGTAATATGTATACACAAGGACTTTTTTTTTTTTTTTTTTTTTTTTGGTGCTGTTGATACCAATCAGTCCTGCTGTGATAAGTATGTGACCAGGTTTATTATGCAACAAACTTGCCAATCCCCTCTGGCGGGGCTAAACTTGCAGTGAAAAAAAATGCAGTGAAATTCTGGGGGTCTTTGAAAATTGCCAATTTTGCACTTGTTCCACCCTTTCCTTTCTTTTTGTCTTCTTTTTTTCGGCTCAGAACTACTTATTTAATGTATCGTGGGTCGGTCTGCTTAGGAACTACGACCTCACAACCAAGAGCCTGTCTTTCGAATAGATACTATTGCCATAGCCCATCTCAGAATTTGATCAGCGTAAAACAATAGAGCAAAGTCGAATAAATTGTTCGCTCACCTAATCACACCCAACCTACCAATGCATGAACGAATCATAAACCGGTCATTGCATACACAAAATTAAGAAAACCAGCGCGAAAAACAAGAAGAAAATAGAGGTAAAAAAAAGCAAAGCCCATGCATGCATTCTCTCTCGCTGGTGCTAGGCTCTAGCGATAAGCTCGGGGAGGCTGAGCGGGGACCGGGACGGGGTGGGGGAACTGCCGCGACCATCATCTGCTCGCTTCGCCTTCGCCCACTTCTGCCGAAACGAGACAGCACATGGAAATTTGGGGGTGCACTTTGCTAACTGGATGGCAAATGCCCATTCAGTCATTGTTACATGATTTTGACATATTCGGAAGTAGATCTTGGTAATTCCACAGCTCCTTTCTTTATTTTCATATGCAACATTTCGATATATCCTAAGAAGCAATTCAAGCCACCAGATCTGACTATAATCCGCTAAACCACCTGCTCTGTTCCTAACCTCTGAATCTGGGTGACTGCCACCTCAGCTCATCTACCATCTACAGTCCAGAATAATCACAACTCGCAATGGCTGTTGGGAGTAAGGAGGAGCCCATGGCTCCCGTCCATCTCTTTTCCCATGGATCAACCATGATGTTGGGCGAGGAGCACGCGTCGGCAGACTACTGGGAGAAATGCGGAAATGCAGCATTGGAGAATGGTATAGAGCACGTAGTCATGATGGTAAGCCCCATGATATTTGTAAACAATACTCTCAGTCCGGTATACTAACCCACTGCAGGGCGCACACTGGGCAACATCGCTACCGGGAGTTCTCATCTCATCCAACCCGAACCCAGAAAAGTCACCCGTGGCATACGTCCACCCATCAAAGTACAAGAACTATGCCCTGAACCCAGATTTGGCCTTTGTGCCGACCATACAGGAATACCTCGCCGCAGCCGGTATCCCGTCCGAGGCCGACCCCAAGTTTGACTGGATCCACGACACCTATCTCGTTCTCATCCGCATGTTCCCGCGGGGCTGCCCGCCGACGACGCTCATTAGCATGAACCAAAAGTACGACCCGCACTTTCACATGGCCGTGGGCGCAGCGCTGCGACCGCTGCGCGCAAAACAGCACAAGACGCTCTTCATCGGCTCGGGCGGATCAGTGCACAACCTATACCGCAACGTCTGGGGCCCCATGCTGCGCTACCGCGACAACTTTGCCCAGCCGACGCCGCCGGAGCCGTGGGCTGTCGATTTCCGCCAGGAAGTCATCTCGGCGCTTTGTCCCGGCCACGAAGAGGTCTTGCCGGCGCACGAGGCCGCCTGCAACCGTGCTGTCCGCAGCACCAAGGGCGCGGGAGGTCCGTTGCTGCGGAGGCGGGCTACTAGTCTCATGAAGCACCCTCAGTACCGCGATGCCCACGCTACCGATGACCACTTCATGGCCACTATGTTTGTCGCGGGACTTTGCGGTGGTCGCGGAGATGAGAACATTCCTGGAGAGATGGGTGCCGAGGACTGGGAGCTTACGAATATGTGTAATTCGCAGTTTACTCTGGGCTCTTGGCCCGAGATCAAGGCGTAAAGTGATTAATACTCTGTCTTTTATTGGATCGGTGTTCGGTTTTGTAGCATAAGTGGATTGCACATGTAGTATTGTTGAGCTTTTTCAAATCAATGAGATATTGAGTTTCGACTAGCATCACTTGAATTATGTCTATTGCAATTCACCCGATCATTTCTTCCAGCTCCCATCTTTTGGACAAAAGAATGTGTCGCTCAAGTAATTGTATCGAAATATCGCGAAACCCGATGTGTCTCCGTTGAAACATTAGCAATGTCTCGGAATAGACTAGGTTAGTTACTAATTGATACAGTATCAAAAAGCGAGGGCCGAAATGCTGATCCGTTCAAACTCTACCCGGAGCCTTGCGTGCGAAAATGGGCGAGACAAACATAGCAGTCAGCATATAGCTCCTAGGCTATCGGCCCCGCGCACTTGGAGCTGGATGACATGCGTCAAGCGCAATATAGCGAAAGTCAAAGGAATTTTTAGGTATTCTTATGCGACGATGGCAATTCATGTACCTTTGCGGATGGGATTGAGTTGCTAGTAAGCGCGAGCGGCCGAACAAGTATCATCGCACAATTTTGAGCGTCAAAATCTTGCTGGCTGTTCGCGTGATGCACATGAACGCGAAGTATGAGTGTAGTGACAAAGACGGCCTATAGCATGACAAGGAATTATCAGAATCTCGCAAGAACTCTGAAAGCTAAAAACCATCAAGATCTATTAAAGCAGCTTGTAGCCTGTACTCCAGGCTGCAAATGATCCGACACAATCAAAATTTCAGATGTCCATTTGAGGAACATTAAACAACAAGATTTTTCAAGAACTCACATAGAACCATGGCAACAGTAGCCCGCGATACAGTCACTCTTGAGACGTCAGCCTCAACAGCAGAGTCGAATCACTTCCAGCTCAACGCTGATGAGAATTTCCATTTTGAGATTCTTAGAGTCTTGAGCTGCGCGACATCAAACGGCGCTGACATTGCCGAAGTCCTCGCAAGATGTCCCAAGATCAGGCCAGGTGACTTTGAGTCTTGGGCTTCCGCATGGACAGAGCTGGCAGAAAGAGTTGAGAAGCAAGCACGCGAATCAGACCCTTCCACCAGCAGCGGCAAAGCCTCCGCAAGAAATGCATATCTCAGAGCCGCGACATATTATCGAACTGCCGATTTCTTTCTGCATGGAAACCCTACAGACTCTCGCATCATGAGCCTCTGGGCAAAGCATCTAGAGATGTTCGAGGCTGGGATTGCCCTCATGCCTTATGAGACCCAACGATTGAGGATTCCGACGCCTCATGGTTTTCATGTCCCAGCCACATTCTACAAGGCATCTGATGGCAAAAAGGGCCCGAGGCCTACACTCATTATCGGAAACGGCTTTGACGGCAGCCAAGAAGAGATGCTGCATGTAATTGGATGGCCAGCACTAGAGAGAGGATTCAATGTTTTTTCCTACGAAGGGCCGGGCCAGCCAACTGTGAGACGATATCAAAGCCTTGGATTTATCCCAGAATGGGAGAAGGTGGTCACTCCTGTAGTCGACTATCTGTATGCACACCAGAAAGACCTGAATGTGGACGTCGACAAGCTTGGACTTTGGGGTCACAGCATGGGAGGCATGCTGGGCTTGCGAGCCGTTGCATTCGAGCACCGCATCAAGGCGTTTATTGCATGCGACGGAGTGTGGAATGTGGATAGCATCATCCCCAGACCATTATTGGCGCGCCTCGATGAAGGACACGCCGATCAACTTCTGAAGGATATCAAAGGCGGCAACGCGGAAACGGGCCTTCGCTGGGTAATGACCCATGGGTCCTGGGTCATGTTTGACGAGAAGCAGCTCCCACGGGGCCTGCAGAGCCCAGACGACATCAAGGCGCTCGTCGACAAGTTTCGAAAGTTTAACCTAGACGGTGTTGTCAATCAGGTGACTTGCAAGGTCTTTGTTGGAGACGCAGACGATGACATCTTCTTCATGGGACAGCCCAAGAAGTTGGCCGATGCACTGGGTGACAAGGCGACATACCATGTCTTTTCAAAGGCAGATGATTCTGATGCTCATTGCCAGGTCGGAGCTGTCGCAGTCCTGGCTCAGAAGACCATGGATTGGTTTGAGAAAGTAGTCAATTAGTCTGGTAGATTGTGATTCATATTTGATACGATTTATGCAGCATGGAATTGTATAATGTTGATATCCTCATTCTAAGATGGAATACTTTGGAAAGTCATAGTTTTCCTCATGATACGACAAACACAATAGTATACCTGCTCATTCATAAATCTGCTTAAGAGGTGACTGGGAGTATCTGGGGAATTCCGGGCTTTTCGTTGAGCTGCTTAGTGATGAACAACCAATCGTATCAATTGCTGGGCTCCATTTGCGGAAAGGGTTGGCGGACAGGCGAATCACATTAGGGCTACTGGCTTCTATGGGTCTGCGAAAAGTTGCCAACAATTCGGGGGTGGGCTAACAGGTAGAATCGCGAACTCTACACAGCAAAGTTAACGAGCGCAAAGACGCGACTACGATAATCTTGGGCCTGCCACCATCGTGGGAAGAGAACCCAAGAGTCTTGATAATGTCTTTTCAACCGACAGCCCCCCAGCAGATAACATGGATGCCAGTAGCCATACCAACTCCAAGTACAACATTCGTTGCGCCACGTAGTGAGAACACGGGCCGTCATGACTTGCCATCACAGCCTATAATCGCAACTGCAGCCGTGCAGCCAAGGCCAGTCCAGCAGCAGCAGCAGCAGCAGCCTCAACAGAATTCCCGGTACCCGAGCATCTCTGGGAATGCCGCACTTGGCGCTCCTCGACCAAACGATGTAATTCAGGCTCCTACCTCATTACTAACCTTGCACACTGCGTCTCCCACCCCGATACCACAGTCACCTCACGCTGCTTCTTCTGGAGGATCGTCAAATATCCCTAATGCAGCACCACTGGTGGCCAGCCAACCGGGGCGAGGACGAGGCCGGCCGCCCAAACCACTGGATCAAATGAGCATGTCTAAATCCGTCGAGTCCGCCCTTGCAGACAATCGGGGACTCTTCAAAAGAGGCAGATACCTCAAATCTACGTTCCAGACGAAACGCGACGTGATCGCCTATCTTCAATGCCACAGAATTGAAATGAGACCCAAGAATCCCATTAGATCACTGCCTGGCAGCCCACCACATGAAGTCATTGACGGCAAGACCTATAGACCACCCTCTGCTCAGGACGCTTCCATTTTCTTTGGTATTCCTTCCACTACAATCATCAGCTGGTGGTATAACAGGGAGAAGATTCTCGCCAAAGGAGACACCAAGGTTTCAAAGGCCAAGGTTTACCAGAGAAAGACAAAGAAGAAGCCAGTCTCAAAAAAGTAAGATCATTTCGGCTCCGGTCTGCCCCCACGGCGCGCAGGTCCTCTTATCACCCATCCTCCGTCGGTCCCTGCCGATTCCATTCTCCACTAAACTTGTGCTGACGTGCGGGCCGGAGTCGGAGTAGGAGGGCAGGGTCATGCGAACAAGATCTCCGCTCGGAATGCATCATCCCGTCACTTCTTCCGGAGCAAATGGATGTTGAAACACCAAACATGGATATAAGTGCACGGGATCATATTATTGACGCCATCGAGAGCTACTTGGATGCGTCCGTCCAGATTACTCAAGCCTTGGTCCGAGAAGACTCGAGCAATCCGCCAGGCGATGTCTGCGCAATTGCAACGACCGCACTCCAAGTCATCCGAGAATGCATCCCGACAGCAGAAATGACTACATACCAGACAGCACCTCATGTACGCAATGTTGTAGCCGTCATTAAAGGGACAGCTGACGGCCCAGGTCGGAGACTATTGTTCAGCGGACACTTGGATGCTTACCCATTTGTCCCGGAGCAATGGAGCATGCCGCCGCTTGGAGGCAGCTTGAATGATCAAGGTACCCGTCTATATGGACGCGGGTCATCAGACATGAAGGGCGGAATAGCTGCATCAATTGTGGCTGCCAGTGTTCTCTCGAAGTTCTCCGACAAGTGGAGTGGAGAAGTCGTCATTGCGCTTGCTGGAGACGAGGAGACAATGGGATCACTGGGTTCTGCATATCTTCTAGAGCATGTAGAGCCTGTTCGTCAAGCGGATGCGGTCATATGTGGTGATGCTGGCTCACCGAGCGTTGTTCGAATCGGAGAAAAAGGTCTAGTTTGGCTTGAGGTCACGGCAGAGGGAGTCGCCTGCCACGGTGCGCACGTGCATCGCGGCAAGAATGCAATCGAGAGACTCATGGAGGCACTCATGGTACTCAAAGACCTGGAGAAGCTACAAACTGAGGCACCGGACGAGGTAGAGCAGGTCATGGCAGATGCCAAGCCCATCTCTGAGCCTCTCGGTGGTGCAGGTGAATGGGAAACCTTGCAAAGAGTGACGGTTAATATCGGCAAGATATCAGGTGGAGTGTCTGCAAATCTGGTCCCAGACAACGCTCAAGCTTCCATCGACATTCGGTTACCTATTGGTGTCTCGGCGGCCACCCTGCTCGAAGCGGTGCAGTCTCGCCTGCAGCGTCTCGAGGGTATATCCTTTCAAGTTGTGCAAAAATATGACGCGACATGGACCAATCCGTCCGAGAAGATTGTTCAAGATGTCTGCAAGGTTGTAGAGGACATGGTGCCGACAGAGACGACCATCAATAACCGTGTCGGCGCTTCGGACACCAGACTGTTCCGTGCAAAAAATATACCGTCGGTAGTCGTAGGATTGACGCCCAACAACATGGGCGGGCCTGACGAGTATATTGAGGTGGCTGAACTGCATCAATTGTGTCATATTCATACACTGGCAGCATGGCAGTTTCTCACAACTTGATATATTAGTCTTGAGCTGCAGCAGCTTAATTATTATTCCTTGTCCCTCTAAATCTACATCGTATTACGCAATCACGTCGCTTTCTTGACAATAATTTCCAGGACCGGTCAAACCTTGACCGCGGCTATTGAGTTTGCTTCTGTTTTGTTACTCGTCAGTTTCTAGCGAGCGAGACGCAAGCTGTTTTTCAAAACCATATCCAGGGGCTCGAAATGTTGGTACTCGTGGTGGCCATTGTCCACGTAAAACCACTATCGACGTATCATATCGAACGATGCTTTGCCCGGCATATCCAGTATATACACCTATCTTGCCCACCAACGCCCAAAGTAGTGACCGATATGTAGGTAGGAATGCGTTGTCTCCAACCAGATAGTAGCACTGCGGCTGAGCTGAGGGGCAGCACGCATTTCATGCACTGGAACACGACCTAAATGCAAGGGGGGGTAGGATCCAGCGCAACGCTGCCATGAGAGCTTGTTGCTTGTTCGGGGGGCGGCGTCAAATGACAACGGTTTATAGGCGACCTGCATCTTCTTGTTCACGGGTTATCGCAATCCGACCCGCGCATCCCCCCGGCTTTCCTGGGCGGATTTTTTCTGACCCTCCAAGAAGCGCTCAGCCGCACTCAATATATTGTCGTTTATGCTTGGAGAAACCCTGACTGTGTATGCACTGTCGCATGATCAACTGATCGGCATTTTTACACATGGTCCAGTGAAGTTATTTTTCACGCATAACCGCAAGGTTGGCGATTGATCGCACAGAGGGAGCGTTATAGTCATAACGTCAAGAATTCAAATTATTGCGCGCTCGCTAAACATTTAGACCTTTGATTCATGTACACGGACCAATCCCTCATTCGACCACCCTTTTTCAGCTTCGGTCCAGCTTTCATGCTCGGCTGCCTCCTCTGCTTCGCGAGACCGCTGCGGTGTAATGCGTCGATCCTTGTCATGGCTGTTCATGTCAAAGAGGTGAAAGGGTCCTGCAGGTTCATGATTGCTGCCATGGCTCTTGTCGTGGCTATGGCCATGCGACGAGCCCCAGAATTTGGAGTAGCGCTTGAGCAGAGGTCGTAATGCTGCAGCTGAGGCGGCAAATATAGCGAGACCAAGTTCGATAACCGCCCAGAGGAGGAGCTGGTAGTGCAAGTTCTTCTCCTCGACGCCTTTTGCAGTGCGGAGTCTGGTAATGATGACGAGCTTGACGATTGTTGCTGAACTGGCACTGTAAATCACGATCTGTTAGTCACTGCATCTGCTTCATTACACGATTCCTGTACAAGAAACTCACAATATTCCAAGGCTCAAAAGAAACATGGCCGTAAGCTTGAGTCGAAGACTCATCTGGACTTTCCAGAGCATCCAGACGGGCAGAAGCGCATAGAAATAGTCGATGAAGATGTTTGAAATCGTGCGAAACTGTCCGACAACACCACACGTCTGTGATCCTGCGTAGTTGCTGGTGCCGCCTGAAGCACACAACCATGATGTGAACAGCGTCATGACTACTGTCCATATTCCGCAAATGACCATGGAGATATAGAGCGACCACCGTAAGACCTTCGTGTTGGCCAGGCGGACAAGTACTAGGGCAACGGCAAGTTTGACGAGTCCGGACGAGATGTAGCAGCAAAGCTGAGTAGCAAAGTAGAACTAGTCATCTTCTTAGTAAACGTATATAGTCAATAGATTTGGAAATGGTTACCTCTGTTGCTTTCTTCTTGTTATAGTATGGTTGCTCATCTTCGGCAGCAAAACCATAGCTCATCGATGTCCAGCACGTAATGCAGACGAGCACAAAGCCCAACTAATATCGGTAAAGGCTAATTAGAAAATAGTTCAATTTTGTATTTATTACAAGATATCTTACATAGGTCAGGCACAACGCCGCATCGTCCCACCCGAATCCTCTAGCGACGAGCTTGGTACGAGTATAGAGGCGGGCAGCCACTGCGGCGCCATCGAGGAGGAACAAGGTGACGAGGGCGGCAATAATACTATCTCGGTAGAAAGCCATGGTCTTATGCTGCGAATGACATGTTTATTTCTAGTGTCAACGGTTCTGAAAAGAGGACGAGAAAGTGGGCCAAGAAAGACGCCTCGAGGCATCTGACTCGACGGCAGACGGGGGAGATGATATAGGTGTGTGGAGTATCATATTCGTGTTCTCCGTGATTCAGTGCAGTATTCACACACTCTCAGGCAAATACATTTCAAGAGAATCGACATGGGTTCTAGAAGTGTGACCAAAGGGCAGGCACAGGTAGCGCCCAGAGCTGCATGCAATATTCTCCTTCCCCGAGTCTGAGATGGGGGCAGGGATCCGAAGCAGCTTCCCTCGATGTACCGGAATCGTCTCTATGCCCCAGCTGTCCATTCCCCCACCCCCAATTTCTATGCTGTCTGCCACGCCCAGATCTGGCAGACTTTACGATGGAGTGCCACCATATACAACCCCAAACAATCAATTTTTTTTACTACTCAAGGGCTATATCGCCCCAGAGGTGACTTGTCCTCGCCCTTTCACCCTCAGAGATAGCTTGGACGATAGTAGTTAGGTGGGTAGACTGTGGTCAATCTTTAGCACATGCACAACCGTTGGAAATTCAAGAGAACAAAAGCAGGGGAAGAGATCAGTGGGGTCTAGAGGGTATGTAACCATCCATAGTTGGTAAATCACAGCAAGCAGTCTTGCAGCAGCATCCGAGGCATTTGTCCATGTATACAACTAGATTCCACCCTCACATACATCGCAAAAAGTCGTGACCACGATATTTGCATGATCAGCCCGGATCAAGACATCGAGTACTGGGGCGATTGGGTTGCATCCATCGGCGTTGTCCTACAAGAAAAGCGTACACTGCCGCTTTCTCATTGGATGCATGCAAAGCACAATTCTGGTTTTCAGCTCCGGGACGGGCCGCCCGGTCTTTTGTTGCCATTAAGGCATTGATGGGCGTCTCCAATAATTCCTCTCTTCACACACCACAAACATGCTTAGGCGAGCCTATAATATGGACCGTTGTGTCTGCCATTCGCCGCCCATGAAAAGAAAAAGTCAGGGATTTGAAGAGCAGTCTTCTGGCAAGTTATTCGACTTGTAACTGGATAAGTGCACTCTTGATTCCTCATGCCGAGTCGCTTGCCTTTGGCGGCAATGTACAGATTTTTATCGACCGAGGATGTGATATTCGCAGTCCGAAATTCCGACATGGTGCGATCGATGGGATGTAACACCAACGAAAACGCAACGCATCGTCATCTTGTCGCAGGGAAAGAACTCCATGGATCAGAGATGGGATGTGCAGCGGTTTTCAGAGAATAATTTGTCTTGTGCCGGTCTTGCCGCCGTGAATTTCAACCATGGAGGTCATATGGCACGAATCGCAAATCAACTACTATTACTATACTCATTGAGACTGCCACCATACCATCAATTGTCTAGAACGCAACACTCTAGGATTTGCCTGCGTTCCTAGTCATTCTGTGCAACGGATACTTTCTGCTCTACAATAGAATCATTACTGCATGACTGAATGGACGCGCCGGCCTTGTTTGTCTAATCCATTCTCTCCTTCCTTTATTCATGAGATGTTAGCAGCCAATAATTTTGGGCATAATTTGACTCTTGTGCCCCTCTGGTGCAGTTTTCAAGGTTGGTCGGGAAAAATGTTTGAACAACTCATCGTATCTACTGCAAATACCCGCTGGCGAACTGCATGAAATTCACTTGTGTCACAAACATCTTAACCATGTGATCGAGGACATGGTGCATTATTATTATACAAGAAAATCGCTGGTAATTCCAGCCTTTCCATTTGCTCACGATTCTGATTACTTGATATTCTATGATCCGGTGATCATCGTCCGGGCCATCTGGCAGACGTTCCAAGAAGTCTGAAGGAAGACATGATGGCTGAAGGTTCTGGGACTCCCTTTCTGCCTACTCACCACATTATAATCGGCCTACTTGATCGTACGCCCCATTATCATGTTACAATTTGCTCCTGGATAGAATTTTTTAAGATGTTTGTCAAAGGATAGACCAAAAAGGATTGAATAGTAACCGAGATAATCGATTAAAGATATTATTTTCTACGTACAACTAAATAAATATAAACATTTTATGAGGCACTCACATTTATGCATTGATGATACCATCCGCAATCTTCTCCGCCAGTGCGTAGATCGTGCTCGTAGGGTGACCTGGCGGCAGGATGGGGAAGCTGCTGGCATCCACAACCCTCAAGCTCTGGACACCGAATACCTTGGCCTCGTTGTCAATGACGGCCGTCTCGTCTCCCGCCTTGCCCATCTTACAAGTGCCCGCCGCATGCCATACAGTCATGAGAGCGTCCTGAATCACTGCCAGAATCTCCTCGTCCGTGTCCGTGTCTGTGCCTGGCCAGTATTCGTCACCAATGACAATTTCTTGTACAGCATCTGTGTTCCATACTTCACGCATGCGGCGCCACCAGGAAATTGCTACCTCTTGGTCCGCTTTGGCACTGAGCCAGTTGGGGTTGACCAGAGGCAGATCTGTAGTCGAAGACGACTTGATAGTCACGTTGCCCCTAGAAACTGGAGCTACCATGGCACCGAGAATGGTCGCATACTGTTTTCCGTCAAGTGGTTGTTGAAGAGCAGGGAAGCGGAAGTTTCCAATGTAGCCATTGCCAGAGATGTGTTCAACCTCTGGCCAATCGTCGGGAAATTGGGCAAGTGCCTCTTGGGTTTCGGCGGACCATGTCTCGCGATACTTTTCAGGAAGTTTTTCCCAGCCGATGAACTCTACCACGTTGGAGGAAAGAGCACCGGTGCCATCGGCGACGTATTCCGCCAGAGTCTCGGCCAGAACGACGGGATCGTGAAGCACACGATCTAAGGTGTCAAAGTTAACCTGGTAGGCTGGGCCAAACATGATGTGATCCCACATATTTTGTCCAACACCTGGGGCATCGACGATGACATCAATGTCGTATTCCTCCAGTGTATCTCTGGGGCCAATACCAGATACCATGAGCAGTTGAGGAGACTGAAAAGAGCCAGCCGACAAGATGACTTCTTTTGCGGCGTTGATGTTGTAGGTGACGCCTAGACTAGTGACCTGGACTCCTGTGGCAGTGTTGTTGCCATCAAACAAGACCTTCCTCGCCAGAGTTTGTGTGTAGACCTTGAGGTTGTCGAGACCCTCGTTTACGGCAGTGTAGATATACTCTGCCGAGCTGCTACGGGTCTGGTCGGATGCACGGATGGTAGACTGTGAGTAGTGGTATCCGAGCAAACTTCCACTGCTGAAACCAATAGTTCTGTTCATACCAATGGCCTGCATTCCCTTCTCCAACCAAGTCGCCCAGTCAGACACCCAGTTGGTGTATCCAATCTGGACTGGACCACCGGGCGTCGCGAACGCATTGGGATCGTATTGGGTGGAAGCGTTGGCGCGGCGCTTGGTTGTGTCGGGAGGGGTAAAGTTGACAGACTTTTCAAAATAAGGTAAGAATGAATCGAATCTGGAATTAAAAGGTTAGCATTTCACACGGCAACGAAAGCAGGAGTTCTTTCTTACTGGTAACTATCGTCGCCAACTTCGTCGGCCCACATGTCGTAACTTCCTTTGCTACCACGGTGATGGATCATAAAGTTGAGGGCCGAACTACCTCCAAGGCACTTGCCACGAGCGTAGTGCACCTCGCGGTTGTTGGCGCCAGCCTGAGGTTCCGTCAGGAACTCCCAGTCGACGGTCGGAATGGAGTCGAGTATGCTGGATCCGATGCCGATTATATCACCACCCGGAGTGGATCCCAGCACGGGCTTGGCGATTTCATAATATAGTCCGGCCTCGACGATAGCGACCGAGTATCCAGCTTCAGCAAGTCGGTAGCCAATAGCATTTCCAGCTGTACCTCCGCCTACGACGACATAGTCATATGTTGCCTCCATGCCCAGAGCACCCTCGACGGCTCCGAGGACGCCCTGGACGATCCCATCGCCATTCAGCACAGCTTGAACTGCCGAGAGGATGGGATTCGTGATGGAGACACCAATACCACTGAGTAAATCGCCAAGATCGCTCAAGATTGGTACATCGAGGGCATTACTGGTAGGAAGACTGCCAAGAAGGATTGCCGAAGAGGCCAGCGACAGGGCAGGGGACTGAACACGCATCTTGTGAATTGAAAGAGGGACTCAAGATGAGAATAGAGACCATTCAGTCTGATCTGACAGGACCAGAAACAAGACAGAGCAGACCATGGACGAGGTTTTCTTAATCTAGAAGTCCTCGTCTAGAAACGGCATCCTACTGCCGCGCCTTCCCCTTACGAAATCTGGGGAAGCACGAAAAGTACGGAACACATGGTAGTTAAGATTTGACAGGTCAACGGATGCAAGGTCGGTCTACCGAATCTCATGAAGTCCTATCCAGAAAGAAACAGCATACATCGCGAGCTGCAGGAAACAGACCAGATGTGGTGAGAGTTGTGTCGATCGGTTTGCCTTTCCTTGTCGCATCGGCAGTGCCCCAGGGTAAAATTTTGAGTGCTTACGGCATACTTGCAGGTCTTTGATGAGTTACAAGCAAGGTACGACTATCAATGATAGAAGCGAGATTTCTATCAGATTCCTAGTCATCCAGGAGTGATCCTGCGCGAGAGTAAAGGAGTGACTCGAAAGTTGATGAGTATAAAATCGTCACTATAATGATCCAGACGAATAATTACACTGAAACATAAATCTAGTCAGGTAACTATTCTACCAAACATTTGTATTTTTTTTGGACATGATGGAAAGTTTGGACAACTCCCGGGCCTCGCCAAATTTTCTGTTTTCTGCAGTACAGCATGATGTGATGCAACCAACATGCATATTGTAGATACTCTTGGCAATAATTCATGGGGGCCCCAGTATAACGAACCAGTCAGCTTCAACAACACATGGGTTGACATCCTTCAGGCTGACCCACAACTGGGGGTTGTATGCAATGTGCCCCAATCTTGCGCATTTCCTTGCCTGCATTTTCTCTGAAAACATTTTCTCTTTTACGTGAAAGTCTCGTCATGAGAGACTATCACGAGATACTATGAGGCTGTTGTGACCTGGACTTTGGCATCCAGCTTTTGAAACAAGCCATATTAGACAAAGTACACTCGATTTTACATAGTACATGACCAAGGCGACCTGCATGCGGCACGGTGAACTTTAATGGAGAATACCAGTCAGATCATATATGTCTGCCGAATACCCTGCAGTGAAGAACTGCGGCAGCTGGCATGCGAGATGACGACCTGTCTGATTGAAGAATCCTTCGACATGGTCCAAAGCTTCTCTGGAGAACATTGCAAACATATCGATTATCATTCGAGGACGATGCAGAATTTCTGCACTGCCAAGTGATGTATCATAACTCTTTTCATTCTTCACCCCACGACAGTACTGGATACATGGGTAGGCTATCACTATACATATAAGTGCACGGTTCTGCTCATTAGCACCGCCATCCTATGGTTGATTTTGTAGTGTTTGCTATCGATTATCGTATTATTATGAATTTCATGTCTATGGGTGGTCATGACTGCGTAAATGATCTACCTGTCTAATCTATTTTATTGGGTGTTCGCGCACCTGAAGAAGTGGATGGAGAGCGATCCGGTTCGTCAGACACCACACTCATGTCGGATCTGACACGGAACTGCCGTCCTCTCCAGTTCACGGTGGTTCCCAGCAAGACTGCCCAGGTCCAGATGGGGAGGGCCAGTAGCTCTCGTCCCAGCCAAGCAAGGAGCCACTGGCCAAAAGGTCGCCTCTCTGTACCTCCACGCTTGGCTCCCTTGGCGAATGGGGGTGTGTCCTCGTCAATGTCTATACTGTAGCCAGCGTGCAATCTGTTCGAGACGAGCCTATCAAGGATCATCCAGAGAAAGACACCGACAGCCCAGCATTTGAACAATGTCCCCCATGTCTGTCCAATACCCAAATACTGGTTGAGCCAGGGAACGCTCGTCAGGGTAAAGGAGATTTGGAAGCAGCAGAGTAGAGACTCGACACCAGGCTCCACGAGTGTCGCCAAAAGCACTGTCCATTTTCGTGCTCGAAGCCATCTGACACGACGAGCAACATATGCTGCGACCGACATTCCAGCGACAGGTTGAACAACCAGATTGCCCCAGTTCAGTCCATGGTTTCTGAAGCCCGCGAATTTGGTTTTCCAAAGCAAATCACCAATCAAATGATCTTCGCAAATGAAGTGGGAAAAGTAATTCAGACCAGTAGGCAAAGGCGGAGTGGACGCGCTGAGGATGGGGTTTTGCGCAGGGTCTGTAGCGTAATCCAGCTGCGACTTGCGGAACATGGTGCTCTTGCCCACAACGCAGGGAGCGACACCGACAGTGTTGATTGCTGAGTAGAACTTGGCGTGGGTAGTACACATGAACATCTCATCAAGCCGACCGCCGCCCTGAGCCAATAGCGAGTTGTCAATCTCCTTGCGGTGTTCCACATCCATGGCGCCAGAGAGAAGTGCCTGTGACTCGGAGCTGTTGCGCTCAAGCGAAGATACCGTGTCAACGACGATGGGCAACTGGTGAGCCAGCTTGCAGGGCTTTTCTTGTCTGCCATCAGGGGCGAATCCACAGAGACGGTCGACCATTTTTCCAGCGGCGCTTTTCGACAGCCACACATTGCAGTCTGCAATCCAGACAATGTCTCCCTTGACCTCTCTGTAGGCGTGACTTAGGTTTCGGATCTTGGGGTTCGGTCCCATGTTCTCAATAGTGCCCTCGCGCCCGTTCAACATGGGGTCCTCATTCTCGATAAAGATCCTGGCATCGTGAGTCGGGAACTCTTTGACCACCTGCTGCATGACTGGATATGCAGCATCATCTTTGGAAGATACACAAAAGTGTATTGTGAACTTGTTCTTGGGATAATTTTGCTGGAACGTTGACTTGAGACATTCGTAGAGGTAAGGTTCTAAGCCCTTGGCAGGTCGCAGTATAGTGACGTGAGGAACTTCATCTTCTGGAAGTGTCGGTGAGATTGCTTTCTTGGGTACGGACGAAAAGTACTTGAAGCTGCAAACAAGGCAGGTCAGCAAAAGCGACAACACCGGGTGGGCGAAATGGTACTTACATTCCATATGTTCCTATGCCTTGTACAACAAGTACTATCGACCCCCAGCACAACCAGGCGTATCCAAATGCCTGGGTCACGGGAATCATCTCGACATTGTACGATACCAGGCGGTTTGTGCAGGAGTGCAAGGACTGACTGGTTAGTGTAGTGTGCACCGTGTATCGGTAAAGAGGGAAAATGAGCAAGCAAAGAAGTCAGAATGAACGACAGGATGCCAAAGATCAAAAAGACTGGCAAGAATAACAACAGCCTTGTCCTCCGTAAGCAGCGCAGTCGGCACCAGGGGGGTCCACTACGATCGCAATGTCAAAAGTCCAGTGTTGCTCCTTGTCCCCTGACCACGGTCCCTTAGAGAAAGTTCGGGGTTTTCACCGCGTTATCCCCGAAGCGCGTTTGCGACAGGCGAGTCCAGGGGAACGGATAGTGGGCTGTTGGCCTTTGGCACTGGACGTGACTTAGCGGGACGCGCCGTGGGCGGTACTAAAGCTCAGGCCACCCACCCAAAAGCCCGCCGAGATTTTCCGGGCTTGCTGACCATTGAGGGCTGGCGCATGGGTCATTTCGTTAGCTTGAATTTTTTTGCTGCAATATTTTTTTTCCCTTAAACCTGTTCACCAGACAGAGACTTCAAAGGCTTCCCTCCTTCACAACCTCGCGCATCCGGCCATTCAGGCAAGCTGGTTGCTGTCTTGTTTGAACCTGTCCATTGGATGGCCTGGCCAAGCAATCATTCCCGGTGGCAACGGGAACAATATCCCTCATCCGAGTAAGTCCTATTCTTTCTTTCTATGCCGTGGCATTTTCGCCCATCTTGATATATCACGTCGCGGTGATGACAACTTTTTTATTTTTTGGAACTATGGGGCGTCAAACCCTCGATGAGTGTTACCAATATAGACTACAACGGTATCTGAGCGACAGATTTTGCAATTTCTCAACAAAAACCTTTTGCATTGCACTCGTGGTTTTGGAGCTTATTGCTAATCCTTCTCTAGTCCTGGTTGAGAGGCCGCAATGGCTGACGCGAAAATATCTACTACACAAAATGGGGCCTTGACACCACCCGTAACAGCATCTGCTGACCAGATGCCGCCTGCAGCAAACGCTGCCAAGGCACCTGCTGTCCCTCGAGGCCCTCCCCTCTGGAAGGTTCATGAGCTACCTGCTCCCATCCGCACCTTTCCTCTGCCCTCGTTCTATCCAAGTAACCCGCTGTCGTTTCTCCACGTCGCGTATGCTTGGATTCGACAGGTCCTCTCGCCACCCCGAGAACCTGCCGCGGTGTACGAGGGTGTGTGGTCGCCGGCTCACAGATCAGTGCTGATCAGGGATCCAAAGTCTATCCGGGCACTGTGGGAGCAGGGCTTTTATGGCAAAGGACATTTGAGTCGCAGTGAGCCAAACTGGCTCAGGCGAGAGCAAGCCCGAAAAGGTGCTCACAGTGACCATGTCGCTGAAGTCTTCACGAACAAGAGACGTGAGGAGCGAATTCAGATGAAGTGGGAGCGTGCGCGGAAAGAGCAAGGTGCGATTCTTAGGACGCGGTACGAGGAAGCTCGTATTGCACCTGTTGAAGTTGCTGGACTGCTGGCTCTTCCCAACTCTCAGCGCGAACTAAACGTGCTGATCTATGGTGTTGATGAGTCCATTCTCAGTGATTCCATACGTGTCGTCACTTCAAGCGATGTTGACCCTGCCATTGCCATTGACCAGAAGACCCCGTTTGCTCCACGACAAAACGGTGATGTCCAGCGACCCACAACGCCACAGGAAAAGGACAAGCTTGTTCTTGACCTCCAAGATATCAGCAGTGACCGCCAAGCATCTATCAAGCGCAGAAAAAGTGTGCGCTTCTCGCCAAAAGTAGAATCCACCACGTTCCAACTATCAGATCCACCGAGTCCAAGTCAGACGATACTCGGCAATGGCAATGGTAAAATGCCTGATGGTATCTTGTCCAGTCGATCAGCAGTATCTCAGGATTCTAGTCAAGCCCCAACCCAGGAACATGCCATCTTGCAGATGATCAACAGCCATATTGCAGTTGCATCGGAGCCTAAAGAGCTAGTTGATAAGGAGCATCTCCAGCTGACCCTCGAGGAAGCAATGTGGCTCAGTTTTGGTATGGGTGTGTTGGACGTCAAAGACGAGGAGTCTGGTGAATCCATTTCTGTCGACTCTCTGTTCCAAATCGGTAGAGAGTTCTCTCATTGCCCTCCACAATCATCGCATCTGCAGCCAGACGACCCATTCCTGGTTCATTACGCTGTGTACCACCACTTCCGTTCTCTTGGCTGGGTCACTCGTCCAGGCATCAAATTCGGCTGCGACTGGTTACTGTACCATCGTGGCCCGGCCTTTAGCCATGCCGAATTCGCCGTTATTGTGCTACCGTCCTACTCGGGTTCCTACTGGCGCAAACAGGGCCGTGACACAACCGACAAATCGTGGCATTGGCTTCACATGGTGAACCGTGTTCAGAGTACCGCCTTGAAGACATTGGTCCTTGTCTATGTTGACATTCCTGCACCAGCGGAAGAGAAGCTTGACATACCCTCGCTGTTGAAACAATACAAGATCCGAGAGGTAATGATAAGGCGTTGGCTGATCAATCGTAACAGAGATTGATGAGATGTACAAGATGTTGTTTTTGGCCACTTCGTAGGGAGACGTGGTTATGTATAGTACATTGTATATGCAGCAGAACAAAGGCTGCACTCTCCTACCGAGAAAATCAAGAATCAAATACTATCATCAACCACTCGTTTTTGCTCTAATCAGTGATCTCGTAACCTACCAGTGTGCAACATTGCATCCAATATCCCACAATAAGCGAGTGTTGAATTTTTCAGGTATAATGACCTGATGTGTGTGTATGCATTGTACATTGCGAATCTGCTGTTGATATGATGCTAGGTCACTAACCTTAGGTACGTACATTAGGTGCTGTAGCTGGTGCCAGTAAGCTACCTCGCCAACTGATCGCCCGCTAATGGCATACCGGAAGACGCGCGGACTTACCGTTTATGTGTAGTACCTACATTAGGTTAATACTTTTGGTTCTCAAGTAAGCGTAGGTCTTTCAATTGTTCCCTACTTTACTGTGCAGAGCTCGCTCCTTTTTCTCGCCAATCCATATTCTCGGCTCCATTAACTTCTTTCTTGTTGACTGTTTTTTGTGTGTTTTGCTACGTTCAGGCTGTCAAGATGTTCCGGAATCAAGACAAGCCCAAAGCGGCAGCAGACGAAACGACACCACTTCTGGCGTCATCGTCCATTGCACCCACACAGGATGCAGAAATCGCAGACACTCTGGTAGCACCGCCGGCGACACTCTCGGACTCCACGCCTGGTGCCGAGGCAGAGCATCACGAGAAGCCGTTGGACAAGACGCAGATCGTCTTGCTATGCTACACAAGAGTCGTTGAACCCATTGCATTCTTCTCAATCTTTCCGTACATCAATAATATGCTTCAGGCCAACTCGGACCTTCCAGCATCCGACGTCGGCTTCTATTCGGGCCTGATTGAATCACTCTTCAGCCTCACGCAAATGTCCGTCATGCTTCTGTGGGGTCTGGCGTCTGATCGTATCGGACGCAAACCGGTACTCGTTTCCAGCTTGGTTGGCGTGTCCATTTCCACGGGCATATTCGGGTTGGCCAGGAACTTGTGGCAGATGATCCTCTTTAGGTGTCTTGCCGGCGTCTTTGCTGGTACCATTGTTACCATCAGAACCATGATTTCGGAACACAGCTCGCCAAAAACTCAAGCTCGAAGTTTTGCTTGGTTTGCCTTTGCAGGGAATCTGGGTATACTCTTTGGACCCCTGGTTGGTGGTGCCCTAGCAGAGCCCGCAACCCAGTATCCGGGCGTCTTTGGGAATATCGCCTTCTTCAAAGAGTTTCCTTATGCGCTGCCGAGTTTCGCTGTGGGCGGCATTGGCCTGACGGCTGTGATCACAACAGCCCTGTTCGTGAAGGAGACGCTCAAGAAGCAACCTAGTGATGGAAGGGCCGACAGCGCCGAGGGCGGCGCATCGGATTCTGCCAAGTCTTCGGTGACGAGCACGAGGCAGCTCTTGAAGAGCTCTAGCGTACCAATGGCCCTGTACATTTACGGGCACGTCATGCTGCTTGCTATCGTATACACGGCTGTAATGCCCGTGTTTTGGTTCACACCTATTTCCCTTGGCGGGTTTGGTTTTACCCCGTTCCAAATCAGCATATTCATGGGGTTAACGGGCTTCTCCCAAGCAGTTTGGCTCCTTGTATTCTTTCCCCCATTGCAACACCGCTTGGGCACAAATGGAGTTTTGCGTCTTTGTAGTGTGGCATACCCCTTTGCCATGGCTGCCAACCCTCTCCTGAGTGTGATACTACGCTCAGGAGCCGAATCAGTCTTTTGGTTGCTTGTTCCAATCTTTTGCCTTACCGCACCCGGAATTTCCATGGCGTTTACGGCTGTTCAATTATGTTTAAATGACGGTACGTGCAGCTGGGACAGACCTTTTTGGGCCCGGATGACTGAATGAGCTAACTTTGATAGTATCACCGTCGCCACAATTGCTCGGAACCTTGAATGCATTGGCGCTCACATGCACCAGTGGACTTCGAAGCTTTTCCCCTGCGCTGATCACAAGCTTATACGCTATCGGCGTACGATCGCAAATTCTTTGGGGTTATCTTGCATGGCTGATCATTGTGTTCATTGCCATCGGCTTCACGGTTGCTGCTCGCTTTTTGCCAGCGGCGAGCGAGAAGGACTATCCCGATGAAAGCACAGAAGGAGATGTTAGAGAAACCGACAACAGCGCTTCAACTTGAAACTGCAGCTACGGAATAAAGATCTTGGTGGTAGAATTGAGCTACGGCAGCATAGCATTTCAACCCCACCGTTTGGTATAGGTTCCATGTCTGTCCCTCCGCAGCAAACTCAAATTTATAGGGTTGATTGTCGTTTTGTTGAAGTTCTGAGGACCCCTTTGGAACAAAAGATGTTGATAAAAGACCATCAAACCCTCCGAAACCCCCACGCTTCCTTTGAAATGTTTTGTGTTCTGTCAAGGCTGGTTCTCTAGCTCGACTATTCTCTTCACTATCTTCTATTTGGAACATTGTGGTGTTCCCCAGCCTGATCCTTCTGCATAATGGACCTTCTTCGCTTTGCATTACTTTCAGCGCTCCTCGTGGCGTTTTCTACAGCTTATCCAGGGAAGTGGAATGGTTGTCACGTCGAGGAACTCCCACCTAGTTGGATCCTGGAATTTAGAAGCAACGTATCCGACAATGCCCTCTCCAACTTCAAGCATCACTTCCGCAAACGAGCCGAGAATGCTAGCGTTCAGATTACACACGAGTTTAACCTGGGGCCTGGTCTGATGAGAGGATTCACCTTGGATGGCCCGGCAGATTCAATCATGGCCCTTAGCGACTCCCAGTGGGTAGCAAACATTGTGCCTAACATAAAGGTCCATCGCCCGCCGCCTGACGATGACGACGGCGACGACGACGAAGATGAAGATGAAGACGAAGACGACGACATTACGGAAGCCAAGTCAATCCATCCTCATCTTGCCCGAAGAGAAGAAACCTATGACCTACAGAAAAAATACAAGAGTTGGAACTTGGAGGCCATATCTGGAAATGATTCTTTGAAATACCACTGTCCTGATGGCTGTGGAAAAGGAACTTGGATCTACATCATTGATGACGGTATCGACGAGGGTCATCCCGAATTCAAAGGCCGCATTGAGCATGTGGAGCACATTCATAAAGGACCATACCAGTAAGTTGACACCCTGATCTCTCGGCGAATTGAGCGATTGTGAGGGCACAATGACGCCTCCGCATGCTATGGTGATCTTGAAGTTTCTAACCATGTAACAGCCATCATCCAAAGAGGAACGGCAAGCATGGAACGGCGATGGCCGGGATCGCTGCTGGATCGACCATGGGAGTGGCACGAAACGCTCGCATTGTCGCCGTCAATGTTTTTGGAAAAGATAATATAGTCTATTTGGACTTGTTCCTTCAGGCAATGGACTGGGTAATGAATGATATCAGAACGAGGAACCGTAAGTCTCTCCACACCAAGGCATCCCCTGTTTCCGTGACTGACCATCGCTGTAGGTTTCGGACGCGCCATCCTCAGCCTTGGGCAGTGGGGATGCCGGGCAGAAGGTATAGATGGTGCGCCTGCTACGCGAGCGGTAGCCGATGCGGTCAAGGCCGGCGTCTTTGTCGCCGCGGCTAATGGTTACAAAGTGGGAGACACCGCGACCGTTTGGCCAGGGAACGCGAAATCGGTTTGCACCGTGGGCGAATATTGGCAGGGCCGGCAATGGGATGGCGAAGAGGCCGGTGATCCTGACATTGATATATTTGCCCCAGGCTCGAGAATCAGGACGTCCCAGCCTGGCAGTGTCGGAAGTTATAATCGCTACCACAAGATCGGCGGCTCCGACGCTGCGGCGGCACACGTTGCAGGCGTCGCGGCCACCTTGGTCCACCAGATCAAACTGGCCGACATGTGTGAGACCCTCCAATGCTGGGGCAACATGGCCCATCCAAAATGGTTCCCCAATACGGCGAACCGCTTACTGGTCAACAGACCTACGGCTGATCTAGACCTTGGCGATCAGGGTATGTGGGATAGACCGGAGTGTCAGCCGTGGATGAACCGCACGGGTCGAAAGAGGCCTAGCCCTTATAAGTAGTGAGCACATGGTGCTATACTAGCCTTGCGGATGGAATGTTTAATGGTTGGCTGCCGAATGTCTATTGGAAATTGGTTGGTATCCCGTACGAAGGAGGATTGACAGATGGAAGCACAATATGTTTGTGTATTTTCTTTTCATCAACTTTCGGAAATACTAAAAAAAAAAAAAAAAAAAGAATTTCAGTCGTCGCAATACACTTGGCTTAGGTAGTTGTGAATTATGCCACTCATCAACCTCTCATGTATCTTTGCTCATGTATTTCTGCTTGGGTGCATCCATGTTGACTTTGAGTCCATATGCTGGATACCACGACAAACCACAATTCATGGACGACTGGCATACTTATTGCAATTAATACTCATCACATACATGATCCTCATGACACCTGTAGATCTAAGCTTCGAGACTGATGTCATCACATAGATGAATCGGAACGTCAGGAAATAGGTATACAGTAACAGATCTACCCTATTTCAATGGAGCTTTCCATGAGATACCGCAACTTTCCAACCCTGCGTAGAATATATCTCTGATCGGAGAAATTATTCAGTAAATGGATTGAGTGATTGCATGAAGTTTGCCATGACCAAGTAGAAAAATATCAAAATGCAGTATACATTGTATTTAGCAAAGTCTCTACCAACACACATGGGCACCCTATTTCAATTCAACAAAAGAAAACCTCTCCAAGATTCAATCGATTTGGGCCTTCAGAACGATTGCCATCCTCCCCTTTCACCACGCACTATACACGGCATTTCCCCCATGTCCTAGCAAAAGTTGGCCCCCTGGTCATCTCGACCATACTTGTTGCCCGGTGCGTCTTTGTGGATGTAATTATTATACACCCACCCAGACTTGGCGGTATAGCACTCGGTGTCCAACCACTGCATGGCGCTCAGCATGTCCGCCGAGGAGCACGTTTCCGGGTGGCCGCGCGCGCAAATGTAGACAATGACCGAGTTGAACTTGGACGCCAGGTGCTGGTAGGCGTCCACGTACCCGACGGCGGCGCAGTAGGCTGCCATCATCTGCTCGGCGTAGTATGCGTCGGCTGGGTTGAGCTCCAGGTTTCCGCATTCTGATTGTTTGACGGGGAGGCTGGGTGTGTCGGCGGCTGCTGAGCGTTGGGGGCTCAATCTAAATCTTGCGGTGCTGGTGCTGGTGGTACTGTCTGACAAGGACGAGCCGGATTGTTTCCATGGCCAGAAGCCCTCTTCCGGCCTTCTATGATCTTCATCTTGGCTCGATGGTTGTCTTATGCGAAGGTGATTCTTTGAGGGTTCTGGCTTGTACTCAAAATCGAGACGAGTTGTAAGGTTGAGGTCCCCATTCCCGTCGCGATTCATGTACCATATCCCATTGTCTGCGTCGCTCATCAAACTCCAAGCCGCCACCAATTTGAAAAGTGCTACGGCGCCGATGAACAGGTTCTTTTGCATGGCTCGATTAGTTTCTAAAAGGGGTTCTGGACATCGAACACCTGTTGAGGGTGGTTATCAGTGTTTATTTGGCATTAACATGTGGCTGTCGCCAGATGAATGGCTGATTTAAATGAATTTGTTCAAATAGGTGACCGATGCAAAGTTTGTACATCCTGGCGTCTGATCCGACAAATCTCGGTCCTTTTCACGGATGTTACGCTTTCGCAGCCCACAGTTCACGTAGAAGCCATACAAGACCGGAGCACAAGGCCGATGGTTTGAAATCTTGGTGTATCATGGAGCACTTTATCGATCTCAAGTATGTACCACCCGGCGTACGCCGAGCCGGGATCGATCTGCAAACTCGATGGTGTTTGTGGAGCAAGCACAATTGTTTGGTGATTGTTATCGGGCGCATTGACACATCCTCATTCAACGTGAGAGACTTGGACCGTTGCGCTGAAGAAAAGGGGCATACTATGTATGAAGGTCTTCGATAAAGTTAGTCCACGTAACGACGCGAGGAGAAGGCACAGCGAGGCAGGGCCTGGGATCAGATAAAAAGTCAAGGCATCGGCATCGACTGACAAATATTCTTTTAGAGGCATGGGCATGTGGCCGACCAGCCAAGCTATTGTTGATATGAAAAGTATTCATTTGACTTCGTCCTCCGATCAGGATTTGTGGTAGTTCTCCAACAATTGCCAGAAGCAATTCGGGTCCTATTGTCCAGAACAACTGTGTTTGACTATCTCAAGACCACAGTGTTTTCGATCCGCCGAGGTCCAAATCCGTGCACTTCAAAAGGAGAATGCTCACATCAGAATTAACTCTATCTTTATTTTTTTATTTTTGGAGAGAGAGTGTTGGTAGGGGGTTATCGCCTTGGCCGCATTTCTCTCCTGACAAAAAGATTTTATGGTCCCAATGCGACCATTACATACAAAGGAGGCGTTTGTGAACTTGAGGTGCTTGCCATTGAACGAATGTGACTTGTAATGCTGTTAGAACATGTCCCCACAATTGCTAGGTTAGTGATGTACCATCCAACACGTTGCATTGACGTTTATCCGTCTCCTGTGCCTGTGCGGCTTTGAACAACACATGTTGGATGGGGCTGAACATGACTTTTGTGACCTTTAGTATTGTTACACCAGCGCTTGCACAGCTCCTTTGTTGACCATTGACACCAAGCCAAATGCGTCGAGGGCATTGATGTCTTGCATCGGCGCTTAACTGCCGAACACAATGGCCACTTAACAATACTACCCCAAAGTCGAAAACAAAGCAGACAATAGTTATGATAAAATACTCAAGAATATATAGACTGCACTACTCTCTAAATCATGATAATGTTCCAGAATCTGGACCTAATCATAGAACAGAAAAATTGCAAACTTGTAGTCTTTGCAACGACAGCTTATCGAACATACGCCTGAAACGTCGATTCTCAACTCACGACAGCAAGCGTAATCTCTTTTCAAATTCCAAAATAATTCAACAACCATGAGTAATTGGCTGAACCTGATCACTGATTGGTTTCAGACAAAAGCCAAAGCAGAGGAGAAAACGCTGAAAACGTTCGAACGCCTCTGGAGCGGCCAGGAAGATGGCCAGCGTATCACTTTCGTATCGGTCGTAATTCAACCTTCTGCGACTTCCTCCTGTGTTATAGAGGATATAGGTTTATCCGTTTGGTCGAAACATATTCTTTCGGAGAACATGTCGTATCATTGGCATGTCCAAGAAAACTTCGAGATCCAGACAGAGGATGTTGTCACCTTTGGGAACCCCGACTCATTTGCCTTCGGGAAAACGCAAACAATCACGGCAGATGATATCAAGACAGTCTTAGATGACTGGATATTGAGCCTTTCTGGTCAATGTGATCAGTTATGTCTCGTTATATTCGGCAGAGAATCTGCAAAGAAACTGGAAAAACAATGGACATCGCCTTCACCCGTAGTTCTTCTCGACCTCGAGGTACTGTGGCGCTTGCGATACGGAGGTCAACCCCATGCTACATTCGATGAGGCTGCGTCTGAACTTGGGAGTTTTGAGCGCGCAACGGCCATGCTTGATGACGCGGGCAACCAGGCGTACTACCTGCTTTCTGTACTGCGACAATTAGGGGGTGCGGAGGGCCCGAGAGGAGACTTCTTCCCAAAATTGATGGATGTAGAATAAGTTCATGAGTGCATAGTATAGAACAAGTATTTTCTAAACTTCTCGAATTAGGAATCAGATGAAGACTCAATCACTAGAAAACGATATCTTGACCGGCCTGCTCCCGCTCACCCGCTAGAATACGGTCTTCTTTGAAAATAATATCCACCATAACAAACGCTGACTGATGCATATCGTAGAGGGGCTCATCCTCCACAATAATCATAGGAGATTGATTGGTTTCCACGGCGACGACAGAACTATGATTCGTAGATCTTATCGCCTTGTGCAGCATTTCAGCATCATCGAAGTGTTCCCCGGACTGTTTCGTTTGGTCCAGCTGATGGAGCCATGATAAGACGGCTTGTATGTCGGCATCGCGTAGTGTCGTGTATATGTGCATCTTTGGCTTTTGGAATTCGTTCCAAGTTACGGAAAGGATAATACAAAAGCTTCCGCTAACAACCACTTCGTGCGACCACCGGCGCGCCCCACGAGTACCAATGGGGATCGTTTGGAACTTTCTTGGTTGCCACAAGTTCTTGTAAGCCCTGCTGATCTTGCTCATGTTGCCAAAACCGACTGCCACGGCGATTCCTGTCTGGTATAACTCCTTTGGGCTTGGGCCGCCAAAGGGTTGGGTCAGAGACGCGCGGAAGGGAGACTCACAGAGGAGAATTTCGGGGCCTCCTGAGACCTTGTTTATAGGGTAAGAGTTCTGGAAATATACATGTGAAGTTGGAAAATGAATCCGCTCATAAGAGCTTCCATAGCCTCTTTTACGGACCGGAATCCAGATTTGAACTCTTCTCCGGTTCTTTTCGACTGTCCCGGTGACTGATTCTTGTCGAGTTGACTCTCCATGTAGCTCTAGGAAGCAACTCAGCCCGATGAAAGACTGTGTCGCGAAGGAATTGTTAATCATCGCAACTCGCATCTTGAACCCGACGTTGGTGAGAGAATACGGCTCCTGTGGAGAGTCGAAACTGCGCACAATGGAGCCACAGTGCTTGAAGAAGGCTGGGGACTTTGCTAGAGCTCCGGTTCCTGCTGTGGGGTCACCAGGACTTGCAGTCCAGGCAAAGATACTTTGATCGGCAGAGGCTTTGATTATCTCATGTTGAAGCTTTTGGAATGCATTATCCCCCTGACCGTAAAGCATTGGCATGTTGATACTGAATATTCCCAGAAGACAATATGCCAGGTCCTCTGGAACAGTGGTTGTGCGGTCTGCTGCCCAAGACATCCGTTGAGCAATCGAAAAGTTGCTGATGGTTGAGTGATCCTCCAGTGCTTCCTTGTGAATGCGGGTCCAAGCAGAGATCCAATGAGCGATGCCAATCTTGTGGCCAAGGGGAGTCCAATCCTGAGTGAAGAAGACAACGTCCTCCGGTGCAAGGAGCTCTTGAAGAGTCCAGCCACGAGTCCACCATCGACTAGCCATGAATCGGGACTTCATTTCACGAACATCTTCGTCTCTCTTGCGCTCCATGGCATACGGAAACCAGCCAGGGACGTTGGAGTGGGTGAGACCTACACCGTTCCGTGTCTTCTTGTTTGGAAAGGTCACATCTGCGAGGTAGACGTAGCAGACCTTGGCGTCACGATACCATTTACTATTTCAAATAAATTAGGAGATAATTGCGATAAATGAGGTGAAATTCGTCCGACTTACAACATGGAATTAATGGCCTCGCTCAACTCAGCCGAGCTTTCCTTGTTGATACACATGGTATCACACCAAAGATAACGAATACCGTCGCGGCGGGCCTGCTCACAAGCCTGCATAACCTTGTGGTAGCCGGCCTTCTGGTCGATACCACGATGACGGACGTGAGGACACTGGCCCTTAATGGCACCCGAAGGGTAGAGCTGCTCCCACTCCTGAAAGATAACCTCTTGGTCGCCCCAAGTGTGCGAGAGAATGGCGTACTCTTTGCCGGCGGCCTTCCAAGGCTCGAGCAGGAGGTGAGTCTGGGTATCGATGAGACGCATGGCGACTTTGGAATATGCCTGTTGGTGATACTCTGATGCTGGCCTAATGCTGTAGTGATGTATGTTAACACCAGCCTAATGTTTGGATGAAAATGGAGAAGAAATGGAGTAAATGTGTAATATCAGATAAACTGTTAGAGAGAATATCTGTAAAAGAACAGATGTAAAAATTCAGAAGAACTAGGGAAAAAATAAGAAAGATTTTCCTAGACATGGGATAGAATGACTTTTACATGTGTATATGAAATTCATTTCTCACCATCCCATGTTACCCGAGACGTAGGCACATGGACTCAGCTATCACCTTCACATATCATTGATCCACCATCCTTGACATATCGAGAATGACCATTCCTCCATGCATTTCACTGCCAATCAGTCTATCATGGTCCATTGAATTTTGGGCTGTTACGGCTGAGCGACTCTGAAGCGAATGACGACCTGGCAACAAAGAATCCAGCATGATGATACCTATGGCTGCATGAATAGAATGGAGCAGGAAAAGGCTTTGCAAGGATCACAAATTCAGGAAGCGGCTTGTTGCGTGAAGATCCCCAGCCTGGCCATCATAAAACGTAGCCACCGCCAAAGCGTTCTTTGTCTTCACTGTCGGTAAGCCTGGAAGTTGTGGCTGGTTCATGGTAATATTTGATATATCGACCGAGAGCATTAAGTGATCATGATTCTATTCTCGTATTACGCAATGCCAATCCCAGATCGCTCACTTTTTTCTAGCCACGACCACTGCCCAGGTTGGTCGATTACTATCTTCATTGTCTGTTTAAGCTACATCCGGCATTCTGACCGCGATATCGCCTGACTGAGTGATGTATCGTACCCAAGGAAGTGAGGGATATTGCAGCTGAAAAAAAGGGAGAAAAATTAGTCATCTGCATCGAAAGGGGCACTTGACGGAATAATGACATACCTTTGGTTCCGAGATCTTCAAGTACCTCACTTGAATACCACTCGTCGTAAAGTACGGAATCTCGAATTTGACCTGAATGGGTCTCTTGGCGCCCTTGCCAGCAGAGACGCCACCCATACTTCCACCAAAACCACCCGTCATGCCGCCTCCGTGCTCATCATCACCGCGGACACTGGGCAGACCAAGCTCAGCGCGCATCAAGAACTCCTTGCTGCCACCAAATTGCTTAATCTTCCACACAATGGCGCTCTTCTCCGGTGCGTAGTGGACACTGCCGATGTTTGTCCTGAAACGGGGCGAATCTGCGTCGTCGGGTACAGGCACGATGATTTCAACATTATTCGCCGTGCTCCTCCTCTTGAAATGAGCCCTGGCCTTGACCATGTACTCTATCCTTGATCCAGAATGGCTCTCTACCATGCACTCTACCCAGATCAAGGGCTTGACTTGTGTGTTCAAACGGTAGCTCATGAGCTCGAACTCGCCATCGGGTGGGATAAAGGAGATTGTTCTGTCGTTCTCGAAACGGGCCAACCGCACGCATTGGTGGAATTTGACGTCTTCCATCTCGATAGCCTTGCCTCTCGTCGTCCTTCCAGTCGATTCAAACATGACCTTGTCGTTCAATCCCAGACGCAGTTCAGGCATTCCGGACAAGTAGCACTTCATCTTGATAGCACCGAGGATTTCTGATCGCAAGACGTTGCCGTTTGCAGCAACCATGAGGTTCAAGCTCTCGACGACGTCCAAGAAGACCTCGTTCTTTCGGTACCTAATACCCTCGGACCGCCATGACACAGCATTAGTGACTGCGATTGGTGGCCTGGCCTGTACTTCGAGCTTGTGCGACTCTTGCGTGATGTACTCTTGTAGGATCTTGCTTTCGGTTGTCTGTGGATATCCAAAGTCCATCATTTCATCAAGTAACTCGTATATGATGACAAAGTTGTCGCGGATAGATTCTTCCTCTAGTGCCTTGAAATATTCTGTGAACACTTCGACAATCTTATGTAGGAAAAGCAATATCTCGGCCGCGTTTGTGTTTCGTTTCGTCAATGCAAGCAGATAGAGGTTGTTGTGTCTGATGTAGAGATACTACAGGCTTGTTAGGTACTCTGCATGCATTCGAGATTGTCTTATTTGCCTACGTTGATGCCCTCGTGGGAGAAGCATGGCGGGACAGCGGATGATTCCTCTTCGGCTTCACTCAGGAGAATAGGGAACTTCTCAACTGCTGACATGGGAATGTCACCTCTGTAGTTGCGGGCAAGAAGGGTCTGGGCATTTTGTGTTAGTTGAATAAGCGCTTGGCGTGCTCAGTATAGAGTCAATTTGAAATGCATAGCTCACCTTGCCCTTGAGGTCGAGGAAGAAGAGCGCCGAAGTCATCTTGTCGGGCAGCTAATTATACAGGACGGCTGGAATAATGCAAGAGCTGAGTTCAAGTGGCACTGAGGCCAGACGGGGCGATTCAGACCAGTATGCGCATGCGCTGTGGTCGTTGGACAATGCAATGGGCGAGAAATCCTGAAGCCTGGAGGTCGACGTGATTACAGTTAAGGCGATACGTATGTACAGATCACGGAGTCGGTACCTGGCCACCCCTCGTTCAATGGGTTGAGCTGTAGCTTGGCGGTCTGCTGGACATTATGGCAGCTGGCTAAGCTGGAAAGGAGAGAGCCTGGGCCCAGGGGAGCCAGGACAGCGGAACAATTGGGTCCCGCATTCCGTAACCAAGATCAAAAGAAGGCGCTTGGACCATGTAAAGCGGGGAGCTCCCCACCAGCGGCTCTGAATAAAAATCGTCGTGGGCAGCTTCGTGATGGTTAGTTTTTCCCTTCTACATCATGCGTTCATTAGACAGTAGATGGTATTCATCACACGACTGGAACTGGCATTCTGCTGGTTCCGACTGTGTTCGCCGTTGGTTCCATTCGATTTAGCAACGCAAAGAAGGATTCGTATGAAATAGATACCATAAGAACTGCCCGAGTGCGCCGTAATTGGCAAAATTCTTGTTGCTCGGGCGGTGTCAGAGGTGTCGGACATTCCATGAAGTAGACATGATTTACTGTAGCACTCATTTGGGACGGATCCACGAGGTCGCAACTCTCAAATCGATGCCACGATAGTGACTGACCGGAAATGCTACGATCGATGATGGCGCAAGATTCCAGCAATAGAGTCTAGACTGGCAGCCAAGAGCAAATGCTGGTCGAAGCATCATCATGATCCAGGTACATTACGGAGCAGGCAATTTTGACATGAGGTCGCGCGACAGCTTATTTGCTTGCTAATCGTGGTCTTGGATTATGAAAACAGGCACAATTGAGTCCTGGTTCGCAGACTGAAGAATTATTCTTCACGCGATGCTACATACATGCAATCTAGTCCTCGCAAGAGCGCATTAGGTTCGTGTTGGCTTTAGGTCTGGGACATATTTGCCGATATCCGCAACTTTCACATGATGGACATGATGTCAAGTGCAAACATGTCTGCCCACCCCTTGAAGTATCGATCTTCGGATTCGAAGCGTCTTGCGTGTGCCCCTATCCAATGCAGGTGCATAGGAGATTGGCACACGGCTACGGGATCCGCGAGACCGGCTCGCTGGTAGAATTTGCATCCACCAAGGCTTGTTATGTATGATCAGATATTGTCCGACGCCGAAGCTTCAAAGCTTGTCCTGGGACTACATATCCATAGGGCTTTTACCTTGTTCGTCTGATGATTGTTTCGACTTTTGAAAATTAGGACGACGACGACGTGCTTCCGCGGCACAGAGAAAACTCAGCACCTCAGATTGATGATACAATTTGCTTGTGACTGGCGGCGTAGCAGCAGGAGGATGCGGATCGGATTGCGAGGGATCTGAAGCCGGGTTGCTGGGCTGTTTAGCCAGCCCTCGTGTCGTAGCACCAGCCAGCCGCCAAGCCAGCGCGTTCTTCGTTTTCTGTGCTTGCTTCTTTGCATGTGAATTGTCTGACGGAAAATATGCTAATACGCAGTAGACTTGGTTGCTGGCTTGGCTTCCAGACGCCAAAGGACTCGGCCAATGACAACCATAAACCCGCCCGCGCCTGTTTGAGTTTTTGCGGGCAGTCAAAGTGGGAATGGAGGAGCCCGACATGGCTTGGGTGGTCGGTACGTGCCATTTTCACTGACACGTGCTTTCCAGGTTCTACCAAAGTGGTTCCGTCATCTCTCGCTGGGTGCTCCCCTTTGGCTGATGGTTAATGGAGAAGCAGCACCGGCTTGGGGCGCCAGTTCAATCAGCACACCCTTGGCAAGAAACGAGATCGCGCCCGTCGCATTGCATTTACTCATCAAGGGCAAATTTGATGCTCATGTGGCCCTCCTTTAATTGAATAATTCCTTCATCTTGTGTTGAATGATGGTGTGAATTATACTGCCGGCGGCGACATCGTATTTAGCGACTGTCGACTATCAACTCTGGTGCGGTGTGGCCCGCGTAGGCGATATTGCCGTCGCATAATCTGCCGATGCTTCAGGGCGACTGACGGATGGCATAGTAATAACAGGCGTCATCACCAGCAAAACTTGACTACTCACTGACTGGGACTTCCACGCCCAAGAACTGAAGAAGCGCTATCACATGGAGAAGATCCTCAAAAGAGATCGGCCCTCCGTAAGCAGCGCCATCGCCCAAATGGATTGCTAGTGGAGCATCGACTCCCCTGTGCCTCAAAGACCCTGCAGCTCTTGCAGCTTGTCTGCACCCAGCTGACCACTGACAGCGAGCCGTGTCTCGCACATCGACATTGCCCTCCAGCCCGACCCCAGCTTTCACCACAGGTTGACCACTGGCCAGACGGCGTAACCACAGGCCGACCCGAGGACAAACCCAGAATTGCCAGACCACCCTCGTCGTCAACCAGCGCCAGGACCTGTAGCAACCTTGGCCCGGCCCCCCCC